GAGCAAGCAGAGCAAGCAGAGCAAGCAGAGCAAGCAGAGCAAGCAGAGCAAGCAGAGCAACAGCAGACGGTACATGTGAAAAGTCCCCCTCGTCAGTCGTGAGATGTATTCCACTTCTGGATCCGGCGTCCCATGTGCTTGCTTTCACTCCTGATTCTATCTTGGTCTCACCTTATCTCATCCCATCCCATCTCCCATCCGATACGAGGTCCATATCTCCTACACGGTTCGAGGCCACAGATACTCAGGGGAAGATAGACTGCCGGTGCGCAGGACGTACTGTACTCGTACCATGTACATTACATTCTCACGAACCCACGCCGCCGCACGCCGCCGCACGCCCTCCTGATCATGTACGTGTACTGTGTACAAGTAATCGTATCACGGGTGTAAGCAAACAGTATTCTATCCTCGATATGGTGGGATGTGGTGGGATGGGATGGGATGGGCGTGAATGGGATCTTCGATGAACGGGATGGACAATTGACGATGGGGAAACGATCGACGAGTCCATCCATCCTGGCAACCCATGTTGCATCCATCTCTCGCTTACGAGCTTACCTTACACAGGTACTTGACCTACTCGTGCTGTACGGGTACAGTACTCGTAGCTCGTACCTCCTACCTGTACCGGGCTCGCTGATCCGGCAATGTTCCGTCCTTACCTTGCTGCTTTGCACTGCACATGCACTCCCACGGGCAACACGGGCAACACGGGTAGGGCGGTAGGCTACGCTCGTTCTGTGGCTACTGTAGGTATCTCGCTAGGTATCTCGCTAGGTATCTCGCTGGGTATTCCGTTTGGAGCAGGTACCAGTACTCGTCGTACTTTATGCCAGAGTACTTGTACGTGAACGCCGGAACTTGCCATCCCACATGTTAACGCCACATGCTTCGTGCACGTGGGCCTACGAGTTACGCCATACTTTATACTTTGGCATGTGAAACTTATGTACCTACAGGTACTTATTCGTACTTACTCGTCCTTCTACTGGTTGGTCGTCGATCGAGTGCCAGAGGAAGTGAAGGTGAGGATAGGTCATGGCGATCCATCTCGAGACGCGCGTTCATCTTGCGGTACATACGGAGAACGCAGTTCGCAGTACCGAGTAATTATGTCCTTGGTCTGATCAATGGGTTTGAAGGTTGGGCAAGTTAATTACAGGGCATACTCGCCCACCGGCCACGCATTTCACCCAGACAAGATGAGATGAGATGAGGTGATAGGATATAAGAGTTGTTTGTGATTGCTTGACCGTGATAAAGTCTCTACGGTACGCGGGTCACTCAGTCACTCAGTCACTCAGTCACGAACCCACTTCAGCACTGAACAACGGACGTGAATTAGATCTGAACTCGGCAGGCTACGCATAAACAAAGGGATAGAGGCATTTTCTCCGGCGGATTCATTCGAGGACAAGACACGACATACCTGTGCGTGCACATTGTATTGTATTGCTGCCGTAAATCGAAACGACTGCACACTAACTTCTGATGTTGTACATTTCTGTCCGCAGACTATCAGCTACGTGTCCATATATTCATGTATTCATGCATCAGACGAGCGGCATCTCGTGCCCGTGCTCGCGCTCAGACTGAGGCTCCCTCGCGGTCGCGCTCACCTAATGCACGTCGGCCCACACGGGAGTTTTGGCAACATACTCCTTCCACGTGGTGAGAGGCTCGTTGAGGATCTAAGTGGGAAAACAACGAGTTAGCCAGCATGAACGAAAGAACAGAGTAGCAATGTCATACCGAATGACTGGCCTTCAGGTCTGCCCCGCCATAATACCCAAACTGCGGCATCAACAGCATATTCTCGAGCATCTCATCCTGGAACGGCTCAGGAAGGCCCTTGCCGGCGAGGATCTTTTTGAACGCCGGCTCGGGGACCTGTTTCGCGGCACCGCCCTGGCCGTCCTTGGTCTTGACGGCCTGGAAGTCGGCAATGATCTGCTCGGGCGTGTAGTAGTCGGTGGCGCCGTAGATGCGCTGGCCCAGCACCTTTTCGCGGTTCAGCAGGATGGCCTTGACGAACTTGCCCGTGTCGTGCTCGGTGTCGAACAGCGGGATCGGCGAGTCCGTGGGGATGGGCAGCGCAAAGCTGTACGGGCCCTGCATGTTGTTCAGGCTCTGGCCGGGGATGTTGGACATGTAGAAGCCGGGCATGAAGAACGTGGCGGGCAGGCCGATGGCGCGGACGTAGTCCTCCACCTCGGCCTTGGAGTCGAAGTGGGCGACTTTCGAGAGCTTGCCGCCGGAGACTATGGAGTATACGAGTGTTAAACTAACCTTCGCGAGAGACTCGGGGAGTAGGTACTGTAGGGTGTCGCAACTCACGCTTCGTGACGTTCATCAGGCTGCTGCAGATGTAGTGCTGCACGCCGACTTCTTTGGCCACGTCGGCCATGTTCTTGCCTTGCTGGATCTCCGCCTCGGCGCTCTTCTTTTCCCAGAAGTTGGTCACGGCGAAGACGGCATATGCTCCTTCGAGAGCCCGGCGGAGAGAGTCCTTGTCGTCGGCGTCGGCCTGGTCGTACGTGTTAGCAGGTCGGGCAGCCACTGATGGATTGGCCGCTGGACTCACCGGCACGCACTCGCAACCCAGCTTGGTGAGCTCCTGGGCAGCTGGCTTGGATGGATCTCTGGTAATGGCACGGATGGAGAACTGCGACGCCGTCTTTGGGTCGCCCAGGATCGATCTCACCACCGAACCACCCTGTTTGCCCGTGGCGCCGAACACCACCACCACCTTCTTGGAGTGGCCGTTGGTGTTCGTGCCGTTCATTTTGGATTTGATGTTGTCGATGATGCCCATGGGGGACTGAAAGTAGATGTATTGATCAATGGGAAGGGTCAAAGTAACTGGAGGTGTTGTGTTTGTTGCTTGACTAAATGAAGTGCACCCCAGTCCTGACGCTCCCGGGGGTTATATATATCGATATTGCACAAAGACATCTCGATCGACAAGCTTCCTTACCCTGGCCACCTCCCTTGCCGTCTGCGATGACATCTGAGGACCAGCATTGCTGCGATCAACGGTCCGCCATCAGGATTGACCACAAACCCGATGATGTATTTGTGAGGAATCTCGGTGTTCGGCCCAGAATGGCGCGACTGATTGGTAAAGCAGGCCTAGACCGAGAGGCAGGGGGGGTGGTGCCAAGGGCGTATCGGGCCGCCTCTTCGGTGAACGAGGCCTGGTGCCTCAGGTGCTCCGACACCATCGCTACAGGGATTAGGAAATAAACCCAAATGACATATGACATGCGACATGGCAGCAACGTTCAGTATTTACGTGGTCCATCTACGGACGAGTCTCCCTAGGACTGTCTTCACTCCCACGACGCAGCCGACATGACTTTCACGATCGGAGACCCAGTACCCACATCTCGCCTGGACGGCAAGGTCGCCCTCGTCACGGGCTCTGGCCGCGGCATCGGACGAGGCATTGCAGTCGAGCTTGGAAAGAGAGGCGCCAAGGTCGTGATCAACTACTCGAGGAGCGTCAAGCCCGCCAACGAGGCCGTGGCCGAGATCACGGCCAGCGGCACCGAAGCCATTGCCATCAAGGCCAACATCTCCAACCCGGACGAGATCACGCAGCTCTTCGAACATGCGAAGTCGCACTTTGGCAAAATCGACATCGTCGTGTCCAACTCCGGCATGGAACACTTTGGGAGCATCGACCAGATCACGCCCGAAGCCTTCGACCAGGTGTTTGGCCTCAACACGCGGGGCCAGTTCTTCGTCGCCCAGAACGCCTACAAGTTCCTCAGCGAGGGGGGACGGCTGATGATGATGTCCTCGATCTCGGCCCACGTGGGTATGAAAGAACATGCGCTGTACTCGGGGAGTAAAGTGGCGGTGGAGGCTTTCGGCCGGTGCTTGACCAAGGAATTCGGACACAAGAAAATCACCGTCAATGTCATTGCTCCGGGCGGCGTCGATACCGACATGGCCGCCGAGGCTGGGTGGAAGTACATCCCGGGAGCCGATCCTTCGTGGACGGCCGACGACATTTCCAAGTGGGTGGCCGAGCGGAATCCTCTGCAGCGGACAGGCAAGCCTCAGGATATCGCTCGCGTGGTTGCTTTCCTTGCGAGTGAGGATGGTGGCTGGATCAACGGTGAGTGTCTGTGGTACAATTGAACTGTTCGAAAGCTGACATTCGCAGGTCAAACGATTACGATCTCAGGAGGTGCTCTGGCGTAACCCGAGGTGGTTAAGTTAGTATCCTAGCATTCAAGCTCTGGAAGACCACTGGCCGGGATTGGCATTGATGTAGAATAGCGTAACAACGCAGTAGCCATGTCAAACATAGAATTCCATTTGAATTGAGTCTCTTACAGCAGCCTTGTTCTAGATGCGATCACGTCGTAAACCCCATGCCATAAGTTTGCACCTTTGTGAGATTCCAGATGCGTGCCAAAGCGCGGCCGCATACATCCCACTCGTATTCACCACGAGCACCCATGCAGTGTATCTGCAAGATGACGCTCGGATCTGCAAACAAAATGTGCCTGGCTAACACACGAGGAGCTCTAACCTAATTACTCCGTCAAACCTATTGTGGTCCCTGTCCATCATTGTATCCGTTGAAAGCCCCCGAAAACGGTCACCGAAGCAAGGCTGGGCGCCCAAGACCCCTTCTCCCCCTTCCCATGGCATTCGTGGATGGTCGCATGGAGATGGCATACGCTCCTCAGACCGATAAAATGGAGTTTAGGACAGGACAACGAAATCCGCGTCATCGTCATCATCATCTGCATCTCCACTCGCGATATCCATATCATAATATCTACAGGCGAGCAGTACAAACAGCATTCGAGCATTCGACCACGGAACTTAACCCTCTGCCACAATTATACCTACGATCGAACCTAGAATCATCCAACCATAACATAGACATACCATAGTCATCACAATGGGTTCCATCAGCTCGATGCCTCCTATCGGCAAGGAGAGAATCACATTTGAGGGTACGATACCTTACGCACCCAAGATCTTTCGTATCACACATTGAAGACGCTATCTAACACGCCCTTCCCCAGAATGGCTCGACTGCAGCGGCGTGCTCTACGACTGGGCCGACTGCTACGACAACAAGGTAGGGGCGGGCCACACCGGCGAGTTAACGCATGCTAACGAGCGACACCACAGAACTGGTACGGCTTAATGGACATTATCGCGCCAAAACTCACGGTACGTGGAATTTGAGTTTAGATCACAGCACTGCTCACGCCGCTGCCCTCATCTCTACGTCGCTACATACCCACCCACTCACGCAATTACTGACCCCCGCAGATCGACTACGACAAAGTCAATAACGCCAAATTCACCGACCTCCCCTCGGAAAAGTACATTGAGATGATGGCCGACCCGCTGTTCCTGGGCGACGAGCTCATCTCGTCGCAGCACCTCATCGGCGCGACAAAGTGGGAGAAGGTGTCGGACGAGGAGATTGTCTCACACCACCAGTCGCGCGCCGCGCATCAGCGGTTCGAGGACGTCCGGCGCAAGGACGTTGCCGTCAAGGGCCACGGCCATGGGACCGTCACCACTTTTTACAAAAAGGTCGATGGCCGCTGGAAGTGGGCGGGCATCAAGACAAAGGTCATTTGGAATGAGTTTGATTTTGAGCATGTCTTTCGCGGCGTCGCGGGCAAGGAGTGAGTGAGTCAGCCGGAGGAGCCGTGAGAGGGGAGTGGAGTGGAGGGCGGAGGGGAAGAGACGAGGGGGACTTGAGTCCGCGATCATTTGCATCTATTTTGCATCGTGTGTATGACGCAGTACTCGTACATTATAGTAACTTCGCGAGGGGAGAGAGAGAGCATACGAGAGGAGGAATGGAAAGAGATGAAACGGGATTGTTATGGCTTGCTATTCGCCAGCCTTGTCGGTTGGGCCACGTCAGGGGTTCAGCCTTGCTGTCCGGAGTAAAGGACCTCGAACTTGCAACGTGGTCTGGATAGATGGAAACCTCATGGACTGCGAGCACAAGCCTTCATCAGCTAGTGAGTGCGGCGTGTTCCTGCGTCACTAGTCCAAAGACGGACTATCCGCGGTGTATGCCAATATCAGCTTGCGAGTCTACACGATGATTTCTTGCGGCCTAACACATCGCCGTGATTACCCACCAACCGTTCAATCGTCATGGCTCCGGCCTGTCGTGGGATACTGTGAATGTGGCATCTCCTGTTTCCATAGGATCTACTCTCTTAATGTCGATCTTGCTCCTAGCTGAGACTCCCAAGCTACCTCGTATCGGTCCAAAGACTGCGGCCCGTGATATGCATTCGGTCACCGATGTCTCCACAACGGCATGGCAAAAGCTCCCAAACCCATTCGGCATGGTCAATGACGACGCAGTGTGATCAGCTACACGAGGTGGCTTGGAGCTTGCAAGATGAATATCGGGAGCTCCATTATAAGATGCAACGGAAACGCGCAGACGCGAGCCGTTCCTGCGTGCCTTGAAGTTGTGCCACCCAATTTGATCCCCCGTGCTTTTGAGAGTTGATTGAGTGGCTTGTTGGCCGGCGGAAACTGCCATTTCTCCCGTCCTTCGATCCTCGAGTGTCCATCCCGATACCCCAGAACTCGCGCAGAAATGCTCTGGAAGTACATATTCGGTTACCTGCTGGTCAGCGGCGTGGCCGCAGCGCCGGGGTCAAATTTCAAAGCGCTCCAACAATGTGTTACCGGCGCGCTCGCAGCGGGGGGCAATGCCGCCCACCGTATCCAAACCCCTGCAAATTCGACATGGGAGGACGCATTCGTTGGTGCAATCATGTGAGGAAATGGTGATCGTCCGTTTTGGCGCTATCGTGGCTTACCATTGTGTGAAGCAAGCCCGAGACTCCCGCTATGGTAGCTTTCGCCGAGAGCTTTACTGAAGTAGGCGCGTTGATGGGGTGCGCCAACACCACTGGATATCAAGCCGTGCCTCGATCGGGCCGCCACCAGTAAGTCCTCCTAATCTGGCCTTGCTACTGGATGACTGTAGGAACTCTGACAAGTTACAGTTTCGAAGGCTGGTCCGCGTTGAACGGCTCCCTGGTCATTGACGTTTCGTCGCTCAGTTATGTCAAAGTGTCCAGCGACCTCAGTACTGCCACGATCGGAGCTGGCACGAACCTCGGTCAAATATACACTGAATTGAGCGTGGTGAACAAGACTTTCCTCGGCGGCATCTGCCCCACGGTCGCTCTGGGAGGATATCTGGGCATCGGAGGGTACAGTCTGCAGCACCGGGACCTTGGGATCGCAGTCGACCAAGTTCTGTCCTTCAAGGCGATCTTGGCCAGTGGAGAGCTTGTCACGGTGTCCCCCACCTCGCATCCCGACTTGTGGTTTGCTGCCCGAGGAGGCGGAGTCTATGCCATCATCGTCGAAGCCACAGTCAAGATCCTCACTTTGCCGCGTTCTGCCATGGTTGTGGGCTTCTATAACAACACGCAGACCCGGTATGAAGTCGCCAGGAAGTGGCTTGACTGGGCTCCGACGGCGCCAAGGGAGCTTACCACCCAGCTGAATGTGTACAGTAACAGGACTCATTTAATCGGTTGGTACTTGGGTGGTACAGTCGAGCAGCTGCGAACCGCCCTGAACGAATCCGGTCTCCTAGATATCCAGGACGGTGTCGTCGCCATCGACGGGGATTGCAGCACGGCGAACTCGCGCATGTATTGGCAGGATCCTCAAACCAGGTGTACCGACGATGCGACAGCGTATCAGGCTTTCCTCAAAGTTTACAACACCGAGTCCATCAACCTCGCGCCGATTCCGAATCAGCCAGTCTTCCGTTTGGACAACACACCGGCGCTTCCTTCCGAGCCGGTCGCCGTGCCCTGGCCCAGATTCGGCGTCATCAGCAAGACATACTTCACCCTGAAGAGCCGGCCCATCTCGAATGACACGCTGAGAGAGCTCATCAACCGATCTGGCGCCCTGAGCGACGACGCCGGCTTCTGGGGGGAGTGGACTAGCTTCGGCGTCGCCAATCCCACTACCACATCCTCATTCCCCTGGTTGGGCGAAGCCCAAACGTTGATGAGAATGGAGATGAGTTCTCCGGAGAATATCACGCTGTACAACCAAAACCGTGCGTGGTTGTTGGATTTCGAGAAGTTCTTCCGTCCCAGAGTAGGGTGAGTAGTTGACCCTTTCTTTGGTGGTTCCGTTTGCCTTGCGCTTCTGCTAGTTTTGGCATGTTGCTGACTCGATGTTTCCTGCAGCAACGCCAGCTATGCTGGGTATGTCGATATCGACATCACGGTCAACCCCTTGACCGCGTTTTATGGCAACAACACCTGTCGTCTGATTGATATCAAGCAAAAATATGACCCCAACAACTTTTTCCGTAATCCCTTCTCCGTCCCAACCAAAGTTCCGAAGGGATTGAGCTGCTGAGAACGCAGGAGGATGGAGATTGGCTTTGGACGCATGTGGCGGTCATGGTTGTGAATTTCTGTAAAATGAATGCCAATCACAACCTGGAGAGCGAATGTAATGGCAGGGATGCCCGGTAGAAAACAAGGTCAATTGGGACTCCTCAATGAGACCCGAAATCCATAGTACCCTGGTGTTGATGAAGCATTCTTGAGCTCTTCTGACTCCCATTCGAGCTAAGGCGGATACTCTGTCAGTACGGAAAGCGTCTCTTGTTTTTCGTGCTTTCTAGGAATAGTCAGGTTGGGATCGGAAAGCCACGGGGGACTGTCGTCTGTAAAACCATGTCTTGTGCCTGCATCCAAAGATACGCGTCGACAACAGGCAGTGGCGTGCCAATGCTCCTTCAATCCACCGCTGTGATGTCAGCGAGTGAGTCAGGGTGTTTGTAAAAGATCGAAAATCAAACACATAGTGGATCGGGCCAATAGGCATCCTGGAGGTTCCACAAGGCTTCGGTCACCGTGTAGTGTTCCGAGCCTGGCAGCCTTACACCACGACAAAGCCAAGATGGTAATACCCCTTCCAGACCGACCACCTAACGGCAATACGAATGACATCAACCCCGCTGGTGTGATGGTCGAATATATCACGTTGGAAACGAGGCAGCTGTCGGCAAGATTGTCAGTCTTCTGATGTTAGCACAAAGAACGAACCTCACTCCCATTGAATTTCATCCCATCATCATTCACACCCATAACCAAGCTTGATAACTTTTCATCGTCAACATGAGCAAATTCTGGCCCAAGAAACCCTTCTCCATCGCCATTGTTGGTGGTGGGCTCGCCGGTCTCAGTTTGGCCAGAGGTCTCCTCCGCCGCGGCGTTAGCTGCCAGGTGTTCGAAGGTGCCCCTGCGTTCGCTGATATTGGAGCCGGACTCAGCTTTGCTGTGAATTCCATCGAGGCGCTCAGATTGGTCGATCCAGAGTCATATGAATGCTTTGTCAAGCGATGCAATGAGATGTCAGAGAAGGAAGATGTATACATGACCTACCGCGACGGAAATGCAGAAGACAACCACGCACTTACGACATTGTTCTGCAAAGGCTCTGGACAGCAAGCCGTGCACCGCACACTGCTAGTCAAGGTACGAATAACCAAACCGAGCTCATCTTGCAGACTTCTCACGTGTCGCAGGATATGGTGGCCCTGATGCCCGAAGGCACATGGCATATGGACAAGAGATTGGTGTCCATCGACGAGAATCCGTCCGGCGGAGTGACCTTGACCTTTGACGATGGCACAATGTTTGATGCAGACGCAGTGGTGGGCGCCGACGGTATCAAATCCAGAACTCGACAGCTTCTCTTGGGAGAAGACAATCCCGACGCCAAGCCCAAGTACTCTGGAGAGTTCGGATACCGCAGCCTCGTCCCGATGGACAAGGCTGTGGATGTTTTGGGCGAGGACTTCGCAAAGAACGGCAATGTCAATATCGCCGATGGCGCCTTGACCACAACATATCCAGTCGAAAAGGGAACTATGCTCAACGTTGTGGCTGCCCGTGACCAGCCCACGTGGGACGATGCAAATTGGGTTGTCCCTGCCAACAAGCAGATGGTCGAGGAAGAGTTCAAGAGCACCGGTCCCCAGATGCAAAAGGTTGTTTCGCTCCTAGAAAATCCTCAGAAATGGTCCCTGTGGCATCACCCGGCTGCCGACACCTTTTACCGAGGGCGCTTCTGCATTATTGGCGATGCTGCTCATGCAGCCACTCCTCACCAGGGAGCCGGTGCAGGCCAAGCGTTCGAGGATGCCTTGGTGCTCGCCAAACTCCTCGCCGACGAGAATATCAAAACGGCTGACGACATCGAGCAAGCATTCGCGGCGTTTGACGCCATTCGTCGCCCACGTACTCTGAAGATTGTCGATACTAGCCGCGAAAACGGTGAAATCTGCATGAAGAAGGGTGAGACGACAGGGACCGATTTGCAAAAGATCAAAAACAACCTGGACAAGAGGTTCGAGTGGATCTGGTACGACGATCTCAACGGCCAGGTTGATGAGGCCAAGGACAAGTTGAAGGACTTGAAAGGGCCGGAAAACTTCGACGTAGACACAAGAACTCCTTCACAGCGGGGGCTTTTGGATGAGTCGACCGTTGAGGCCACGTACCGGCCTGCGATCCTCAGGAATGAGAGCTTGTCCCAAATGGGTACCATGGCTACGTCGAGCGTGATGGTCTGAAGTAGCGAACCAGAATTCGCACTCACCGGGTTCTTTTGCAGATCTTGCGGGTTGTACGGGTTGTACGGGTTGCCTAGAGCGTTAGCTGTACCAGCATAGACACAATATATTGGAATGGCGAGATTTTGACATGATCTTCCTAGCAAATCCTCCTACTGGGGCGTCGAAAAGCTCAGGACTGATGGGAAAAAAATGAGCAGTGCTCGTTATGAGCGGCCCACACGGAATGCCCAATGGAAGTGGCTACCTCGTCAAGCCTGCCAATGCTCGATCCTAGTGCCCGCATCGTAGATTTGGGTAGGACGACTTTGGGACCCGACGACGTTGGAGGAATTGCCACAGCTGAACTCGAAATCGACAGGAATAGAACGTTGACCTATAACGATCGAGGGACCATGTGGGGACGGTTGCGTTGCCCAGAAGTGACCGGCGAGCGAAGTTCGGCGGATATACGCATTGACAAGGACCCGTGATGACAGCAAGGCGAAAGTCCAGACCCTGCGATGCCGTCGGCTGGCAATACGGTCTTTGATGTCGTCATATGCTGGATTCGCCGGGTCAGAGATTGTGCCGGAGCTGCTGAAACCTTTGACCGGGCTGCTGATGAGCTGTCGGGTTCGTAGTATGGCTTAATCCATATGCGCTAATGGCAAAGGAGAGGACAGTCCCCATGTGTAATCGGACGTGCCTATCAAGCTTGTTGGCTGGGTCTCGTTGCCTGCACACTCAAATCAGCCTCCACACGTCACCGCAATGTGGCTGATTCGCATGTGCTCGTTGTCGTAATTTCTCATCGCCCCATGCTGTCGGTGGCCGATATTCCGCAGACTCGAGGGACTCGATAGTCCATTTGGTGAATTGAAGCAGTAGAAAAGCGGTTTGGGCGCGCCTTGAGCTTGAGAGCTTGATAGACTCAGTGATCAAACCTGGAATCAATGTTTCCATGTGCCTGCCATTTTCTAGTGCAGACCTTCCAACCACTATGGGACGGGACATCAAGGTCCTCGTATTTGGAGACCAGTCGGAAGAAAGACTCGACGATCTACGCCAGCTGGTCACAGTTAGCGACAACCCGCTCCTGACCACCTTCTTCGACAAGGCCTATATCACCCTGCGAGAGGAAGTCAACCACCTCCCTTTTCTGACCAAAGGCTTGCCGGGTTTCACGAGCATAGAGACTCTCCTATGGCGGTATGGGGAGGCCGGTGTGCGACACCCAGCAATTGAGAGCGCATTGGTGTGCATTCATCAGATTGCCACGTTGTTGAGGTGAGTTTCGAGTGAGAACAAGCGGGGTAGCGTGCCAAGCCGGTTCGGTGGAGCAAGGATTCCCCGAACAGCACTACGTCCGAGCATATCAGCCACTTCGCTAACACATTACATTCTCAGACACTTTGGAGATGGATCCGAAGTCTATCCTAAGCCCGCAGATACACGGCTTGTGGCATCATGCACCGGTCTACTGTCCGCGGCGGCAGTCAGCTGTGCACGTACCTACCGAGAGCTTGTATCCATTGCGGTAGAGACTCTCAAGCTTGCCTTCAGAGTTGGCGCGCAGGTTGCCCAGGTCTGCGATGAGATCGAGCAGACATCTCTACCATTATGCTGGGCAGCAATCTTCCCCGGCGTGGGCAAAGAAGATGCGTTCCTGGCCCTGGAGGAGTACGCCGAGAAAACCGTGAGTCTTCCAGATATGCAATGCACCCTGGCCGCTTCAGCCTCTGATCGACTTTACAAACAGGGCATCCCTCCGACCAGCAGACCTTATGTTTCTGCAACCAGTCTCAACTCGGTCACAATCAGTGCACCGCCTGGAGACCTGGAGAATCTGATTGAAGCCAAAATCTTCAATTCCTCTAGACCAATTCGCCTCCCCATTTTTGGCCCATATCATGCTCCTCACTTCTACAATGATGAGATTGTAGCTTCTCTGGCGGCTTCGATTGAGGATTCAATCACTGGTGAGTGGGAAGCACGGATCCCAATCATCAACAACGGCAAGCACAACGCCTACGAGGCGTCAAATTTCCGTCAATTGGTGGAAGAAGTCTTGGAGGACATCCTTTTTAAGCCCCTCCACTGGGAAAGACTGTGCGACAACTGTGTCGCGAGTGTGGCCTCAGCCGAGCCAGAACAGTGCCGGGTCGTTCCCATAGGCGCCAAGAATGCCTCAGCTAGTCTTGTCAACGCCTTGAACCAAAAGGCCTCGTTCAAGATTATGGTCGACAACCGCAAGACGGAAGCTACCGACGAGCCAAAGGAACCAGACCCCATCGGAAGTCGTGGCAAGCCAAAGATCGCCATCGTTGGTATGGCTGGCAGGTTCCCTGATGCCATGAGTCCCAGTCTATTTTGGGACCTTCTCAAAAAAGGCCTGGACGTTCACCGAGAAGTCCCGCCTGATCGATTCGACGCCCAAGCACACTACGATCCCGCCGGAAAGCGCAAAAATACCAGTCACACTCCATATGGATGTTTTATTGAGCATCCTGGTCTCTTTGACTCACGATTCTTCAATATGAGTCCCAAAGAAGCGGCCCAGACGGACCCTATGCACCGCTTGGCACTCTTAACTGCATATGAAGCACTGGAGATGTCAGGGTTTGTGCCTAATAGGACACCCTCAACAAAGGTCGACAGGGTCGGCACGTTCTATGGACAGACCTCTGACGACTGGCGTGAGATTCAAGACGGACAGAACATCCAGACGTATTTCATTCCAGGTTAGTGGTTCTTATCCTGATCCTCCACTCCTTGCTGACTCAGTACAGGGGGCGTAAGAGCTTTTGCGCCGGGTCGTATCAACTACCACTTTGGCTTCTCAGGGCCTAGCTTCAGCGTTGACACGGCATGTTCTTCCAGCCTTGCCGCTATCAATATTGCTTGCAATAGCCTCTGGCTTGGGGACTGTGACACCGCCCTCGCGGGTGGACTCAACGTGTTGACGAATCCCGACATCTTCTCAGGTCTCTCTCGCGGACAGTTTCTGTCCAAGACTGGGAATTGCAAAACCTTCGATGATGGCGCTGATGGTTATTGTCGCGGCGACGGTGCCGGCACGGTCATCCTGAAACGTCTCGAAGATGCTGAGGCTGACAACGACCCGATTCTGGCTGTCATCCTAGGCACAGGTACCAACCACTCGGCCGATGCGGTCTCAATCACTCACCCTCATGCCGGCGCTCAAGAGTATCTCTTCAAGAAAGTGTTGACGGAATCAAGCCTCGACCCTCACGATGTGTCGTACGTGGAAATGCATGGCACTGGCACACAGGCTGGTGATGCGATCGAGATGGAGTCGGTCTTGAACGCTTTTGCTCCGGCCTCCCGCCAACGCAGTCCAGATCACCCTCTCTATCTTGGCTCTGTCAAAGCTAACGTCGGACACGGCGAGGTAGGGCTTTCTCAGAATTTCTATCCTGAAGGAAACTGACAGTTCAACCAGGCTGCTTCAGGCATCACGGCCCTCGTCAAGATTCTGCTTATGCTCGAGAACAACCTTATCCCCCCTCACTGTGGTATCAAGGGCGAAATAAACCACAACTTTCCTGATCTCGGCGCCCGAAACGTTCACATCTCGCTGGGTCGGGAGACGGCCTGGAGACGGCCTGAAGGCGGCAAACGCAGATTCTTCTTGAACAATTTTAGTGCCGCGGGTGGAAATACCTCCCTTCTCATGGAGGATGGAGCCCAACACCCCTTGGAAGGCGAAGATCCTCGTTCTACAGCCGTTGTTGCGGTTGCTGGAAAGACCAAGAAGTCGTTAGTCGAGAACACGAAGAATCTGATCGGGTATATCTCCGAAAACAAAAATGTCGACCTTCCAAGTCTGTCGTACACAACCACAGCTCGGAGAGAGCACTACTCCTACAGAACTATCGTCACCGGCTCAGATATGGCTCATATCGAATCAGCCCTCAGGAAAGCCCTTGATTCCGAGCCGGCAGCGGTCCCTTCAGGCATCCAGGTCGTGTTTGCGTTCACCGGCCAAGGTTCACACTACACCGGGATGGGCAGACAGCTCTACGAGACCAACAGCCAATTCAGGGCTGACATCCGGCGCTTTGATTTGTTGGCTCGGAATCAAGGATTGCCAGCCATCTTGCCCTTGGTCGACGGCAGCACTGAGATCGAGAAGCTCAGTCCAGTGGTCGTTCAAACTGGCGCCGTCTGCGTCCAAATTGCGCTCGTTCGCCTCTGGCAATCATGGGGCATCAAACCTGCGGCTGTGATCGGCCACAGCCTGGGAGAATATGCGGCGTTGCAAGCTGCAGGTGTCCTTTCAATCAATGATGCTATCTTCTTGACGGGTACACGAGCCAAGTGCCTCGAAGCACATTGCACTCAAAACACTCACGCCATGTTGTCAGTTGTTGCCTCGGTCGAAGAGATTGAGAGCTTCATTGATAGCAAGACCCTCGAGATTGCCTGCATCAATGGCCCGAAGGCCACCGTAATCAGTGGCGAGTCTTCCAACATCGACAAGCTAAAGGAGCAAGTGTCTGCGAAGGGTATGAAGTCCACCAAGCTGGCAGTGCCATTCGCCTTTCATTCCGCCCAGGTGGAGCCTGCTCTTGACGACTTTGAATCTGCTGCTGCAGGAGTCACCTACAATGCCCCCAAGATCCCGCTGATCGCTCCACTCTTGAGCACTGTGGTTACCGAGAAAGGAACCATCAACGCAGAGTATTTGAGACGCCATTGCCGCGAACCCGTCAAGTTCTTGGGTGCTCTTCAAGCTGCGAAGGAGAAGGGCGTTGTCAAGGACAAGTCTCAATTCGTCGAGATCGGCGGCCACTCCATTTGCAGTGGTATGGTCAAATCCGTCCTCGGCTCAACGACAGTGGCCCTTCCATCCTTGAAACGAGACGAGGACGTCTACAAGACGCTTACAGGAACCCTGTCTGCTCTACACATGGCTGGTCTCAAAATCAACTGGAACAACTACCACGAGAGTTTCCCCAGGTGCCATCACTGCTTGAAGCTGCCGACATATGCTTGGGACGCCAGTAACTACTGGATCGAGTACGAGAACAACTGGACGCTCACCAAAACCAACGTGGCCGCAAATGACCAAGACAGCCAGACCACAAAGCTCAGCACAAGCACAGTCCAACGAATTGTTACAGAGAAATTCCAGGGCCAAACTGGGACGCTGACCACGGAAACCGACATCTCCAAGCCGGAGCTTGAGGAAACCATCAAGGGTCACCTCGTCAATGGCTCGGCCTTGACGTCCAGTGCTGTCTATGCAGACATGGCCCTGACCATCGGGGACTATGTCCACCGCAAATTACAGCCTGAGATCGAGGGTTTTGCGTTGAACTGCGCCAACATGGTCGTTGAGAAGCCTCTCATCTTCAAAGGTGGGGAGCAGCTCCTGCGTGTGGACTGCGAGGCAGATCTTACGCAGGCAATTTGCCATATGACATTCTACAGTGTTGGTCCAAAGGGCCAGAAGCTCTTGGAGCATGCTCATTGCGAGGTGCGATATGGAGATTCCAATTCGTGGTCAAAGGAGCTAGCTCGACAGCAGTATTTGGTGCAGAGTCAAGTGGACCGCCTTCTGCAGATGGGCCAGAACGGCGTACTCAGCCGGCTGCAACGCAAGATGGCCTACAAGCTGTTCTCTGCCCTCGTTGACTACCAAAATGCTTACAAGGGAATGGCAGAGGTCATCCTCGACAGTCCCTTGCGGGAAGGGACCGCCAGGATCGAACTCCAGACTGGCAGTGCGGGTAATTTCTACATGCCGCCTTACCACATCGACAGCCTCTGTCATCTTGCAGGCTTCATCATGAACGCCAATGACGAACTCGATTCGGCACAGACCGTGTATGTCAACCACGGTTGGGACTCGTTGCGCTTCTTTGAGAAGCCATCGCCATCGAAGACTTACCGCTCCTACGTCAGAATGCAACCTACTGGTCCCGATTCCAAGGACTATTCTGGCGATGTCTTTGTCTTCGACGCAGAGGGCAACATCGTTGGGCAGATTGGAGGCCTGACCTTCCAATTCCTACCCAAGCAAGTTCTCGACCGAGTCTTGCCTCCCGCTGGCGGTAAGGCAACAGCTGCTCCAGCGCCAGCCAAGAAACCGGCCTCCGAGCCGAAGAAGACTGCGCCGAAAGCCACAGCCAAGCCAAAGGTAGCTCCTTCCGGTCCAAGCATCATGAACAAGGCACTCAACATCATGGCTGAAGAGATCGGCGTGTCCGTTGACGAGTTGACCGATGACACTGATCTCGGTGCCTTGGGGGTTGACTCGTTGATGAGTCTGACCATCTCGGGCAAGTTCCGGGAAGGGCTGGACATTGAAATCCCCTCCACCCTGCTGGCCGATTCCGAGACATTCAAGCAGGTGAGGGACTTCTTGACCCAGTTCGAGTCCAAGGATGGAGGCGATGCCACGCCTTCCTCGCCGTCAGCAGGTTCTTCGGACGATTCTAGGTCTTCCACTCCCGCTGCAGCGGATACCGAGTCCATGACCTCAGCCTCCCAGCCCGATGAGAAACCAAGCGGGGAGGCTGGTGGCAAGCTCGAGGCCATCCGCGCCGCCATCGCCGAAGAGACTGGCATGGATCCGTCCGAAGTTACGTCGGACATGGACCTTGAAGCCATGGGCATCGACTCTTTGATGTCTCTCCAGATTTTGGGCATCCTCCGAGAAGACAAGGACATCGACCTCCCACCCTCGTTCTTCAGCGACCATGCCACCTTCGGCGACATCGAAAAGGCCATGGGTGGGGAAGGTACGCAGGCCTCCAAGCCCAAACTGCCCGCCAAGTCCGAGGAGATGTCGACCGAGCAGGTCGTTGCCGAGATGCAAACCAACAAGGGCCAACAATCAGCTGGACCCCCGAAGGAGCAACAGGCGGCCCCAGCGCCCAGCGCCCAGAAGAAGACCTACAGGGCATCATCGGTCCTGTTGCAAGGTAATCCCAAGACGGCCACGAAGACGGTGTTCATGTTCCCCGACGGCTCCGGCTCCGCCATCAGCTACGCCACCATCCCGCCGATCTCGCCCAAGGACGTTGCCCTGGTCGCTCTCAACTGCCCTTACATGAAGGACCCGGAGGCATTCGAGGGCGGGATCCCCGGAGTCACAGCTTTGTACCTGGAAGAGATCCGTCGTCGCCAGCCCCAGGGACCTTACATCCTCGGGGGCTGGTCCGCAGGGGGTATCTGCGCCTACGAAGCCTGCCTGCAACTGTCGGCCATGGGCGAATCAGTCGAGAAGCTCATCTACCTGGACGTGCCGTGTCCGCTTCCACCCCAGGCACTCCCACCGCGGCTGCACCACTTCTTCGACTCGATCGGTCTGCTGGGCCAGGAAGGCGAAGCCCCCGACTGGCTGATCCCGCACTTCACCGCCACCATCAAGGCCCTCAGCAGCTACCGTCCCCGCGTGATGGATCCGGCCAAGGAGTCCATCCCGACCGTGTACACTGTCTACGCGCAGGACGGCGTGTGCAAGCACGACGACGACCCACGCCCGGAGCTCACGCCCGAGGACCCGCCGCATATGAAATGGCTGCTCTTCAACCGTGAGGACTTTGGGCCGCTGGGCTGGGAGAACCTGTTTGGCGGCTCCGACCGTATTGTCGGCTTGGAGTCGATCCCCAACGTCAATCACTTTACGATGATGCGCGAGCCCATGGTCAGCGAGATTCCCAGCCGGATTCGCAAAGCTCTAGGCGTGAGTGGCGATGAGTGAGTGCAGAGAGGGGAAGCAGAGCAACTGGAGAGGAGGGGAGGATGGGTTGGGAGACGAACAAGTCACCAGAATGTCCACATTTTATTGTACCAACAGGCCAGATGGGAGAAGAAAGAGGAAAGAAGAAAGGAGCAAGAATGTAAAAGATTGTCGCGCATCTTGTGTTGTCAGGAGAGCATGAATCACTCTTGTGGTGTGCACGGCGTAGGAGATAGATTACGTACATCGAATATTAGACACTCCACAAGCCTAAGCCCCCTGTTTCTTATACCCTTACCCAGTACCGAGTACGCAGTGCATGTTATTGGTGTTGACCACTGTGCTGTGCTGTTGTATGCTGTGCTGCACAGTGCACTCCAACGCAGAGATGTCATCTAAGCACGAAAGATCAGCTATCAGCCAGTGTTTGCCCTACATAGTTAGCGATCCCAGGAGAGGGTTCCCAACCTACACAGTCACTTACCTACATACTCCGTGCTCTACATGTACTGCGTGAGCCTGTAATCATCTCCCATGAACACTGTGGGCGTACATCCTCCGTGCCCTACGCTATACTATACAAGCCTGTGACTATTTTCCGACAGCACACCAATGTAGGCGACGAGCAATCAAAGTGCATGCCCCGGGCCGAATGGATATCTTCTCAGTGCTACTGGTACGAGGTAAGCACTCTGTGTCTGCTTTCTACGGAAGCTGTAGCTGTAGCTGTGTCTGTGTCTGTGTCTGTGTCTGTAGCTGTGTCTGTGTCTATAGCTGTGTCCTTGACCACGCCCAAGCCCATGCCCCCTCCATGGGAAGCTTCCGCAATGGCCCCGGACCCAGCCAGCATTCGCGGCCGATCAACGAGTCTCCTGTACCTGGTAGTCTCCAGCGAGTCTCCTTCGGGGATATCTCGCAAGATACAGGACCATGCCATACCGTACCATACTATACGACGTAAATTTTGAATTGGCGACGACGTGCAATTCAAAGGCCAGCCCTTCGCTGGTATCACGCACGAAAATGCACCCACTGATTGCATGCGGGGACGGGCCGGTTTGAAGGAATCAATCTTACACAGTACGTACGGGGTGGGTAGGTTCGATTTAGGCCTTAGACGCCGTGGCCGTGGCCGTGGCCATCAACGTCACGGCATCAGGGTCACCTCTAACTACAGCATCGTACCGTATACTGTACGCTGGACCAGAACCTCATTGCCAGCCAGGCCGCCGGTCTTCATCGTTCCAGTTCAGCGATAGCGCTACTCCGCCACTCGTAGGGATACCGACCCGTTCTGCATTCTCGTCCCGGTAGCATCAATGATGCTTGCTGCTTGCTTTCTGCTTATGAACGGGTCGGGGCCGGGGCCGAGCCATATGACTCACTCAGCCGTGAGGCGTCGTCTTCGGAGGAGGAGGATCTTGTTGCCAGTTCAGTCCACAGTCCAAAGTCCACAGTCCACAGTCCACAGAGACGTCGCGTCTCCTGACGGAGGCGTTGCAATCGCGATCACACCGTACCGGTGGTCTCGGTAGGTATCGAGGCCGCCAGATCTCCTCTCATCGCCGTGCCGCGTACGGAGTACTGAGTACACAGACAAGTCCTCCGTCATTTTGCCCGCGTAGCTGAAATCTGTACGGAGTACACTACCTGGTACTGTGTATATCGGCGCCAGGCACGTTCCCAGTGGGCTTTCTGCTTCATGAGGTCAGTTGTTGCGAGATGGATCAGCTCCAAGACCTTGGATTCACACATTATTACACCATCACACTGTCGCGCTGTCACACTGTCATACTGTCATACCATCACACCATCACACCATCACGATGCCGTGTCTGGCTTTGACCATTGATATCTCCGTTTATGACCACACTCTCAGATTGAATATGTAGAGGGAAGCTATATTTCTTACTTGCAGACACTCACCTTATCTATCCTTGAAGTCGTCGGGTGAAAAATTAGCGCAAACTAATGCAAAGAATAAGCTGCGGCGTTCTCTTTCGCCCGTCAGAAAGTAGCTAACCCGTTTACGCCATGCTCAAGGGGTTCCAGGATATCCTTTCTGTACATTGCTGTATTGGCGCTGGAGAGCGGGGGGGCCGACCACATGGCGTGTTTCGTTACGACGACTTCTGGGATGAAGAGAGTAGTACTCGTACAGGCGAGAAGCGAGAAGACAAGGACCGTTTCTCCCCAATTCTGGGTACTTGATTACTGCTTGCTTGAGAAGATGGTAATTATTCAACCCTTCGTCTTTCGACCTGGGACCTCGAAAACGCCACCATACGGACTTGCAAGTAACAGTTTGAGCCTGCCTCACCTACATAGCAACCTGCCAGATATAATCATAAGTCTAGAGCTCTTGAATTGCCAACGACGTGCGAACTACACAGTACTTGTAGAACATCCATCCATCCGTCCATCCTACGGAGGCAGATTACAGACTGCACTAGCATGATTTTCCGGATTCGGTCCGCTGATGAACCGTATGGCGTGTCTCAGTAATATCGCAGCAAGACAAGACCAGGAGCGCCCCCATGGGCGATCGCCCAGGCAGCAGCCAGAAAGTAAGTACTGTGTACAGAATTACTGTGTCGCAAGCCGAGGGCTCCGTGGGTTTACTGTAGCAAAGCTGCTAAGGCCAAGTAACGGGGCATTGGGGCTAATTACTCTATTATGAACTCCGTACGGAGTACGGAGTACAGTCCTTGATTTAGGGCTCTCCAGGCTCCCTAACCAGGCGTCCAACTTGTACTCCCGTACGTTGTCCGCCCTACCGCCGGCCCTCGGACCGAGCAAGGCTCCGGTGGTTCGCTCGTCATCTCGTGGCCCCAAGGGGTGAGGTGGAGACCTAGTGTTCTGCCTCAAACTGCATTCTGATCCACCATGGATCCAGCAAGTAACCAAGACAGGAAGGCTGGCACTCATCTGGACGTGCTGTACCTTACGATGCTGACATGATTAGACCGGCCCGGCATGTGGTAAGGACAAAGTGAGGGGCAGACGGGGTTCACATTCGAGGGGGAGGGGAAATGAAATCCATCCATCGGGAGGAGCCAGTTGTAATGCACTTGGCTGATGCGATACTGTTTTTTTAGGATGCGTGAGATGGGAGAGAGAGAGAGAGAGAGAGAGAGAGAGAGAGAGTGAGAGAGAGAGAGAGAGTGAGAGAGAGAGAGAGAGTGAGAGAGAGAGAGAGAGTGAGAGAGAGAGAGAGAGTGAGAGAGAGAGAGAGGGTGTGTGTGTGTGTACCCACTCGTATTACCAGCGAGAATGGCTGGACGTTGCTCGTATCGTCTCCCAGATCTGACTAGGAACGATCACGATAAGTACCTAGGTAATCAATCCCGTATATAGAAGTCGTGGGCGGGTGGCACGGAACAGGGACATCCTTCTACCCTGGACTTTGGGGCCGCTTTGATAGCCCGGGGTTTCATCCAGTACTGCAGTTGCAGTCGCAGTCGCAGTACTCGAGCAGGAATACTGGTCGGCCGGATGCAAAAGTAGTGCTCGCTAGATGTAGAGGTACTAATTAAAGGGCTTGAAGGCCTGGCTTGCTGGCTGATAGGAAAGTTTGATGCCGATCCTGATTACCACGCTGGATGATGCTCATGTACTCCGTACTGCGTACGTCGTTGATTCCTTAGGCCCAGCGTCAGGCACCGACGCATATGTGAGAGAGAAGAAAGGGACAGAGAGCTCATCGTGATTACTGCAGCGGTATTCAGTTCGGACCATTCAGCATAGAGGCTTTCGACATGTGGATGGTGGTGGTTATCTCTCCGGCTGATCTCCTTCTGGTGTTGTATCCAGGGGGGCATCGATCATGTCGAGCGATTCCTTCCGCATGGTGTAATGGGGGGCATGAGCAAGGGCCGTATACGTACACGCATCCACAATTCTGCGTCTGGTGTACCGAGCTGTCTGTCCGCCACAGCATACCACGGTACCTCGGACTTGATGCCATGAAGTCAAAGGATGTGCTGATCTTGACCGGAACCATTCCCCTTGCCATGTCGGCCATGGTCTCGCAAGCTCGCAAGCTCACCCTTGCGTGTTCCTTCGTCCCGCCCCATCGATTGTCCTCACATATCGAAGCTGCCCCCTACCTGCTAAGGCATAGCGCCAACGCCATGCCGTAGCCGGGTACAAGAAGACATCTCGATCACTCTATCATCCGGAGGCCACTGCAGTGGTCGCCATGGCGGCTCCTGCGTAGTGGACTGACATTGGTTGTTCGCTTGTCTGATCGTCTTGTTAGAACGGCGCCGTCGACACTGGTCTGCCCATCCACGCCAGCATCTGTTTCGATTTGATCAGAGTTTAGTCAGCCATCGGAGGGTTCCTTTCAAATTCCGTTCGACGCGGCTTCCGGGCTCGCATGTCTCCCAGCTGTGGATCGAATTCTGGTACGCTTCTGTTTCGCCGCGCAGCCGGCAGTACGCAGGCTCTACCGTCCTTGAGTCGAGTCGATGTCGCTTTGGACTGGCTCGTTCCACGCACAGTATTTCCCAACCCAGCCGAGGAGCAGCCAGCTCTGGTTTGTAAACCGTTTCAAGCAATGATCTGCAGACCAGGATAACGTGGGCGGCAGCCTGGGATCGTTGGCGAGAGTGGGGTGTCGATTCGCTAAAGTCCACCTTTGATTCGAGGATCGGTGTTTAAAGTTGTCGATGCCTCGTTCCTTCTGGTGACTGCCCTTCGCCATTTATCCTTACGGTTGCCGTCGTCGTGCAGTGAAGCAATGGCTTTGCCTCCGAAGACAGGTGCTTGACTGTTTGGCGTTCGTCTGGCCATCTCCCGTCCTGATCGTCTCCCGAGTGACGTTTGCCGGACGATCTTCTCACACAGCATCATATCGTGGACCATGCACTGTACCTCGAGTCTTGGGCCGGACATGGACATAATGCTTGGCGTTGGCAGATTCCTCCAACACGGCTACCATAGTGGGTGGTGCCGGCATCTGTTCCTCCGGGGGGTACCTCGTATCGTTGTAGCACGAAGATTCGCCTAGGTTGCAAGGGGACCCTGTAGCGAGAGATCTAATGTGTGAGGGTGTACTCCGTACTCGTACTCCATACCACGTTATCATCTCGAGATCTTCTGTGGCATCCTCGGTCTGGACATCCCTGGCTCTGTCAGAGCGAAATAGCCTGACAGAATAGGCAGGTCGTTCTCATCCTTACCAGTATCTGCGCCCATCGCTCCTTTTGAGAAGTAGTCGAATTGATCCTCCTTACGGGACAGCATTTGCAGAGTGCAAGTTTGCAGTAAAGGGAAGCAGCCGGGTGGCCTCTTCCGAAGTCAGCAGCTGCAATGGGCAGGTCTGATTCGTCATTTAGCGAGCTGGTCGAGCAACGGCTTCCGGCTGCCGTTGTGGGTCACACCAGGTGCCGACGGCTGGCCCCTGTCGAAGGAAGCCTCTTGGGCCTTCCCGCTTACCCCATTCATGCCACTTCGCGACATAGACTGTGCTGAGGTCAGCGCTGGGGAAGAAAGCTCTGGAGCTAAGCCATCTGATAAAATGCTGTGCACCACGCTCCGATAAGGCAATAACATGACCTGCTTGGCCTCGATACCTTTCGTGCTTTCCGAGCAGAATGAAAAAGCACAAGGCGCCAAAGCTTGAGTTGCTCTAACGGCAGAAGAAACCAGGACAAGGATGATGGTGCGCCGGAAGCTGCCCGCGATGCGCCCCTTGCACCACTTAAATTATTTCGACAACACAGCCATGCACCATGCCATGCCCTGACCTGCAGAGCATCTAGATGAAGCGCATATGCAAAGCATGAACTCTCAGCAGGTTGTCGACCAGTGGCCTGTCGTGCTCCGTACTCGTTTGCTTATCAGTTGATCATCGAGCGAAGATCCATCAGCACCGGACGCCTTCCAGTGGCCTTGCGGTTCTCGCTAATTCAATCATTGGGGAAAGTTAGTACCGCACTACCTCGGCGGATGCTGTGCGTCACCTGGGCGGCGTGGTAGAGGGATCTCAAAGGACTGGCCGAACCGCCACTTTGTGTCTCACAAAGGTGGCGACCAACCAGTAGCACAAGGCAGCAACAGAACTCCTGGGATTTTGTTTCCCAACAGATTGTCGCCAGCAATGGTGGCAGCCTTCTGGGGAATCAAAGGCCGCCAAGAATCCCTTCAAAATGCGGCCGGGGCTGTCCAGCAGTCGCATCGAAGGTCCGGGCGATGGCAAAGATGGGCAATTCAATTCTCCGCCATCTCCTCCTCCTCATCAAGGGGATACGTAGCCCACCGTCGAGCTGATGTTCAGAGCGTTTTGGAGAGCGGCATAAGACATTTGTGGAATTCGTGGAGTCAGGCTGGCCGCCGGGAGCAACGGTCTTGACGCCAGGAGCCGCCCTCCGTCCGAAGGAATGCAAATCAGGCTGCCAGGCCAACTGTGACACGCCGCTTGAACGATTGTAGCCTCCCAGACTGATGAGAAAGTAGCCGTCGACGGTGCTGCCAAACGCCTTCGGCGGGTGTATCTAGCCAAAGGCAGCAAAAGGTTTTTGCAGTCTGGGGTGCAGCAGTCGGTGGCATTGCGGATTGTTCAGAGTAACATTCACCATAGCTGAGGACCGAACACATCACCGATAAAGGCGCAGTCAGGGTGATTGGCAGAAGATTGTCCATGACCACTTTGAGCACATTGGTGGGGTTTACATAACAAAGTTCTTGTGAGATGTCTTGAAATGTTTGTTTCTGCCAGGCCGAAAAGGGATGGAGACATTAGTGGTCATGGACCAATTTGGCTCTAAACCCTTCTCTGAGTCAAGCAACACCCATCTCATGGCCTCTGGAACTCAGGAATGCCGGAACTAATCCTGGGGTCCGAAGTATTTGAAGCTGACCCGACGGTGCTTGGAAGATCTGAGGCGGCGTCCCGGCCGCTCCACTAGCCCGCCAATTGGGTCTGAGCATCAGAGCAGGTACAACTGTTGCCGGGTGGTTGACGTGATATCGGCCCCCGTAATATCAGCAAACCACCTGTACGAGACGTTGGAGGAGCTGGCAGATTGTGGATCCCTGATTTGTGGGCTTCTCTTATCCTTAGCCAGCTGCTGCAGCGCCAGCAAGCACTCGGCGAGAGTCTCTCCGTAAGACAAGCATTCCAGGGGAATGCAGCGCTGGGAATTGGCCGAGCTTGTACCCAAAGGAAACAGCACCGTAGTTTCGAGTTGACGGTATCATGGTGTCCTCAGTTCCTTACCCCAGAGGATGGTGGAGACAAAGCTGCCGCTTTGGTACGCGATACGTGGCTCCGCTCAAACCCCATGTGCTGGTTTGATATCAACCACGGCCTCGTATTCTCGGAACCGTCCTGCGCAAATTGTCGGACGGTGCACATGGCACTTTCTTGTGAGTTTCTGAAGCGACGGCTGCCAACCTGCAGGCAAGTTTTGCCGATCACAGGCATATTTGGAAATCCCATCATCCACGGTTGCCCGAGAGGCCCCGAGTTCAGCATCTCGCTCAATCAGAGAATTGCGTTTCTGATACTTCGAAGCCGCTCGCTGGAACTTGTTCGTCACGGAAATTGCCGCTGACAGCTCAATAATCGATTGCGGACCGGTTCTCTGTCCGCTCGAGTGAATTTGGACGTCCTGGACCAAGCATCATCTTCGCTTCCAGCCCAAGCTGGCTCAATTGAGCACGTACACGGCTGGGTATTTCGAGCCCCAGACGCTCTTATACAATGGAACCTCCGCCATCCCGAATCCCAAGGCGTTGGACAGCAGAGGAAGACTCTATCCTCCGGGCGGAAGCGACTTATCAGTGTAGGAATACATCTTCGTCCTCTCATCGTTCTGCGACGGTCGAGCTGACCGCATCTAGTGATAGCGGCTGGGTCTGTGAGGGACTGGAATAGGATTGCCTCCAAACTGCCAGGCAGAATGAACAAAGACTGCCGTAAAAGATGGGGCAAGATATCGGAAAACGTGAAGAAGGGTAACTGGTACGCACACCCTGGGCGCCGAAGGCCACTTTCGATACTGACATGGCACTCCAGGGACTCGGCCGAGGACGCCAGGCTCAGGGAAGCTGTCAAGGCAGTCGGAACTCGGTAAATGATGCCCTTATCCCCTGGACGCGGCATTTCGTGCTCACTGACATCGGCAGATGGACTCAAGTTGCGGAGATGGTTGGCACTCGCCATGCAGATCGTACGTCGCCGTCCTCGACCTGTGGCTTTGTATCTCCTCCGTTCTCTGACAGTCCGCAGAATGTTCAAAGCGCTGGACGCAGTGTCTTGATCCGTCCATTGACCATAGCGACTGGACCGAAGAGGAAGATGATAGATTGCTGGCAGAGGTCGCTACCGCTGGTCGGAATTGGCGCAAGATTGCCGAGTCCTTCCCAGGCCGGACCAAATTGGCGTTGAAGAATCGGTGGGTGTGCAACCAGGAGCCACTTCTGTCTTTCCCTCTGCTCTACTCTTTGGACTGACATGTCGAACAGATATTCCGCCCTTAGACGCAGAGTAAACCCTCCTGCAATAAGCGCCAATGGCGACAGTCCTTCGTCCATACCCGGGAGCTCAGCTCGATCATTTTCATCGGTGACTGAGGACATGATGCAACTGTCGGATGGAACACCCTCTAGCGAAGAGGAGGCATATTCGTCAATGAGTTCAACAAGACCACCGTCTCGGTCTTCGACCCGGAGCCAGAGTTCGCTGCATCAAGCCGCAAACTTCAACAACATGGTCATTGACTCGTCGTCGCGATTGGAAACTCCAACTCATCATTCCGACTCGGGCGAGCTCTTTCAATACCTACCGCCAACTCCGGACCAGCGGTACAGTTACCTACAGAGCATGAACCATCAAATACTGGACCCAAGCAACTTTTCGCCGGTAAACCTGTCCACGTTGAGTGAGCCAATGTTGACTCCAAGGCCCGAATACCTCCCGGGAAACTCTTTCGACAATGGCTTCCCTTTACATGCGTCGAGCTTCCCAAACGGATGGTTTTCCGGGTCGAATCGTGATCCCAGCATGAATGGATTTCCCTTCCCCGAATCGTTCGACATGAGACCCCTCAATGGCAGCAGCATTGACCAACGATATCCGCTCCAACCACCCTCCTCAAGGAAGACGACCATCGTCCTAGAAGATATCGAGGAGGCCACGTTAAGCAGGGTGATGAGCATTCTGATTCAAGAGAAGGCGAAAGTGAGTATGGAGACAACCCATACGAACGGACGTTCGGATCATCGGTAGTGGCGTCAGCTTGCACCGGCTTTTAACGACCATCACGACATTGTGAACCCAGAGCCTTTCTTCTGATGAGAGCGAGACTAGTCCAAAGCAAGATCGAGCACCGGCGTTTGGGCGTAATGCGAATTGAATGATGGTGTTGGCATTCTCAGCCCGACTTGAAATCTTAAAGTCTTGAAAGGGGATTGGTGATTGGAAGGTGTTGATAAAGAACCAAATTCCACGAAGATCCGCCCTGCCGTTGGTAGATTGCTTCTCATTAGAATGCGGTGAATTCGTGGTCTGTATGCTGTGACACAAAGGCCACTGACACGTGCTGCTGTGATTGCACAGCGACTCTGATAGATTTGCTGTGGAAGATGGCATGTAACGTAGATCAGACCGCCCAAGGGGTATGTGCATTGCCGAATTTGAATGTTCAGGCGGATCGCACAACATATGCGAGGTCAAAATCGATCTGGCCGTCTCCGTTCGGATGCGTCTTCTTCGCATTCTTCAGCGGAGCTTCGGGTAGAGGGCTGTATGCATTTGACTTCTGGCATACGGCCGACAAGGCTTGCAATAGCTTGTAGCAGCCGACGGGGAGGATGGCCGACATCGAATTGTGGCATGTATTCCGAAGGATGATTCTTCCCCAATGCTAGTAGACATTGGCGGCGAGGGGGGCGTCAAAAATATGAAATGGTGCTGCAGTTGTCTTGTATCTTCGCATGTTGCTGCAATGTGGCGGGAGACACAACAGCTGCGAAAGGATGACCATGGACTCAGCACCTATTCTCGCCCGACCCCACACGATTCAACCAAGTTGCTAGATCCCCCAGATTGGTAACAGGCGGATTGACAGTCATCATTCGTACGCGTCTGGGTCTCAGGAGCTTGAGAATGGATTCGTCACGCGGCGGGTGTTGTTTGCATGCGAATGAGCGGACGTGGCCGTGCTTGGCTCCGAATACTGGCGTCAAGATGGGGAAACGATGTCTGCCATGCTGGCAGACCAGAATCTCGTATGCAAGACTTCAAGTCTCGGCCGAGCCAAGGTGACGAAGGGGCCAAATCTGATGACCATCATCATTGAGACGGATCGATCCTCGTAGTAGAGAGGGCGCGGCAACTGCAGCGCTGGTGAGATGACGTGGATGTTTCTAGGGCGCACCACGCACCGGTAACTCGAATCATGAAAGAAGGCCAGTCGAGTGTCAAGAGAATTCCGGTCAGGTCAAGTACGAGTGCTGTGTAAATAGACAGATTCTGTGGCGTTCAACAACTGCGGGGAGAGGAGGCATTGAGCGAGCAATGAGATGGGAATCAATAGGCGGAGTGGTGCGAGTGGAGCGCAGGCGGCCTCAGTTATGAGAAAAGCCGTCATAGGCGGCTGACTCGCCTGGATCTATCGACGGAAGTAAGGACCTAATACGCGGTCTGGGCGCAAAGATTGGGCCACTTGGACGACCCCAAGAACAATCACAGGCTACTGTCTTTAACCCTGCAGCCACTACCCAGAAATGGCCACAATGCCCGCCACTTGACTCCAACCAAGCAACGGCCGGCTGGATATCAGAGAATCAATCCAAGCCTACCAAGGAGCGACCCCATACCTCGAAGGAGACAGGATGTATTAACTGCGGTACTTCTGACTTCTCGTTCCCATCTCCATGTTGTAACCTCTCTAGTCAGCCTTCCACCTCATCCACCATTCAGTGCAGATCATCGGCGACGCTGCTGAGGCATTTTCACGCTACAGCCCGTGCCGTTCAGGCGCTCATGACCAGGGCCCTGGAAGGAGCGCGTGCTTAATAAAGAGGTGTCTTTCCGCCCACGGTGGTGGCAATGGGCCTTTGTCGAGGAGGAGGTTCCGTCCAATGAGTTGTTGCGATCTGCGATCCCAATTCATGGTCGGTCGGGTCGATTCCTTTCCTGCAGGGGGGTGGTCAGGGTCATGTATACTGGTGCGAGTACGCATGGTCAGACAATCCTCAAAAGTCGGAAATGCAACCTGCAACCTGCTCAGAGTAGTCGTATCGTCGCGATACCAATTGCTGGAGGCTACCATAGACATACGACTGAGCAAGCACTTTTGGTCTGAGATCGGGCTCAGTCGAAAATCATCCCTCCGCTTACATGGAAGAGCTGGCCAGTAATAAATTCGGCTTCGGGGCTTGCAATGAAGCTTATCATTTGCGCAACGTCCTTGGGCTGACCATATCGCTTGACGCATTGTCTTTCCACCGCTTTGTCGAAGATAGGCCTTGCGTGAGGAGAGCTCCACGTTGTTTCCGTCACGACGAGGCCCGGAGCAACGACATTCGCCGTCACACCCGGTCCTGCCTCCGTAGCAGTGGCTCGTGTGAAGGCCACCACGGCGCTTTTCGATGCCGCATATACCGCTAGACCGGCCTCTGGATGTGAGGCAGTGCCGGACGCGGTGTTGATGATTCGCCCGTACCCTGCCTTCTGCATGTGTGGGAGCACCGCTCGCGTCAAATAGAAAGAGCTGTCCATGTTCACGCTCATGACTTTCTTGTACTCCGGCGTCGACTGCTCCAAGAGGGGACAAAACGGGTAGATTCCAGCGATGTGCACCAGCACGTCGATTCTTCCGAGCGAGGAAACGACCTCGTTGATCATCGAATTGACGTGCTCCTCCGAGGCCAGATTGGCGACTCTATATGTCACATTCCGGCCCTCAGATGTCAGCTGTGCCTCGACCCTTTTGAGCTCCTGCTCGTCTAAATCTACCAGGACCACGTTTGCCCCCTGGTCAGCAAAGAGCGTGGCAGTGACGCGTCCAATGCCTCGGGCTGCTCCTGACACGAGGACCACCTGCTCGGCGTACTTGTCGCGGTATATTCTCGTAGGTCTGATATTAGCTCCCTCTTGCTCCATGATGAAAAGGACCCCTTTGGTCTTCTGGATTTCGAGGAGTGTCGACGCTTCAGTCAGATGAGAAGCTTCGAAATCTGTTGTGCCGCATGGTGCTCAGCAGCACTCTCATATCATGTTGTCGGTGACCGAGACGGCGACCCGTAGAAGATCCTTGATCTTTTTGCCGGGTCATTTGTCATTTTCAGCCCGTGATGTAGACTCCGGCATCATTGCGGAGACCACCGTGGGTGCACTGTATGCCCTGGTTTCGGCGAACTTGTGAATTACGTGTGGGCGTGGTTTGGTGTTCATCTTTAGGATGGGGGGCGCCTGGATGTGGAAATATCTGGGGCGTGAGGCCCTCGCCCTTTAACAGCGTGACCGCGAGGACAGCCTAGGCGGCTGCTCTGGCTGACCATAGCCGCTGCCCGCGCCATCGTTAGGGGGAATCAATGGACAGCTCAGAGAAGCCTAAGCGCCCCACTACGGCCACATTCCCTTCTGCTTGGATCTCTCTGTTGAACCGCAGGGCAGGTGCTCCATGCTAACGTTCTGCTTACTGAATTCTGTTGCTTCCGAGATCCTATCATCTGACAGAGACTACAGCAGAATGCCCATGCCACCCTCTCCTTCAACTCCAGTTGTCGCGTACCCCCTGCCCAACTGCGTGGTGCCAGCCGGAACATGCCTACAGCAGGCACAGGTTATTTCCCAATGGTCTGGGAAGGGAAAGAAAGGCTCCTCGTAAAAAGGTTGCGATTTGATGCATCCCAGATGTTCTTTCAAGGCTACTGTAGCTGCATGCTTTTATACGGAACAGACAGAGACAGAGACGCCCCAGCTCAAAAGATAAAATGCATCATATACACATTCAAGGACGGGGCCAAATCCTACCATCCACCTACAACTGCTCATTGACAAACAAGCCGGCCATGCCCTGCCCCGTGCCGATACACATACTCGTCACGAGAACCTTCTTCTTCGTGCGGCGGGCCTCGCTCAAAATCGTACAGATCTGCCTCGCACCGGTGGCTCCCAACGGATGGCCCAACGCAATCGCTCCACCGCGGGGGTTCATCTTCTCGTGCTCCAGGCCCAGGGTGTTCAGACAGTAGACGGCCATGGAGGCGAACGCCTCGTTAATCTCCCAGATGTCAATGTCGTCCTTGGTCAGCGAGTACTTCGACAAGAGCTTGGGGATCGCTGCCGTGGGACCAATGCCCATTATCCGCGGGGGCACACCGGCGACGGTGGCACCGACGAATTTCGCAAGGATGGGTTGGCCTAGCTCGAGGGCTTTGGACCGTTTCATGAGGAGAATGGCCGCGGCTGCACAAAAATGTATTAGCACTTGCAATGTAGTGGTGGAAAGCAGAAAGGTGAAACTTACCGCCGTCGGTGACTTGGCTGGCATTACCCCCGGAAGTCTTGTCGCCGAACTGTGGCATGGCGGGTCGAATCTTCAGCAGGCTCTCCAAGGTAGTGCCATAGCGTGGCCCTTCATCCTTGGTGAGCGTGACTTCCTTGAGATTGCCCTCGGCGTCCTTGACCTTTGTCGTAATCGGCACGATCTCGTCGTCGAACCAGCCTGCCTTCTGCGCGACCTCGGCCCGTCGAAAGCTCTCGCAAGCATACTCGTCCTGCATGCGTCTTGAGATGTTGAAATCGTTCCCGACGTTCTCGCTCGTCTGGATCATGGGCTGCTGGCAATCTGCCGCCTCTTGGTTTGCCAGGATTTCAGGGCTAAAGGGAAGGTCGCGACCGCCGTTGTTGGTCATCGATTCACCGCCCAGTGCGAGCCCGATGTCGATGCTGCCATTGGAGATCTGGTTTGCGATGTCTTGTACGGCTTTGAGACCGGAGGAGCAGAACCTGTTGACGGAGCTGCCACCTGTCGTATGGGGAAAGCCGGCTGCGAGGGAGGCGGCTCGGACTTTATATGCTGCTCGGGCATCGCCGACCTTGATCATCCGTCAGCCATCGAGGATGAGGCAAAAAGAGTGGCGCGAGACGTACATTTCCCAAACAGATATCCTCGACCAGAGAAGGGTCGAGCTTGCTCTTCTTCACGACTTCCTTCAGGAGCGCCCAGATGATGTAGTCCAGGTCTGTGTCCTTGAAGCCGCCTTTCTTGCCCTTTGCTAGGGGTGTTCGGATAGCGAGGGTAATGACAATGTCATCGGGGTGCTTTTGTGTGCTGTTGCAGGTAGCGTGTCAGTAAATCATGTGCTGCAAGTCGTTGCTGGTCCAGAGCTGGCTTACATGGCAGAGACGCCGGTCTTTGAGGACGACAGGTGTGAGAAGACCGAGGCTAGTCTTTGTGTGGCCATTTTGCTGTGTGTCTGTTCTCACTCCTCCTTAATGATGCTATCCAACGGGGGAAGAGAGAGCAAGATAGAGCAATGTATTTCCGGCGATGAAAGTGAGGTGAAGTGAGGTGAGGAGAAGAGCAAAGCAAAGCCCATTGCGAAAACCGCCGCAGCTGATCTTCTTCTACATATTATTCAGTCCGAGTCCGGCCAGAATATCGCCGCCTCCAGATTTACCTCGGCTTCTTGCCTTTGCGGGTGAAAGCGGGGCGGGAATCCCTCTTCCGCCATTGGCTGAGACGGGGAGGCGAGGAGCCGATCGATTGGCCCAGACACCGGTGGACGTTTTCGTCGTTTGCCGCTTTACCTTCCTGGCTTCCATTTCATCCGGTGGAAGTGACAAGTGATCACAAAATGTCCTTCCTCGGTGTCTTCGTGCGTATTGATGAATTTCTTTCACCCAAGGGCCGAATACACTACTCGTACACGGCGATTTGGCATTGATGTTGCGGGCTAATGTTCGGTAAAACTGCTCGTCCAGCAGATCAGTCCGGTCTGGTCTACTGCCGCTGTATCTCCTGCTCGAATATAGTATCTTGTTGATCGCGACTCTATGAGATTGCTTCGTCTAGTCAGGCTCTGGGCGTAGAGCTTCTGACCCCGTCCAAGCACAACCACGTTTACCAAGCTGGAATAGAGCGTCTTTCAGTGGATAATACTATCTATCATGGCTCCGCCTCGCCTGTCTTCGAACGCCCGAAAAGAGACATTGTTTTCCATTCGCTATGCATGACACATTCCGCGTCCATCCGTCGTTAACCCAGCCGTCGCCGTTACGGGCGGTCATGGTGCCACAGGCGTTCCGCACGCGCCCTCCATCTATGCATTCTCGATCCGTCTTGCCTGCAGAGCAAAGTAAGTCATCGAGGGTTCGAAGTCCGCATTGTTTGCAATGCAGCATAGACTTGAGATTGACGCCGTGATTGACGCCATCCCGGTACTGGCGTGAAAGGTTCAAACCTACTTCTCCTCCACACTGTCTGGCTTGACCGACTCTTCCGGGGCGTCCTTCATCTCGGTGTCCTTGGGCTCGTCTGCCTGAGGCTCTGCGGCCTTCTTAGCTTCCTCTTCTGCCTTCTTCTTGGCTTCAGCTTCAGCTCGTTTCTTGGCCGCTTCTTCTTCCTGGACTTTGAGGATGGCTTGTCGTTCTGCCTCGATCTTGTCTTGATATCTCTGAGCAACAGGACCAGAGAGGAACTTGATTTCATCCAGTTTGGCCTGGTATTGTGCTTTGGTGGCATCGTCCCCTTCGTCGTACAACCAATCCTGCCACGTGTTAGTAAAACGCTCACAGGAGCAGAGTGCTCGTTGCTTACCTCGGTCTTCTCCAGCTTCTCTCTGATCTTACTCTTCTCCTCGTCGCTCGCGAAGTCAGCGTAGAGATCGTCGATCTTGCCTCGGATTTCATAGATGTAAGCCTCCAGCTCGTTCTTCTTGTCTTCGGTGTCGGTGACGAGCTTGTCCTCCATGAACATGGCATTTTCGGCCTCGGCCGCTTGGGCCTTTGTAGCGTCGTCCAAGGACGAGGTGCCTGCAACAAGCTGCAACTCCCCTTTGCGCACTTGCTTCTTGACCTTGCGCATCTTGGGCTTGGGCTGCTCTGCGGAGCCGTTGGCTTGGTCGGTCTCCATGGCATCGCCATCCTTCTTTGGCTCCGGCTCGGGCTCCTCGACCTCGACATCCTCGACGTAGTAGCCGCTCTCGAGGTTCAGAATTCCGTGGAGATTGAGTCGCGCCTTAAGCTTGCACACCATGAAATCATCCTTCTCGTCCGCCTTGACACCCTTGACTGAAAAGCGCCCGATCCACGGGTTGACCTTTCCAGGGAGGAGTTCCGGCTTGGCATATCGGGCTTCGAGGTCGAACGGCTGCTTTCGGTAGAAGGTGAGGATCTTGGTCGACGGCATCACGTTGCCCTTGTTGAAGACGGTCAAGCTGGTATCCTCATCCGGAATGTCGGGTGATTGTTCCCAGGTGAATTCAATGGGGTATGTGACGATATCATGGACGGAGAAGTCGCGGACTCGGAAAACTGGCGAGAGGACGGCACAGCTGAATGCACAGCCTCGAGCAATGGCTTCATCCTGGTTGAGGGTGTACGACAAAGACTTGCCGTTAAAGAACTTGGCAATTCGGTCCTTGATGGCGGGAATGCGGGTACAGCCTCCAACCATCTCAATGGCGTCAATGTCCTCGACCTTCAACTTGGCCTCGGCGAGAGCTTGTTCTAGCGGAACAGTGACACGGTCGAGCAAAGGCTTCACCATCTCTTCAAACTCCTCTCGCTTCAACATGGCTCGCACATCCTTGTCTTCCATCAGCGATTCGATGCTGAGGGGCGCCTGGGCATTGGCGGACAGAATCTTCTTGACTTTCTCCGCCGCCGCAGCAACCCGAGTGGTAGCCTTGGGGTTTGTGTAGATGTCGACCTTGAACTTCTCCTTGAACTCGGCTGCGAAGTGATCGACCAGAGCCTTGTCGAAGTTGCGCCCACCGAAGTGGCGGTCGAAGGTGGTCGCCTTGACAGCCAGTTCACCCTTACGGAACTCGACAATGGAAACGGTGTAGTCACTGTACCCGACGTCGACGAAGCACACGCGGCGGGGTTTGGCGTCACCTTCGGGCAGGTCGGATTTCGTGATACCGTAGCCCAGTGCAATGGCCGTGTTGTCGTTGATGAGCCGGAGGAGCTTCAGATTGGCAATCTCGGCAGCATCCAGCATGGCTCTCCTCTGCGAATCTGTGAACCACGGGGGGCAGCCAATGACCACGTCCGAGACGGGGAGTTTCAGCTCTTTGCTGGCAGTGTCTCTGATTTTGCCCAGGTACATGGCGATCAACTGGACAGCGCTGAACTTCTGCTTCTCGCCACGGTATGTGACCTCGGCGCCCACCTGGCCATTGACATCGACGAGAGGGGCGGTGATGAACTGTTGCTCAATGGCGACTTCGGGGTCGTTGATGGTTCGTCCGGCGAGGCGCTTCAACGACGAGATTGTGTTCTTGAGGTTGGAGATCTCCTGCGTCTTTGCGGCTTCGCCAAGGTAGCGGCTCTTGGGACCAAATCCCACCATGGACCTGTGAAGTGTGAGTGACGGCCAGATGAGGCTGCGCAGGAACTACTTACGGTGTAGATCGGTTTGACGTCTCATTTGTGATCTGAATTCCGTCAGTACGACAAGGTCAATCCCACAGAAGGACACAGGCTTACAATGTCAATCCCCTTGTTGCGCGCGACACCGATCTTGGTGCTCTGCGCACCGAAATCTATCCCGACGACGCTCATGGTCAATCGAATGGAAGAAACTCTGGCGGGGGTCTAGCGGTGGTGAGGTTGTCTGGAAAGGGATGTACGGTGGTGACACAAATTTGCTGTGAGTAGCAGAGTGGTCAAACAAGATCAGTCTAAAGGCGTGAGCAGTTTAGCACATGCAAACATGAGTGACAATGAACAACGGAGATCAAGTCGCGGATCAGTTGCTGGCCAGGCCAAAAATTTCGTAGCGGCGGCAGCGACCAGCCCAGCACTTTCGCGCAGGTTCGATCAATGCCAAGCGGCACGTCACCGGGCAGCGGGCAGCGCAGCGGGCAGCCTGAGCACCACGCACCAAGCCACGACAGCCACACGGTGTGCTTTGTCCTCTCCGTCAATCACTCGTCAACACGACAGCTGGGCAGCAACGGCTGCGTGTGCTCAGCCTTCCAATCTGTGGACAGCATACACAGTACACGAGACCTAGAACAGCCTCTGAACATTGGTGGACACAGAATGCCTTTTCTATCTCGACAGCTGCCCAAGGTCTCCCTGAATTCTTTCACTGCTAATAATGATACAGCCAGTTTTCTCAGCACTGGTCTCCTCTGACCTCGCCCTGGCCCTACACCATTTTGCCGGGACTCGGACTTCTTTTGCGTAATCTCTTCCGCTGCAGTGTCTTACTGCTCCCTCGATAGGTGCTGTCGTCGCTCCCGCTGAGGCTTCCCCGCCTCTCTTGATCCTCTATCGTCGTGACATCTTCCGCCGATATGGCTGTCAATGGGCTGTTGCGACCCAGAGGGGACCGGGTATCGATGTGGTGGCTGTCAGTGGTCCATCGTCGTGTATGTGCAGGGACTGTCAGTGATTCTCTGCCGCCGAAAGTCTCGCTCCCACCGTCTTTTTGACCCGGCAATGCTGGCGCCGCACTTCGAGTGGACAAATGGCCGTCTCGTACTGGAGGTTGCGAGAAATGGACCGTGCTCTGCGGCCTACGTTCGGTGTCACGACCACCATGACCACTAAGACCCTCTTCGTCCTCACTGAAACTGTTGATGAATTTTGGTGTGTGGACGGATACGCTATCCGAGTCGCTCATGTCGAGGGATTCATGCTCAAAGCGGTGTGGGTGAGAGGTGAGGGCGCCATTCGATGGAGTCGGCGACGCCATATCCTTTTCCAGCACGCCCGGAGCGGTGGACTCGTACTCCGCCGAAAAGAAGCGGCCTTCGACACTCGACGACGGCTGAAGGTGCGATGGCCGAGTACGGCGTTTTCGGAATTCCACTGCTGGCTTGAAAGTCTCGGGCACCACGTTCAACTCGTCTCCAGTGGCTAATGCATGTTCGATGGCTTGTTGTGGCGTCACCTTCGTATCCGCTGCGCCAGCGTCTGCTCTGGGCCCACCCCAGGTTCTTTGTCCAGCAGTGAAGATACCATACACCATAAAAATCCAGTTGAGCAACGGGTTCAGCAACCACATCAAGGGGTAGAGAAGCGACTTCCAGCGGTGCAGCTTACAGGCAAAGTAGAACATGAGGAGCCAATTCAAGCCGCAAGATATTAGCATGAACTCCCAGGGTAACGAATCAATCCGAGTCGAGGTGCTTGACACGGCGATGAGGGTAATCAAGAGAAGTAAGGCCGTCGTCCTGATGGTGAGTGTGGCGAAGCGGAGCAACAGGAGCAGGGGATACTTGCACCACAACCGGCCGTCCGTCAGCATGCAGACCTCATTCGTGATGAACCCTAGAAACCAGCGCCGCCTCTGCTTGAGCAGCGAGCGAAATGTTCGGACGGCCTCGGTCTTGCAAAAGGCACTGGTGCTCAATTGGATCTGGTACCGCTGTTTGGCACCGAGCATGAACAAATGCGTCAACCACCGGTCTTCACCGAGATGGGTCTTGGCGTAGTCGAACAAATCCTCGCATTCCTCCGCCTTGTCCGAGAAGTAGAACCGTGCCATGTTGCGGAATGCCGAAAACCGAAGCACCGTCAAGGCTCCAGGCAAACAAGTCACGGCACCGCAACCAGACTCAACGGACCGTTCGAAAAGCTGTCCGTGGAGGTACTCCATGTCTTGCAACAGTGTGATCAACGAGTGCTTTTCTGTACGGCATGTAATGATGCCTGTCATGGCTAGCATGTTGTGTTTACTGCCTGGCCGAAGTTCCATATCGTACATGAAGTTTTGAATGCACACCGGATCCAGGATGCAGTCCGAGTCCATGAACAAAATGAACAGGTCGTCTTTCTGATGTAGATATCGCTTGTAGATCTTGTCGATTAGGAGAAAGGTGGCCTTCTGGCAGTGTCGCTTGCCGCCATGAGGAAATCTGGACACCGTGACTCTTGCACCATTGTAGCCTACGTCGATCGATTTGGGAAAGCTCTTCAACGTAATGGGCACACCGAGTCTCTCGATGGTCTTCAGGTACAGCTCGTCGATGTTGTCTCCATCGAAGGACACAAACGCGTGAATGCAAGCAGCTGGGTAGTCGCAAGTGACCACCGAGTTGAGTGCTGTCCACAACGTTTCTGGTGGCTCTTTGTACACGGGCATGACCACAACTATCTTCGGAGCGGTGCGTTCGTTGAGAATGTACTTGATCCGCTTTGTGCGTCCCAACGGTACAACGACCATGCGGTAAACGCAGAGTAGCCACGGGACAACAAGCATGGCCGCAAAGGAGTAGAATGCGAACTGCTGCAGAATATCAACGAACACCTTCGGGAGGTATTGAGTGAGCCGTCTGGGTAAAGGCAATGTTGTGATCATGACCGGCAAGAATATGCCCCTGGAGGTCGCTCGTCAGCGCGAGATCCTTGCAACGCTCCAAAAATCTTGCCTGAGGATAATGAACCACACGGAGAACCAGACCGCCAGCACCTTCTGCGTCCAGTGATCCGACTTCTTGAAGGCCTTGCCGAAACAATACAGGAAAGCCGCCACCCATAAGAATGACTCGAGAAAAGCCGCGACAACCACAGGTCCGACCAGGGCGGTGGAGATTATCTTGTCGCATCAGCATTTGCTTCGGATCGCAGGAAAGCAGGTACTCACATCAGGAGTAGACCAAGCTCCTGTCTGGTATGTTTTCTCGGCCTTCGCCATGATGACGGCGATGAGGATGTGCCCTGCAGGAGAATGGCTCGTAATCAACCGCGGTTCGAAGAAAACGAGTGACGGAAGTGCACACCCAAGGAAGGCAGTGACAAGCGTCAAACAATCTGGGAGGCTTGAAGAAGGCTTTGTCTGTCTCGTGTAGGAAGAAGAATGGTTGATGTAGATGGGATCAGTGAATGATAGCGGTGTGATGGCCCTCAAAACTGTGCAGTGAAGACTGTCACCAGGAAACAACAGAGCAGTGGACTTGAAAGCGTGGGGCCTAGACAGCAGGCAAGGCAATCCGTGGTAATGCAGTTGCGTCCCAGCTTCCTCCAGGACTCAAAGCCGCGAGATCGGGACTGTCCATGTTGTCGGTGAGGCAATTGGGCAGGTGCAACAGAGGCAGTCTGGTCCTGAATGAATGGCAGATGCATGAGTGGCAGCCTGCAGATCCCCGGCGCACAAACGGAGACAAGAAGGGCATTTCAAGGACTGGCCCATATCGCCATGACATGAAGTCCAGACATAGAACTCACTTGGGACTGTGGAAAAATGAGAAATCAACTCGCCATTGCCAGGCCATATGCTCCTCATGGCCAGACACTATGGTCCAATCGTGAACGCATCGATTCCCGGCCGTGTTTACATCCTCACAAAGACATACCTGCTCCAATTGCTCCGCTGACACATATCTACAAGTGAAAGTCGCCACTGACAGTGCTGTCGACGTCGGTCCATGCACTTGCAGGAGTGCGAATACCATCCCCGAGTTCGCTGAGGACGTCGTCTGAGCTGTCTTCCGCTTCGCTCGCATGAATGTTGCTTACACTTCCAGCAATGCTGGGTGTTAAAGAGGCCGATACTTGGTTGCCAGCGTGTCCATTGGCATTGCCGCCCTGAGGCAGAAAATGATGTGAGCTCTGCACCGAAAGCGGGGGCTGCGATTCGCGGTCTGACAGCGTATGCGTCGAGTTCGAGGCCGCGGCAGAAAAGTACTCAGACCGGTTCATGGGCTGATGTAGATACTCTGCCGAAGGGATGGAGAAGTCCGGGTCAGGAGCACCTTCTGTGGTCGGTGTGAGTTCGATCAAGCTCTCGGAGGCATGGCTGGGGGGTATCTCGATCCTCCTTTCAGATAAGGGAAGATTCCAAGCATCGCGCATTTCCTGCTCGTATCTTGATTCGAAGGCATCTCCTGGACGGGGGTCTAGCTGCCTCAGTGAGACATGCGGACTGGGCGGGGCGTCCACTGGACCCGATGGCCCAGGTCTTTGCCTTAAAGTGGTCGATGCTGGCAGATTATCGACTCCGGACGACTGGCCTTCAGCCTGCGATTCGACGTCTTGCAGTAGTAATCCGTTCTCGTCCACGATGTTATCAAAAGTCGGCGATTGTGGCTGGCTGTTCTCCTGCTCGGAAAGTTTCCTCCTCTTCCTTCTCTCCTCCAGGATCCTTCCCCGCTCCATGATTTCGGCGACGGCTTGTCGTCTCCGTTCCTCGGCCTGCTCACCCTTGTCCTCGCACATGGAGATATCAGTGGAAGTGCGCCGGAGTGGCGGACGGTTTCTGGGTCCGATCTCGTCGCCAAGGGAGTGTAAGCCCATGGCGATCTTGTGTCTCGTTCGGTCTATCCATGCTCGGACTTGAGGGTTCTCGTATGCGGCTATGCTCGCCGCCACCAAAACCGAAACAGTGATTATAATCCCTACCGGAGGAGGCATTGTATGTCAGTCCCAAGGTTCCAGAGCTCAAGCAACCACGAGCTTCTGCACGGCGCCCGTGGCATAGCACCACAAGGAATGATGATGTAAGGGGAAGAAGTGGTGGCGTTTCGGGTGCGTGTGAGGAGGCACGGAGCATTGCACGTACCTCTGGCGAGTGGAGCTGGCATCTTGGAAAGAGCACCGTGGAGATGGCACCTTTGCTGCCGAAATCTGACTTGAGGGAAGCAGTCTCCCAGAGTGCTGACAAGAGGAGACTGTGGTTAAGAATAGTCGGACTCTCTTCCAAGGCGTCAGCCTGGTGTTCCAGGACGGAAGGATCAGTTGAATCCGAGGCAGCCATGCAGCGGAGCGCAGGTAGATGGGCTCATGGGCCGTGAGGCTGCGCCACACGCGAAGTGGCGGTTTCTTCCCCGCACCAGGCTCAACGAGTCAGGCTCAGGCTCCGGCTCCGGCTCAACCTCGGAAGATCCTCCCTGCGCGTCCACTTTCGTCCATACGCGTCGCAATTGAAAAGGCCTCTTGCGTATCACCAGCAATAGCCCAGAATGTCACGAGCCAGCTCGACTGCTCCGTCGAGAGCACTGACGTTGACGGAAGAGTTGGAGAAGCTGGAACAGTCGATAACACTAACCCTGCAAGGTGAGAGCACATACCTATAAGGATGTACTTGACTGATTCTTGCAGAAATCGACCACAATTTCAGTCGAGCACATCGAATAGTCACATCTAGTATCCTACCCATTGTTGAGCAATATGCCACCCACTCCAAGGATGTGTGGGAGGCGTCGAGAGTATGGAGTCTACCGTTCACAACCAGACCATTTTTACTAATACCCGACACAGTTCTGGAAGCAATTCTTTGAATCCAGCGCCAATGTATCCTTATCCGGCTACGAGGAACAGGCGTCGCGCCTCGACACCACAGATGACGCCGATGTTACCGTCACAGAAGACTCTAATACAACAACACATACCACGTTGGAGACCTCGGAGTCATATGAAACCCCTTCGGCTCAGCACATCTCCACCGACTCAATCCAGGACCTTGACCTCTCCAACATGACCATATCTCCCTCCAAGAGCAGTACGCCACGACCTTACAGAACGCAAAAGGCACAGCAGCAGCAAGCCAGTTTCGCACACTATCCGTCGCCATACGAGGCATTGCGGGAGGAGGTGAACAATACCATGGCGGATAGTACATTGCACACCCGAGCCACCGAACCCGAGACACCTGGTGGGCAGCCTGTGTTCCATGTTGATACCATGGCAGCAACGCCGCAGTCTTCCCCCTTTCTACCTCCTCGGCCTACCTCAATTCCGAGACCATCCACTACCCGCAAAAAGACTGATCCTCTGCTTCACCGCGTTCTCGACCGTAACTACCGGGTTCAGGCTACACCCCTCACCAGCCAGCGCTATTCCAACCTTCAGCTCGGAACGGTAGCGACACCATCACAGACCAGCCGCGCCGGAAAGACAGGATTCAACGACTCAACCTTAGACTCCAGCCCCGAGGTGGCCCCACCAGAACTCAATCAGGAAATCTTCTCCTCTCCGGAACGCAAACGACCCATCCCTGGTGTCAGCGTCTTGACTCCCGCTCGAGCACGTTCAAAGGCCCAAACGTTGGGAGAAGCCACCCGCACCTTGGGCCCGTGGGATAGTGATGATGATGATCTTGACGATGACATACCTTTTGGTCAGAGTCCGCCCAAGACCATGCAGTTCCACATACCTCAGAATCGGCTGCTGAAAACTCCTGCAAAGGAAGCATCCAAACGCATTGTGGAAGACATTCTTACCAACGCAGGCATCGACTATGGCGAAGAAGAATTAGACTTCAGTCAAACACTGGAAACCGATGGTTCTGATATTGACCTTGGTGTAGAGCCGACCAGTCCTAGTGTAGTCCGCAGAGCTATGAACGTGGAGGACGAGACCTTTTGAGCCGAGACACCGCCATGGTGTCATGTGCGCATTTTCCGAAGACTCGGGGTAGTTTTGTTCGGCGGCTGAATGCCCGGTTGAGAAAATGCCACAGGCACCAATGGGCTCAGACAGGACTTGCGGCTTGACGCCCGGCTAAGCAGTTCCGATGCATGTGACCTGCTGGCAGTCCATGCACCGCATACAAAACCACCTTGCAGGTGCCGGTGCGAGTGGTCGAAGAACGACTGCGCCTCGCCGCCTCCTACGTCGACAGCCACCCAATTGCCTGGCACCACGCCAACCCCACACACCCTATCAAGGCTGGACGCAAGGCTGTTGACCTTGTGTAACCCTTCACTTCTGATTCCCTCGATATATTATGGATCATGGAGTCAGTCGCAGCGATGGATCTGCCGTTCAGTCGAACCTCGACTCCTTTTGGTTAGCAACATCGCCCTGCCTTGTCCTTGCCCAATCGTGGTATGATAAACTTATTCTTTTTCCAGTGCTAGAATACAACAGTTCAGTAGCCAAATCCTTCAGACATCGCTTGGGGAGCTAAGGAAGTCGACACTGTCACGTTGTCTCCAGAAGAACCAGTCTGGCCCCAAGTTGAACCACTGCCGGCATATTCAATGGCCTTTCCGGTCGACAGAGGCAAAAGGGCCTCAAAAAGCCGGTCACGGTCGCGAGTTGCTGCCAAACAACACAGCGCTTCGGAATGGAAGACAATGCAGGCGGTCATCACACACCTCTACTGTAAAGAGAAACTGAGCGTTGTGGACCTCATTCGCCACTTGCACTCGAAGGGGTTTGAAGTCAAGTACGTGAAACCTTCTTGTTAGTCTCTGCCTTTGGGATGAGACCTTGCACCAAAAGTACGCAGCGGCTCGATCCTGATGTTGAGCCGCACTCGCATGAGAAATCGTTTCTTCTTTCCGGTACATTTATATTGCAGCGTCTCCTCCTCCAGCCCAAGCATTCTTTCATCAAGCAAGCTTCCTTCCCAGCAGCTTCTCCGGCTCTGTTTCTTACCCGCTGTTGCTATAGTGAACGCATGCTACACACCCGCATCAAAAAGTGGAAGATTGGCCGCAATCACAAGTCCAACGAAATGCGGACTGCTGCCCAACTTCTGGCAGACCATGAAGACCGACAAGGGCCCGCGGTTTCTCAGTCGGGACATAGTACGGTCGATGTCAGCGGTAGCAAAATCGTCATGCCCAGCTTCAAGATCCGAGGGGATTCCGTCAGCTACAAAGAGTTCTTGCGGTACTTTCGGCGGAGGAAGATCAATGACCCTGTCACTTGGGTCCGAGAATACAAGGACGACAAGTTCGTCCTGAGCGATGATGTGGAACTCGTCACTGCGTCCAATCTCTCTTCAAAAGACTCAAGCTCATGCGACGAGGACCCGGTCGACGTATTTGGACCCCATCACATGGCTACATTTCCTTACCAACATCATGAGCAGCTACCGGGTACAGACCCGGCCAATCCCGCTGACATGTATCAATGGAGTTCGGATCACTGTTGGAACAGCGATGAAAACGTCCAACATCTATCAGACGGGTTTTACTCAGAACAATCTGTGCCTGTCGCCACGACGGCCTTGGTACACAACAACAGCAGCCTTTACCCTATCTCGGTGCCAATCTTCCTGAGGTCTCGTGCTTCCACCCTATCCGAGCACCTAGATTACAGCATAATGGGTTACATGAGCTGCTACCTAATCACATCTCATTTGGAAACCCAGCTGGAACCAGCCATCCACGCCCTCACTACCCATGCAATCTTTGCATCCAAGATGCAGGACGGCATCTCAGCGTTAGCGAACCTTGCGTTGACCGAATCATCCACCAAAGCCGTACCAAGAAGCAAGAAGCGAGATCCAGCGGCCACTAAAGCCCTAACGAGCTTTAGAAACGGCTTCCAGCTGCTTGAAGAGATCTTGATCAACCACAATCCCATGTCTCTAGCCTTGGTATTCGGTGTAATCTGCGAATTGGCAAGCCACACGACCAATCCCAGACTGCAAGTTATGGGTGTCCACGTTCTCCTGAGTCAGCTGCTTTCTTATATCCATGAAAGGTCGGGGGCTCTGCTGGGGCCAGAATACCCATTGACAACATTCTTCGGGCTTCTACTACAAGAATATCAACGCCCCAGTGCAAGCACTACTCCAGGATCACCACCCCTCGCCGATTCTATTCTTAAAAGCTTGGAAATGGCCATTATCCAAATGCAGCTGTCCTCGAGTCAGCTCCCTGGTGCGGCACCGGAAGAAGCAACATCGTCAGACTGGAGGGCTCTCTACCTCCGAGAACGTCTCTGCGATGCTCTTTACCACTCGGGGTCAAGCTTTGAAATCCCGCGCGCGAGCATGCGCAAATCACTGCTGCACGATCAGGAAGCCAAATACGGCCCAACCGCCAGGAATGTTCTCTGGACATTGACGAATGTCGCGGACGATTGTCTCGCAAGCGGTGACGTAGAGGCCGCGGTCGAACATTTCGAAGAAACTCTGAGGCGTGCAAAGACGTTGAGCGACGTCTATGGACGAGAAAAAACGAGCTTTGCGGCCCTAGAGGGCCTGGGCAGATGCTATGTTGTGAAAGCCGACCGAGTGCAGGTCGAGGAGGAGCGTGTCCCACGCCGGTGGCAGGGCCAAGACCAAGCACATGTGTTGCAGGACGCGCTGCAGTCGGCCTCGGGACAACCGCCTGCGTGTTGCTCATGCCAATGCCACGGTGGTCTGTCCTCATCATCAGCGACGTCGGCGTCGACAACCATGTCCTCGGGTACCACTATGGATTCGACAGCAACGTCGACGCCGACGCCGACGACAACCCTGCCGCGGTCAGCACGGTTGCAAGCACCAGCCGAGAGCGCCAAGACGCAACATCTCAAGTCCGCCCTCCATTACTTCTCGACCGCCGAGTCCAGGGCAAGGATGTACTTTGAGGCATCGAGCCGACGTATCGCCCGCGTCAGCCTGCGCAGACAAGAAGTCGTGGACATGCTCGGCCGCACGACGCCCCCTTCGACCGACTCGGACTCGGGTCCCAGCTCGGGGGATGCATCAGACGACGAGTTTCACTTTCACCATATAGCTACAAATACGAGTCTTCCAGAACAGGACGGCGGCGGCGGCGGCAGCAGCAGCAGCAGCGGTGGGGCCCACGGCCTCTATGGGTTCATGCTCAACCTTGGATATCACTTCGACGATACAGGTGGTACGGGCGTAGGCACAGGCAGCACTCCGGCCCCACCGGCCATGGCGAGCTGAAGGTGTGAACGACGAGGAATACAGGCGGGAACAGGAATATGAATACGTAGCGATACACCACACGAAAAGGTGTACAGGGCAGGGCAACCAGGTTCGGATTTCGGTCATGGGTATGCGTTCGTTAGCTTGGTAGGACGGTAGGACGGTAGGACGGTAGGTCTGTAGGACGGTCTGCGTCTGTACTGCACTGTACTGTAATCTATTGTACTGTCACCCAACTTGTGCTTTGTACCTAGTTCATGTCTATGTACCTCTATTCGCAGCCGCAGCCGCAGCCGCAGTCGCACTCATAGTACTCCGTCCTCGGTACCCTGTACTTTGTATGGGATAGAAATCCTCCTACCCTCCCTACCATACCGTGACGGTGCAGACAATGGTACCTGACTTCCAAGTTTACTATTCTCCTTTAATACGTACGTGAACCACAAGGAGTCTATAGATTTTGTTTACTCGCCTTTGCTTTCTGGGATCCCTTTTCCCAATCTACTGTACATTGACATCCAGGACGTAGGATCTATTCCGTTTTGGCGGTGTGCGCACACTCACTCACTCTCTCCGCGCGTCCTCCGCGTCCTCTCGCTGCACGGTACGAGTCAATGGACTACATACCAGGGTCGGGTTTCTGGTCCAGAGATACTCCATAAGAGCCGGTTTTCAGATACTCCATAAGAGCCGGTTTTCACAAGGTCGGTGCCTGCCCAGAGGAACATTACTGAAGCAGTGCCATCAAGAAAATCTCTCCAGAATCTTGTCATCACCATCATCTTCATTTCGTGATGACCTGCACGATGCCTAGATTCATGCTATTACAATGAATATTGCCCCTTGCGTGATAGTGAAGCCTTCCACTGCCCCGTCGGCAACGAGGCCACGGTGAACCTGATAGCATGCGATCCTTAGCATCTAATCAGGGACGTTTCCCAGACTTCCCGGTCCTCTAAATTTCTATCGTCTCGTCGACCGTGTGAATTGAAATGCATCAAGCAGAAGATGTCGCTCATTCCATAAACGCCCCAGCTCGCTTTTAGCCGGTCAATTGTCGCCATTCCCTGGAATCGGTTCGATAGTAAAACATGTCACTGAGAAGGGCAGAAATGTCGAGTTCGTATAATAATAGAGTGAAGAGTCGAAGTCGGATGACTATGCAAGGCCGACAGATGGTAGCCATTTACATGATGATCGATGGCACTAAAGTTTCGTTAGGAGATACACGGGCATAGAAATGCGTGGTCAGACTCACCCTCAACGTTGGCCTTGATGCTCTTGTGAGGCAGGACGCTTCCACCATTGACGTAGATTTCGTCACCTATTGACACATCGTCACCGAGGACAGTGACGTTTTCCAGACGAGCCCAGCGGCCGACAGATGATCTCCAGCCTAAAACTCCAGTTAATCTTTCAAGGCCCGATAGATTGACATTCCCTTCACTCACCAACAATGGTTGACTTGACCCAAGCATGGTCCTTGACCTTGCTGTCTTCCAACAGCACACATCTTTGCAACCGGACACCATCACCAATCACACAGCCAGGCCCGATGACCACATTAGGGCCAATGCGGCAGTTCTTGCCGATCTTGGCTGTCGGATCGACCATGACATTACCACCATAGACGTATGGTTCAGAAGCCGAGGCAAGCTTCTTGGGTTGGTTCTTCGCCAGCGAAGCCAGGTACAAGCAGGTGCCGCTCAGGAAGTCCTTGGGCTGCCCAACATCCATCCAGAAGCCTTCGAGATCGAAGGAGTGCAGTTCGCCGTCGCGGGTCATGGCAGGGAAAGTCTCTTGTTCGATTGAAGTGGGTCGGAGTTCGATTCTCTTGAGGATGGAGGGCTTGAAGATGTAGAGACCTGCGTTAATGCGGTTGCCGACGAACTCGACGGGTTTCTCGACGAAGCGGTCGATGCGGGAGGGATGGTTGGGTGTGTGGACAATGACACCATATTTACTGGGCTCCTCAACCTTTGTGACGACGATGGTGCCCTCGTTCCCGTGCTTTTCGTGGAAAGCAGCCAACTCCTTGAAGGGGTAGTTGCAGATGACGTCCGAGTTCAGCACAAAGAAGTTGGACTCGTCCTTGCCCAAGATCTTCTCCGCCAGCTTCAAGGGACCAGCGGTGCCCAGAGGCTCGGCCTCGACCGAGAACGAGATCTTGACGTCGTACATCTCCTCGTACTTTTTCAGGGCGCTGATCATGACATCTGGTCGGTAGTTTACGGCCAGGACAATGTCTGTGACACCCGCAGCAGCCAGCGCCTCGACTTGATGTTCGATCATGGGTCGGTTGGCAAACTCGACCAGAGGCTTGGGAAGGGTGAGGGTGAGAGGTCGCAGTCTGGTGCCGAAGCCACCGACGCTGTAACAGGAGAGTTAGTGGAAGAAAGGTGCAATGGGAAGGCGGCTTGTGCATACAGAATGAGGGCTGTAGACGACCAGTTAGCTTTGCCCAGGACATGTCAACGTGCCATGTGGCTTGACTGCTTGACTTACCCTTCATCTTGAATTAGAGTGAAAAGTGAGGGATAGGGTCGTCAACGAGTGGAAGTAGACAGCGGTGTAGAACGAATGGAATGTAGCTAAGAGACTACGGTCTGACGACGATGAGGCTCGGTGAGTTCAAGTTCAACTGGTTCAAAGAGCAAAAAGGGGAGGTCGACACAGCAGGCGAGCAGGGGAAAGTGACTGTTATATGAGGCTCGACTGAAAGTTGCGCAGCGTGTCACCCAATTCCGAATCGGCGGCGGCCACTGTGTTCGATACGGCTAAACAAGGGTCGCAAGGGGGCCCAGCTGAGCCCTCAACTGCCACCATTTTTTTCTTTCTGGAAGTCGCGCCGCGCGTGGTGAAGCCGAGCTTAATTTTATCGATAAGGCGACGTGAATTTCACGGGACCCTCAGCTAAACCTCCCTAGACCCTTTCGCTGCTTTCCCCTGAAGCCACCGTTACCACAGCTGCTTCGCCATGGTGCAATTTCGCGCAAAGGGATGAGAATTTCCCCCCCTTTCTAACGCCCATCACCCCATCAGTCTCCAGAGGGCAGACGGAGTGCAGAGCTCGCGCCGATTAACGTGCTTTTATCATTGGATATGCACATCTGTTGCCCTTCCGTATCTCGTCCTCCGCCCGTGATTAGATGCCAATGAGGCGTTCTTCTGGACTGCGTTCGAGACGCCACAGGGGACTGGAAAGCTTTTGTACAACGCTCACGAACGTTGAACTGTCGGTTCGGTGTCTGCTGCGGACACAACTACAACGAAGGTAGCAATCAGCATCGCGACAGCCAAAGTCCTCACCTGGTCAGCGTGACTGAACACTCAAGGGCAAACAACTCACGGCGTGGTCACAAGGCCATACCCCTCGTCACCCTTTGCGAGCCGAAGCACAGCCACAACTCTTCGTAACACACACCACGCATACTCATTCCCCGTCCTGCCACGCAGAGTTTTCTCGATGCGAACTCGGGTGCCAAAATTAGCCACGTCCTTCGAGAATCATGTCACCGTGTCTTCAACGTCAGTCTACGATTGCCAATGTTCCAGCCGCCGCTGACCATGCTCACTTGAAGTTCACTGTGTCAGGCCACCCACATCTTCAGCATGCGCGCCGTCCACGGGCGTCGATTGTTTGAACAGTACGCAGTATCCTCAATAGGCAAGTTCGATGAATTACTAGTATCCAGGGCTGTCGTGGCTCATGACTATACTACAATACAAGGTGCTGGTGCGCTGTGCTCCTTCTTTCCTCTGCGCCCGTCATTGTGGTGTTATTACATCCTCCAAAGCTCATATGCGGCCCGAGATCTTCTAGATCTGTCAGTGATCTGTCCGGCTTTTCGAAACCTCTGGGCAGTCTCATCCATCACTAGCCCTTCTCCTTTGCACGCCCAATGAGCAATCCCTCAGCCCGTCTATTGGGTGTCTTCGGGCAAAAATCCATAACCCCCATAGCCTCCCTTGTTCCTCTTCCCTTTCCTCCCTGCCATTACTGGCGCTAACCCATCCCTCTCTCCGACAAATTCATTCAACCAATCCCGGACCTTCTTCACCTTGACGACCTGGGGATCTTTCCCCACACTTGCAGTCCGTAGATTGCTCACGCTGTAGATCCCACTCAGGTCGTCGTCGTCGACTTTCTTGCGGAACAGCAGATCAATCTTGGTGACATCGCCTTTCAACGACTGTCCGTGGACTTTACCCCGGAAGGAGGATAGAGCGACGTTCTGAAGCAACACCACGTCGCGTGGTCGCATAAACTTGAGATTGCGACGGAGCACAGAGCGGATGCCCTCTGGGTTGGGGTTCCCGCCGTCTTTCCAGTTCACCCGCATTTCTCGCGGCAGCCACATTGACACCGTGAAGTTGGATTTCGTGTCGTCGCCGACAATCATTTCCACCAGGTCGACCTCGCGCGGTTTGCCGTACTTGGCGCCCGTGATGACGGTCCGGGGTGGTGCGATTGAGATGATCCCGACAATGAGATTCACAGTCATGGTCTGCGGTGAGATGCTTTCGAGGTGATGCGCGTTGGGGATGTCCCGCAGTTCTGAGAGCGTCTTGGGTCGTGGTGCTTGGCTTAATCTCCGCTGCGAGGGTGTCCGGATGATTCCGCCGGGAGTGCCAGCCGCTGTTCCCTGTGAGGCCGAGAACATGTCGTCACTGGACTCGAATATCGGTGTCCCAGGCGTCATCGAGTCGGAGAAATGCGAGAGCTGGGAGGACGGGATGGCTTCGTAGATGGAGAACGAATGGTCGTAGTACTCGGATATGGGTCCTCCCTCGGACGTGTTGAACGCGCTGGTCCCGGACGAAGTTGTGTCTGGAATGGAGGATGAACCCTCCGACAGTGAGGGCCTCGATTGAGGCTCGCTGATGTCGCTGCCGGGCGTTGAAGCACCGAGCAGTTCCGAGAGAGAGAAGAACTCAGCAGGCCCCTTGTCAACATGCTCCAAGTCGCCGTCTTGCTGCATTGTCAGGGCGCCGCCCGCCAAGGGGCGCGGCTCAATGTTGAGCTTTGGCAGAATCGGTCGCATCTGCAGTCTCTGCGTCGTGATCTGGCGCCATTGGGCGCCGAACGCTTTGGATGATGGCGATTTCGGCGATATCGAGGAGTCGGTATTAATGTTCTCTTTGTTTGGAAGTGATTCGACGTGTGAAGCGTCGGGCAGCAACGACTTCTCGCTCCAATCGAGCTTCGCCGGCTCTGGGGCGCCCGCCAGGATGATCATCCGGCTTGTCATGTAAGTGATCGCGATCGAGTGTCGTAGAAGGCTGTCGAACTAGACGCGCCGGCTTGCTCAGGGAAAAGTGAATAAACCTCTGCCGCCCGCGATCGATAAAGTTTCCCCAACAACCAACTCTGTCTGACTCAGCCTTCAATAGCGCAACGTGTCTTCCAGGAGCGGGATTCAAGCCCAGCGCACAGGTTCGGCCACCTTGGACCGTGCAGACCGAATGAAGCTTCACGAACCTTCCCCCACAAAAGCTCGTAAGACAAGTCCAAGTCACAAGAGATCGGAAAATTGATGGACTGTGGAGGCGGATGTGGCGGATAGGCGCAGGAATTTGTACTTTTTCCCTTGTCCTGCCTGCCTTGGAAATTTGACACCCACGTCGCGTCAGGCGGCTGCAAATTGCGCCGGCGCTGAAGCTAAAAGCTTGGGTCAAGACTGGTCCACGATCTCACTGCCCTCTCCTCCGGTCGCGATATTACGCCCCCGTACAAGGCAAAACTCCAGACTTGACTGGATCGTGGAGTGACGGGTGACGAGTGACGCCTGGTGGGGAGATGGCGGCAGGCCGGCTCAAGAATAAGGATGGGTGAATTAGTCGACCACACTGTCTATCAACTGTGGCGCGTGACTTGGGACGAACGAACAGCGGCCAACGAACTCCCGGAGGAACAAATCAGCGAGCGTGCGGGAGAAAGAGTCGGTGACGAAGCTGGAAGTCCTGAGGCTATGTACTGCATTGCTCGATCATTGAGACCCTTTGCGTCGTGCCTCGCGCGCCTTGATTGGCCCGTGGGCAAAAATGCATCAAGTTTGGTTGGGACGGTAAGTGAGATCTCCCAACAAACTTGACGCACGTCTGCATGGGAGATGGAGAAGCCCTTTCCCCAGGAAATTCCAGATGACCGGCGGCTCGGTGGCACAGTTGGGTGGTGGATGGGCCTGAAGAGCCGCTATCCGCACGCTTGGGGCAGCCTAGACGCTCTCTGGGAAGGGGCCCGCCATGCCGCTGATCCAGTTAGAGGTGAGCCGAGGCAGTCTGGTTTCCTTAACTAACTACTTCGGCCTCTTCCATACGAGATACGCTGCAACTGTACGAGCGCAGGGTCCAGGCACCAGTGAAAGGATGCCTACCGGGGTGGTCGACTGACCCGCTGAGTTACCGTCTTGGACCGGTATCTTCGACTGGCACATCCTGCAGCAGCCTGATCTCACTATTGTTTATTGCTCTGCCTGTCTCTACAAAACCCAGCGATCGCTGCTTTCGTAAAACTCCAGGCCAGAGCCAAACCGTCTGCCGAGACTTCTCTTGGAGATCGGCACCCCGTTTGTGATGTTGCCGGGTGCAACAGCAGGATACTTTCCGTTGCAGCTGTAATCGTATTCTGCCTGGTCGAGCAGGCCACCCCAGATCTGCAGGATCGTGGAAAGCTCGCACCACCCATCGTCCCGTTCTTCGCATTGTGGATAGGATTTATAAAGCGGAACAGTGCGTTGGGAGATGGTGAGGTGGATATAGGTTGTTGCGGTGCCGTTGGTGTAATAGTCTGAAGCGGTGGCGTTGGAGCTGGTTGGACGGATCGCCTTGAGCGGTTGAGGAGTGTGGATTATCTCCCAGACCTGGTATATCAATTAGGATAGGTGTTCCTAGACTGCAGTGGGACACTTGCCATGCGAGCACCGAAGGGTGTGGTGTGCGACACAATCAACTGCTGGTTCGCGGGCGGCCCAGTCGGGCCCAGTGGCTGAGCAAACTGCTTTAGGCCAAAAGCTGTGATGATTGACATTATGTTCGTATCATGGGAGAAGTCGAAGTACAACGTTTGATTCAGTGGGAAGGTCGCGGTACTTGCTACCATTGTCGTATTGATTTGGGTCGTCCCCGGTGGCACGTTAGGCAGATGGCCTTGCAAGCGTGCGTACAACTCCTCAACGTAGCCAATACCGACAGCCCGTCCAGTCGGCGAGCCGAAGCCGTTGTTGCCGTTGAACTGTAGGTCGATGCTGTACTCGAAGCCTTGCCATTCCTCATATGTGAATAGGTCACACCATTGAGAATATCCCTACAGGACAAGCCCGTTAGTACCGACCGGCGCAGTTGGAACGAGTGACAAAACTCACAAACGCGACGTGCTCGTATGGACAGAGCGTTTGCGCGTTGTAGCTATCCGCCACTGTCCAGTTGTAGCCACCAGCTAGAGCCTTGAGTCTCTTTGTGGCGTCAGCAAGGTAGATGTTCTCCCAGATGACCGATGCGTTGTTGCCACCAGTAGAGAGATAATTGTTGCTGTTGTTGCAGTTCATGTAGCCCGCAAGGGTGATGTTGAAAAGGTTCTGCTCAATGATGGGCACCAAGCTGGCATTCTGGGTCCATTCGAGGCCGAAGAAACCCGCCATGAAGTACTCGGCCGACTTCAGCATTCGGTCCTGGGTAGTCGTTCTGGCAATGATCTTGGTGGATGTGTTGTAAAGCGCGCCTATCAGTCGTTAGAATTGGCCAGGTCGCACCTGGGGTTCTCATACCATAGTCGTAATAGAACAAGACGCCGGCATCGAACAGCTCCTGCCGGCCGCGGGCGACCAGGATCTCAGCGCCAAGGTTGTACTTCCAGCTGTTCAAGAAGCTGAGATCCCCTGTCCACTTCGCCGTTCCATTAGCTGTGATGTTCTGAATCTTGCTTCCGAAGCTCGCAACTGATGATGTTCCAGTCGGGTAACGGGATCCGTGCCGGTGCAATACATGGACTGTCGAGATGTTTGCCCCCGGCGGTAAGGGATACTCGTTCGAGCCAAAACCAATAGGGTTGGGAAAGTACGAGCTTAGTTGGCCGTGTAACTGGAAGATGCTCTGGTTGTTGGTGTTTCCCTGGATGGGGACATTGGTCTCCAGAGGCGCATTGGGGACATATGATGCCCCTGCACCCCACGGCGCAGGATTCGTCTGAGCAAGAAAGGGCGCAATCAATCCGGTCGTTGTAGGACCAGCGAAGAGTTCAGGAGTGGTTTGGTAGTACCATGGCTCTGTAGCAGAAGCTGTGGTCTCGCCAGAGGCAGTGGTTGCCTGTCTCGGGTCTAGAACAGCAGCACTGGCCAACCCGCTGGAGAGGACGAGCAATTTGGAGCTCACCATGATGCCGGAGACGTAGAATCAGTCACAGCGCGGTCACAGCACGGGTCGTCTGAGCTCCTTGAGGATGCAGCTTTGGGTGGGACTGCGTCCAGTATTTGTAGCCGCGCATCTTTTCTGTTCCAGCTCACTATCCTCTGAGAAAAGTTGCCTACAGTGGTAAGAGCGATGGATTCCCCATGACGATGCCCGCTGCGCGTGCATGAGGGCGATTCATCCCTCGCGCAACTCGATGCACAAGATCAGACAAATCGGAAGCAGGAAAGCTGGGGTATGACCTGTCCGGCTGGACATCTCAAGCTCGAGTGGCCCGGGCGTTGCTAGACAAAGGCACCGGCTTAACTCAACAGGCAGCTCGAAGCTGAAGATCCTGGGCAGTCGTCATGGTGGGATGCAAGCTCCCACGCTCCCAAGCTTGTCAAGCTCGTCAAGCTTCCAAAACCGTCTGGCGCTGCGTAAGCTTGGTGCTGCTTGTTTCTGGCAGGACGCGGATGAGATGCAGGAACAGCGCCGCAGTGGCATCATGAGTCGGACAACGTGACGGCGACATCGAGATCAATTGGTGGCAATGGAAACGCCGTTGGCGGCCGCATTGCTCGATGGCTTCTCAATTCGGGCATCGAGGCGCTTGGCGCGAGCGTGCGGCGATCCTTCGCGATGCGCGTCGGTGTGGCTGCCAAAGCTGCCCCGCTGCGTCCATGTCACAGTGCGTGCACAGCAAGCATAAGGTATTTACCCGAGGTACGGAGTACTAGGTAGGGTGTGTGATAGTAAACTCCGTATAATTACGGACGTGGTCACAAGCGGGTGACAAGCACCTTTGCAACCACTTCCATACCGTGTTCCCAGTCCGCAGCTGGATTATCCACTTCTATGCAGGGGTGATAACGTCTTCACAAAGTCAGCTCACTCGTGCCCTGCTTTATGCTGATCATCTCTGAATGCTTTTCTGTGCCTTCTATCAACCCGTTCGCGATCGTCGCCAGACTCCATGCTTGAATAACTGAAATCACTAGGCCCAAACCCCGTCCGGGGCTCTCTAGCGGGTCATGGGAATATGATGACCATGCTGGCTACATCTGGAAATAGCTCAGTCCTCGAATTTGAAGCTTTTGCCACCGCTAATGTCAATCGCTCCTCCGCGATAGCTGCCACGCTTCTTCTTGTTCTTCTCCTTTGTGAACCCCTTGCCTCGGGTCACGGACAAGTCATTGTATGCTCGATCAGCATATTCGTAGCTCTTGTAGGCGTTGGAGATATGGTCAGATGCAGTCGACTGGGCAGAGAGCTGTGCTAATGGAGTTGGTCTGGCGCCAACATGCGTCTTCCTTGCCACGCTCTGCTTCCCGCCCCTGCCGTGTGCTAGGTGAGAATCTTCCTCTGATCGCTCAACAACATCTCCCATAACAGTGTTCGACGAGGAATCTGACGGAGCTACAGCGGCTGGCGCCGACTTTTTCGCGAGATTCTGGAGCTGAGTGGGGGTGTCGTCCTCATTGTCATCCGGCTCCTCTTCAGCCGATGATGTGTCTGCAGTACTTGACGTCTCCTCCTCGGAACTGGCAGAAGAACCTCCAGAATCGCTGGAGGACCTTTCGTCGCCGTTGGCTACCTTCGTCCTCTTAGCTGATCGGTCAACCGAGGAGGAGGACTCTGAGTCTGAAGAGCTGGATGCTGCCTTTCGCTTCAGACTGCGGACAGGTTCAATCTTCTGAATGACAGCCGGGGAATTCTTGCGCGCAGGCTTGACTTTTCGACCATCTTCGTTCTCATCATCAGCATCGCTATCCGAGGAAGAGGAGGACGACGAAGGTGACGCTTCTCGCTTCTTGGGTTTTGCTCTCCTCACTTTTGAGGGCTTCGTCTTGGTGGCTTCTTCTCTAGATTCTGAGTCGGTCTCGGACTCGGATGTACTCTCGCTGCTGGAGCTCTGATCGCTAGCGTCGCTACTAGAGTCCGACTCTGATTCAGAGGAGGAAGCGTCGCTTTCCTCCGGGGTATCGTCGTCAGATGTAGATCCTTGCGTTTCTTGCTCTTTCCAGCTCTTGACGATATCCTCTAAACTGAAGCCAGATTCGAGAGCTTCTAGGTCAGCTGTATGATTCTTTCGCTTCAGCTCTTTTCTCAAGGCTTTATATGTGGACTCGAAGCCATGTTCATTGAGGAAGGCAGCCACCAACGAGAGGACTTGCGACGACGGCTCCAGCGTGGCTTGTGGGCCTTCTGTCTTCGACACCATCCTGAAGAAATCTAGCCGACGCCTTCGGAGCGCGGCAGTCGGAAAGCAGACTTGGGTGAGGGAGGGCAGTCCCAAACCTGAGCGTGCTGCCCTATCGAACACTTGAGAAAATAATTTTTTATCTCCAACGAAAGTTGCTCCTTGATGAGGAAATTGAGGCGAAGCTGAGGGGAGACCTTCGGCGCAACATAACTCATACTGCGCACTTTGCACGGAGAATCAACCATACTTCAGCGACGTTCCGCTCCACTCTCTCTCGTATCTTTCAACTTCTCATACGGAGTCGTGATTCCTGAATTGGGTCACTCTGAGGAGCCTCCTAGCCAGCAACATGGGCACCATGGCATCCATTTTCGAATCTTACCCTTCTGCGGAATCCTGTCGCCCAAGCATAGAGCAGAAGAGATGGACATGGTGCAATGACTTCTACTTCGCGACCCAAGATCATGAGAAGCGAGTCATCAATTAAGCGAAGGCGAAGCGAGGCGGAGCGAAGAGGCAGGACTGGCATAGCCAAGTCCGATCTAGACCTTCAAGGTATTTCTTGGTATTCTGTTTAGGCATCACGCATCATGGAGCGGCCACAGGGACGAATCTCTCAGTCAATCAGGCTGGAGCAGTCGCCGTTGGTCTCCCTCCCCACTGGAGATTTCATACCGGCGACACTGAAGCCAAGGCTTCAGCTGCATTTCACTGCCTGCCTTGGCACTCTTCGACCATGGCTTCACCCATTCTCAGCCTGATCATAACACTCAAACGCAGAGATTGTCAAAGAAAACTCCGACCAGACACGCAGAGAGGATGAGCATCATGAATACGGCTTGAATTCATCATCAGCTCGACAAAAAGCTTCCCAAACAGCTCACATAGGGTCGCGGCTTTCTCCCAATTTGGGCCACTTCGCTAAAATCGGGCGTCTGAGCCTCGTGTTGCTGCAGCTGCTAGCTGTCTTGTCGGAGCTAATTTTCCATGGCGCCGCAAGCCTCGAGGCCGAGGTATAGGCGTTCTGCTTCGACACGGATCTTCTCTCTCTGTGGTTGTCCCGCTCACGTCGAAAGGTCAAGCTAAGTCAGCCCTTGGGTTCTCCGGCAGGCTCGAGGACACCTGCGGGGCTGAGTGAGAATCCAAACGTGCAGCACCCAGCCAGCGGCCGTCGTCGGGCCCTTTTAAAAGATGGGGGAGTCTCTCTACTTGGATGTTTCAGCCTCATTCTCTTGCATCACCTGGTTTTCGATCAATACTGGCCTATCTAACCCTCTACTGAAAGTGCCCTCCAAGAGCCGCCAAGTGGCGGGCAAGGACACTCACTGTCATCTCGTCTTCCAAAACACCTGGCATCCAAACAGTCAACATGACCACAGCTACCTGTCCAGATCTGCCCCCACCGCTCTATCTTCCCATAACTTACCACCAGGTTGGAGTCGGGTCAGTCGCACCAGCATGGGGTGTCAGGTTTGAACTTGGCGACCCAGCTCAGGTGGTTTCTCTGATGCCTCGCATGTCGGATCTAACTCTCGTTGCCAATGTTGATGATTGTGCTTCTTCGACTGATTACGACTGCCTGGCTTATGTAGGAGGCACCTACGACCCGACCTTTTCAAGAACCGAGGCTACGCAGACCGAGGCAGACTGGAATGGAACCTTGCAGGGGGCGGACTCGTCGGATTTTATTTTATACAATGATATCCTCACAGTTGGCTCGAACGGCACAACTGTCCCGGGCTTTCCATTCGCAACCGACAACGAAGAAAATTGGGGTGAGTCAGACTCCCAAACACCTTCTCTATTCTTGCAAGCTTATTGTAAACAGCCTACAACATTTCAGGCGGCTCACTGGGCCTCGGCCTGAACTCGACCTTCCTGCAAGCCGTGGTCAGAAGTGGTGCTGCACCATCCACATCCTACGGCATGTGGGTTGGGACGCGTCTAAACGACGAGGACCCCAGGGGCGGCCTGCTCATGGTCGGTGGCTATGATGCCGCCCGCGCCAACGAATTCCACACCTTTGACAGCCGAGACACATGCACTACGTGCATCATTCTGCAAGAGCTGACCTGGGAGTCTGAAGCTGGGTCAATTTCTCTGCTGGACGAGGAGACCACCGAATTTCAAGTCTCCCTTGAACCGTCGTGGGAGTCACTTCGTGTCCCACCGTCGGTCTTCGACGCATTCGGGAACGCCACGGGCGGCGACTACGATACAGGCCGCCACCTTTGGACATATCCAGCATCTTCCCTCCCTTCCGGCAGTCTCCGCTTCACCATCAAGAATGGCTATAGTTCCTCGATTCCAGCAGAGGAACTCTTCTTCTACCCCCGTCAATACGACACTGACGGGAGCTTGGTCGTCGCCAACGAGACTTACAAAATTGGATTCGTTGAGAAATACGAGAACAATGACGACAGCGGCAAGTACCTAGCCCAGTGGGGCACCCCGTTCCTGACCATGAACTATCTCATTGTCGATGTCGAGCAAAAACAGTTTCGTCTCTCGGAAGCAACCCGTCAAGACTGGGGCAACGCAGGCGGCGTCTTTCCCAAGACATTATGTCCCATCACGACAGATACCCCGGACAACTCGGGCTCGGACTCGGGCACGGGCACGGGCACAGGCACAGGCACAGGCACAACAACCACCGAAGATCCCGATCCAGAGCCCAAGATCAACGTCGGCGCCCTCGTTGGTGAAATCGTCGGCTCAGTCGGGGGTGTAGCTATAATTGCTCTTGCAATTTTCTTCTGCTGGCGCCGCCGTCGCCGCAACAGGAGACGCCGTGAACAAGCTTCTGACAACAACCCAGTCGAGACCCACCCCCAGACATATCAGCCTGTCGCTCCGATGGGCCAACAGCACTCCTCCCCAACATGGACGTACGGTTATCCCCACCAACCACCTCACGGCAGCTATACAGACCAACCGCCCCCTCCGGGAGCGTACCCCGTCATGAGGCAGCACGAATACCCTAAATTCGACCAGACGGTCTACCAGCCCTACACGCCACCTCGACCGCCTCAAGAATTGCCATCCCCCGAACCTACCCCTGCCGAGTGGAGAGACAGCGAGGTCAGCGGTGATACGAGTGCCGCGGTAAGTGACCCCAGTCTCGCACAAGACTGATTCCTTGTATCTGTTTTACCTATCTAGCCGTCTGCCCGTCCGTCTGCCTGTTGCTCTCTGCGGCCCTCTATCGCACAATTCTCCCCTTTTCTCCTTTCCAGCACTTGTCTCCTATACCATACGCACCCAATTACCGCGCTAACGCACGAAACAGAGGGGTCCCTCGACGACGCACAGCTCCGGCACGACCTATATCCCGCCGAGAGAGTTGAACGCTACCCCCTGATCATCGTGTTGTTGTATGTTGTATGTTTGTATCTTTGTATGGACGTCAATATACCACACACACCACGCACCACACAAATACCGGTATAATATTATATAGCAGTGGCCTCGAGGGCTTTACTTGGCTTTTAGGGCAGTCTTCTGGATGGATGGGGGCCTCAAATGTAATTTTCTGTCCGTTCGGGGTACGTCGGACGTAGGACGTAGGAGGTGCACGGTACATAGGCTCTCTCTCTCTCACACACACACACACACACACACACTCTCTCTCTCTCTCTCTCTCTTTCTTGCGGTAGTCACTGCCACATATACTAGTGTCGGCGGGGGGTGTGTTCAAAGACCTGGCGCGACAGAAGATTGACGATGAGGTTGTGCAATGAATTCTGCTCCTCATTTGGACTTGGCCAAGAATGTGCAGCATCGATGTGTAAGAGACCGCCGCTTGCATTGCTACGCTACGCTACAGTGACTCGCGAATCTCTCCAACCCAGGTTACCCTGACACGGTGGCCGACCCATCACGCTTTATACAAAGTATCAAGGTAGGCGACGACGAGTTTCTCGACGATGCTCTTGTCCGGCAGACTGCCCGCGACGCCGTACAGCTGCGCGCTGTTACCCTTTTTGCGGGTCTCCTTGACGGTGGTACCCCCGACGACGCCACTCCCCGTGACTTCCTGGCTCAAGATCTTCTCCTTCTCGTCCTTGACCACGGCGACGAGATCGTCGATTAGGCCGTCCACGGCGCCGGGCCGCGTCATGGGCAGCGTCACCGCGACGTGCACGCCCGGCGGATCCTGCAGGGAATTGAGATGCCAGCCCTTGCGACTCATGCCGTCGGCCACGTCGTAGATGCTGACCTCCGGGTCGAGGCTCTCGAACGCCACGACGCTGACCATCGGCTGGCCCAGGATGCGCAGCGCGGATTTCAACACGGGGTGTTCCTTGACGGCGTTCTCGATCGTCAGCTTGGCGCTCACAATCTTGTGCGTCGCGTCGATGTACCCCTTCTCGCCCACGGCCATCATGCTCGCCCAGCAGCCGGCGATCAGCGCGCCGGGCCGGGACCCCGCGATCGACGGCGACCCGTACACGCCGCCGCTCCACCCCGGGGCGACGAAGTACTGGTACTCGCGGAGCTGGCGGTCGCGGTACAGGATGCACGAGTTCCCCTTGGGCGCGAAGCCGTACTTGTGCGTGTCGACGCTGATGCTCGTGACCCCCGCAAGGCGGAAATCAAAGCCTCCTTCGTCGGCGAAGGGCGAGGGAAACCCGGCCTTGGCGAGACACGGCATCAGGAACGAGCCGAGACAGCAGTCTACGTGCAGCGGGATTTTATACGCCAGGGCGACTTTGGCGAGCGAGGGGATCGGGTCGACGATCCCGTGCGGGTAGTTGGGCGCCGAGCCGACGAGGAGGACGGTATTGGGGTTGATGAGGCGGCGGACGCGCGAGACGTCGACTTCGTAGGACGGCGCCGGGCACTGCACCACGTGCAGCTTGATCTTAAAGTAGGACGCTGCCTTGTGAAAGGCGGCGTGCGCAGTGTGCGGGATGATCATCTCGGGTTCGGTGATGCCCCTCTCGACGTAGCCCTTCTGGCGTGCTGAGAGGCAGGCCATCAAGATTGACTCCGTCCCGCCCGAGGTGGTGACGCCGGCGCCTGTGTCCGGAGCGTTGAATAGTGCAAGGACCATGGCCACGACCTCGGCTTCCATTTTGCGGACCGCAGGGAAGACGTCGGCGTGGATGGGATTGGCCACGCTGAACAGTTTCATCGCCTCGCTCTGGATGTCCAGCAGCGACGACTCGCCGTGGTAGACCGCCCCCGAGACTTTGCCCTCCTCCCACCGCGTGCGTTTCATCGCCGACAGCGTCTCCAGCTCGGCGCTGAGCTGCTCTTTCGTCCATGGCTCCTTGGGCAGGTGGAGGTACCTGTTCACGCCCGGGTCGGCCGGGACTAGTTTGTTCTCCAGGTCGGTGCGCGCCGAGGCCAGTTGCTGCGCGACTTTGGAACGCACGCCGGGGAGGTTGAGGAACATGCGGTACAGGTTCTTGTGCGTCGAGTGGTAGAGGAGGGCGAGAGAGCCGAGGATGCCATGGCCGCGGAGGAAATAGAAAGACCGGCGGAAGAGGCGGAGGAGGAAGAGCGCGAAGATGATATTGCGGAGGCTGATGTGTCTCTCGGTAAGTGGCCCAGAGGTGTGTGAGGGCGTGAATTAGACCTACATGTTCAAGTTTGTGTGAAAGTCGCCCAGGCGAGACAGAGGCCCGGCTCGAGCTCGCTGGAACTTGCTCTGCAAGCTGAGGGGGAGAGGAGAGGAGCCACCCATGATGATGGTCCGAGGCTCAGAGGTCATCGACGTCGAGACATGGAGGACAACGATTGACGTGTCTCAGAGGTGAGGGTGGTGATGGTGGTGATGGTGGTGATGGTGGTGACGGCAGCTCCCTCGATTTTCATATGCTCCCATTGTTCGCCTTCTCCGCATGTTGACGTGGTTCGTCACATGTTCATGATGCCCGTATCGCCCTCCGTACTCCGTATTTCGTTCTGCTAGTTACCTAGGTAAGGCTGTTCCTCGTACTGAGTATGTTCAAGCCTCTTCCCAATGCACCATGCTACGCTTCAAGGCTTGGGCCTCCGTAATCATGATCAATGGAGAAATCGGGTTGCAACGGCTGTGTCGCCGATTGTTTACACTCGTCTATCGACCTTTTCGACAACCTCCGGTCTTGCTTTTTTGGCCCAGATCGAGCACCAGCTGACGTCTAGCTCTTGCTATGTACAGAATCAGCCGCGAAAACCACGCCAGATTGTCCGTCGTCCTGGGATATCTCAGGCCGTTGCAAATCACAAAAACACCAAGGAAATGCATGTCAGCGGATGCGGCCTTTATGCGGTGATGCCGTTCGTCTTGGCCTTCTTGACCACCTGTTCCGTGGCCACCTCTTCCTCAACCGTCTCCTCCAGCCGTCTCTTCTCCGGTACCGACTGGTCTTCTTGCTGCTTCTCTGCTAGCAGCTTCTTTTCCTTCTCTGTCATGTTCGGCAGCTCGACCTCCTGCCCAGGGTTTTGCTTGCCCAGTTTGACATTGCGATGGTATGCGTGGATGATCGAGTCAGCATCATCGATCGCAATAGGTCTGATATCCGCAAGCCTCTTGATTGCCGCCGTGACTTCCTTGTATTGTGCATCAGTCATGTCGATCTGGAGTTGTTGTGCTCTTGACTTGATAGCGTTCCATCCCGTCAGACGAGAAGCAAAGTGGATATACCGGCCGATACCAAAGTCCGAGGGGTCAATGATTTCGTATGTGCTTGGGTTGGCCAAAATTGCTTTGGCATGGATGCCAGCCTTGTGGGTGAAAGCACAGAACCCGGTGATAGGGTTGTTGAAGGGAATGTTGACAGCAACGGCCTCGGCCACCAGCTCTTCAATATCCTTGATCTTCTCCAGCTTGTACTTGCTCTTGACGTAGTCACGATCAGCCGTGATCATTCGAGCCATCAGCCCACCCAGCGTGGTGATACCGTTGCGCTCACCGATACCGAGGACCGAAGTATCGATATGTGTAGCACCAGCTTCAAGGGCGCAGTATGCGTTTGCAATAGCACAGCCAGTGTCGTTGTGGAAATGGGTTTCGATGTCGCAACTGACAACACCTCGAAGAGTTCGGACAAGATCGTAGACTTGTCTTGGGGAAGCACATCCGACCGTGTCTGCGATGCCTACTCGGTTCACGCCAACCTTGTCGACGGCCTGGTAGAGAGATAAGAGGTCGACCAAGTCCGATCGGAATGAGTCCTCGCTGGAAAATCGGATCTCGATGCCCTTGGACTTGACAAAGTTGATGACTTCGATTGCCGTGTTCTTGATGTAGGTCATATCCTTGCCGTGGGAATGCTCCCTGAGAAAAGACGATGTGCCAATGACCACATCGACACCATCGACACCAGTCTCGACTGCTATCCGCGCATCGTCCATGTGACATCTGATGTGCGTCAGGATCTTGGACTTCAAGCCAAGCTTGCAGATAGCTTCGCAGTCTCTGCGGGATTGCTCGGAGGCGGCAGGACTGGTGAGCTCGATGTAGTCGGCGCCAAACTCGTCCAGCGCTTTTGCGATCTCGATCTTCTTGGCGGTGTCAAAGTAGGCATTTGCAAATCTGTGAGCGGCAGTCAGCACCAGCACCGTGTTTCGCTGTTGCGTGCTATCTGAACGTACTGTTCGCCTTCTCTTAACGTGCTTTCAATGATCTTGAATCTGCTGACATTGCTCAGGAAGTCGCCCACGGGCATGTACGGATTTCTCGCATTTCGAGGTTGAGATGTGGAGGTATTGATGCCAGTGTAGCCGGGATGGCCTGTAATCGATGAGTACGGCATAAATCTGTGCGGGAAGGCCGTAACATACTGCCTGGGGCATGTGTTCCATTGGTATGGCCGTTGGTACCATTGGCCTGCCCATTGATGCCGTTCGTCTCAACCTCTTCGGCCGAAGGACACATCTTGGATGGCGTGGATAGGGTGCGAAGGAGAGGACAGGTGAGCTTGAGATGAAGAACAGCCAAGGTCAAATACACTGGGGAAGCGGGAGAGGGAGAGGGAGAGGGTGAGTCGTTACTGAGCGGTGAGGTTGGAGTAAAACGCTGGGCTGGAGAAAAATAGTTCGCACGGAATGAGTCAAAATGCAGCGTCGGTGATTTGACGGCGCTCGCAGGGGAGATGATGCACTCTGCAGTCTTGCAGCGGTGGAAAAAGTGGGAGCAAATGCTGGAGGGGAAAATCTCGACGTTTGCGGGGATGCGCTGCTCTCCGGTCTCGGTGCGCCGAGCTCAAATTTTTCTCAGCAGCTTTTCATTCATCCCATTGCACATCGTTTTCCCGGCGTGGCTGCAACAACAGGTGGATTTCGATTTGTGTCTGACGCAGCTTCTAGGCCATGCAATCTATTTACATTCATGCCTGCTTCCAGTCACTAGACACCTGGTTCCATGCCCACCACGCGAGCTCTTTGGAGGAACGACGTCACCGACTGTCCTCGGAGTGTCACGTGCACAACGTTCAAAGCCAAGCCTAGGGATATCATCCAATCAAGACCCAGGAGCTCAGCGTCTCTCGCGTGGCTGCCGCGTATGAGTACCTATGTAACTTTCACCTATCTTTCACCTTTCCTTCTCCAACGAAACTTTGGTCACTCATGCCATGACCCCGTAACTCACAACGGTGGAATTTTCCTCAGTAGCAGGTTGGTGTATACTATTCTTGAGATATAACACCCGCCCTCGTACCGTGGCCGTAGTGGGATGCGCGGTCGAAGGATTTCGCCTGCTTGCAGGTCGGACGGCACCATAGGCAGAGGACAATTCGAGTCGTCTAGGTCTCACAGGCCAATGTGTGATTTTCAAGATCCAGCATAACTGACCTTCGGCTTTATCGACCAGCACTGGAAGAGGAGAGGAAGTCAGGCGTGTTTAGGAAGGTTGTAGGCGCATACTGTGCAAGCGTAAAATCCCAGCTTCACACACATGTACGAGGCCATGAAGAAGTGCAATTGTCTTATGTGCAGTCCACCATCCCGCCTGTGTACTCCGTGATAGATCGAGGGCTTCCTTTTCGCAGGTAATCTGGCAAGTGCTGATGCGTGAGTACGATGGCCAGTGGAAGCATGCCTATATCGTACCAACAATCCTTCTCCTCCTCGAGATGGGTTATGTGGAAACAAAAAGAGGCCCGAGCTGAAACCAAGGATGGTGTCAGACAATGTGTTCAGTATCCAACGGGACGACGACCCCAGCTAGGTAAACGGCTCGAGTCCTCGATAGGCCAATAGGTAAGCCGAGGACGAGTGTTACGCTGAGAACATCTCCCAACTCTCGTCGTTGTGTCGGCGTCTAATCGACGCGGTTCAATCTGGAAACTGCTGATAAACGTGATGCTGGCTCGCACAATGTCCTGTTTGAGACGAAGGATTCTCCAGACTAGTGAACACAGGGGTTATCGTGTGTGGAGAAGCGCGGATCAAACCACGAACCATGCTGCTTGGACGGTTAAACCCCAGGGCGCCTTACTCGGCTGGGTGGTATATAGACCTGCCAGGCGCGCAGCTGGAACTCTGTCCATACTGCAGACTGGGGCGTTGCGACAAGAATGGCGAAGCCTACTATCCTTTTCACGCCCGGCGCCTGGCACTCACCGGCACACTATGACAAGATCATGAAAGCGCTCCAGCAGCATGGCTACGAGACCGAAGCAGTAGCGTTAGCGACTGTCGACCCCAAGGACCCGCCAAACACCGACGTGGATAGTGACGTCCAGGTTATATCCAGTGCGATCAAGAAGATCCTATCGTCAGGAAAGGACGTGGTTCTAGTTACCCACTCGTACAGCGGAATCCCAGCACAGAGCGCGGCTTACTCGTTCATCAAGCAAGACCAGACTGGCCCACGGCTGAAGGCAATTGCAATGATGTGCTCATTCCTCTACCCACCGAGGACGGCTCTTCTCGATCCCACAGGAGGCAAGCCCTTTCCTCTCCATGTCGTGTCGGCGGATGAAACCCTTGTCGACGTCGGTGGCCCTGGTCCAGAAGCGGTCTTCTACTCGGACTTATCACCCGAAGAGGCCGCCGCAAACAAAGCCATGCTGAAGACGCATTCCTGGCGGTGCAAGATCTTGCCGCCATCGGCTGAGGGTGTCGGATACTGGGGGATTCCAACCAGTTACTTGGTTTGTGAGAATGACAAGGCGCTGCCAGCCGACTTGCAGAGAAAATGGATTGCAGATGCGAATGAGGCGTTGAAGGAGAGAGGGTCAGATTTGAGAATCAGAGAGGAGAAGATGGAGAGTGGTCATAGTCCATTCCTGAGCATGATCGAGCCGACGGCGGCCTTTATCAGGAGAGCGGCTGGGGAAGACGTGCCAGCGAATTGAAGCTTGGTGTATCCGTATCGAGAGATCACCGCCACCAGGAAGAAGGCCTGATTGTTAAGCAGTGGCCAAGTTTCGTTCATTCAACGACCTGGTATACTTCTCGCGGACCAGAGCATCAAACCTTGCCTTGGCCAATGCGTAGAGCATCTCGGTCAGTGGCATCTTGACCTTGTGTTGTCGTCCAAGCCGCACAGTGTTTCCCACTATTGCCTCGACTTCAAAGAGCTTTCCCTGTTTGACGTCTTGCACCATGCTATTCTCTCTGCCCGCGTTGGTTGCCGCTCTCGTCTTAGCGATCATGGCTTTCTGTTCGGCCACCTGTTCGTCGACATTGGGGATGCCTATCGTCTGTGCCAGCTCGACGATCTCCTTCATGACGCCCCAGCCCAGTTCCCACGCATAAGGGGCAGCCGAGTTCAGGAAGTCTCCATCCGAACACAGAGCCAGCGCACAGATTGGATTCCAGGAACAGTTCATCAAGATCTTTGACCAACGAGCAATTTGAATATTGTCATGAACTTCAGCGTTTCCGCCGCCGGCTACCACAAGGTCTGCCAGCCTGACGGCAGCTGCTTTGTGTGACCCCGGGCTATTGGCAGGGAAAGTGCCAATCTCCAGGAGGTTCAACATCTCCGGGTATTCGATGACCCCGTGTTCCTTCTGATATGCGGGAAGGTAGACGACACAACTGAGGAGAGGGTTCTCTGGGAATGCTTCTGCGACTTCATCTTCGATCGCCACGCCGTTCTGGGCCAGCACGATGGCTGTATGAGGCCGACCTCGGACGTAAGGCCGGATCAGCTCACTCAGCGACGGCTTCGACCCTGGAAAGCATTTCGTAGTGACAAAGACAAAATCATAGCCGGTATCTGTGGCACATTCCTCGCCACTTCTGACCACTATATCTGGCCTGAACTGGACATCACCGAACCGCAAGCTCTTCAGGGAGAAGCCATCCCGCTTGACCGCGTCGTAGTTCGACCGGCAGACGGCTGTAACTCTACAGCCGGCCCTCTGGAATTGGTACAGACAGACGGAACCAATGCTACCGGCTCCGAAGAGCAGAACGTGCGGTGGGTCGTTCATTATTGTTGCACAGGATGGCATAGAGATGTTTTATGGTACGCACGGTGTAACAAGATAGGGGAGGGCCCACGCGGTGTTATCATCGGACTTTGGCCACCAAAATAACCCCCGAGGACCTCCCAATACTGGGTACTTCCTGTCCGGCCCCACAGCCCTTGAGGTGCCGGTACCCAGCGCCTCGTTCAAGTCGCGGATCTGCCCGGCGTTAAAAGGATTCGCAGCGCGCCTAATCCGAGCCTACCGAGTCACGGAATGTCGAGATGTCTGCTGGTGGGACAACAAGTCGTCTAGTCTTGCGCAATTGCTCAAGAACGAGGCCGCCAATGCGCGCGTTACTACGACCAGGCTGAAGTAGGTATCGTCCTACGGTACCACACGACATGATTACAGGGCGGTGCTTGCTGGGCATCGCTGAAGAAATGACCAGAATTAGCCAGAGATCAAGTAACCATCCCGGGCGTCGTGGTTCCTCGGCTTCTGCAAAGGCGCGATGCCCGTCCCCTGGGAGGAAGAGCCCACACCTGGCAGGGATCTGTATGCTGATAGGGCGCCGATACCACGTTCCACAACCTGCTTACAGATTCAGATGCCGACTTCCATACCCTGATGGATACTGCCGACACTGAACTGGGCAGGAAGGCTGTGCTCAGAGCCATGGTGGTTCTACTGCTCGGGCTCCGGTGTGGTGATTCCTCATTTATCCTCGACTTGTGTTGAGACGCACAATCTTCGAAGCCACCGGCAAACACGTCTCCACCAACAGGGTCGATCATCCGAAACACGCGGATCGCTAGAAGATCGAAAATTCTGTCAAAGAAGAAGGCCAAAGAAGCAACAGTCCACCAATGATGCAACCCAGCCTCGCGCCCTCGTGCGCCGGCGACGTGGCCTGCGAATCAAAGCATCGACGGCGGTATCCATGACGTGCTCGAATACCAAGCTTTCCCTCCGTCGTTCACGGACATACGACACCCATCTCAACGCCCTTTGGCTGGGCACAACGTGCCGCATAGCCGAGGCCATGGAGCATCCATACCTTACCAATCTGCTACTTTGGTGGCTTGCATGGCGTGAGTTTCAAAAACCATGCGCGGCCAAGGGTCCAGAGCTATGAAAAAGTCCGTCGTCATGCCCTTTCCCCTGGTCCTTTGTGTCCTTTGACGTCTTCAAAAGTAGCAGGTAGCCGCCTCACAGAGAACCCTCGACCATACCAACAGCAGTCATGGACAGGATAGAGAGGATTCTTTCTCGACCTGTCGCCAAACCCTACCGCTCTGGCAAGATCGATCCCTCGATCCAGCCATTTCTCAATCAGTACGGCCATCTTGATTTCGCCCCCGGAGACATCGAGAATCCAAAAGAATGGTCAACCAGGCGGCGATGGTATTGTACGATAGTGGCCGTCGTCCTCGTCTGTAACGCCACGTTCGCGTCATCGAGTCCGTCGGGCTGTCTTCGCAGCATCTCTGAGCACTTCCAGGTTTCTGAAGTCGCAGCTGGTCTCGTCATCACCCTCTTCCTGCTGGGATATGTGGCTGGTCCTCTTCTATTTGCACCACTATCCGAATTCTACGGCCGGCGCTATGTCTTTTACGTGACATTTACCTGCTACAATGCTTTCAATTTCCTGTGTGCATTTGCACCGAATTTTGGATCACTGTTGGTGGGACGGCTCCTGACCGGGACCTTCGCCAGTGCTCCGTTAACAAATGCGCCGGGAGTTCTGGCAGACGTATGGGGACCCATCGAGCGCGGGAACGCCATGGCCATCTTTTCAATGATGACCTTTGTCGGCCCTGCCATCGGGCCCGTCATAAGCGGATTCCTCGAGCTCAAAGAGGATTGGAGATGGTCATTCTATGTGCTCCTGTGGCTGGGAGGAGCAACGGAGCTGCTGATGTTCACCATCCCGGAGACACTTCCGGCAGTCGTCCTGATCAACAAAGCTCGCCGACTGCGCGCCACAGGGGTCCCTGAGTATCAGGATATCCGGGCACCTGCTGAAGCCGAAGGACGCGACCTGGGCGCCATGTTCAAAGTCGCCCTCCTCCGACCGTGGCAAATCCTGTTCGATCCCATCTCGTTTCTCGTCGCCATCTATCTCTCCATCGTCTATCTGCTGCTCTACATGCTGTTCACCATCTACCCGATTGTGTTTCAGGAGAAGCGAGGCTGGAACTCCGGCGTCGGCGAGCTCCCACTGATCGGTACCGTCATTGGAGCATGCATCGGCGGGGCCGTCATATTCTACAAATCACATCGCGAAAGGAAGAAGATGGAAGCCGGCCTCCCTCAGAAGCCCGAGGACCGATTGCCGCTCGCCATGTTGGGCGGCATCTCCTTCGCCATCACCATGTTCTGGTTCGCCTGGACGGCCAACTTCAACAGCATCCACTGGTTCGTGCCCACCCTGGCTGGCACGTTCCTCAGCGCATCAATCACGATCATCTTTGTGTCATACCTCAACTACCTCACCGACACGTACTTGATGTACACCGCCAGCGCCATGGCCGCGAATACGATTTGCCGTTCGGCCTGCGGCGCAGCGGCCCCTCTATTCACGAGCCAGATGTTCCACGCTCTCGGCGTCGGCGGCGGCGGCTCCCTGATCGGTGGTGTTGCCTGCCTGTTGGCCCCGATCCCTTTCGTCTTCTACAAGTATGGCGAGCGGATCCGCGTGCGCAGTCGATTCGCGCCGACCAACCAGACGCCACCGGACGATGAGGAGCAACAGGCCGATCCGAGCGACGCCGCGGCCGATAAAACAGGCAGTCCGTCAAGCTCGAGCTCGAGTTCAACAGACGGCTTGGACACCGAGACTTCATCTCGTTTGGGGCCTGAAGTGCCAGAAGTAGAGGAGAAGAAGGCGACCCCCGATGGACCACGCCATGATCTGGCCGAGGCAGTCGGTGGTGAGAAGGAATTCACCTGACGTGGATCTACCCCTTATCCTTCTTTGCAAGGTTGACGATACTGTGGCAAACGAACAGCCTCGCGTGAATCTGCCGGGCCGCACCAGCAACTGTTGTCGGAACTCGATTTCTCGGTCCGCCAATCCAGGTATAGAGGGGGGATTTTGGCATGTCAGCAAGCGGACTACTTCATGTGTCGTGCGCCAGGCACGTCAGCAAGTAGATCACGCACTATGTATCTACTATCACCCATGTGCCACGCCCGACACGCAGTGGCGTCAGGTTGGAGGCAAAGACTCTCTCCGGACAACGTATCGGCGGGGATTGGGCCGTAGCAGCGGCGGTATAGGAACCGGCCATGAGCAGTCCAGGGACGAGAATATTCTCCTTCCGCGCCACCAGATGGTACAGTGCTAGCCCTGCCCAAGGCGGACCCGTACTGGCTCTATACCGGCAGGCTCGAATACGGCTCTATCGTGGAATTGGCGAATATATATGCCACGATATACTGAATTCTAGAAGTGATTGTGAAGAATTGGGCAGGAGAGACAGGACGAGGCGTTTAGGTTGGGCATGGTGGTGCTGCATATCTTGAGGGTTGGCCGCGTGGTGTACTTTGTGTACACGGGACTGGTTAACACTGGGATGTATAATTACTGTACACAGTGTGCAGGATAGGATTTCTGGTCGGCTGGTATCTGTACCTGTGTCCGAGTGTGCACGCATGGTACAGAGAGATAATCATAGAAGGATAATTGAATGGCTGGAGGATATGCTTGTCTACCAGGTAACTACTGGGTAATCAATACCCACGTCTGCATTTGTATCTGCTTCTTCAGCTTCATCTACACAGAGCACCACGTGCGCATAATATGATCACAGGCATACACAACATCAAGCATACACAACACCACATGCCGTGCAAAGGAGTCGAGCCGCGAAACCACCCAGCCATTGCGAGGCTACAGTCTTAGACACGACGATGCTTCTGGTAGCTTAGCTATCCATGCACTGCCCTGTGGCATGTGGCCTGCTTAGACCTACAATGCTCAACGGCACGGCGAATCGCTGAAGGTACGGAGTACGCACAAGCGAGAATCAAGCGCACTGTACAGAGTACTACAGTCTATCCTAGAATTCGTCTAATAAAACACGCTTTGTGGTCCCCTGCCGCTCCATGCAGCCAATACAGTCATGCACAGAGGAGATACTACTCTCCATCGCGTGGAACATGGTGCAAACAGGTTGGCAACTCTCTCATACTCCAAAGAGAACGTCGCCGCTTATACCTGGCATTTCAGTGATTAGTTAGCGCCAAGTTTTGACAGGCGAATTCAAGGATAGACTGTAGTATGTACTCCGTACTCGAGCTTCATTGCAGTGTCGTGTGCTGTACGGAGAAATCTTAAGAGAGATCGCCATGACACATTGACAGTACATATGTACATACGTACGCACGCACGCACGTTCGTAAGTACCTAGGTAGTCACACCTCTGAATGAATTGTGTACTCTGTCTCTGCAGGTCCCCAGATATGAGAGGTCCCCAGGTATGAGAGGTCCCCAGAGATGAGAGTTCCCAGACAGGTCCGGCATTGACTCACTCACTCACAAAGTCACGATACAGTACTGTAGCTGGTACTAACCCCATACAATTTTCGGCTTGCACCTTGACCACCGTGTTCGTGAATCACGAACTTAATGCGTGTAGACGAAGAAAGGATTCTCTCGGTCCGTCTTGTCGGCGTAGGCGAGTTGTTGTCGCAGCCTCTCCTTCTCGTCCTCGCTCATGGCGGCAAGTTTCTCCCGGTTCTTCTTGTTCAGTCTGTCGTTGCGGAAGCGCAGCACGAGGCACACCAGGACCCTGGGGGTGAAGTTTGTTAGCTACGAACCACACACAGGTGTAGTGATAGAGCGATACGTGACCGACGATACACGACCGACGATACACGACCACTGGTCGGTAATCGGCACGCACACATGAGGAGATCAGGAGAGACATACTGAGCCGACAGAGTGGCCATGATGGCGGCCTTGCCGCTGATATAACCGGGAGCCTCGGACGCTCGGAAAGACTCGGTGCCGGCGATGTTGCCGGCGCAGTAGAGCATCAGCGTCAAGGCGTTGACCGTCACCTTCTTCGTATGACCTCCCAGGTTGGAGGCGTTCCACACGAGCAGGAGCATGAAAGCCTGAAACCCCCCGTTAGTGTGCGCTCTGGCAGCACGGATCATAAGACAGAACGTACCGATGTGAATGAGTTGCAGAGGTACAAGGCGAACAAGAGAGCGCCTTTGCTCTTAGGAACACCGCCTGTATCATGTATGTTAGTCGTCGGGGACGCCAGTTTGGAGCGGAGGCGTCTGCGCCCCGTGGATGTCTCAATCGACTTACCAGGATCAAGTCCGATCATCATGGCAAATGCGGCGATTGTGGGGAGGATGCTGATGATCATGACGAGACTTCGATCATTCCATTTGTCGCTCAGGTAGCCGATGACAATGGTTGAGATGGCGCCGACCACGCCGCCAGGGATGTTCAGAATAAGCTACTCCCGGTCAATAAGAGGCCCTACCACTGTGTCAAAGCACGGTTACTTACAGCTTCCTGTGAGGTATAGCCGAAGGTGGTCAAGAGAATGCTGGAAAAGTTGGGAATGGCCGTGGGGACGCTCAAGAGCACGACCGAGACCGCCACAAGATACACGCCGGGGTCCTGGAACGTCTTCAGGATCTGAGACTTTTTGATGTGGGCGTTTTGTGTCCCGGACTGGTTGTCCTTGACTCGCAAAAGTGTGGCGACTTTCTCAGCGTCCGTGAAGCTTCTGGCTTTGACGGGCGAGTCTGGCAGGTAGAAAAAGACAATGACACCAACAACCACAGTGACCAGACCGATCGTCAGCAGGAAGATTCGCCAGCTTGCGAAGTGCTTGTTGTTGGTATGCGAAACGCCCCAGGAAACAAGACCCGCAAAGATGGATGTCAGACTGATGACATGTCAGTAGTCAAGCAACAAAGAGCGAAAGGTAGTGCCAACCTGTTGCAAACGTAGACGTAGGAGATTCTCCGTCCTTGCTCCGACTTCTTGTACCACATGGCCACGACCAGTACAAGTGTGGGCGAGACGACTGACTCGAAGACACCCAGCAACGCACGGCAAATCATCAAGCCGGCATAGTTCCGAGCAGCGGCGTGAGCTGCTAAGACGGCGCCCCAGAAGACGATGTTTGCGCCCAAGTATTTTCCAAGTCTGGAGATGCGTTGGGAGAGATATTGCGTTGGAAATTCCGCGGCCAGGTAGCCGATGTACTGTGCGGTTCGTCAGCTCGAGGGACCGAAGAAAAGGCCAATGTTGACCCCAAGCACCATCAAGTGGCTTGACTTACAAATATCATGGCGATGTCGGAGTATTGTTGGCCCTTGAGGTGGGTATCATCGCGGAGGCCCATGACAGCAGTATAGCCGATTGTCGTCTTGTCCAAGAACTGCAGAAAATAGGTTGCAATCATACAGGGAAGAATCGCCCAGTCGATCTTTCGCAGGAGCGCCTTGCGCTTCCCTTCATCCGCGAGGATGGCAATCGCCTCCTGAGTGACTTGGTCGGCATTAGGATGATCCCGCAAGAACGCAAATGCCTCGTCTGCTTCTCGGGGATCGATGTTAAGCGAGGCGAGTGCATCTTCGAGATGGAGGACGGTCTCCTGGACCTGTTTCTCCGTGTCCAACGGAGCGTCAGTGACACTGACTATCTCTGCGTTAGTCATCTTGCCCGTGAGTATGAGGTCGACTCAATCACCAGCTGAAACAAGGTCCTGCAGGAGCTGGCCAGATGGAGTCCCGACGGTTTATATTGGCGTCGGTGAAGATGATATGCAATCCCTCTGTGGAGCCTTAGACTGACAGGCGGCAATTGTGTCTGATCAACTGCCGTGATCGACCACGCGGCTGGCGGTATTTCACCGTGCCACATATACATTTGACATGACTAGCTTCATCTGATGTGCACGCGGATACCGCTCAACATGGGCGACGACTATGGGTGTCGCTTTCAAGCCAAGATCTTTGCGGGGACTTGGGGTTCATGTCTGTGGGGAGTATGGGTACGTCTGGGGCGCCGTCGGATTGCCAGTAACGCGGCCAGCCTCCTGTTGGATATCACCGGCAAAGAAACCGGCTTGGCTTACCTTTTGCAAGCTGGCTCCTGGGAGACGCTCGGGGTAAGGGCCAATCGCAGCGTGGGCATTTGTATGAAAACCCGGCAGGATTCCACTATCCAGAGCGCCTAAGAAGTATGAGAAGTCCGTCTCTGCATAGAAGCAAGCTGCTAGAAGCACTGGCTTTCCGGCTGGTCCCAGTTAGCCGTCCTTGATCCCAGGCACCACTTTCGGCAGTTGGTCAATCGGATAGAGCATCTTAGAGAAATCACCAGGATAAGGAGGAGGAGGAGGAGAGAGTAGGGGGCTAGCTGGCCACAGCCCCCCAGATTATTGCCTGGTACCGTAATTAACTCGGGCCTCTATTGCTGGACCCGTCCAGCGTCAAGCAGGGACAATGTGTCTCGGATCGAGGGTCTCGGTTATCTGCATTGTCGTGGCCACGGGCCAGAGTAAGGTCCTGCTGATGCTCCAACCGCGTGGCGGGTACGCTTCCCAGGATGTGGCACGTAGAAAGAAGAGTTGATCAAGCAACGCCGCAGCGCTTGATCTGTCAGCCGCGCCGGTCTTGGTGTTCGGACATTCCTCGCGCCTGACGCCTTGCCCGCATCTGCTCTCATTGCCAGGACAATGGGCCAGCATCCCGACGATCTGTTTGCTTCTATATGCGCCCCGATGATTGCGACGACACACTGATGCGAGCCCGAGTATATATTGTCATCGTGACTGCCCGATCGTCGTATGTCTCTCAGTTGCCAGGACGAGTCAGATTTCTTGTCACCAGCAATACCATCTGCCGTCAGAAATCCTGCTTATTGCTAGCCAGGGGATAAACCCGTTCGAGCACAAGCAGGCGTCCACAGGCACAACCACAACGGAGACCAGACCCTAGGGCCGTAAGCCGCTACCTCCAGAAAGGTCTTTTCTATCAACCCAACAAGCAGACGGCAGCCATCTGAGCCATCAAATTGCGGTGCCCTGGGTCTACTACCTGGTGGTACTCAGCCCTCATCTAGCCCTCCATTTGAGGTGAACCCAGCTGAGGTCAAGCCCAGATGCATGTACCCTGATCAGTACCGACTGAAGCATAATGTTTGGTCTCCACAGGTTCTGTGAAGACTGTGGCTTCCTCTGACCTTCGAGTTTGCCGTCTTCATTGTCAGAGGGTTCTGTCATCGGTGCCGTTCTTTCAATCACGTCACCGGTCAAGGAGCATATATATAAGATCTCACGTCGTCCACAGCGCAACATTTTGAACATTCCGTAATGCAGCTAAATCCCCGTAGCGACCGGTTCGTCGTACGCAAACACCCTCAATCGTGAATTTCGTGCATCGACATATATGTACGAGTACGAAACGCGCCGCGACGCGACTGACGCGTTTTCTAATTGGGCCAGATACGGTTAGCCTCGTAACCAACGTACACAGAAGCCAGCTCGCTCGGTGCGCAGGACATACCTAGGTATTCAATTACCCCCTGTAGCCTGTGGCGGACAGATTCAGCTTGAGGTCATCCTCTTGCCCGTCATGCCGCCCAAACCCTCCGTCCGAGGCGAATACATCGAGACCGAAACAGGCAACAAAATCAGTCGCCGCGCCAGCGTACTCGGCCCCCGCCATATCATCCTCGCCGGCAAATGCGTGATCCAGCAAGACGTCGTCATCCACGGCGACCTGGTCCGTCCTCCGCAGCCAAAGGCACCGCCGACGCAGAGCGACCCGAAATCGTCGTCGTCGTCGTCCACCACCACAGCTTCCAGCACAACTCAAGACCAAACCTCGATCCACCTCGGCCGCTATGTCTTCATCAGCCCCGGCTGCACACTGCACCCTCCGTCCCGGCTCACAACGATACCGAGTGCGGATCCTAGTGGTGGCAGCCCGCGGCAGGTCATGACCTACTTCATGCTCCGCATCTCTGACTACGTGTACATCGGCCCAAACACGCACGTACGCGCGGCCGAGATCCGATCCAATGTGTGGATTGGCGCGAACTGCACCATCGGCAACATGGTCATGATCAAAGATAATGTGAAGATCCTGGACGGGACGGTCCTCCCCGCGAACACGGTCTGGGCGGGCGGGACGGTCATCGCAGGCCGGCCTGGCAGGGTGATAGGCGAGATTGGCGAAGGGTGGGCTGCTGGGTCGAGTGGCAGTGGTGGCGGAGGTGGAGGTTCGACGGTGGATGAAGGGGTCGGGGTCAAGAGTCGGGAAAGGTGGGCTGCTGTTGGGAATAAGAGATGAGGGCGTGGCCAATACAACCAGGAAGCGACTCGACTGTCCCCCATATGGACAAACGATCGAGGATTACTGGGTACATCCCAAAATGACCACGAGGCAAGAGACATTATGCCAGCGCCCTTCGGGTAGTCGAGATCAGACCAGCCATCGTCCGCCACGACTGAAAACCACATATTCCGATAATGGTCGTCCATCTCGCAACGACACGAACGACGGCAGTGTTTACGATTCGACCAGGACTTGGAGCCGCCCTGCCTCGATGCTCTATGTACGAAATACAACAAACGAAAAAGCGAATCTATGGTCCTCAGCAACGGATCACCCTGCGCACAACCCACCAGGTGAGCCAAAGCCCCGTCATCGCACTGGGTGACGATCTCGCCCTACTGATGTCGACGGCAGTTCCACGAGTGCCCCAGAATCGATGGCACACCCGGGTTCCTCGCACCGTCCTCTCACGCCTCATGACCTCGCTTCAACCCGACCACCTTGAGCTCCTCAGCCCTCCAGGTCTGCCTCATAGGCTTCTCGGGCGATCGTCCTATTGAACTCGAACGCACGGTGGTCCAGGTCCTGCCGCAAACACTGAAATGGCGGTTCTGCTGAGTGAGAGCTCCAGGGCTTCTCCCAATCTGGAGTGCAGGTGGATAAGCTGCTCTTTGCCTCGTTAACTCAGGCGAATTACACTCCTCCAGTCCAGGGAACTCTGGCGGAATCGTTGCATGTCGTGCCCCGAACTGGAATGAGATTGGCAGGGAAGCGCCGTCCTTTGGGGTATGAAAAGCGATCTTCAACTCGTCTCCCGAACGGCAGGAATGCTCAATCGTCGTCGCATTTGACCTCTTCGTCGCTTGGCCTCCGTCTTGGACTGAGCAAGGATGGTCACCTTCATCTTGACCGTCAATTCGAGATGAGCAAGGGTCGACATCTTCTACCTGGCCTTTGCCTGGTGGTGCGGGGGTATGCGCATCCTCATTCTGTGACTGTGCCGCGTCGAATGCGAAAGTATAGCGCTTGCGTCTCCTGCTACTGACGAACGGCCATTTCGGATCAACCGTCTCTCTTTCTTCCTCGGCCTGATCAGTCGGCAGATCCAGAGCCGCTCTCTCGTGAGGCCCCGATCGTGCTTCTATCTCGCTCATTGGTCGTAAACCGTCATCGCCTCCGACCGGGTGTTGTCTGAGTGGATTTTCAAAGTGGCTGTACCTGGTGCCAGAACCGGCTGGCGCTAGGGAGCCAAAACCAGAAACACAACACGATTGAGGCCGAGAAGAGGCTGGAGCTGGACTTGTTCGTTCCACAACCTTGGTCTGTGCTCCTTGGGCAGTCCATGTTCGACTGGCTTTGGCACTGGATCTGCGTCTAGCCGCAGGACTGTGTCGCCCTCTCCGTGGATTCAGTGGTGCAGGAACAAGACTCTCGCGTTCGTACTGAAAAGTTGGAGCCTTCCATCCTTCCTCCTGAAGGTTGCTCTCCTGGACGTTGCTCTCATTGACTTCCTCCCGAAGTACAAATTCCTTCATTTGGAGAATGCGATCCTCGTCTTCGAGTTTCTGTTCTTTTCTGTGGACTTCTTCCTCATCTCCACTGAACAACGTGCGCGCTCTTCGAAGTGGCAAAACAAAAGCATATTGGTGGCCAATTGGATGATGCTGAGATAGAGGGTGATCCCTCGGGATGGGCAGCGCGGCCATAATGTCGTCCTGGCTTGAAGAGGGAAACCCATTGTAAGACGTCAGAGAGCACGCGTGCCTGGCTTGCACAGGATCCTTACGCTTGCTTGCTGACACTGACGTACCAGACGCGACTGATATGGCTTCCACTTCTGCGACGGCCTGTGAAGAAGAGTGTTGATGGTAGTGTTGGGGATGTCGATGGTGCTGTGAGGTGTTGGTCGAGACTGAGACTGGAACTGAGACTGGCTCTAGAACCGGGACTGGAAGCGGGCCTGGCAATGGCAATGGCACTGGCAATGGCACTGGCACTGGCAGCGGCGACATGTTGTCCGGACCGTACGCGAAGTCGCCGTATCGATAGCCGCCGAGATTCTCGAAACAAGGAACGTCGGTTGGCTTGGGGAGTTTGTTCGTACCACCAGCAGCACCAGCAGCACCGGCAGCAGCGAAAGTCTCCGTGCCAGGCTTAGATCTCGTCCTGGATGGAACCTCCATTCCAATAGGCCGCGCATAAACGATACCCTCTCCAGCGGCATCCTCACCCACCACGGCGCCTCGTCTGCCCATAGCTCGCATCTCCCGCTCGTGGTCGTCGTCGTCACCGTCATCGTCCCCATAAAAGTCGGAAGACATCCGGATCCAGCCCACCCGGTGTAGGATCCTCTTCCACCGCCAACGCCTCCCTTGATGGTTGAATGTCATTCTCCCTCCTTCTCCGCTATTGTCTTCGTACTCGGCGATATCGTCGTGGTGGTGCTGGTCGTCAGCCTTGTCTTTCGCCTTGGCTCGCGCATGCATCTTGCTCATTCGGTGCGTCCTCCACGCCATGATCGCTACACCAACGATGATCAAGCCCGCGATGCTGGAGAAGGAGATCGTGGCGGGGACGTTGAGCATCTCCCTGGGGCGAAAGCGGCGTGGGAGGCGGGTTATAAGCCAAGGGGGCCGCGTGCCGGATAAGTACAATATGCAGTCACGAATCGCAGTAACGGAAGCGGTTGAAGCTGAAGGGGTGCTGGAAGTTAGGTAGCTAGCTGGAGGTCTTCGGCGCCCTGTGGCGAGAAGTAGCTAGGGAAATAGGTAGGTAGGTTGGAAGGTTGCAAAGTAGGGAGACGTCGAGGTTATAGCAACGACAACGGTTGGCGTAGAAGCGACGGCACTGCTTTGACTGGCTCGGTGGGTAGGATGAGGATTTCGACAGGAGCCAGTAATTGCGGATTTTCTTGTGTGTTGAAAAAAAGGAACTGAACGGGTGTAGATGCATTGGTCTATCTGTACCTGCGCGTGCTGATATACTTCTATCTTCCCCAGTGTAGCCAGCTTTTCGCAGTCTTTCATGCCCCCTGAGCCAGATTTTTCGGAGTCCGGAACGTCGATTTATTGAGATATCTGAGATTTGCCACATCCGGGTCTTCACTCTTGGGAAACCCGACTTTTTGTTGCGAGGCGACTCTTTTCGATCTCTCTGTTTCTCTCCTCTGTGGCTGTCTCGGTTCTTTCTGGGCGCGGAAGTGAGACACCGAGACAACGACTCAGGATGCGTAATTGAGCAGGGAAGGGGCTTCGGACGTGTCTTGAGCATGAATGAGTGCATGTCATGGCATGGCATGGCAACTCTTGGCTTGTTCGGGTTTCCCATCGAGATGGCAGTATCGGCTCGTCAATAGGCGCGACTTTGCAACGTGCAATGCAGAATGTGTACTCCGTATTCTTGCAAGGAAAACCCATATTTGGCTATGCTTTCAGCACCCATTTCGTGCTCTCAAAGCCCTCCCGTCTCCGCAGCTTGATCTTCGCGTCTCCCTTCGGCTTGAGGACACTTAGGGGAATCTTTTCGTCGTCAGGCGGAGGGACCTTGATGGGCGATCCATGGGGGGACGAAATGTCGAAAGCCAGCAACAGGTATGCGACAAATGCTAGAATCTCACTCTGCGCGAAATGCCGGCCTGGACACACCACGCTACCCCCGCCGAAGAGACGGAATGCCGATGACGGGACTCCCTGAGGTAGTTGTGTTGCCGCTGGCTCCTGGAAATCCAACTCGGACGGCTCTTCTTCGACGGTAGCCGATGCTCGAGTCTTGAGGAATCGGCGGGGATTAAATCGGTCGCTGTCCTCGCCCCAAGTTCGTTTGTCGTTGTGGATGACGATACCGGCCATCTGAACGATGGAATCCTTCCTCAGGTATTGGCCTCCAATGACTGTATCCCTTAGCACGTATCGGAGAGAGGCGAGGTTGCCGATGATGCGGAGGGATTCCCTGTAAGTCGAGACGAGAAGGGGACAGGAAGTTTCTAGGGTCGAAACATTGATCGTTTTGGTGCTGTCCTCGTTGTCAGCAACTGCCAGCTCGATCTCCTTCCTGATCTCGACCATCAGCTCTGGACGGCTGACGATGTTGGCAACGACCCAGAATGTTGACGGAACCGCATTCCCCAGGATTGCAAAGAGCAGGATAATCTCGGACCGGCCAGCTTCTGCCACTGTGAACCCGTGTGAGAGATTCAGCCCTACACGGTTCCGAATGACCTGTGAAGCCTTGTGATACCGTTCTTGCCGCACATAGTCAACCAGGCTTTGGGCGACGCGCTCTCGTGCCTTGTGAGCTTTCCTCGCCGTAATGCTGGGCACGATGTCAATGATCAGGGCGAGCATGCCGGCCTCGAATTCCCAAAACGCGTCCACGAGACTCGGGTCCATGGCGAACGGGTTTTCTGGGCCGTAAAGTGCTTTTGCATTTGCAAAGGCGAATATCGACTTGATCCACTCGAACAGCCCGATTTCTACAGAGTCACCTCGGATGGCAATGTCGTTGAGCATGTCTGAGAAAAGTGTCATCTGCAATCTGGTGAGCTCTTTGAGCGATTGGCCCCGACCGAGCACGTCACTAAACATATCGTGCATCTTCGGCATGAGGCCCCAATCACCTTCCTCACGGTTGACATTGGTCATGATGATTCGCATCGTATCGGAGTTCAACTTTAATAGCCGTCGAGTGACTTCGAGAATGACATTGTAAAATGCCAGGTCCTTGTGCTGCCGCTGGAGCTGCGCCGCAATCTGGGGAGACGTGACTATATATTGTCTGCTAGATAGGGTGGGCAGCGTGTATATCGGGTATTGCGTTTTGCGACTGATTCAAGTCAGAAGGCGGCCAGCAAGGCAGCACATGCGACGCTCACTTGACCGTGTCAAAGTACTTGGTTCCATGTCTAATGATCCCAAGTATGTGGCCGATGTAGGGTATTCCGGGCTTGATGATCGGAGGTTCTCTGGGGTCATAGTCGATTGCAAGGAAACGATGGATTATCACAGCAACAACAGTGACAGCTGCAATGAGCAAGGACAAGACGCTCACAGGCAAGGCAGGGGTGGTAGCGACTGTTGTGAGCTCCATCTTCGGGTTTCGCGGCGTGATTAGCAGAGCATCAAGAATACGGCCGCGTGGCACCGGCGAGAAGCACACTCGAGTCTGAAGCAGAGTCCCTTCGGAAGTTTGGCTTTTGGAAGTAGTTTAGCGGGCGAGATACTGGTTGTTGAGCAGATGCTACGAGTGACAAAGTCGAAATCGCAGCCTCGGCAGATACGGCGTCGGCGGGCACGTGACCCTCAAAAGCGCCCCACGGCGGAGCATAAAGCTGGGTCCGTCTTTTATTCGGTGGACGGATGACAAACGAGACGACAAAATATTGTCCACGAACTCGTCTTCAACAAAAAACCACTCGCAAACAACACATGGTGTCATGACTCGAGTAGGGACGAACGTACGAGGTAGAACGAGCCAAGGCTGACTGACAAACCTGCATCTCCCTGACTGAACGAGTTGTGCGTCGGCTTCGCGCGTATCCTACTGATACTTCCCTATGAATGCCAGTCACCATTCTGACAACTCGTCACTCTGCGACCAGGTGAGGTACTACGGTTTGGTGCTCGATGTCGGGTGGACGTTTCATCAGCCGGTTCGTAAGGTAGCGTCTCAACACCATGGCCCCCAAAACTCAGCTTCCGCCCTCGGCATTCTTCACGACCCTCCTACACCTTCTCGCCTTGGAGCAAGAATCCGAGGTCCAGGAAACAAGTCTACTCCTCTCCTCAACACCACCGACGACGCTCGCCCGTGCCGGCCTGGCCATTGTCAATCTTTCGATTCACTCCCTCCGCACTGGACTTGGTGGTCGATCCGTTGTCGAGCTAGGTCTCGACCCCGCCGTCGTGTCCAAGGATTCCAAAGGCGAGTTACCCGAGCATGGCATTCGGACAGGCGATATTGTCCGTGTCGGGGAAATGCCCAGAGGCACGGCAAAGAAGAAAGAGGCCAATGACTTGAAGGGAAAGGGCGTGGAGGGGGTGGTGACCAGAGTTGGGGAGAGGGCCGTCTGGGTCGCCCTTGGGAAGGACGGTGATCGCAGTGAAGACATGGACGAAGTACCAGATGGGAAGCTGTGGTTGGTCAAGTTGGCGAACGATGTTACCTACAAAAGAATGAACCAGACTCTCACCAAACTCCTCACTGGGCCCGAGTCGTCATACACTAGCCTTCAGCGAGTCCTGCTGGGCCTCTCCTCTCCCGGCACAACCGATCCTGCTCAATTCAAAGAGATATCATTCTTCGACGGTACTCTGAACCCGTCGCAACAAGAGGCCATCCGCTTCGCTCTCTCTTCGCCGGAACTTGCACTCATCCACGGTCCCCCAGGAACAGGCAAAACATACACTTTGATTGAACTCATCCTGCAATTTCTTAAGCAAGGTCAACGCGTACTGGTCTGCGGTCCTAGCAATATTAGTGTGGACAACATCGTCGAACGTCTCGCTCTCGCGTCCCCAAGCACGCCCATTGTGCGACTCGGTCATCCAGCTCGGCTCCTACCCAGTGTCTTGAGCCATTCACTGGAAGTCTTGACACGAACAAGCGAGGCAGCAGGCATAGTGAGCGATGTCCGCAAAGAGATGGATGAGAAGCAGGCGTCAATCCGGAAGACCCGCAACGGCCGTGAACGACGCGGCATCTATGCAGATCTGAAGGTGTTGAGAAAGGAGTACCGCGAGAGGGAGAACAAGTGCATCGACGGCTTAGTGAGAGGCAGTAAAGTTGTATTGTCGACCTTGCATGGTGCCGGCAGTCAGCAAGTCCGAAATCAGGAATTTGATGTCGTCGTCATTGATGAGGCAAGTCAAGCCCTCGAGCCTCAATGCTGGATTCCTCTGGTGTTTGGTGGTAGCAATGTGAGAAAGCTCGTCCTAGCTGGCGACCACCTGCAATTGCCTCCAACAGTCAAGAGTGCAGATAACAAGGACAACAAGGAGAACAAGAATGCCAAGATGAAGGCCCTGGAGGAAGGTCTGGCCAAGTTGACGGTCAAGGACGAGGAGTTGAAAGCGGCAAAGATGTGGTCCTTGGAGGACACCATGTTTGATAGGCTTCTATCCACTCATGGACTTGGTATAAAGAGACTGCTCAATACCCAGTATCGCATGCACGAAAAAATCATGCGATTCCCCAGCGACGAGCTGTATGAAGGAAAGCTCGTTGCAGCCAATGCTGTCAAGTCTCGTCTCCTGAAAGACTTACCGTACGAGCCAAAGGAGACAGAAGACACTGTTGAGCCACTCGTCTTCTTCGACACACAGGGTGGCGATTTCCCCGAGAAGACCGAAGAGGATCTGGGAGGCCAGGTTCGCAGAACGACCTTGCTGGGAGACAGTAAAAGCAACGAAATGGAGGCCGCTGTGGTTGCTATGCATGTAAAACATCTTGTCGCAGCCGGTGTACGAGATGAGGACATCGCAGTCGTGACTCCATATAATGCACAGCTTGCCCTCCTGAGCTCACTGCTCAAAGAGACATACCCCAATATCGAGCTTGGGAGTGTCGACGGCTTTCAGGGCCGAGAAAAGGAAGCCGTGGTTGTCAGCCTGGTCCGAAGCAATGCTGAGAAGGAAGTGGGCTTCCTCGGGGAGAAGAGGAGATTAAATGGTAAGTTCAGGGCCGATCTGTCGAGCCCGAGTCCTTCGAAACGCAAGCAGCCTGCGGCCTCGTCCTGAGTTGGGAGGATCTGACAGACGGGCAGTTGCCATGACACGACCGAAGCGACATCTCTGTGTAATTGGCGACTCCGAGACCGTTTCCCGAGGCAGTCCTTTTTTGAAGAGATGGATGAAGTTCTTGGAGGATAACGCCGACTTGAGAGTAAGTGCTCCCGGATACTGGACTACCCCTGGCCAAAAGACACCCACTGCTTGCTTTCCCTATACACGTCCCCATTTCTGACCCCACGTAGTATCCGACCATTGACGACTTGGAGCTCGGATAGCTCAGACGGTCGCACAGCATGCTGTATTTGAGCATCGCCCAATTCACGAGCTTACTTGCCTCGGCGCTTGTGCTTGTGAAGGAGCTGCTGCAAACGTTAGCGCAATGCCTGTATCCTGAAACAACGCAAGTATCAATTTCAGGATCTAGTGCCTGATGACGTGGGACGCTGGAGGCGAAAGAAGCACCAGCTCTTGAGCAATTGGCTGATCGACAACTGGGATGCATCTGCAGCCATACGACCACGCATTCCATTTGCTGATTGAACTGTTCAGGTACCACTGCGTTGCGGCACACCATTGGACGCCTTACGGCGACAAGAAGGCATCTCGTTGGCATGAGCGAAAAAATAGGTGGCATCTTCTCGTTAGAACTGGACCGGGCGGACCGTTGAGAAAGGATTCAATCAGGCGTCCATGCCAGCATCTCCTCAGAACGGAGTATGCGGGTTCCATATGGGGCTGGAATGGTACCTCGATGGCTGATGCGGATAGGCGATCGGTGGTCCTTTCCGGCATCTGACGACCGACGATTTCTGCCGCGTGGGTTGCGAAGGTGGATTTTGTTCGAGAGCACGGCGAAGGGAAGAATGAGTGAACGCTAGACGAAGGTGACGATGACCCCCAAGATAAGGGTTCACTCCTCGGAATGTAAAAGTTCAAGCAGCGCGCCAATCAGCGGTGGCATCGCGCTCTCCAAGGACTGACGCCGTCGCAAAAGTCCAGCCTAAGAACTCGTACCGAAGGTCATAAAGCCACGGCAGCAGATTCCCGCGCATATGTGCCAGAACCGGGCGAGCCTCTCGACAGCGTGCGTGTGTGCGTGGTCATCCAGATCGCCAATCACTCGTGGCGACCAAAATGAGTGTGTTCAGTGTCGCGTACGAGGTCGCCCGTATGACCTAAGTCCAAGCCAGCCTTACCGCATCTTGCACAATCTCCTAGTGGCTGCGGAGTAGCGCAGCTGTGTGCCCGTAAGTCGTACTGGGTAGTTGGCGATGGAGTTGGAGCCCCATGTCGGTCGTCGGTCGATGATCTTCCTGCTTGCCGATGCGCTTTCTCGTTTTCAAGAGCCATGTTTCTGTCCCTGACTGCCCGACAAATTCGCTTCCTCAATTCGAAACAGCGACGTGGGCTTCCCGTGCCCATTCGAGCCAAAGCCCACGGGTATTCCCCCGCTAAGAATGACTCGCATCGCTGCATGGCGCAGGGGTCATCCACTTGGACCCAATGAGCGTCTGAAAGTCGACGTAACGACGGGCTGGCCACTGGGAAGACCGAGGGTTGAGGGGCGTGTGTGCAGTAGTTCGCAGGCTAGCGGGGGTTGTCTCCCGCACAGTCGTGACTGGTGACTCGTACTTCTGATTGCCATCCGTCTCTTCTTTCTTGGGACTCTTTCCGGTTCTCGTAAATGGACGGCGATACTGTACGGCCTAGAAGGTCTGGAGGGTGTGGGCATCGACACCTCGGACGTGGCGGTGAGACTGGGTTGTGGCACGTCTCCCACTGGCACGAACTGCCATGGACCAGTCATGATCGAGAAGCTCTAATGTCGCTTACAGAGTCAGGTGGGATCCAGGATCTTGATAGTGAGCGGAGAGCAAACGCAGACGGAGGTGGGCATGTGGTTGGCTCGGGGGCAAGAAGCGCAGGTGAACTTTACCCTCACATCTCGTAGCGCTTTGTTTCCACTCGTCCCGCAGCAGCTTCAAGGAACCGCATCGTATTTCTGTTCCGGGGCTGGATCGCCATCTGGCATCAGGGACGCACGTCGACTGCACGGGCGGTAGAGGACCATCCCTCGCGAACACCTGTACAGCCTGCAGCAATCGAGAAGGTCACGCTGCCAATCACGGCCTATGAATAGCCCAAGCCCAAGTAAGCGGCGAGTGACAGGGGCCTTGGGGGTGTGTTGGGGGGGCCCCAGCACCACTCAACACCACCTAGCAGCACCTAGCAGCACCTAGCACCACTAGAGGCTATCTGGATGGGCACCGGCCACTATTGGTTGCGCCCGCAGCCTCAATATCCACCATGCTCCTGTTTTGGCTTCACACCACTGACTTCCATCCTGCTTCATCCGCCATCCACCGTCGCCTATGGGTCATGGCCGTGAGCTGCCCCTCCATGAGCCCTTCCCGTGGCATCCTTGCTCCATGTTGCTGCTGCTGAAACCGCCTGAGCAGATGCTATCAGAAAAACACAAACCACGGTGCTACCATCTCCCGTCCTGGGGTAGTGGAATGGGACGTTGCCAGCTGTCAGGGCTTCCCACCTGTCACTCGTCCCGGCGCACTATTCATCTTGCTTCTGGCCTCCTGATTGATCGTCTCATACCCTTCAAAGGTTGACACCGGAGGCTTGGTGCGATGCGGGTCGAGGCGAAGCCGCAGCCAGCACGACTTCTGTGATCTGCTTCCAACCTTGCAAGGATCCTGGACTCCGTACGGCAACCCTAGCTATTTACCATCAGTCGCATTCGGCCTCGAGTCCGGTCTTCTGCTATATCCAAGCGAGTCTCTGCTCCGGCATGCTTCGGCACTCATTTGTCCTCTGGCTTTGAGCATTTGGCAACGGTGTGCGCGGAGGACTGTTCGCTTCTCATATTTCGCCCCATCGCCCGACCTCGACTCTGCCTTGTTGACCTTGGGTATTACGCCTTGCGCGCCTGCATCCTTCCTGTCGCTCCTTGCATACGGCCTCACGATCGGCCCTTGTTTCATCCGACATCTTGCTCCTTCCGTAGGTCTTTCCACCGTCGTCGCTACCTGATCGAGGTGTGGTGTGCTTTAATCTTAATATTCCAGTATTTATGGTACTTTACCAGCTCTCCCACAACTGACAGCCAACGATGGACCGACTGACGCGGTTGACAGATATTGTTGTGTAACGTCCGGGCTACATTGGCACTCCCCTCATCAGCGTGAGATTGTCATCCTCGGCGGCACTTTATCAAGTGGGCGCACTGCACGCCAGGGAAGCACCAGCATGATGCGGAAACGTTTGGGTTATTCGTTCGTCGTCGAGTGCTGATATTGTGCCCTTGGTGAACGCGGTTGATATCGCCCTGGCGCTGGGCTGTTCGATATGTCGTCTCCAAACCACAAAGCGAGGCAATCTGGATCACTGTCTCTGGCGAACACAAGCGCTGCTCTCCGGAGAGGAGACCTGAAGATATCAGAACCCATTCCCTTCGACGAGGGTGGAATCGCTTTCCATGGCCCTAATACTGTGCCACCCACCAGTTACATCCAACACCCAAGCGACGCCATTTGGCTGCGGAAAAGTACGCCGGCTCAAGATGTCCATGTGCGACATGTCAGTGAAGGCCAGCCACGCCTTGGCGCGCGTGCCTCTGAAGGGCCATCCTTACTGCAGAGCAGCATGTCTTCCATCCCATCGAAGGCTTCCTTGAACCAGAAGAAACCTGGCGGTTTGCGCGCAGCCATCAAACGCATGTTCTCGAGCAAGAGACACAGGTCAGTGCCGACTGATGCGAGCGACTTCCATTACTCTGATACGGGACCTCTCAATCCTGTCGCAGAACACCGCGACCGTACGCGGCTGGAATCCGCCCCGCCTCTCGCCGCCGACTCTGCGATACGGGGAGCTGCGCTGACCTCACACTCTACAACCCGTCAACAACCTGGAGCTGTCTATGGGATCCTGCCACTACCATCTCGGCGCGGGCGCCGTAACACATTGCCTAGTCTGGTTTTCAGTGACAAAGACTCGGGTCTCCTCCCGGCGGTCGATGACTGGCCCTCGGCCCATTCGGTTCAGACGGAGGAACGGGGGAAGCAGGACACAGTGTTGGAGAGGCAGTTCAAACGTCGTTCCCGCAGTGCCGACGCGCTCAACGAGCTGACACGGCAAGGCGCCGCCGAACGTACTTCCGCTCAGGATCGAGCGGGTACAATCGCATTCTGGCGCCACAGTGCTATTCAGAACCCAGTACCAGTGTACAGTGGTCAATCGATCGTGGTGGATTCTGCGCATCCTCAATTACCGGCAAGTTCAGCCGGCCCGTCTCAGCGCACCGCTTCCAACACAAGCTTGATGCAGACCTTCGACTTTGGCCTTGGTAGCCCCGAGGCCGAGGATATCTCGCTCGAGCAAAGACTTGGGACACTCGAGATCAAAATATTCGACTTCGAGTTTGCTCTGGCCAAACTACAAGGCCACGACATTCCGAATCCCAGGATGGACCCCGGAGCAAATTCCAAGCCATGTATTCGAGGCTCGCTTCACAATGTCTTCCAGCCGAACGCGACGAATCTGACTCTGACAACCCAGTCGTCCAACAACCTTACCTACCAGTCATCTCCGGTCGGCGAGCCGCCACTGACTTTCTTGTCTTCGCCCGGGGAGTCACCCCTCCCTTCTCCCGAAGATGATGACTTGTACCGTCCGCAGAGAGCGAGTAAAGCCACCACGGTCACGGTCAGACCTGCAACCGCTCGGCGCAGATCGCCGGTCCGCTCCCGGGACTCATCGCCATCATCTATCCACATCCCCGCACACAAGTTCGAGGCTCTGCTGGACTTGGTCAAGGAAGAGAAGGTAGCTCGTTTGAGGCTAGAGGAGCAGGTCAAAGAACTACAGCGAGAGATGGAGAGCTTGAGGACACCTGTTTTTGCGACGATTAGGGAAGCATATCCCACGCCGAGTCCTGAGTCGAGTCAAAACGCCCAAGTTACGCCCCGACAGAAGACTCTACATCGGACTCCACCATTCCAACTAGGTCACCCTCGGCCAGCGGAGATCTCACGATTTAGCGGAACTGAAGACTCAGATGGTGAGGAGGGAGGCTACGAAGATGTTTACGAGACTCCTAAGGAGGAGCAGAGGAACACATTTGAGACAGCCCGGGGTTCGCCTGGGCCCGTCAAAGCATGACCGTCGTCGTTTATTCCCTGGTTATTTTGTTTGTCTTCTGAGGTACAGAGCATGCTTCTATTTCGTGTGGCGCGCTACTTTGGTTGGGACACTGCATTGAGACAGACCTTGATGGTCTCCGCACTTGGCTTCTATGCATATATTTGGCAGGAGACTGCACGATTTGGTGCTGTTTGCATGATACCCACACAGGTGTGATGACGTGGCCGAGAACGCGAAGAAACAGGCTTTGTATGAGTATACGCGGCCTGCAGAGAGGAGGCTATTTGCTTGCATATAACAGAGCGAGCAATACCAAAGATTCCAATAAACGGGCTTGTCTGATAATGCCTGCCCGACCGTCGCTGCTGAGTCCAGCGACACATAAAGAGGAGATCAGGAATAAAGGACCGGACACCGTTCGCAATTTGCCGTGCTTGGCCCAGGTGACGAGGCGGTGGTAAGTTTTCTACCACTGCGCAAAGTGGAATGAAGAAGTTCCTGGCGAGGCTGAAACCATTGCAAGGCTGAATTAGTCACAAGGCTGAGTTCATGGCAAGGTTGAGATTATAGCAAGCCTATCGAGCATCTCAACTTTCTTTCATACCTTCTCTGGCTCGTTGCTCTCTCAACTACAGCCGCTCCATATCATGGCTTGACGCTCCTTTCTTCGTGCCCATTCCAATCATCTCATTGGATCCCTTCTTTTGGTTGACCAGTCTTCCAGCAGTCTCTCGACGAGATGTCTTCCTCTCTAACACATCTTCTCCCTCCATCCGCACCACCGACTACCACAGCACAGAAATCTCACCGCCTCCTGACACCCACGACGAATCCTATCCCCTTGCTCTCCTCTGCGTGGGCAAAGAGATACAGCTACATTCATACCGTCCTCGTCCCAGGGTACTACTATATCCGCACGTCAGCTCTGATCGCAGACCCGTTCAACACCCTGCTCAGCGATCTAGGCGTCATCGCCGTGCTACAATGTCTCTTCTGCGCAATTTGCCTGCCACACGCGGGAGGTTGGGTGTCCGGCACGAGTGGAGGCCCAATCCTAGAAGGGAGCGCTAGTCCCACGGCAGCAAGACCGAAGACAACCAAGGGAAGCGGGACTCTAGTGGGAAGCATGCGGCGCAAGAACCTCGCCGGCGGAAAAAGTGCAAGTAAAGGGGGTGCCGCAGCCGGAGCGGGAGGGGAGGGCAGCTGGAGGGGCCGCATCACGGTGAGTCCAGGCCATACACCACTTATCCCAAGATCTCGCCCTTTCCACAAAGAACTAACGGAAATGATTGTACGCAGCCAACTCTATTCTCGCTGATCCTGACGCTCACACTGCCACCCCTACCTCTCACGCTGATCGCCTTGGTCCTCGGCGCGCCGCTCTACCCCACGTCCTCGATGCCACTGACCCTCCTTCTCGGTCTCCATGTCTCGGTCCTAGCCTTCCTTCCCCTCTTCTACACCCACGGCGTGTCCTCCTCTGCCTGGCGCGACGTGTCCGCCGCGTGGCTGCCCTTCGACGCCGCGGGCGTGTGGGGCGGCAGTGTAGGCGCATTCCTCGGCGGCTGGGTAGGCGCCATACCCATGGCCCTGGATTGGGACCGTGAGTGGCAGAAGTGGCCCTGCACTGTCGTCTGGGGAGTTGTACTGGGCCAGGCCGTCGGGCGAGTCCTAACCGGTGGACTTGGTTGGGGCATCGGCAAGAGGATTGATTTGAGTGAAAATCAGGAGGATGACGAGTATGTGGCCGTGGAGATGGACCAGCGAGGGGATGGACACGTCGGGAACCAGACCGACAAGGAGGCCAGAAAGGAGTGAGTGATTCAGTCGTGAAGCTTCTACGGAAGAGAAACGACCACGCTGTGGTACGCCACACCGCAACACCATCCGATATCTGCTAAGCTGCGCATTTGAATGAGATCTGACCGCCAAAAGGACCGGTCAAGCGGACTGCAAGCATGAGGCTGTTGGAGCGCACTGCGAGTCTGCCCTGCAAACAAACTTCCACTCGCATCACCACAAAGCGGCCGCGTTGCAATATGCAGATTCCTCAGGCTCGGCTCAGGCTTACAATCGGGCTCGGTTTCAGGATCAGGCACAGCATCAGCACCAGACACAAGCCCGAGTCAGACATACGTCCAAGTCAGACCCTGGCTCAGGATAGCGAGCAAGATAGCTACAGGACCTCCAACTCACCTGCACGAGCTATACCCGCGCAACCCCTTCGGAACCCCAACAGAGTCGCGGATCTCGCGTCGAAGAAAGCGTACGAATCGTACGCAGCAAGAACCTCGTCACGTCAGACCCGTCTATCCGACGCGTCGCCTCCGTACAGAGTCTATTCAGGTACCGCGTAGAAACGTACTCCGTACTCGACTCGACGTTGCCTCGGGCACGAAAACCTACCGCATACGCTACCTACCAGCGGTCTCAAACCCAATTCCACGGCAACCCGCAAACTTTGTATCTATCGCAGTACAGAGTACTCCATACAGTAACCCCCGCCTTCCTATATCGGGGACGGGGGCTGCCCTCCTCGGTGCGTCCGTTCGGAGTACTCGTAGAGAGTATTCTGTTGACGAAACACGCCAGCATGCGAGCGTGCCAACTTGGCGACTTGTCAACATGGTTACGGGTACTCGTAGTATGAGGAGTAAAGAGTGAAGGATTCAAGATTCAAGCTTTTAAAGCCCCGAAGATCAGGGGACCGAGCTTGCGACGATCCAAGATCTAAGTTTAGATTTTGAAGATCAAAGTCTAACGAGTGCAGATCTGTTTGAAGATCTGTTTGACGATCCATGATATGATCCACATAGGAGTACTCGTGCTGTACAAACCTCATTCAGGCGTTTGATGGGACAGTACGGAGTACAGAGTACAGAGTAAACTCGTACCCCATACCCAATACCCCATAGTCATTCGTACTACAATAGAGTACAGTATAGTCTGTATACTCCGTACTTACTGTAGTAGACACTTTCGTGCGTGCCGGTTCCCTCTACTACCTAGGTATCTTATTTACATAGAATGTATGCACTTGCCTCGTACGCCGCGGCATGTGGAGCTGGAATTGGAATCTCGTCCGTGCCGAAACTCGCACGCGCGTGGAAGATCAAGTGTTACTTACTGTACGAGTGCTCTGTACCTCCGTACCTCGTACTACGGGACGTTCCATCCACGCTTCGCACGCCCGGTCAATCACTTGCAGATGGCAGCGTAACCTTTGTGCTACTACTCTCTACTCAGTAGACGAAATGATAAGGAGCAAACAGGGGGGAAGAGAGCGAGATCACTTGCAAGTCATTGTCTGATGTCTCTTGTGACTGAACTTTTTAGGGATCTTTTCATTTCATTTTGGGTCAAGTCTGGCTGGGTTGTCTCTCTACCATCCCTGCGGCCATCATCTCGCTTACAGGGTCATCCACTTCCTTCCCATTGGGGTATCAATCCTCTGGTTTGGGTGTCTCTCATGCATGGGCCATGGGCACATGATCCAGCTTCATCATCATCTTCTGCCCTCCCATATCCAAGAAATGACCCATTGGCACCGGTCCAACGAATATCGCTTGCAAATTAGCTTGCTCGCCAACTCCTCCTTCACCTGGGTTATCTGTTTTACATGCAAGAAAGTTGATTGCCCTTCAAGAAGTCGCCCTCCTGGTCATCTGTTGTATCATTTTTGGGTCCCGTGAAACGCCGTCGCTATGTAGAATCAAAAAGTAGCACGTGCAGAAAAATGGCATCGCCGTAAACGAGTGTCTCTGAGGTCTAGTTGGCGTGCATCGTCAGAATCAGCTCTTCATCAGTATCTGGTTTGGTGTCGTCACGGGCAGTTCAGTAAACTCCCCGTTTCCGTTTTCTTCTTGCCACACTTCGTTCAACGCATTTAACAGCCCCCTAAGCTGCTTGTTGGACGGCGGGTGTCCTCCCTAAGCGGTAGTTGTTCGTAGAGAAGAGTCGTGCCATGACACCGCCGACACCCGAGTCGGACTTGACCTTCTTCGCGGGCTGTTGGCTCTCACACTGAAAGCTTGTCTGGTGGCCTTTCAGGCTAGGTCGAGAGGCCGAAACGGCTTTGCCATAGGCACCGTGGTAGGATGCATCCGGGCTCTCAGTCAGGTCGATAACCACGATACTGTCATCGATGTTTGACGATGCAGTGTAGGGCGTTCCTCGAGAGGTAGGCGCCAATGACGAAGATCTTGAGCGTAACGACGGTGCCACTGATGACGATCGGGAACTGGAGTGGCTGTGCATTGTGCCAGGTCTGCTTGATGGTACTAGTGGAGGAAGATCCCGAATTGAAGGTGGTGATACAGAGCGGTTGCTGACGTGGTGTCGGAATGGCGATGGCCACCTCCTGTGAGTCTGAGCCGGGAGCGACAAGGAGCTGTTGTTTGCGCTGTGTCGTGGATACCGGCCATTTGCCATGTCGTCGTCGACATAAGATGCAGGAGAATCGTAGACACCGGCGGCTCTCGGCGGAGGCGTGGCCATGATGGGAACAGGCTCCTTGCGGACGACAGGCGGGAGCGAGATGGTGGAGTCGTTAGAGGGCTGATGAGAGTGCCAGTACCGGTGGGTGCTGGTAAGCTCTGCCTCTTCTTGCTGAAGTTCCAGTTGGAAGCGGATGGGCGCAAGGAAGGGCTCGAAGTGGTCAAAAAGGTCTTGCTCGGTCACACGAGTGTCGAAGTCCAGTAGGTACAACATTTGTCTCTCCATCAAGTTGACCTCGGCAAGGCCAAAACCAAAACCCTCGAAGCCCTTCACCGAGGTATATCTTGCCCAGTGCTTGTTCTTCGGGCTCGAGTCGTTCAAATTCTTCGCCGCCAGGATCAAGGACGCCAGGAAGATGCGATGAACTGTGCATCTCATGCCCTTGGCCACCGGTGGAAGTCGTGAACGGAGGCGAGCCAAGTAGACGAGAGAGGTCATCAGAGTGGGGACCTGCACCGAAGACCGATGAACGAGGGAGGTGATGAATTGCTCGAGACTCGGCAAGGGAGGCGATGCTGGCTCCGACGACGAGGTCTGAGGTGGTGTGGAGGGCGGAGTAGGTAGTGAGTCTGCTGCTGCGGATTGGGACTCTTGGTCACATCGAATCACCTGCGATGCCTGCTTCGCCAAGTATTGGATCATATATGTCCGGACTGGTTGTCGGACAAAGTCCTCCAGTGCTGCCCTGTTTTGGGCCAAAGTGTGGGAGTCCATGATGATTTGCTGTCGGGCTCGATGTTGAGGAGATAGAAGACGAAATGAACAGCCCGAGGTGAGGCAGTTGCAGGAGTATATGGTGTCTCGAGAACCTCTGAGGGGTTTCAAGGTTCGTCAAGCGAGCGGATATGAAGTGAATGTGACAGGCCTCTGACAGAAGCGGGGAGGTTGGTGTTGAAGATATTAGTTGAAGCCGATCCTCAGTTAACTTTCACCTGGCCAGCAGATGAGGAACTCGCAGAGGGAGAGGCGTGAACGCGTTCGGATATATCAAAGTATAATATTCCCAGGCACGGCCTCGGATGTAGCTCCTGATGTTTGAGAGAGAGTCTCGTCGTATCCAAGCGAAGTAGTCTCCTGAACTGTGCGCCAGAAGTGATGTAGTAACTGCAGGGGTGCGGGTTTGGAGTCTGCAGCTAGTGGATAGGCGATGATAAACTCCAGGTACAGATATGCAGATGGCTTGGAAGCTGCGCCGCTAGGGTGATAGGGTTTCCGGGTTGGCGCAGGCAAGGATTTGTCGGGTGTCAGGGGCTGGAACCTGGAGCAGCCGGCACTTGTCTTTCGTCCTAGGCTTGTCTGCGACTTGTCCACGGCTGGGTGGTGAGAGCTCGGAGAGGCTTGAGTGAGGTGGGGAGTCCTGCCCCAGAAAAGTGTCAGGATTCGCTTTTTTCCGACGGCGGGAGGAGACAGGGGTGCTGAGTTCAACTCAACCCTTCGACACGGACGAAGGGGACGATGCCAGATGGAGAGGAGAGAAAAAGGTGAGATGGAGGCGACGGTGAAAAGCTGGTTTATGAATATGAGTGAGGCATGAATCAGAAACGCTGTCGCACCTGTTATAGATCGATTGGGCGCTTCCACAGGATACGAATGGAAACCGATGCAGGGTGCGGCCAGATGTGTCGACCTGTTGGCCAGAATCGACGGCAGCCGGCGAGATGGATCTTGTTTCGTCCTGCGCTGGCGGCTGGCAAACAAAACACGCGGATTGGGTGGCGGCTGCACGACGGAATCTGAGCCTCTGCGCGCCTCTATGGGGATGTGCAGCCGTCTTGTATTCTCGAGGGTCTGTATGGACATAGCTTGAGCTGGAGCCCGACCGTGTTCAGCGTGTGTCCTGCGCGTCTGGCTCCTTGCTGGAGTCCTGATGACCATTGCCCACCAGTGGTTCACCCGTGACCGATTCACTTGACTCGCTGTATCGCTAGCACGCCCGTAAAAGCAGGGAGAAGGGGAAAGGGATGCAATGCAATCCAGCAGATGGATCGGCATCCCGCGCCGCGCTGGAGCTGGGCACAAACCGCAGCAGGTACAAACGCTAACCTTCCGTTTGTATGGGCTTCGGCGTTGCCATCCAGAAGGTGCTGGGTATCCAGCTGCCTAGAGTTCCGCAGCCCAGCTGGTATCTGCCATCTGTCAACTCTGTGCTGTCCTTGCAGCTGCCGCCTACTTTTGCCCCATCACGAGAAGATCAGCCACTGACGAGACTCGTGCCATGGCAACCAATTTACGAATGCTATTCAATAATGTTTCTGGTTTTGCTGCTGGACTGTCCATACTGTGTACCGGCCTGCGCGAGTGGTTGCTTCGTTCAGTCCTCTCGTTCTCTCACCCCCACCATTCTCCGAAAAAGGGCACTTGACACACCTTGCGGCCAAATGCTCGGGCACCCACTCATCGATTGGGTGAGGGCCCGAGACAAACGCCTGACACGTCTGATACACTTAGGCTCACGCGATGGGTATTCGCGTGTGGTTGGGCTGCACAGAGGCATCGTCGCGTCGCGCTTCAGGGGCCTCCTCTCGGAATGCCACTGGCCACTCGCTTGATGGACATGCATCCTCCACGTCGTCCTCCTGGGTGCCTCCCTTTGGCTCGTCTGCTGACTGGTGAAACACCCCTCTCCATCTCAAGATGCACTCGCCGCAACCCGCGCGACTTGCTGGAGAACCATGGCCGATTTCCCTCCCTGTTCGGCTGGACTGCCTGCGGCCATTCAAGCTCGGTCCTCATGCTGTCTCAGGTTCCTTGATCCAGCTTCCGAATGCCACATGCTCCGACCTCCTGACAGTCTCAGATTCCCAACCACGGCTGGGTTTTGTCTCCTGGCTGCCACCATAGCTGCCGCAGATCACAATGGCACAGCCACCATCGGCATGACCGTCTCCCGTGACTGGCCATTTCTTGTGTGACCCTGATTTCGTGCTTCAATGGTAGCACCTCGGCCAACCAAATCCAGGTCAGCCAGCAGGACTCTCACCATCGGACGTGAGAGAATGGATGAAAAGATTTGTTCTCACAGCATAGCCTTCCAATCTGTGTCTACTTGTACAGGTCAACGCTTTAAATGGAGCAATGTGTAGTAACATCATGCTGCTGCAGCTAGCAGCCGCTTGATACAGATGAAATCCACAGTTTTCCGCGGTTTCGAACGTTCCACCAAGAAAAGCAGAACGGCGGATGCTTTTCTACACAGTACGAGTAACGAGTATGACCCTTCAAAATGCGCTGGACATAACAATCGTGCTATGAGCTCCAGTTGTCATCATCATTTATGTCATGCCAATGATTGTTCGCCATCCTGAACGGAAGAGCTAGGTAGGCTTGTGTTGCTAGCGGATTTGTCTTCCGAATCGATGATGATATCCTCGACGTGATGTGTAGACACCGAGTCCCAATGCCCTACGCGCATGCACGGAATTCACTTCTCGAGATGCTCTGACGACTTGTGATGAAAAGTCGAACATTTTGTTAAGCTGCAATCCATCAGGGCTGCAACAATCTTCGATCTGTACATAAACTGCTAATATGAGCATGTATTCCAGAGCAATATCCGCATCACGGACTTTCGTCAACGCCAGCGCACGTCATCATCTTCAAGGAGTGTTCGCACTCAGAGATGTTTCTCAACGAAACTCCATATCCGCTCGATCCCGTCCAGCACGAGGCGAACAATCCTTCCACTCGTCGCCAATGAGCAAAACTGTCGTTGACCAAACCAAAAAGAACAACGACCCCAATCAAGAAAAGAAAGACGAGCACGTCCAAGCTGGCAACAAGGCAACTTCGGCTGAGGGCAGAGACCATCCTGCGAAACAGCCTGATCCGCAGAAGGCTCCGGAGAGGTCAACAGGATTTGAGACCGAAGGTCCTGATGGAAACTCGGGTGAAGGAGAGGACACCGGGCATGTGCATAAGCAAGAGAAGCCTCCACTGACAAAATAATGGCTGCAAATGGCGGCCGTCAGGACTAGGACTTGGCCGGCACGAGAAGGCGGAACACAGACTCTCCATCCAGCTACGAAATGCGTCGGGGATGAAGACAAGAGGAGAAATACGTAGTGCAATGCCACGTATGCGAAAAGGCAAGGGTTTCGCCCTGACTTGGCTGAATAATTTTCAAGCACAACGGGGCAAAGAATGTTGTTACGTTCTTGACAAGTGAGTGGTCGTGGAGCTATCAGCCTCATTTACCACCCCTTGGTGAAAGAACCTCGCCTTGTTTCCACGTCTAGCATCCAGTCGACATACAGGCCCAAGGGAAGCATCCCACAGTTGAGATCGTCAGCGTGAGGGACAAAGTCATTACGAATTCCACATTTGCCTCGCAATGCCTCGCAATGCCTCGCAATGCCTCGCAAGGCCTCAGCTTGCATCAGCTCAACCTTTACTCAATCCAGCTCCCTTCGAGATGGTCCTCGGTCTGTCACCACCAATCGTTTCGAGTTCGTGAAATCCGTGTTGCCCATTGGTAGATGACTGGGGCCTTGGCTCGGTGGAAGCGATGAGGTGGCGATGCATGTGGCTGGTGATCTGCGACTCCACTAAAATCACTGTGAAGGGTGGCTGAAGGACGTGGCACGGGTATCGCCGCTCTGCACCGCTCTTCAAATGTCCTGATGATAGGGATCTTAGACGTATTCCGTGCTGAGTACGAGTATGTACCTTCAAGTGGGCATGTCTTCCCGAATTCGCGATGGTTCTGAAGCAGATGTCACCTTCGACCTGTTTTCACAAGCTCATCCAGGCCATGAGATGAGGATCGGGGGCCCGTTCAACGTTTGCAGCGGTACGGTATACACCATGCAATTGTTATACCGACGATAGAGAATGCCGAAGCCAGCCGGAGCTCACTCATTTTTTCAGCAGCCCGAAACCGACATGGTGTGTCGGCTATCTTTCGGAGCAGTTTTGCGCCATGTGCTCCTGTTCAACGTTGCCTTTTCTGCCCCGCTGTTCGCAGTCCTTCCATGCAAGTTGGTAGAGGATGGGGAGGCGTGCAAGAATGGTCGGTGTGAGGACCTTGGTCAGCGAGCGGGTGAGAAATACGTAGCACTCGATTCTCTACCAAGCAATGCGCATGGATCAGTTGGATACTCAACAAGCACGCTTGCCTTGTACATTCTGTGTACTGTGTACTCGTCCCGCAAACAACGGTGCAAACGAGGCATCTGCGTGCATGTCTTTCAGAGACTACAACTACTCTGTGTTGTGCCACAGGATATTGTCCGGCTAGCCATATCCCTCAGGGTCTGGTAGCAGTGCGCAGCCGCCACGGAAGAATCCGTTGAATCGTGAAAGCTCTGACCATCTCGATAGAATCTTGCGACGGTTCTCGAATAGTAATATTGGTAGGGTGAAATCTTATTTGCAACAATTATGGTTGATGAATCTATGGTTCGTGGCTTGGAAATGGCTCGAGACCTTCGCAGGTCTTTCCGTTCTGGCTACGACTACAAGAAGCGATGACCATCCATGTTGTCGTCAACTTGTTCTGGAATATGATCGCCTCTAGGAAGATGCCATTTTCGAGCATCCGACCCATTTGACCCAAAGGGCAACTCACCGAAAGAAGCTTGCACTCCTACACCACGCAGACTGTTGCCCAAACCTGTCAACATCAGCGACAGCGTGGCCATGTCGACAGGTACAGAGGATAGACTCCTCCGGAATCTCATTTCATTTGTCGTCATTATTGCCATCGTTTTTCTACTCATCTGGTTGAAGAGGAAACGTGAGCGACATGTTCATGTCGACGGTCTGAGCCGCGATCGCAACGCCATCAGGGTTGCGCCAGTGGGGTATACCTGCGAGAATCTCATCATTCGTCCACTTCCACCAGCTTATGAACCCCGAGGACGCGCTCGAAATGGGATTCATCCTCGAATGAGTGGACTGACGCCTCGAACACTTCGCTCAAAACGACCCCGGTCATTCCATACTTACCCTGGTCCAGCGGGGGAAGACACGACTCCCAATATTGATGGTAACCAGTCGAGCTCCCCAGACACTCCTACACTTGTCGGAGGTGGCCACGCCGGATGCGTTATACGCGCAAATACCGCCGATGAAAATATTGAAGACGACGACCATTTCCTCTCATGGAACACCTCATCATCACCCAGCTCAATTTTGCCGCAATATTTGCAGTCCGATCCTCATGGACCTCCTAAATACGAGAGATGAGTCAACTCTGATATCGAAAGCGTTGGAAGCTTTCCATAAAAATCGCGGGTGATATCATGCAGAGGTGATGGCGCACAGCCAGCGGCTACGGCTGAGACTCGTCGGTTTGAAGTCCTCCCGGGAGGTGCGATGCACGCTGAGGACGTTATGTAGCCTGAAGAACAAACCCCTAATCGGCCTCTCTGGACCACAAATATCAGTAATGAGACAGGTCTGCCTACGGGTCGACATTTCGGGTGTGTGCTTGATACTGCCAAGACCAGCCTTGAACTGGGCCGCAAACGGACGAATTCATATTCCTTTCTTTTCTCCATCTTTCTGCTTCTGCCTGTCATGCGATAGCTTCCCGCTTTCGTACAGGCAACGGTGTTCTGTTGCTCGGCGCCTTATCTGGCATGGGTCCGAAGCTTTGTTTCACTTGGTTCGCCATACCACGTCTCTGCAAGCTGACTTGCGTTCTTAGATGATGTGTACAATTCGAGTGGGGAGGTTGAAAGTTAACCAGGCAGACGCCGGATGACCTCAAGGTCAAGACTTCCCAGATGACTACCTCCGAAGATCCTCAAAACGGATCTCGCTCCAACGGGGCACCGCCAGAGACACAACCATCCTGGACATATCCCACACGAACTTGCCGAGTTTGCCTCGAAGAAGTCCCTGCCACGGTTACTCTCTACCCTCCGGGTCTCCCTCCTGCCTTCCAACGTCCCATCGTCGAGTACAAGAATGAAGATGAGTACGGCCGGTTGGTCAAGCCATGTCATTGCAGAGGTGGGATGCGGTACATCCATGAGTTGTGTCTGCACCGCTTAAGAACTGAGAGCGTGAGGCCGGGCTCGCTCTGGAAGTGCCACCAGTGTGGGTATAAATTCAACTTCAACAGACTCACCGTGCAGAAATATCTCGACAGCAAGATATCCTCCGGCGTTCTCACAATTTTGGTCATGCTGGTGGTGATGTTCTTGCTCGGATTTGTGGCGGATCCCATACTCAACTTGTACGCCGATCCCTACGAGACAATCGTCGGCCACGAGGATGTCTGGCAACCCGTTAGAGTCAACGATCCCCGCGGAGGGGTATCTGGGTGGGCTCAACATTTCACCAAAGGAATGGTGTCAATGGGGTTGCTGAGTTTCGTGAGAACAATGATATTAAACCCTTTCCAATGGTGGAATCTGAGGAACACCGGTTTCGTGAGCAGCAGGATCTCAGGCAGATCCACGACAGGGCGAGACCGGGCCATCAATGTCAGCTGGATAGCGGTGGCTATGGGGATTCTGTCGGCATCGTACTTCTTCTACAAGTGGGTGCAGACAATTATCGGCAAATCTCTCTCACGGATCGGGAACAATATTGTTGACACCCAGCTACCCGGAGACGATGAGGATCTCAAGCCACCGCCGGGATGGAAGTTCGAGGACATTTATCCGGAGGCTGCCAACGCTGCAGCCGGTGTCCCACGTGATGAGGGTGCGCAAACAGTCAACAATGAAACCAAAGAGAAGGACCAAGAGTCTGATACTGTCGGACGAGGAACAATGCCAGGGACTTGGGGTTCTACTGCTTACAGCTCTGCTTTGGACGATGTCCAATCCCAGGGCTGGTCCTTCAGAGGACTGTAGTGGTGCAGAGTTGAGCTTTATACACAGTCCGTCATCCCTAACTGTACGTTCGAACCTGTCCAGCTTGTTTTACATGATCGCCCAACTTTGAGTTGTCACATCTGTCTCAGTGAAGTGCCAATCAGTCAGTGCGCGAAGAGCAATAGCACTCTACTTTGAAGATATATTGACGTTATGTCATTGATTCTCATCAAGGTAGTTTGCAGAGCCAAATGATTTCCTCATCAACAGGTCCTCAATCCATGGTCTGTGCTGGAATACAGTTGGTAAACTTATGTGCCAAGTTGAATGGAATGAAATTTTGATGAGTGACCGACTCTCTTACCTCCCTCTCCGATGATGCCTGCCCTGGTTGAGGGAAGGCAATTGCACCTGAAGATGTCCAGTGAAACTGCCTCTCCTGCACGTTCTTGTACTTTCGAATCCTTTGACTTGCTTCTGCCTTCATTTGTTCGAGATGATCTCCAGTGCGGGTCTTCTCAAGTTTGTGTTTCGAATCTTTGACTTTCAAACGCACCACCGTGGTTGATAAGCCTTGAACGATGGCCGGCTCGCTCGACCTAACAGATTCTGACCTCTCTGACCTCTTCGACCGTTATCCAGACATTAAATTCGATGCAGCTGAGGCGCTCATTCCCGCATACGAAATCAACGAACACTTTTCCTCGCCGTGTTCAAGTGCCACAAACCACCAAGAGACGCCCACTTCGAGGAATGCAAACTCTACGGCCCATACCACTCCACTTCGGACAAGCTATGGCTGCGGTAAGGAGTCAGTTCTGCCGACATTGGAGCTGTTCCTCGAAGGGATTGAGAGTGCCGACCTTCCTCTAAGTTCGAAAGAGGGATTTGAGAACCTGGCAAGAGAAATGACGATGCTCGGGTCCCTATTATTTCCGGCGAACGGTGATTACTACGAGGGCTACGTCGATTCGAACAAGCCTGAGGTATTCAGCAGGATCCAGTCAATTTTGACGCAGGTTCTACAAGCCAATAACAAGGTGTCCGACGAGATCGACAACATCGAATTTGTGAGAGCCCGTGCACCATTCAACATTGCACCTCAGAGGCAAGATTTGTGGTGCAATTATCGACAAAGAGCAAAGCTGATCGCGCAGTGAGTAGCAACATTGCCTGTGGTCGGAGAGTGCTGATTGTTCACTAGATACGTTTCCTTACCTTGTCGGACGGAGAAGACCTTCCTGGAGGAGCTTACACACATTTTCGATGCTTATGTCTACAACTCGTTCCTTGAGCTGTTGGCGCTGGAAAAGGTTGACACTGATGTCCAAGACGCGATGAATCGCCTCTATGATGTGTTGATGTCTCTTCTCCACAACTACAATATCTGGATGAAAGGAATGAGGCATTTCAGAGAAAACCACATGCACCCGATAATGAGCAGGATTCGAGCGTGTCCAGAGATACTACGAGATATCGCTGAAGCTGAGTTTGTCAAGGCTGTGGCGGAGGCGGCGGTTGGAAGTCCAGAGGCGCCAGGAATGCAGCCAGCAGATGAGAGAACGATACAAGAGCTCAACTTGAGCACGAGTCGTCGGCGTGCACCAATTCCACGCAGAATGAGATCGAGATACAGGCGGGAGCACACTGTATAGGTCACGCTCTGAGAATTCAAAAGGACGTGTCCTGCGTCCCGTTGAAGAGGAAAGGAGGGCGCACCTAGCGAGACCAATTTAACGGCTTCAAAGGTCTTGCTATGCAGCGCAATTGCACGGGGTTTCGTGAGATCTCCATGACTGCTGCTTCAAGAACACATCGCTGGCACGTTCCAGTTCCATGGTAATATCCGTTACTAGCTCTCTGATGGGCATTAGCGGAGTTTTCCTCGTAAATGCCGCCTTGGTTACATACACGTCGTTGTACGTAGGATCGATCTCGCTCCAACTGTTTACTGTCGCTGACTGTTCTCCGTACAAAGTAGAAGTTTGTCTTTGGCTGGTGGCTAGGCGTTGACGTCATTCTAAAGTCACTTTACGCGCTTTCGACGCGTCTCGATGAAGACGTTTTGAACACACACTGACCCAAGAAACTTCGCTCACTTTATCTCGCAACCATGGCGCTGCTGGTTGATAAACTGCGGCCTCGCTCTTTGGACGCTTTGACATACCATAAGGATCTCTCGGATCGTCTCGCAGCACTGGTAAGATGCTCACCTCACATTGAGCTCAGCGCTCACTCAATGCCAGGCCTCTTCCGCCGACTTCCCCCATCTCCTCTTCTACGGCCCATCCGGTGCAGGCAAGAAGACACGAATTCTAGCAACCTTACGCGCCCTCTATGGCCCCGGAGCCGAGAAGATCAAGATCGACGCCCGTATGTTCACGACCTCGACGAATAGAAAACTGGAATTCAACATCGTGTCCTCCGTTTACCACCTAGAGATTACCCCGAGCGACGTTGGAAATTATGATCGGGTTGTCATCCAAGATCTGTTAAAAGAGGTAGCACAGACACAGCAGGTTGATCTCACAGCAAAACAACGCTTCAAAGTCGTGGTGATCAATGAAGCAGATAGTCTTTCTCGCGACGCGCAAGCCGCACTACGCCGTACTATGGAGAAGTACTCAGCAAACGTCCGACTCATCCTTGTGGCAAACAGCACGGCGGGCATAATCGCACCCATTCGCTCTCGAACACTCCTTATCCGAGTGGCTGCACCCACAGAATCGGAAATCTGCGACGCGCTGGTGAAAGCCGGAAAGAAGGAGAACTGGAAAATCATACCGGCGCTCAATGATCGGATTGCAAAAGAGTCAGGACGCAACCTGAGGAAAGCACTGCTGATGTTCGAAGCCGTGTACGCGCAACATCCAGAACCCAGCGAGAAGACGCCTATCCCGCCGCCAGATTGGGAGCTTCTCATCGAGCAGATTGCACGAGACATCATCCGCGAACGGTCACCGGCTATGATTCTCGCGACGAGAGCCAAATTATACGACCTGCTAACACACTGTATTCCCGCAACCATGATTCTCAAAACTTTGACGTGGAAGCTTGTCGCGCAACCAGAAGTGGATGATGCTCTCAAGGCAGAGATTGTCAAATGGGCAAGTTTCTACGAGCATCGGGTTAGGTTGGGAAGCAAAGTCATCTTCCACCTCGAGGCGTTTGTGGCCAAGTTTATGAGGATTTTCGAAGGATATCTCGTGGGCATGGACTTCTGAGCGCGTAGACTGAGCAGACAAAGACCGGCATGGACCAGATACGGAGCGGGACGACACATGAATGTGTGACACGATGGAGGCGTCGACATGGTCGCAAATGCATTCCAGCGATATGAGTCAGCGATGTATGAACGTGGCGTTTGAGGCAGGAGGTGTGGTCGAACCGGGATAACGATCGGCTTGAGAGACCGACATCAGGGTCTAGGCAACACACAGATGTTCCATCGTACCTTTCGGCCTTCGATTGGCGAGAGGGCCATATGGCTGCCACGATGTATCTCTCAACCACGCCACTTTTGGCGAGACATTATCTACTCACCGACGAATCCGACGCGCTCTTCGGCTGAAGATGGATATGGATTGGTGAAGCTGGCGCCGCCCACGGGTTGCCAATAGCCGTTACGTGCTCATCTCTTATCGACATGCTGCAAGCTCGCCGACATATCTGCATGGTTCGGCGGTCATGTTTTCTGAGCGCCAGGTCTGTGCTTCTCATCGGCAGGGACGGCGGTCAAGACCTCACAAAGAAAACCCCAAGCCTCGGCGGAGATCGGCACTGCTTCGGTATCTTTCCTTCCTGTCTGAGCTTTTTGGCCATGAGCGTCGAAGGATGAGTGTTGATAGCCAGCTCAGTAGATCGACGGCAAAGCTTTCAAGTAAAATGTTGAAGATAAGGCCCTCGTACAACACGAAGCTGTTGAGAGAGAGGAATCTCAGGAAGTTAAAACGTGCCCGGACCCATTGCGGGGATTGCCCGGTGGAGAGCCGGTTTCCTTATCAACGTTTGCGCGACAAAGCCCTGACCTTCCGGTTTCGGCTATAGAACGTCGCTTGGTATTCAGTCGCTTCAGCAGAACATGGCTTTGGAAGATGCACATCTCCGCTGTTGCCCGGGGAGTGAGCGGTAGTCGAGAGGGCAATGGGATGGGTATAAAGATGGAGGTGAAAGGATGCTGGTGATCGGGGACGGGAGTATCATCTTTGTGTGCGGCGGTGTTGCTCTGTTGCTGTGTCTCCTATCCCCCTTCAGCCTTGTCGAGAACCCACCAACCATGGCCGGCTCAACTGTCCTCGCCGCACTGAAGCTGCTCGGTTCAGCTCTTTTACTGTCTCAGCTATGCTCCGCTACCCCTGTGAAACTGGAGGAGCGTCAGGCATATGCAATGGTCGGTACCCTCTCCGTTTGCCTGGAACTCCCAATTGACTATTTTTCGTACAGATCGGAGATGGCTTCGAGGATGCGACTATGACGCTCGGCAGCTACTACAACTACTGGACCATCACCAACGGGACTTTTGACTTGACTCGAAGCCTGCGGTCCCCGACCACAAGCCCAAAGACCCTTCCGATGATGGGCAGGCGTGAGGCCATCAAGATCGAGCCGAACCGCACGGCTCTGGTCATCATCGACATGCAGAACTACTTCTTGCACCCGGAGCTCTCCCCGAGGGCCACTGATGGGCGTGCTGCCGTCGCGCCAACCGTCCGGATGATCGAGGGATTCCGCAAGCACGGCATGAAGATCCTCTGGGTCAACTGGGGTCTGACCGAGTACGACCTCTTGACGATCCCTCCCGCGTTCAAGGCCGGCTTCAGCGGCGGCAGTAACCTGGCCAACGACAGCTTCGGGAGCGACATGGGCACGCTCAAGGAGAACGGCAGCACGATCGAAGTGGGCAGGCTGTTGATGCGAGGGTCCTGGAACGCCGAACCATATGGCGTCCTGGGCACGATGAAGGACGCGGGCATCAAGGCCGGCACCGATCTGTTGTTCAACAAGAACCGCTTGTCCGGACTGTGGGGTCCCCAGACCCCATTGGGACTGTGGCTGCAGGAGAACGAGATGACGACTCTCTTCTTCGGCGGTGTCAACGCTGATCAGTGTGTTTGGTCGACGCTCGTCGACGCCTACTTCAAGGGTAAGCAGTCACCATGTTGTCACATCACTCTGCCGTCGCGTGCTAATTAACATCCTTGCTCAGGTTATGACGTGGTGTACGTCGACGACATCTCGCAGACAACCAGCCCCTCGTACGCAGTGAACATGACAAGATACAACGCTCAGGGCTACGGTGAGTCCGTCAAGTACGTGGCAGAAACAAAGCTGACTAGTCTTTAGGATTCATGGGTAATAGTACCGCTATATTGAAAGCGCTTGGATAGTGCGGGTGCTTCTGCCATGTCGGCCAAGGGTGCCGGGTGAGAACGGGAGACATTTGTCAAGCTATAAACAATCTTGTCATGTTCCTGGTGAATGAGCTTTGTGAATGTCTATCCGCTCTGGGCGGACCGCTACTCGCCGTCGTAGGTTACAAGCAATTGTTGTCACTGACCGCCACCGTGCCCATCCAGGTGACAGTTGTTTCACTTGGCTGCGGCGTGACTCATGCTGGATACTGTAGGAGTGAAGACAGATCGCTTGGCGAAGTGAAGCGCACTTTCTATGGCTACATAAGTCGTCGCTTCTTCGCAAAGTTGTATCTCGCGCGCTGACCTCATCATTGCATGCGTCAAGCAGAGCGAGGAAACATACAGTCTCTACCTAAACTAATCGGATCTCTTCGATATGCTCTATTCAACCATCCTTCCCGTTCTCCTCTTTCTCTTCCAGGCCGCCTTCTCTGGAGTGTACGCCAAGTGCTGCCGCCCAGACGCAGGAGGCGACTGCGGCGACAACTCTGCCGGAACGCCCTGCTGCGGGTACAAGCCCTGCAATGGATTCTGCTGTGATTGCAAAGGCGGTAGGTGTCCGTCCTCTGGACTTTGACTTGTCTTCTTGGCTGACTGTCTTCCGCAGTTCAAGTGATCCGCGAAGTTATCGAAGCTGATGACCACGAATGGACATCTGTCATCACTGCCCCTGTTGGCACCACCTGGACTTGTCGCGCGAGCCACATCACCACATGGTACCCTCCTCCGACTGAGATCAGCAGCGCCCAGAAACGCGACGTCCCAGCCACGACAGTCCTGCGTGATGATGACGCCAACTTGGTTGCATCTGTCACGAGAATGGCCCGGCCGACAATCTCCAGCTCGTTCGCTCGTCCACCATACAATCCCGAGATGCTAGCGGACTTGCAAAACACATTCAACCACGTCTGTCGCGGAAGAAAGCACAACGGCGTCAATGTGATTGACCTGGACGACTACTTTGGCTACTTCAACGTCACCGCCGAGCGCAGAGTTTCAGACTACGCCAGGGATGTGGAGGCAAAGTTTCGAGCACACGACATCAACAAAGACGGAGTGCTGACAATTGAGGAAGTCCAACTGCGTTGCGGCAGCGATGGTTGTATGCAGGCTCAGTAGGGGAGATGTCCCGGGGAAGTGGAAGTGGTGGATGAAGAAACACGGCGTGCATGGACATTCGGAAGAACTGTTATTCCGAAGCGCAGCCAAGTCGGCTTGGTTACGCCACAAGCCACCGAGCATGAACCACAATGACATCACACGGACATCAATCACTGCGCTCAAACAATCCCAGTCTGTGACCTTGACACTGTCGTGACTACTGCGCAGTATTGATAGTCTTATCTTCAACTCTTACACAAACTGCTTTTCTTGCGATTCCTGTGACCGGCTCGGCTACTCGTGTTTCCCTCTTGTTGTCAGGGCCCTGGCTTTCGTTTCCTTGACGTCACTGCCTGATTTCCTGGCGATCACCTTGATCCCCGCACAGTGTGACTTACTGCCCGTACTGCGCTCAACGTCCGCTTAATTTCACTAAAACCCCTCTGCTGTGATTTCGTGTTCACTCCGAACAAGCCACCCGATCAAGCTCAACCCAAGCGCCAGAATGTCTGCCCTCGACCCGGAGGCTCCCTCACAGCCGAGCCAACAAACCGGCTTGAACCAAGGTCAAAATCCCGCCTCAAAAACCTCAGAAGAACAGTCCACCTCAAAAGATGCCCCCTCCACCCAATCCAAAACCATCGACCACCGTCAACCTCACGACGTACCGGAGAAACATGGCGACGAAGCGAACTTCGGCTCCATGGCTGCATGCGAACGGGGCCCGTTGACCGAGAAGTCGGTTCCCGGCTCCGATGCGCAGAACTACGCCAAGGGCGACAGCAATCTAGAGGGCGAGCAGATGCGCATGCCGGGCGAAGGCGACGTTGCAGACGCTGTGAGAGGTGGTGGTGGCGGCGGGCACGGCGAGGAACAGAGCCTGACGCAGAATCTTGACAAGAAGGTCGCCGACCATGAGGCGGAGTTGCATAAGAGAGGGGAGCGGACGGGGAAGGAGATCGAGGAAGAAGAGAAAGAAGACTGGACGGGCAAGAAGGCCGATATTGCTAGCGCGCTGAACGAGGGTCGAGAGGGCCGCGACGGAGCAAACCGGCCCGCGATGGTGTTGGCCGCAGAGGAGTAGGCCAGAGGCATGAGCTTAGCTTAGCGGAGTCGAGATACCCAGGGATAGCCCAAAAGGTCTGAGCCCAAGAGCCCCGGTTTGGCGATGAGGGAACATGGTTGAGCATCGCCGTGATGGCTTCGATCTGTCTGTAGGAATGTTCTGCTGCTACGGTGCGCGAATGTTCTCCGGCCATATTTCTCAGTTATCCTCTCCTTGCCCAATTAGCGGAGGCCATCATCAGAAATCATTCACCGGTCATTCGTCGGTCTGCGGCAAGGTTTTGGTATGTCTTGTCGTTGTGCGGCTTAGGAACGGCGACTCTCTATTCTCACCAGCTCGTGACCAGTCCTACTACCTTCAAGCTCGAGCCAAGTACTAGGACAGTCCCTGATTGGTAGAGATGGAGCCAATATAAATCCCATAGATGGAGCCTTTTTCTCACCCTGAATATGCCGAGTACGGGATGTGAGAGGTGGTGATGCCCAGCGTTGAGGAACTTTACTCCGTACTGGGTACGAAAACTGGGTGCCAAAGAGGGAAAGGTGGCGGGCCACAAGCGGGGTCACGTGCCACAGCGTCATTGCCGACATGTCACCGCGGTGGCCCCGCAGACTAGTAAACTTAGACTTAGGCCGGAAATTTGCAAAGCGGCGAGGACCAAAGTTTGATGTCTCGTTATCGATAGGGGGCTGGGAGTTCGCGCGCTGATCGCGACTTTGAGGCAGCAGTGCCCACTGATTCTCAGCATTTACACTTCTGTCAAAAGAACAGTGTAAGAGGTTGCTGGGCCATGACCTCCACGTGCACAGGAGGCAGCGATGGGCAACAATAAGTAAGTACGAAAGTCGCTTTCGGCACAATGCCATTGTCCTCGACCACGAGCACAAAGAGCCAAACGAGCATATCACTCGAGGGCAGACGCAGCTGGCCTGTGACAAATTGTCGCTGATGCTCCTCGTCGTCGTTTGGGGCTCGTTGACTTTCTCTCGCTATGTGGACTGTCCTTGACTTCTTTTGCTGCCCCTCATTCTACCCTTGAAAGACCCGAGACACAGCCAGAGACACACATTTTACGAGCTTCCAACTATCAAACCAGGAAAGCAGAAGCGCAAGATGTGTTACTATCACGCTTCCCTCTTCCTAGTGTGCGGGCATCTTGAACTGTCCGGCAATCCGATCGCGGACTGTCGTTGCTCGCACCGAGACGCACAGGCCATTCATCCGGATCACAAGGAAGAAAGAAAGAATGTCGAGAGCTACCATCCCAAGAAGTCCCAGGAGGGGCACGCATCACTCCCGAGTCCTCCGGCAACACCGCCCCCCGTCACAGATTGCCAGCGCAACCTTATCCATCCTCTGCATACATTCCGAGTCAAGTCCCTGTGCCCAGAGTGCCAGGAAGAGCGCGATGCCCGCATCGAAGCGTTTGAGATCCAAATGCGGGAGGACCTCGAGCGGCGGATCCTGGCCCGGTCGGCAGAGTGGAACGAACGAGGCACCGAGGTCGGGAGGAGAAGGTTGTTCCGGGCCTCAACCACACTGGCCATGATAATGGAGGCGCCTCTCGCAGCGAAGAGGGAACAGCCGGAAGAAGCATGGGAGTGTCAGACCCAGGCGGAAACGCAGAGAACGCCACCCGCAGACAGCGTGGGAAAGATGGTGGATGGATTCCGTCGCCGGGTAGGATGGAATCAATGTGAGATCTCGCCGACCAAGAAGGGGCTAGAACAGAGTCCTGGCGACATGTCGGCAGCTACACAGAGTTCGCCTCTCGGCGGGAGATTATCTTTCGCAGCGTTTGCTGGTGCTTCAGAAGGGAAACAGTGCAGCGTCGGTGTGTGACTTGGTAAAGGGAGGGAGCAATTGGATTCGGAAAGCCAGCATGGCTGCAGCGAGGATCGCGTGGTGTCGAAACCAGCGACTGATCTGCTATTTTGGCAACAATAATGTATTCACCACAGCTGTGCAAGCACGTGATATCAATTTAATTATAACTGTCCATTTTCATGTCTGCTAAGTTGCAACGAGCAGAGCTCCGCAGCAGTGCTGGAATGAGTGTCGAGCACAGACAAGAGCGGCGGCGGCTGCATACCAAAAGTGGAATCAGGCGTAGTGGTCGGCTGCCGCCGCTCTTAAGTAGCTCGTGTTGGGTGGTTCTCAGGACTGCAGCTCTGGCACGGTCATCAACACCACGCCAGACAGTCGAGAGCTCCTTTCAATCGCACTTCCTCTTCCCGACGCCGCTCAGTCGTAAGCCACACCTGGGCCAGAGGGACGAGCGCTTCTTTTGGCCTGCGCTCGTTTCCTGTCCATAGATCCACATCCTACCTCTCCCACGGCCTGAACAGTCTTCCACAACGGTCACCATGCCCACTCCTGAATCCGAGGGCTTTTTGCGCCAGAAGCCCAAAGTCCCGCCCACGTTCGAAGGTGTCGATTTCCAAGACAATGAGGCGGTCGCCGACGCCAGAGATGCCATCATCCGGGAGCAGTGGGTTCAGAAAATGATGCGGAGGCTGGTCGGCGAAGAGATGGGTATGTGTGCTGCCCTCTTCTACACAGTTTGCGGTGGAGTCAGTTGGGAAATGGCATGAGACGGGGTCCATCGTCTACGTGAAGCTGGCGGACGGGCTGACTTTATGTTTCAACGAAGCTGGCAGGCCGTCAGGCGGCGCTGCACTGTTTTGCGATACTTCTGTCCAGGCCATTTTCTAACGTGATCGCTGCTCAGGAAAATGCTACGCCCGTGAAGGAGTCAACCACCTTGAGAAATGTGGGAAATACAGAGGTAAAAGGCCCATTGCTACTCTACCTATCACCGAGGCGCCCTCACGGTATCACGGTAATCTCTTTGTCTTCAGCGGCTAATCAACCCGAACCAGACCGCTACCTGCAACTCCTCAAATCCACCCGCGAACTTGGTTTCCGAGGCCGGCAGCAGAATTATATCCCCGGTGTTGATGGTCCCGCTGGCGGTCCAGAGGTCCTGACAAATTATCCCAGTGCGCAAGAAGCCAAGGGTTCAAGAGGGTCAGATACAAGACCTGGGAACACAACCGGCAAGGGTGGCTCGACGCTGTACTAGAAGATGTTCGAAAAATCAAAAGGGTCGTGCACAACAAGCACCGTATCTCCCATGACAAGCGGAGATATTGTACATACCACGGGCCGACGAACCCGTACAACGGAGGAGTCAACGGCCGTCTCGCATTGAGTGATGATAAAAGATGCTACTTCTAGGAAGTCTCAGCAGTCAGGACGTGATCTAGCTACCGCAAGCTCAACAATTCAATGTGCTCCTTTGGCATTCGTCCTTGGAAAGTTATATGGACAGAACCTGCCACACGCTTTGAAGTGGTACATAGCACGGAGTGCTCTTAAGCCGGCGTGCGATGACTAGCTTCGCATTCACATCTGCTCTGGCACTTCGCGAGTAAGCCTTTCATCGTGAAAGTGAGGTGCACGTAAGGTAACTTTTGATTTTGGAATTCCTAGCTTATGGAAGGATAGCATGATGCTATACGGCCTGAATTTCACTTGTGGCAATGGGCCCTTCTCGAGCTGACTTGATGCTATCGAGATCGTCGTGCTCACAGAATCCTTATGCCTCTCCCATTCAGAGCTTGCTTCTCTTACCCGACTTCTCCGCTGCATATGTTGCCAGAGCATCCATCAGCGGCGGACTCAGCGCGTCATACGGCTCCAACCCGATATCCTTCAGCTTTTGCCTGACTTCGCCCATCTTCTCCGGTGGATATCCCTGCTCGATCAAGCTGGACACAAACGCGGCGAATTGCGGCTCCTGCCATCCCTTGTCGTCACTCAACTCGACATGCACGAAGCTGAGGCCCTTGAAGGCGTGATCCTTCTCGATGGGCCCGTACATGTGCACGCCACAGTCCTTGCACGCCTTACGGAGGATGGTGGCTTCCGGGTTCAGCACGGCGAGCTTGTCTTCGTTCTTGGTGACCTTGACGTTCTCGTCGGGGGTGACGGCGACGACAGAGAAGAGGGCGCCCTCTGGTTTCCAGCACTGAGAACATCCGCACGCATGGTTGTGGAGGACGTTGCCCTTGATCTCGACCTCGACCGGGTTGGATTTGCAGTGGCAGCGGAGAGTGCCGCCAGGGAAGTCGGCTTTGCCCTTGACGAGGCCGTTGTCGATCAAAGGATGGAGTGATGGTGCCATGGTTGCTCTGAGGATTCTTGGTGCAGGATCTTCGTGCTTTGACTCTCTCGCGTGTACGGTGAACGGTATTCTAGTAGATGACAATTTACGACGGGGCTCGAACAGCACCACCCTGGGACCAACCTTTTATATCATTTCAGCAGAGCACCCGGCAGTGTACCGCGCTCTCACCCGTACACAAACGGGGGCTTTTTCTCGGGCTTGCCTGCATGGTATGAGGGGTAAAAGGCTTCGTTCGCGTGCCGTACACTCGCCGGTCGCTCATCAATACCAGATTGAGGAGATGGAATCCCCTCGAAGCAATCCGCAAGTCCGATTCACGACGGGATCCCCCCCTCTCAGCATTCGGATGGGGCATGGACAGCAGTATCCTTGTCCCACCGTCGGTCGGCAGTTGTGGGGGGTCCGACGCATTTCTCGCAATATGGCGAAATATCATGTCAGACTCGCGCACGAGGCGGCGGTGGAGCTGATCAGAGGGGACCCAGATAAGACTCCTTCCCGTGCCCTCCCCTTTTCGCAGGAAAGGTATACTGAAAGCGAATAAGGTCCGGAGTCAAATGGAATATTCCGGGTGATTGTGGAGGAGATGTGCCTGGACAAGGGGGCTTGGGGCTTTGCTGCTGGAAAGGGAACACGAGATCGAGCTCCAGCCCGGAGTTAGGAAAGATCACGTGGCTGATCCACTACATTTGGGCATGCGTCAGATGGTTCCTCCGTAGCGTTTTATACGGAGAAGCACAAGTTGACTAACCGTCACCAAGCCTTGGAAACAGGCACGGCGGGAACAAGCAACCTCACTTTTGAACAACCCAGTCCTGAGACTTGCCCCTGGCATTCCCTGGTTGAGGAAATCATACCTCATAAGGAGGACCAAAAACAGAAGAATGCCGTTTCCGTTTGTGCTTTCCACAACGTCCCATATCTCGTTCCAGGCCAGCCTGACCTCATCCACCCATCCCTCACTTCCTTCAGCGGCTACATCTCAGCGAGCCATTGTCCGGGCGGCATTGAAAACGCACAAGAGATTGTCCCCCTCCCAGCAGGCAAATAATCTGCTGTCACTTTCGTCCACGATCCAAACCTACTTACGCTACCTCAGCAGCTTAGATCTCGCACTGTCTGGTAAGGCCGTGGCTGGAGAGGACGTTGATATTGCACTCGCCAAAGAGCCCGAGATCGAATGGCGTCCCACACTCAGCTCCACTGCGATCCCGGGTCGTGACAATGAACGTGTCAAGGGCAAAGGCCTTGACTATGAGATTTTCTTCATCCACCACACCCTGGCGCTGATACAAAATTTACTGGCCAGGCAGTCTTTACTGGGCCTGTACGCCGCAGTCAGCCCGACTCCTGAAGAACGGACGGCGTCGGTCCAGAACGCGACCAAATTTCTGAAGACAGCCTACTCTCTCCACTCGTATTTACTACTGAGAGCGAACTCATCGACAGATGGGCCTCCTACATTTCCCTCCGCAGCGGTTGACGTGTCCCCCGCCGTACAATCGGGTCTCCAGCACTTGACGCATGCAGAGTTCAATCTCCTGTGTGTGCTGAAAGACGACCCCTATCCAGCACTCCTGATCCAGTCAAGAAACAAAGACGACAAGGAGTGGATGATCCGAGCGCCTCAAATTCCAAAGGTACGTGCCCAAGTGCTGACACGGCTATGCATTGGAGCATCACAACACGCGTCTGCCTCGTTGGCCGCGCTGAAGATGGAAGGCGCAAGAGTGTCCAAGGACCTGCTAGAGTACTGTGACGGCATCCAACGATCGTCCCGAGCAAAAGCATGCCGGTTTCAGGCATTAGATGAGGACGGGGCTGGGCAGATCGGAAAAGCGATCGCCTGGATCCGGGCAGCCATGGACGAGCTCGGGCTTGACGTGGCCAAGGAAGGGACAAAGTCGTCTGGTCTCGGGAAACTGAAGAACTCATGGCTCGAGCGGAGAGAAGACAAACGCATTGAAAAGGGGAGCACAAACTGGGGCCTGGACGGTGGAAAGCTTGAAGAGGCCCGGATCGTGGAATACCTGGCCAAGAAGTTCAACAAGGAGAATGACACCATCAGCAACCAGTTGGTCCCTGAATGGAAGCCTCTGCTGGCGACTCTGCCGAGCGGGATGAACATGCCCATCGACGAGAGATGGAAGCCGGCGTTGGTGGAAGAGGACGAGTTGGCATCCATGAGGGCTCCTCCGGACGAGGATGACCTCGCTGCCGCAAACAGTTCGGATGACGAGGCGGACATGGCCAAGGAACCAGTAGGCGCATTCCCTGGGACTCAACGAGATTACGGTGGCAGGGCCACAAGCTACTATTGAAGGAGTGCCACCACTCGGATGGCCCTGGTTGCCAGATGCATCCCGGCTTCGACGGCTTTTCGACAAACATGTATAGATTACTTGTTGGAGTTTGGTCTTTGCGAAGGAGTGGACATACCCAGTACGATTTCAATCTCAATCGCGCAGTACAAAGTGGCTTTAGTTGTTCTGCTTCATATCCAACACGGAGAACAGCACGGAGTACGGGATAAGGCATAATTCCTGACCTATGGACACGACGGAGTACAAGGTACATTGCTTTGCTGACTGACGGATCCCCGCGTACGACCCCCACCTACAGTAGACTGTGACTCCCTTGGTGAACGCCCTCTCGAGCTCCTCTATGAGCCCCTGTCCCCTGGTGTTTCGAAATTGTTTCAAAACACGTGGCGCACTTCACCACCCACCAATCGTCCACTCGACCACCTCGATTTCCATCACCCTGTCGAGTTCATGGTCAGCATCGTTCGTGCACGACCTTCCTATCGACCACCCAAGCGCGCATCATCCGCGAGCGTTCTAGCATGATGGCGTGACGTGACGTGACGTGACATGAACTGCTGCAACGACAATCCTACCACTGCCACCGCCACTGCCACTGCCTACACCATGTCATGTCATGGCTGGGTATGGTTCCACGAGCCGATCCAGCCTGACATTCTCTGGCTTCCACCTGTTCCGCCGGTGGGATAGGGTAGGATACACGGCGTGTTGCGATCGTGACCACTGGCCGCGGGCGCTTGGCCGTTGACACCATCCTTGTAGGTGACGTCTATGTAGCACCGCGATTGCTGGCAGCATGGTACCGAGTGCTGTAAGTTGGAAACATTTCCATGAGCAAGGGAAGGAAGGGAAGCAGTCCCCTCTCTTATGCGATTGATATATATCTTCATGGGCTCGTTATGTATCGTACTCGCCGATTCAATTCCTGCCATTCTCCTTTCCTCCCCCTACCCTCTTGACCACCGAGCCGACCAGACCATCAACGGCGCGATCCTCGACACGAACTCAACCAGAACATCAACGACACGACCCCGATATGATTCTAAGGACGACAGCATTACATCTTGCGTGCGCTGTAAGTTTGGCGCTCCTCTGGCACCCAACACCCACATCAGCCTCTCCTGTACCGTTCCCGATACTCCCAAAGATCACAATACGACAGGACTCGTCGTTGTCGATGGCCGAGACCAGAACCGCTGTGCCACCAGGAACATCCGTGAGTTTGGTGCCGGGTGATGGAACGCATGGCAAGCGACGAGCAAAACCTTTCAGGTGAGGGATATCACATCACATCACATCACATACAAATCACTCGCAAGAGTCGAGACTCTCCATTCTTGGCCGGGAAATACAAAGCACGACCGGTATGTAGGACTCGTACTAGTGCTACTGCTACCTACCGCCGAGAGCATTCCCTTAGCATTCCCATCGCGCGTCTTGCTACAAATTGACGATCAGGTCAGGTCCAATGGCGCGGGAATCGAACAACGCCAGGCCCAGGCAGAGACACCACCGGCATCGACATCGACATCGACATTGACATCCTTAACCGGGGATCTCATAATAGACACGGTGATCGTGCCTTCTTCGCCGTCGTCAACCTCGACGCCGCCACCAACATCGTCAGGCATAACGACCTTCCCTCCCACCACTGCGATATCGACATTACCTGTACCTGTACCTGTACCTTTCCCAGAACCTCGTCCGAATATCGAGACAGAGTCCCAGTCGGAATCGGCACCGTCGCCATTCCCACTCTCAATATCCCCGAGCTCATCAAGCTCAGCTGCTCCTACCGTCAGCAGAAGTCGAAGTCCTAGTCCTGGTTGTCCATTTCCAGTCGATACGCCGAGTCCCCCGCTGCCATTACCACTGCCGAGCACTGCAGAGACTATGACTACGAGTGCGGGTGCGGCTGCGGATGCGAGCACGACTTTCCCCGTAATCGTCACGGTGTTCTTGTCGTCTCTACCCGCTCCGTCGTCTTCTCTGCCGCCTACCTCGTGAAGGTCCAGTATACTCGTCACTCTTCATCTCGCGGACGGTTGGATGGGAGGTAGGGAGGTAGGGAGGAAGGAAGGGAGGAAGGAAGTGGGCGGACAAGGGACGCAACCGCCGGCCTGCCTACCTACCTATATACCTACCTACCTTGCCTGGCGCGTTGTATATCCTGGTTAATACAGGCTGTATCGTACAGCATGATCAACGCAGAATGCTGCCCTTATATTCTGCGTCAGTGTCAGCATCATCGCCAGCATCATCGTCGGCGTCATTGCCAGGGCTATGATCAGCATCAGCTCAGCATCAATCAGCCGACCCCTTTTCTCCCGCGTCCTTACCGCCCTGTCAGGAATCCACAATGAATTGAGTAACTCAGTCGACTGTGCGGGCGGGCCCTCGAAAGACAGCTATGACCTTATCCCCCACAAATGCAATCGCTATATCGTCGAGTTCGGGGTCAAGTTCAAGCCCGTCCAATGACTACGGCGTCCTCAAGGACGGGAGACGGACGATCCTCTCCTTCCTCCTTCGGACCGAGGACTGAGGACTGAGGACTGACTACTGAACGCCAGTGGTGCCACGTCGGTGGTCTACTACCTACTACCTACCAGTACCAATGCAGAATGAGACCTTATACACTACACACTACACAGTACAGTACAGTACAGTACAAGCAGGCAGGCAGGCAGGCAGGTTAGAGCACGCAAGGACGTACGAGGTATATACTGTACTAATTATATGACTTGTTGTTGCTGGAAACGCTTGGATGGGGAGGGAACGGAACGGAACGAGACTTCACAGGACGCCACGACTCGAGAATGTACGTTCAGGCACAGACTATGACTATGACTATGCATGCATACATACATATTTACATACTACCTGACGTGCCTTCGAGGCCGTTAATGGCATGGTGTGGTATGGCATGGTCTGGAAATCATGTGCCATCACCTGCATACACTCGTCGACTCTGCGCAGGACTTTCTGACATACCCCTGTCTGAGCATCACTTCCAACAATATCCATTTTATCCACTTTGTTCCGCTTTGTTCAAACAGCATACTCATGACATGTGACATGATACAATCTTACAGACAGACCACTCTTCCTTCTCTGGTGGCGGATGGAGACGCCAGGTTTGCAATATAAGCCAATGGTGGTAGATACATGCCATCATACGATCATGTCGGGACTCTATGACATTGAAAGCGAGAAGAGACTCTCTGTGGAAAATTCGAGGCGAGGGTTCGCTAGTAACAACGATTAGTTGCGCACCACGGACCATGCACCGATGACATCCACGTCTTCTTTCCCGTGGACGACCTCCGCTTACAACACCTCGCCCACAATCTTCGCGGCCTCCTTGTACGTGCTCAACAACTTCTCGCACTTCTCCCGCTCCTTCTTGATTCCATCATCCTCATAGAGCAATTCTCCAAACAGGTCTTCTTTGTACAGCTCGCTTACGAGACGGTTCTGCACCTCATCCCTGCTATGGTTGACGAGCAAATGCATAATGGCTTTAGGGACTTGGTCGGCGATGGTCTCGCGGACAATATTGAAGTAAGACGAGATGAGACGGCGGATGAGTTCTGTTTCGAGGGCTTCGCGCTCTGTCAAAGCAGGCTCGGCGGACTGCTCGGGCTGGAAAGTGGCACGGTCAGCAAGATCAATGAGAATTTCGTCGCACGCAAATATACTTACAAATAATGCCGTCGCATCACCATACTCCGAGGCAGGCGCATAGTCATCGTTCATGGCTGGCGGGTAGACAGGCGATCGGTCCGTGAAACTGCCACGATCCATCCGCCGTATGCTCTGCGAAAAGCTCGGGTCCGTGCTGTGGCTGACATGTCGGTGTGCCACTGAAGCAGACGAGGGGACGATAGCTGGGCTTCCGGGTAACGCTGCACCTGGTAATCCGTTCTCCTTGCCGAAAAAGTAGTTGAGGAAAGAATCTCTCGCTGCACCGGCCGAGCCCGCTGTTGCTGTAATGTTGCCGATGCCATTCTCTCGTTCACGAGCCACAGCGGGCGACATACTTCTGCTGACAGTTGGGTGTTTCCTGGTCGGTAAGGTGGTGGGCTTGTCTTCTTGCTCGGCTTCTTCATCATCTGGTGTCGCCGCGCCGTTGACGCCCAGTTGCTTTCTCCGTTGCTGCTCTCGTTTCCGCCTTTCTTGCTCCTGTGCTGCTTTCTTGTCCTTTTCGTTCTTACTGGCAATGACAGATGACATCGCGGCGGCCGCGCCGAGGAAGTTGGGATGATTTGTGTTGATGTAAGCGCGCTGAATGGCGATCAGAGACTCGACATAATTTGAGCACGGACCGAGTCGCTCTCTGAGCAAGTCTGACACGACCTCGATGAGTTTGGCCTGTAGTCGTGGAAATCTCGACAGTTCTGTTGATCCGCATGTATGACATATCTTAATCAGCTCTTCATAGACCAACTCCACGCATCGCTGGCTGGGGATCTCTAGCAGCTTGATCTGCGGCTTCACCAGCAGATCGAAGGCAAGTTCAGGGACGAAAAGACTGGGACGAGGACCGGTAGAGTTTCGTATGGCTGTGCGGATGTCGAGGACGGAAAGATTGTGGGTAGGATCGATGGTTTCGAGCGAGTTGCCAAACACCGAGTTGAAGATGTAGTATATCCTTGCGCCACCACAGAGTTCTTTGGTCGAGATCTCGGAGGACGTACCGTCGATGGACGAGATGAATGAGGTGGCAAATCGAGTCATCAGTTGGAGGATCAGCGAGCCACGATGCTCCTTGCCGCTGAATTGCTTGCTGCCATAACTTGCCAGCTCTTGTTGGGTCTGGCCCATCAGTGTGTTCAGACGCGCCTTGATATCGGGCAGCCTGTCACGGATATGAGCCATAAGAGTCGTGTTCAAAGTCTTAGCCAAGTATTGTGTCCCGCATCTTGTCGCCATGTTCCGATATGCAGGATGATGCCTGAAAAACTCCGCTTCGGCTTTGAGGGCCTCAGACATCGGTTTGCTTGTTTGAATGTCTTGCTGTGACCGATTCACAACGCCAATAAATCCAAGCTTCAATGGATAGACGCGCCCCGACAGAATGTCGAGCGCATTTGTGCCGTGATCCATCAAGTCCAACTTTGTGAGGACTCCGATTGTCCTTCTTCCCATAGGATCCACATGACGGGCGAGCTTGAGCGCTTCGGAATTCACGAGATCGACATTTGCAGGAGATACGGCCAGGATGATACTGTTGGGTTTCGCGATATATTCGGAGATGAGGGTTCGGGTCTGTTTCTCGATGTCTGCGGGTTGATCGCCGATCGGGACCTTTGTCAGGCCAGGCAGATCAACCAAGGTCAAGTTGAGCACGTGAGGGGAGAATATTTTGAGGTTGATGGGCTGCCGGTTGATGCCTTTGTTGTTTCCTGCTATTCTTGCCGTCTCATTCTCAATCTCAGCTCGGACCTGGTTGAAGTCCGTGAATTTGCGACCGGGGATGTGGAGGAACTCTGCCCATTCTCCATGCTCTGCAACGCTGGTATAGGAATGGGGAGCATGGGCATCGCCGTTGCCATTGGCAGTCTCGTCGTCATCGGGAGGGATGTTGATGAGTTGGAGTATCAGCGGGCGGCGAGTGACGATGCCACTGCCACGGGGGAGGAAGTCCCTGCCCACGATGTTCTCGAGGACGGAGGATTTTCCCGAAGACTGCGAGCCGACAACGACTATCTGGGGCAGATCGAGCGAATCATTGCCGATGGTGTTGAAGACGAGGTCTTGGAGTTTGTTGACCGTGCGCAGGAGGTCATCGCCAAGGGTGGTCATGGTCGACGGGAATAGTCGCAACCAGCCAGAGGGAGAACTGTTTCGAAAGGTGAAAAGTTGGCAGCTTGAGAAGAGGTTGGTCGCGACTGGTGAGGACGGCAGAAGTGGTCTCTCTGGACCAAACAGATGCGTAGAGTAGTGATGAAGCGAGCCTGCTGTGAAAATGGAGCTTAGGTCGCCACGGGCAGACACATGTTTACTGTATGGTTGAGGTTCTAAGTGTGCTGCAATACTCGTACTTGGGGCAGAACGCGGGTTGCAATGCGAGGCACCTCCGGAGTACGAGTTACGCCCAGCTTCACGAATCTCAAAATGGAATCAAATGACAGGGCACGCCACTGCAGATTACTGCAAATTCTACGAGCGAGCTGTGGCTGACACACCTATTTCACCATTGGCCGACCGCGCCGCTGCCCTGACGTCGTTCCTGAGCAGCCGCCTGGCCCATCGAGTGCCGCTATCTCGATCCAGCAGCGTCTCCAATGCAGGACTCAAGTGCACAAGACGCGGGGTCGAGCTGTCGAGCTATTACGACATGGCCACAGCCTCGACGGTGAGATACCGCCCAGAGAGCTCTCAAAGCTTCTCAATTCGGTGAGAGTGACTGTTCTCTGAATATACTGGGTACCGACCCGGACTGCACCACCAACATGCGGCTCACGACCAGCATCGGTATTGCCCTCGCGCTGCTTGACAGGACGGCATCGCTTCCAGTCGGTGAGGAGCAGAGGCCTCTTGCGCTGCCTGATGAAGCTCTCTCGAGACCATTACCCTATGCGCATTACTCTGTTCAGTCAACCATCCGAGATGTCCTCGTGGAGCATGAAATCATTAACGATGTCCTCGACGACTTTGAGCCATCCTACTATCTCGACATCAACTACCCAAAGTCCCATGAGACGGTCCTTCTCGGAAATGACCTCCCCGTCGACGCCGTCTCGAGCAGGCCGGTCTTCACTTTCCATTCGATAGACAAGTCATACTACCCAACCCGACGGAGGTCCAAGAAGTCAGACCCCTGCACCACTCGGACAGAACGCAAAAAGTCAACATTCACTCTCATCCTTACTGACCCGGACGCAAAGTCACGCGACAACCCCAGTAAGTTGTCTTTCATTCCCCAAGAGTGTGTCGATGAGGTTGGTCGGCTGGTCAACGAAACCTTAGTTACTCGTCCCAATGTTTTTTTGCCCGAGTTCTGCTTGAATGATTACTGTACTCGCACCGAGTCAGGTTTTGACATGTATCCAGAAATGTCCGAAATGTGTCACTGGATCCTGACCAACCTCACGACTCCCATCGAACTGCCGCATGACCTGCAGGAGCCTCTGAAAGCCAAACCTGGCGAGATCGAGGAATACCTTCCGCCCGGGCCGCCACCGAAGACAGGTGCCCACCGATACGTATTTGTGTTGCTGGAAGGCGACACTACCAACCTGAAACCTCCTGCGGACAGGAAGCACTGGGGATACGGCAAGCCTCGCCATGGTGTGCGAGACTGGGCCAAGGAGAACGGCTTGACGGTGGTGGGCGCGAACTTCTTCTTCGCTCAGAATGAGAAGCAATGAATAGTAGGGGGCCCGTGGTATCGACAGTTGTTGTCTATAACGAAACCAGCACTCCCGCGTCACACGCCGCCAGCCCCTTTGACGAGCCTTAATGTATCCAGACTCCTCGAGGCGGCCTGTACCGCTTCGTCTCCTTGCTGTAAATAGGCCTCGGCGCTGCTCGCTGAAGCCACGTCCGCAGCCTTGGCGGCGAACAACCACGGTTCCAGTCGTTTCGAGATCGTATCCTGCACCTCTTCGTTCGGCGTGTCTTGTTTCTTCCCAAACGCAGACGCAGCATGTTCGAATCGCCCGGAACGTGCCAACAGGGGAAACGCCTGAAGAAGCTGACTTTCATCGCTGAGTCGATCGAGAATGTTGATCGTGGCAGTAGTCTCCTTTTGCAGCTGCTCATCCAAGGACGTGAGATGTGCTTGCGACGTATTATGCTGTTGCACGGATGGTAAAAGCCGGGTCTCGATCGCATTTACCACACCGGTCGGCTCCAACCGCGCGGTGGATTTGCTCAGAGGCCGAGTGATACGGACGGTAGCCTCACGTTCTTGTGTCGCAAGGGGAGTCCTCAAGCAAGTGACAGCACTGATCAAACGTCTTCGTGCGTCGAGATAGCGCTCATACTGGTCGTCAATCTTCGCTTCCCAGCGTGCATCATCATTGCCGTCATTCTCAACTTCTCCTTCTCCATCTCTCTCTCCCGTGTCATGACTCTCCTGGCATTTGTCCAGACTTTGCTCAAGCCACTCCGTCAGCTCCTTGCGCACTGCAGAGATAGCATATCGACGGCTCTGTGGATTCCGTTGATTCATATCCGGCGTCGAAGATTTAGCACGGTCCAGCAAGGCCTTTTCCCTTTTAGCTTCCTGGTGTGCTTGCACCACAGCCAGTTCAAGATCTTGGACGGCTCCCCTAACAGAGACGGCGAGTGTCTCTAGCTGGTGTGGCCGCGAGTGCGTCTCTGTCAGGTCTTCATGAGTTGTAGTGCTGAGATTCCCCGCTGTAAGACCAGAGGAGGCGAGTTTCATCTCCGCCAATTCATCCTTCAACGCCACGAGGGTTGCATGGCGCTTTTGATGTCGAAGCAATTCGCGGTATCGATCCAGGAGACTCGCCATGCTATGCTCGCGACTGGGAGCTCGGGTAGCCCGGTAAGTAGGAGTATCGAGGTCGGCAGACCGATGTGTTGCGGAATCATTCTCGCGCGTGGCTTCAACACGCTCACTTCCGGAGATTTTGACGGACTGCGCGTGGTTCTGTGTACTCGGCATTGTATATAGCATCGGGAGCCGGTTTCCCATGAACACGAATGACCACTAGCAATCGTGTCGGTGTGGGTCGTATCCAGCTCGATGGCACTGCTGCTGTGAACGTGGCTTCTCCTTGCGGACAGTTGTGCAAGGAGCAGATCACTGTAGATGTAATGCGCGAGGATAAATGTGTACAGCAGCGGACCACCGTAGATGTACCCGGAATGCGCTAGAGGTCATTGAAGATGAAGCTGAAGCCACAGTATTGTATATGCAGTGGTGTCAGAGACTGCCCTGATCTCCTAGGTCACCGAAGCCCCCCGTCAGCTTTCAAAGGCGTAGATGTACTGTACTCGCGATGAGCTGGACAGACGAAAAGGCAACACACAGAGGGAACACGAAGGGAACTGCGTCTTCTTTCTTCACCGCACACAACATTTGGTGGTAAATCTCCGTATCATTGCACTTCTCCCTGCGGTTCTAGGGTGATGCGCGCGTTGCAGTCACCGTCTGTATGGTACCTCTAGCAGTGGTTACTGAACAGAGATAATTTGTGGATACAGTATTGGTTCCTACGTACGACGGGCCTGTACGTGAACAGTTCACATTACACCTCTCAACGACGCTCAACGACAACGGGCGAACTACGAGACCTCACACCCAGCGGAAGTGTACAGAAGTCTAGAAATACCTGGTTCATCAATTATCACGGCAGTGTACAAGGCTAGAACCATGGGGTTACGTGGAGGAGCCGATGGCTTTCCAGCCGTTGGTCGTTCTACGGACCAGGGGAAGCGAATCTCATACTTGATGGATAGACGCCTTTTGCAGCTTCTGTCTCGGCGTAAAGACACTGTGTCGAAGTACAAGAAAGCTACATGCTGGACTTTCTAGACTTCTCTTGCCCCGTGCGGCGTATGCGAAGGACACAGCCCTTCCTTTCCTCGAGGAGACCATGTCATAACATCAAAGCGATACGGCGGGACGCCCTCCAACTGCGATCGCTCGAGATCCACCAGTTGCTGTGGCTTTGTTCAGTATCCACGCAGATGGACACCCGATCTTCGGAGACATGCCGCAGCAGCTGGAAATATGCGTCTCGTTGAACAGTCTCTCTGCCCTTGGGATAGACGGGATCTTGGCTCGTCGGAACTCCAATGTGCTCACACCATTCAACAGGGCACTGGTTTTCACGCCGACCACGGTATATCCGGTAACAAGATGCTGCGAAAGTAAATTTCGGAGCGGGATCCTTTGGTCTGTGGCAGCCGTTGTCGAAGCTTCGCTGTCGGAGCTTTGCGACCGTTCCTGATCCGGCACCTCCATCCCATGGCGAACTTTCCCCCCGGACTATATGGCTTCTTCGTGCGTAGACATTGTTCGGCTTGGGTCTGGGTAGTGGAGGAACTTCCCAGAGACAAGCTTTATGACGATCCAGGCCACAACAGGCTGATGTGCAGGGCCTCCAACGCAGAGTGTGAGTCGTGGAGGCTGATGGGAGACCTCGCTGAAGTCGAGCTGCGCAAAGATGGAGCCAATGACAATGTTCTTTTGCGCGTACAGTACCAGGTCTGGGGGTCTGATCTGGCCTCCAGTTCGATGCAGCACTGGGTGTTAGGGAGCCCCCGAAGCCATTCGTTTGACCAGCCCTTATGATCCGGGAGTCGACCGCAACCTGATGTCAGTGAGTGAGGATGTTGTTTCATTCCTGAGCAGCTGCTGCAACTTGGAAACAGACCGGTCACGGCATTCTCTTTTGTGCCATTTGGTCGTCTCATTCTCTCAGTCCTTTGGTTCAGTGCGTTTCTTCGCCTCCGTCAACCGCCGCATTAGTTCGCGACCGTCGTCACCATCTTTGCCTTCAATACCGATAGCCTTCTCTAGCCATTCCACGGCATCCTGCCAGCGACCCATTTCCATCAAACATCTTCCTCCCACAATGTATGCTTTTGCATTCCCAGGCACTTTTTCTCCGTTGGGGCCCTGGCCGGGCCCTCGCTTGCACTCGATGCTGCACATCGCATCGGTCAGACCCTCGGGCCAGTTCTGGACGTCGACATGGGCACCCGCCCTCGAGAGGTACATGAGAGCCAGCTCCTCTCTTGCCAGGCCCATCGGCTCCCAGCCAGGTCGCGCGGCCGCCATGTCTATGCCGACGCCGAGGAGACGGATCGCATCTTGGTGCTGGCCTTTCCGGGCAGACGCCACAGCCGATTCGCGCAGTTTCTGGATTTGACCGGATCGTTTCGGGTTCACGGGAAGCGGAGGTGGTGGGATGTTATTCGGAGTCTCGAGAGACTTGAATGAGTTATGCAGACTGTTTATGTTGGCGACAGCCTGTTGTAGTTCCTTGTTTGAGGAAAGGATCGAGATCTGCTTCGTCTGAGGATCGATATGAAGGGGCAGATGTGTGTACGTCTCGAGGGAGTCGTCCGTCGCAGCCATAGTGATTTAGTGTGCCAACGGAAATCCTGCTTCGATTCAAATATGGCGGAATTTGCGGTATGAACAGTGGAGTGTTGCTGTCACAGACTGGACTCGTATACTGCGTACTCCGTAGTGACACTGAAATGCTGGGTCCAGAAAGTTGACTTCGAGGTCGACGTGGCTTCTCCGATTGCGGAAATCCTTGGCCCGGGAGAACGTCACTCGACGGGATCTGCGCCTGTGGTCCAGAGTAGCAGAGTTTCAAGTTGGTGCGGCGGATCAAACAGCGGACGCGAGGAAAAAGTGCACTTATACTGTCAAGAAGTACGGAGTACATGGTACATGGTTGTATTCATTCCTCTACTGTCATTAACAGGCGAATATCCCCCGCGGCTGAAAGACGAGCCTATCGTAATCACTAGAGATCTCCCGCAACTTCTACCATCACGCGAGCCTTTAAGAAAAGGGGTAATCGTGGTAGAGTTATGCTTGATACACCTGAAGCTGGATCTGAAGTAGGATCATGTCCTGTGCCGTTTTACACCGTGCAAAGTACCCAAGTATCCTGATAACTATCTTCTTGTAATCGCTTTTCAAGCTCCACATTGATCCATGTCGCTGGGATCCCGGTCAACTTTCAGCCGAAACCTCAGTGGTCGCGGTTGCGGTCGCGGAATACGGTGCCATATACCCCTTCCAGCGTAGAATACTTCCTCCGTTTCCTCCACGTTGCACTCCTCAACCTCACCATCGACCTCAATATGGTGGCCAAGAGCAGCTAGACCTTGCACAAGAGTCTCGATTCCCTCTCTCGGCATAGGCTTCGGCCGGTAACGGTCGTACAAGCGCTTCGCCATGTCAATAATAGAACAATCACCAAGTGAAGCTCCCCACCCGATAAGAAATAATGCTGCTTCAATTCTTCCGTAAGAGACAGCCATTCCGAGAGCCGTGACTTCGCTCCAGAGGCCCTGACCTGGCGTGTCTTGGTCTTCCCCATAATGGATATCAGCACCGGCTGCGATCAAGCGTTCCATGGTTTGTATGTCGTTCTTGCAAGCAGCAGCGTTGAGAGGCTTGTAGAATGGTCCACTGCCTACATTTACATCCACTCTCAATTCCAGCAAAAGGTCAATCATCTGTTGGTGGCCATGAAGTATAGCTATCATCAGAGGAGTACCCGAATAGAGACCCTTGTTATAATCGGCATCTGCTCCAAGATCTAGAAGGATTTTTACCGTGGTAAGGCGGCCACGCATGACGGCGCAATGAAGCGCACTACCGGCAAATGATCCTGGGAGGTTGATGTCAGCTCCACTTTCAACTATTCTTGACAAGACGCTGTCCAGTCCCCAAGATGCTGCAAATGTCAAACTGTTCACCATATAGCTTCTTTGGGACCTTCTTGTCGTCCCATCTTCTGCTGGGTACGTGTCGAAACGCGTTACATCATTCCCGCGATATGCATCAACATCCCTTGCGTTCTGGATCATCGAGGCAAGCTTAGGATTCTTCTGCGGGGTCAGGAGTTTCAAAATGGGGCCAGTCAGTTCTGTTTGGACATCTTGTTCCATGGTGTGGGATGGCCACTCAGATGCAGCATATTCCAAGAACGGAAATTTTGCGGTTCGACTTTTGAAGTCCTCATATGAGGTGCAGGGACCAGAAGCGAAGTCGTCATAATTCAAGAAGCTGAGACAGATCCGAGCGATTTCTGTATGCGAGCTCTTCGGATCAAGCGCATATATGCTGATCTGGCTTCCCGCTTTCGCCAACCTGCCCGAGAGCAGAAACTCTTGGACGGAATAGTGAACAAAGCCTAGGTGGCCGGTTGTCGGAGACAGGGCGACTAATGGTTGACAGAGCGTCAGGAGGTCTTCAGGATTGTTGAACGCATTGTCCTCGTCGAATTCACGGCCACTGACGTCAATGGTGACTGCCTGGGCGAGCTCTGGCAAGGTCATTGGGCGTTTGCCGAAGGCAAGGAAGATGAATATCTTTCGGAGCAAGTCGGTATTGTCCTCTGAGCCTGTCTCGCTAAGCTGAAGGAGGATCCTCTCATAAGTTTCGTCCAACGTTTTGGGCAATTTTCTTAAGGCGTCTTTGATGGCTTTGGGCCGTTTCAGCGACCGAATCGCGTCGATCTGACACCTGACCCAGCGGAACCTGACCTCAATTAGCCACACGAAGACAGATGCCAGAAAGATGCACTTGCATGGACTGCGACCCTTCCACGAGAGTACGGTGTATATGGTCTTTGAGGTCTTCTGGCAGTTTCCGGAGTATTGGATCATTGCTCAAGGTGGACCTGATGTAGAGTCGTATATCGTCCGTTAGAGCATCCCCCTCGATAGGCAACCTCTGAAATCGGTCTTCTGTCAGACCATCTACAAGGGCAGTCTCTCGTCTGCTGGTAACGATGAATTTGATGTTAGGCGCAGTTTCCCTCAATTTCTGTAACACCGATATCAGAGTAGTGTTGTCCCTGCATTCATCCAGTGCATCTAAGACGATATATGGGCTGGATCCCTCAACCGCATAGGATGTGAGGAGGTTGACGGCCTCGTCCAGTGTCGGCTCGCGGCTTTGGCCAGATTCACAACATTTCGAATACAAGTATTCCAGCGACGGAGAGAGACGGCGCGATGATGCCTCACTCTCCAGTTGAGCTGCAGCAGACCTAATCATTGCTTCAGTAAGTTGTTTCTCGGAGGCTTTGAAGTCGAAGAAAAAGTAAGCGATGGTGGACGTGGACGATCTCTCGAAATGATCAATCACGGCTGCCCTGCAGAAGACCTTTCAGTAATTCAACAGGCTGTGCAACCATGAGACTATGCCGGCTTACGACAAGAATGTTTTGCCAGCTCCCGCTACCAAAGTCAGCCCATACGTGCGGCTGGGTTGGGGCCACCCTAACAACAAGGATATGCTTACGCATCCCATGTAGCCACAGAGCCTGGAGCTCTCCAGTTATCAAAGACTGGAACAGAGGGTGACTTATGAGCCATTTCCCGGTGCCAGATTCCCTTGCCCGAAGGACATCGAGGTAATTGGAGCGAACTTCCATGGTCGAGAGCCAAGCAAGGGCGGCAGATCGGCGTGCAACTGTCACAATAGGTCAGCAACATCACATGGGCAGATTGGACCGGGAGAGTCATACGTTGCTTTTGCAGAAGTGCTTCCGTCTCTTGTGCTTTTACCCCTAAGGTCAAGTTTTCAACAGCGCTATGGACTCCTGCCAGACCCTGACTCTGCTCTTCCCTGAGAGTTATGGTCAGTTCGGACGATTGTTTCACCTGCGACTGTATTCCTGCAAGAACTCGGTCTGTACTTGCTATCGCAATCTGAATATTTCTCGTCTCTTCGGCGGTGTTGCGGACATAAGTCTCCACAGCGTTGATTATTACTCTGTATGTGGTTAGTTTGACATTCTAAGCAATGGTGCCCGTAGCGAACCGTTGATCACACTGTAGAGCCAGCTCCAAGAGTGATTTCGCCTCAGCGATGACCCGTAGGCAGTCCTCGAGCTTCTTGTCAAACCGCAAGCCCATGACATATTGTGTAAAGACGCCGTCGTGTTCGAACCGATTCTTGAGCAATTTCAGGGCTTCCAAGCACCGCGCCAACGGCTCCTGAAGATGGTCAAGGGCGCTGAGTCTGGCTTGGTCTTCTTCGTGGATCGCCAAATGCAGTTGTAAATTGTTGACAGCGCCATAGAACCCATATAAGTTTGTGTTAATCTGCTTCAGCCTCGCAAGATGGTGTTTTGACGGACCAATCTTGGCGAGTTTCATGCATTCTCCGGTGATTTGCACGATAGCAATCACGCCCGCAGTCAAGCTGAGAGGGTCCATGTCCAAGTCGATGTTGAGAAGGGCTTGTCAATTGACTCGGCTCGAAAAGGCTGAGAGTGGGCTCGCTTGCCACGGACGTTCTGGCGAGGTATGAGAGCCGGACCAGAGCCTTCTTACGCCTGGGTAAGGGATGGTGTTGTTGCCGACATCCTTTCAACTACGATGCAGCCGAAGAACAATGCCAGCGCCGTTACGAAGAGAGAGTTTGTATCAGCCAATTTCAAGAGAGGGGTTGCCTTTGATGAGCTGGCAAGCGCAGGTGAGGCTGGCCACGAAAGCGGCTGAAGTTGCCTAATAGTCCGCTCCTTGGTCCAGATTCCAAGCAATGGTTTTCAGGTTGCGTCCTACTGTAATTGGCTGTGAAACGCGGTGAAGCGCTGGCCAATCATAAAAAGAAGTGGCTCCCAGGCCACTGCTCGAGTCTTTATCAAGACACGGAACCGCCATTTCAAGAGGGACCAGTTTTGGCGTCTTCTCGAGGAAACGAGCGGCTTTGCTGCTCGGCCCGTCCGGTTCCTGACAGTGTCGCACCGTATATGAACCAGATATCGACGACCCGACTGCAGACACGTGTACATTCTCACTCTCCTCGGACACCCGTGTTTCTGCCCATCGTTTCGCGCGAACTGCTAGGACTGACATTTGTGTGCCGTGAGCCAACATCGGGGCGGCGAATTTTCTGAGACGAGGAGATCATCCCGCCGAACTGAAGGTGTCTAGGTATGGAAAGGCCACTACCCTTGATCATTCCTTGCCCCTTTCTGTTCCCGTACATTCGATACTGCATCAATCAGCACGCACGTGTGATGTGTCCACGGCCGACAGGATTCTCCCACGTTCGCATGCGCTGGTGCATGCGCGATACATCACTCTTTCATGATCCCACCCAGCAATCTCCCCAGCACTCCTCGAACGTTCTGCTTCCGGTTCGACTTGAGGGTCGTGAGCACGACTGCAACACTTGCGGCAAAAACGACTTGTTCCCTCCTCTGATACCTTTTCTCATAGACACGGGGGATCAGTGTCGCCAAAGCTCGCGGTGCTGCGAAGAAGGCGATCTCCTGTCGCCTTTTCGGATTCTCCAGGAGGATGGACCATCCACACGCAATGCAGCCGGCCAATACACATAGGCCCGAGTCCCACATTTGCGGCGTTATCGTCTTGTACGGCACAATCTTGGGTCCAAGCCGAGTCCTGGCCAAGCACACCGCATAGTAAAATGAGGCAACAAAAGTCGCCAGGAAGGATGACGAGATCGCTGCATTTCGGAGACCATCCAGAATAGATCTCTTGCTCGGTGCACGGAGGAGCGCCAACACTTGCAGAGGCACGTAGATTTCCACGGCAAATTCCCAACTCCTGCAGAATCGGGAGAGCGCGTGAACCTCACAGCTTTTGCCGCTTCCGCAATGATACAATTCACACGGGATGGGAATGGTTCTCGCAGGGTCACCATACTCTTCCGGAAGACCCAGGTCTCGACAAAGACTCGCTAGAAGAGGCGCCTGACCTCTATCCTCCCCATACACGAAGTTTCCTTGTCGCGCCAACCTGAGGGCTTGAATGAGGCGAGGATCGATGTCGGCCGCTTTCGACACCCAGTGGTTGTATGCTCGCGGAAGTCGCTCGGGTGCATAAAACCACGACCACATAATGACTGCAGCAGACATTGCGAAAATTGATGGATCGGCGGTCTTGCGCAGGAGGTTGGCTAACCAGGGAGTTCGCTGTTCCGGATGCCAGGATCTGGCTCGAGTCCGAGACCAAGCGCTTATCACCATGATGTCCAAAGCTCGGCAGAAAGCGAATGCGGTGAAATCAATCGTTTTGCCGGCGTAGGAGGGACGGCGCGACGGTAAAGATAAGTCTCGTTGGTTTGCCACGTGTACAGTGCTGTTGTCGGCCACAACAGCTGCACGGGACTCAGCCCGCTTTCGAGTCCAATCTTCATCACGGTTGAGGAGGCCGAAAGCAAGCCACGCAGATAGGAAAGAACAAGAAGCCCGAAGATAGAGACCGCCGTTCTTGTCGAGATGTAAAGGATTTTGTCGCGTGAGAGTTACTATTGTCCATCGGAGGATCGCAGAGACGAGGCGCGGAAACGTGGTTGCACCGCCTATTAAGACAGCCGCTGCTGTGGGAAAGCGATTCAGCTGGAGAGATGTGATGAGAATATTGCGGAGTGCCGCCACCTGTTCTTGAAATGTCAGATGTGATCTTCGGATCTTCCTCAGGAAAGCGAAGATTCTTGGCCCTGTGGTGAACAGATATGCCAGACCGTAGGCGCGCAGCATTGGTTTTATGGGGGCGACGTTGACGCGTGGTGCGCGTCTTTCAATAGCCATCTTCATATCCTCCAGCTGGTGTGGTGCAGAAAGTATCCCCAAGCAAGGTATCACGACTGACCCTTGGTCTGATGTATTCCTACAGGGACTCTACGGCGGAATATGGCATTCTAGACAGCCATGAAGCGTGGACGTGTTTGATATTGACATGTGCGTCTGGCAGGACCTCGGCTCATTCGCAGAAGGCAATTTCTATACTACAGTAATTACACAGTACCAGGTACTTTTCTATACTACTCTGTACACGCACTGACTTTCGTGCCAGAGTCTTTGAGACCAATTAGCATTCCCTTAACTGATCAGGATCGTTCTGGACGTTGTCCTCTCGCTCGCAGCTATCTGAAGCCGGCCACACTCCTGCGGTGCCCTACTTAGCTTTACCGCCATGACGCACCCGGAGCTCACTCGAGCTGGTATTTCCCTCCAGCTCGGTCGATTCCGTCTTCGCTAAATGCCCTGGTTCAGCGGTCGCATCTGCTTCGCGCCCGCTTCCGAAAGAATCTGCCCTCCTTGATCGGTTGGATTTACAGCCTGGTATCTTCGGTTCTCTTTCTTACGTCGTCTCCTCCGCGAACCCTTACTCCTCCCGTGTTTCTCTGTTAGCTCCACGACGAAGGTCACACTTTCATCCGTGTCGTACGCTGAACCGTCTGAGCGGCGCGATGCCTTATCTGCGAGTGATTTGGTCAGCAAAGTCCACCTGCTTTGAAACCGGCAAACGTGCCTTGGGCTTGCTTGAGGAGCAGTTGCATGCGTGACCCTAGCACGACGTCGACACGTTCCTGTTCTGTGGTGGCGTTTTCGAGGATTATTTCAATGGCGACTGGATGACAGACGGTCCAGAATCGGACATGGTCTTCTAATGCATCTATGGCCGCCATTTCCTCGGCCATTGTTTCGCGGATTTGGACTTCCACGACGGCCCACTTCTGGTTTGTCGTAGCCCTTTCTTCTGCCGTCGTCTCGCGCCGGTATTGCTCTTGCAGGAGTCGCTGTGCTTGGTGGTACACCTCTGGGAACGCCGACTTGGCCAGGTAGCTCCACGAGGGTCGAGTATTTGCGCGTCTCTCTCTCTCTCTGCGAAGACGATTACTTCCTGTTGCTCGTATGACAGGTTGTCGTGCGCTGCAGGGGCCGCCATGTTGGATAATGTTAGAAGCCAAGAGGAACGAGATGACCTGTCGCCAAAGACAGACGTCCATGATGAATTTCCGAATGCAGCCGGAGCGACGACAGGCTGCTGTGACCAAGACTCACCTTCTCTTGAAGCAGAGAACAGCTGTGACTGGGACATCATTCACCTAGGCCATAAGGTCTCACATAGATCATTGAAGAAGGGACACAGCCAATGGCTGGTAACATGTCCACTGTACCTATCTAGTTCTGTGGATGGCATGCCTCTGTGTGTCCACGCATGTAAGGATCGTAGTTGAATGAATCGCGAAAGAAATCAAACGAGTCAGCATATTTAATTGCACAACCTGAATTGCTTGCGCTCATCGCTCCGAGACAATACAATCCGCTTCTGCCCCAGATTGGTGAAGGAAAGATGTGAAGGGAGTGAACCCCGTAGAATCCAGACGGCAAAAAGCAGCTGTGGCACGTGGCTCCGCTGTCAGGCCAGAGCTGCAGTCACCGGGGTTTCAAGTCCAGCAAGCTACTCCGTAGTTCTGCTCACATTGTGCTCGCCCTGAAGATCACGTTACATGTTGATGACAGCATCCAGTTCCGAGCCGGAAATGCCGTGCAAAAATCGGGGCCCCAACAAATCGCATCCAAGTGGTTCGTCTCTGTAACAACCGTCGGAGATGAAGGCGGATCTGAAGCCAATCAAGAATGCGGACATGCAGTTGCTGCACGACATAAAGTGATCCCGAGTGCATGCATCCGCTGTCAGGCTGCTCTTGTTTCTAGAAAATTGTCAGAGTGATTGGGAACAGATCGCACCAGCGACATTGAAATTCGAGGAAGCCCTGTTGCCAAATGCCCACGCGAGTTCGATGCCTGCGCTTTGAAGCTGCCCTGAGACTTTCCTCACAGCGATGTCATTGATTAACCGAGCTCGTCCTGCGACTAATAAACTACTGTAACTAAATGTGAATGGAATGGAGCAACCGTCGATCTGGGTTCATTGCAGCTTCACCAGTGCGCACTTGCTTGCCACTTGCAACCTTTGATTTTGGACCTTTTCCATTATCGCTCTCTTTCACATCTCTCTTCGTTCGCTTTCCATCTCCCTGCCACTCGTTATGTACATCCTGTCTCTCGTTCTAGGCGTCGTCGCTGTCGTGCTCTCAGCCTCTGCTTCGCCACTACATGCCCGCTTCGATTACGACATCAAAGAGTCTCATAATGTCCCCCCACGATGGTCAAATATTGGCGACCCTCACCCACTGCATCTCCTGACTCTTAATATCGGCCTTGAACCCAGCAACTTCAACTCGCTAGAAGAGCACCTGTATCAAGGTGAGCTTCAACCCGGACGATCTGAAGACAGTTGTGTTCAAATCAGTCTGACCGGTTTCAGTCTCGGACCCAGTCCACCCTCGTTATGGCCAACATCTTTCCCAGCAAGAAGTCCATGATCTTTTGAGACCGACGGACGAGACCCTGAATCTCGTTCAGGAGTGGCTTGCCAGCAATAATATTGACACGTCTCGCTGTGAAATCAGCTCCGCCAAGGACTGGATCACTCTCACTCTTCCTGTTGCAAAGGTCGAACAGCTTCTCGACACCAAGTATTCCGTCTACCAACATGAAGACGGTACCAGACTCGTCCGTACCACCAGCTGGTCTCTACCACAGCCGCTCCATGATCATATTACCACAATCCAACCCACCACTGCCTTCCTCCGCGCCAGCCCGAAGGAGAACACAGTCATCGATGTCCCCTTCGATATCGCCTCGATCAAAACCACTGAAGCCGCTGACGCTGCCAATACGACCACCATCAGAGGTGCCTGCAATTTCGGGGGCATGACCACGAAGTGCTTGCGCACGCTCTACAACACCATCAACTACAAGCCCCAAGCTCCGCACAATAACTCAATTGCCTTCAACAATTTCCTTGGCCAGGTCTCCAATCGATCCGACGCCCGAGTTTTCTTGCAGAACTTCCGGCCGGACGCGGTTGATTCGGCCAATGCTATTACCCAGATTTCTGTGAACGGCGGAGCTGTCGATAACGGCACTGCTGGTGCAGGCATCGAAGGTAATCTCGACCTCGAAACCATTCTCGGCCTAGTCTATCCGACGCCGGTGACTTTGTACTCGACAGGCGGCATGCCTCCTTATCAGCCGGACAGGTTCACGCCGACGAACACGAACGAACCATACCTCACATGGCTGCTCTTTTTGCGGGACCAAAACATTACGACCATTCCCAAGGTCATTTCTACGTCTTATGGCGACCACGAGCAGACCGTGCCGAAGAGTTACGCCAAAACCGTGTGCAATCAGTTTGCGGCCCTAGGCGCTCAGGGCATCTCCTTGTTCTTCAGCTCGGGCGATGCTGGCGTTGGCGACAACTCAAGCTGCATCACAAACGATGGCACCAATCGAACGGCCTTTATGCCAGTCTTTCCCGCTTCCTGCCCGTACGTCACCACCGTTGGTGGAACTATGAACTACCCCGAGGTTGTGGCGTACGATTCGCGCAATGGATTTGTCTCTGGCTCGGGGTTCAGCAACTATTTCCCACGGCCGCAGTGGCAGAGTACCGCGGTAGAACGATACCTTGATACTGTCGGGTCACAGTTTAAAGGCTTGTACAATGCTTCTGGCCGTGCGTACCCGGACCTCGCAGCACAGGGATACAGATATCTCGTCTGGCTTAATGGGACCATTCACAGTGTCGATGGTACGAGTTGCTCGGCCCCGACCATTGCGAGCATATTCTCCCTGGTGAACGACGCGCTCGTGGCGAAAGGCAAATCGCCCATGGGGTGGCTGAATCCCTGGCTTTACCAAAAAGGCTTTGAGGCATTCACAGATGTCGTCAACGGCAGCAGCATCGGCTGCAAAGGAGCCGGGTTTAGTGCTGCTAAGGGATGGGATGCCGCAAGCGGTTTCGGCACGCCGGACTTTGAGAAGATTCTGGACGTGCTCGGGGTTGGAGCGTCTTGAGGGCGCCGGTGAAAACCGATGGTAATGGACGAATAACATAGTATTTCGTGCCGGGTAACGCACGGATCTTGTGGCGAGGTCATGGTGGACGATGTGGTTCATCTTAGATGAAAGCGCGCGCATGGCTATCGGGTGTTACAATGTTTCCACTAATGGGGGGAAGTGACGGAAACGAACCTTTCTCCTGGCATATCATGAGATATGGCGGCATAGAGCCACAGCAGCTGTGCTAGCAGACTCGACGACAGAAATAGCTGAGGCAGTTAATCTCAAACCCGGGGCACATGAGCGGACGGGAGCAGTAACTCGACTTAATGTGGCGTGAGATGGTAGAGCCAGTCAGCTACTTTGATACCCAGGTATGTATGTATGTCCCGCCCAAAGCGGATCAGGACACCAGTTTGTGTAGATACAAGGCCACTACCATCTAGCATATTGATCAATGATCAAGGTTTCAATCATTCGAAGGTTGAACACCGAGATGACAGCTTCCCAATAAGACCGTCGTTCTCTGAATATACAGCGTTGTCTCGCTACTGTGCAACTCGTCCTTCGAATGTCTATTAGTCCGTCACATCCAAGACCCTCCACATCATACAGAGTACGTACCTACTAGGTAGGTATCTCACCCATATGTACTCCCGTACTTCGTACCTACCTACCTAAGGTACGGAGGACGAAGTATGTACTGTACCTATGTATATAGGTATCTTGTCTCCTTTGGTGCCACGCGGCAGAGATTCCCCGCCCGCTGTGCGATTACATATGTACTCCGTACATATCCACGAGCCATGACGGATCAATGCTTTCCCACAATGCCTGCTTCGCTGATAACTGTCGGAGCAGGACGCAGTGACTAAACTACCGTGATTAATTCCTCTCGTACCTTATCTACCTTAGGCTTCACTTCCTTTCAGGTGTGTTATTGTGCGCGCGATCTACAGCTGGCTACCTAGATTCTGCCCTGCCCTGCCCTGGGTTCGCGGGAGTTCATTCCTGGTGCCTACGCACCCTTGTTCGACGTACCTGTTCAGACAGTATACAGCATCAAGATCTGCCTCAGAGATCGACCTCAATCCTCTCGAAGTCTGAGCTGGATCGCAATTAATCCCCAAAAGCAGAGAGAGTCAGAAGTGAAAGCGAGGGTGAGAGTGAGGCTGACGGTAGAATCATGGCTCGTACGTCCGCCCTTGCTACCTGTCTATACATATATTACTTGATACAGTACCTACGATTGTGGTACACAGAATGCGAGTACCTACCTAGGTAGCACGATTCTGTTCGTGGTTACAGTGTGCGCAACGGCCGTGTCTCTTGTCCTATCCTTTTTCTCCTCTGTACCCTGTACTCTGCAGGGTCGCTGGCCACATTTGGACTGACATTTTGTTCCCTTCATAGATACTACTTTCCCCAGCGATCTCCCCGTGCCCAATGACGACGGGGCGTACGATCATCTGACCGACGTCACCATTCCGGCGGATATCAGCCTCCCCGTCGCACACAGTCCAAAGCAGAAAGTCAGACTCGCCGAGTTGGAAGGGTTAACGGTGGTGTTTTGCTACCCACGAACAGGTATGATTGCCATCCATCCTACTATACAGCTTGTTTGCTCAAGCTTCGACTTCGACCTCGAGCGTCACTTTTCTGGAGAATCAGTCTCGATGACTCTCGACTGACCGAGCAACCACTTAGGCGCACCCAATGAGATCGTACCGGATTCCTGGAACGCCATCCCCGGTGCTCGCGGCTGCACCCCGCAAGCATGTTCCTTCCGAGACAACCTGCCTCAACTGCGCTCGTTCGGTGTGGCGCACATCTACGGCATCTCAACGCAATCGCCTTCGTACCAAGCGGAAGTGCGTGAACGGTTACATCTGCCGTATGATCTTCTGAGTGACGAGAATTTGGACTTTCAGCGGGGTTTGAAGTTGCCGACGTTCGAGTGGGAGGGAGGGAAAGTCCTGAGGAGATCGATGATTGCTTTGCGAGACGGGAAAGTCATCAAGTGGTGGTACCCGGTTTTCCCACCGGATCGGGGCGTCGATGATTTGATCGAGTGGTTGAAAGCAGAGCAGAGTTTGGTGTAGATGTTCTGGACATGTAATAACAAGTCTCGACAAGCATGGAGCCTACTCCCTCTAGCCGAAGTCCATTGCGCTTGTTGTCCCGTCCCTCTTTTTTTTAACTACATAGGCGCCATTCCCATAGGTATCGTAGTCAAAACTCCATTCTTGTCGTATCTCGCCTTGAAGAACGTATAGCTGAGCGTGATGGTATCGATGCCCCTCATCTGCGGATCCTTCACAAACTCCGGATCGATGAAGAAGAACACGGGCATATCGACCGTCTCGCCGGCATTCAGTCTCTGTTCCTCAAAGCAAAAACACTGGATTTTGCTAAAATATGGCGCCACCTGCGCAGGTGTTACGGAGTAGGTAGCCACCCCAATAATGTCTGCGTCGCTCTTGTTCGTGGCCGTGTAGAAAGCTAATGCCGTTTCGCCCGGTAGCACGCGGACTTCTCGTTGCTGCGGTGTAAACTTCCAGGGGAGGATATCCGAAACGGAGCCGTTGAAGGTGATGCGTAGGCGGCGGTGGTCTTCGACGGGTTTTAAGCGTACCGCCGGATCGCCGCTGGAATCGTGTGTTTTCACGGGTTGACCGGACCAGCCGGTCTGCTGGCATATCTAGTGACGCATGAGTGACGGGCTTTCGTTGTACGGAAAAGCTAAATGCTCACCATTTTGTAGAGTGGAACGGAGGCATATGAGAGGGCGAGTAGAGCTATTCCTGCGCTCAGTCCGTAGTACCTGCGCACCTGGTCAGCTCGAGAGACTGGATCCCTGTTTCTTGCGGCACACACATCACGGTCATATTTTTCTGCCGGGCCTCAGCCCTGGCGGCTTCAAAGGCCGTCGCATATCGAGATCTCGGGGTGGATTTGGAAAGTGACCGACGCTGGGCCTGCCACTTGGGAAGTCGGGAAGGTCTTGCGTTAGGTTTGAGGATACCTGAAGATATTGAGTAATTCGACAGAGCACGCCTGCAGGCGGGGCACACAGACAACATGGTGGTCGCACGAGAGTTCAAAGCCGACCGTGGTGGTCTGAGAGGGTCTGAAATAGAAAGGTACATGATATGCGTCAATGATGCGCCGGATACTGCAAAGCATAATCGCAGAGTACGTGGATATACTTGTGCGCCTCAATGGTACTCCACTCCGACAATCGGTAGGTACACGGAACTTAAAAAGGGGCGCATCGCATTAGATCCTGCGAATGATGTGAGGAGGGCGAAGCAGTAAAGAAGCGGAAGTAGACTGGAGCTCATCGGTATAGCGGGCTCTAGGAAACTGGCATGGTGGAGGTTTCTACCATGGGGATGACAGGTACAATCAGAGGGCAAATACAGCTCGGGGAGAAAGTTGTACGACCCAAACAGTTGATTGAGCTCGCCGAGGGACAATGAGGAAAGGGTTTGTGTTGAGAACTGGGGATCTGACTGCATCGATTCCGTACCACCGATTGTCCTGTCAAAGCTTGAAGAGACCGCTTTTTATGGGGCCGTACAGATCTCAGCATCTATACGGAGTACAAAACACAGGACTAGTACGAGTACTCCGTAGAGGCATGCGGATTTTCTCTCCAAGTGATTCGAGCCATAAGCCAAAGGCGATAGGCTGTAGGGTGTTGAGTGGAACTACGGAGCACTCGTAAATGAACTCCATCGATTGCTTACATTGTAACAGGCGCCCCTTCCTTACATAAGGGTGTCCACACTTGCTTGTTTCTTTGCAGCACCTGAACGTCAACGCACCATGCATCGTGCTCCGGCGTCGCTTACGATGTACAACGCAATCACGAAATGAGTGAACCCTTGCTCCTTCCTGCCCCAAAAAGACAAAGCTGGCGGTGGGGGCGCGTTCCCGCGTTACTCGGCGACAAATACAGTAGCGGGTATCCGAACCGAACCCCAAGCTGCACAAGTGACATACCAATCGCATCGCGCGTTGTGTAGCACGTTAGGAAACCACTGGGCGTCCTCCACCACTATTGTCAAGGACAAAGAGTACGAGTACAAGCTTGCAACCGGCGACGCCATTCAAGATGTTGCACATGGTGTTCTCTTCCTCCATCCATCGACGGATCCGTTCATCTCTTCCCCTTCGAGGACTTGGGGTGCCCCTATTACAGAAGCATGAGCGTGACGGCGAGCCAAAGTCGCCAAATTCAATCTCCTCAGTCCCTGCTTGGAAGCTGAAGATGCCAGTGCGCTAAAACTTGCATCACAAGCAAAGTCTAGATCGAACCCTCTGCGTTTGCTTGGTCCGTCCAAACCCTCTTTGAGCATCTCCTCACTCCTGCCTTTGTTGTCGTTCGTGTCAACTTACTTCTGTGTCGAAGACTCGTTCGTTTGTCACCGAACTGAGGCTCCAAAGCCTCAGTATGAGGCTGGCTTGGCTGTCGTCACGTCAAGTCCAGCGTCGTCTCCTCATCTCCTTGATTGTCTCCGCGCTCACATTCTGGTGTTTACTGCCGAGGCGCAAGCATGAACTCAAACCAGCCAACTTGGAAGAGCGATACCCTCTCCTTTGGCGACATGTACATGCATTTAATGGGTCCGGAGGAGGTAGGCCAACCTCACCCTGCTCGAGGCTTTGCAAGACAATAGCGGAGTTGGAAGCACCCCGGCACTGATTGCCCCTTGGCTTGAGGCTTTGCTAATATCCCTTCAGCGTGGTATATCCCGCCAAACTGGTTGTCTTCTGCCGGTGTTCAGCCGGAGAACATTGTCGATGCCGCTCTGCTAGCCTCACAAGTGACCAGTGCGAATAGGCATCGACATATCGAACATTCGTCAATTCCACTTTTACTTCACCAGACGTGGAAGAATCGGCGGGTCGACACGTGGTCGGACCTCCTCCGACTCAGTGTGGAAAAATGGCTTCGCTACGTTGTCTCGGACGACATGGCATACTTCTTCTGGGAGGATGACGGTGTTTTACAAATGCTGGACGAATTTGAGCCCGACTTCGTTGAACAATTCCGTTCATTGCCCTCCAATGTGGAACGAGCGGACGTGTTTCGGATTCTGGTACTGAAATGGTTTGGCGGCATTGTAAGAATCTCAGTGTGCACTCTAAACTCATCGACTCTATAAACTGACTGGTCGCGCGTAGTACGCAGACGTCGACACCCAACCCCTTCGCAGGCCCTCTTCCTGGTTATCGCCATCAGATCTCGCCCCCTGGACTGACCCAGTCACAAATTCGAAATTCTCTTCCGACAATGCAGTCAGTATCGTTCTTGGCATCGAAGCGGACTGCCCTCCCGACAAGGACGACTACTGGCGAATGGGGTATTCACATCCTGTCCAGCTTACACAGTGGGCATTAGCATCGAGTTCGGGCCATCCAATTCTTCTTCATTTCATGGACACCCTCCAGCGCAGGCTGAACCAGGTGGCTAACAGATATGGGGGAGACCTCACTGATATGGACGCGGCCAAGGAATTACGACAAATTGGTCCTCTGTCACTTACCGGGCCTGTGGCTATTACCGTTGCAGCCATGACTTGGCTTGAAGAACAAGCCGGCTTGAGATGGAACGCTCTTACCGGACTGTTCGATGGAGGGCGGAGTAAACTAGTCGACGACGTCTTGATACTGCCAATCACCGGCTTCAGGTACGTGATAAGTCCTTTAGTTTCGTTGCCAGCAGAAGACATGCTGATCTCAGAACAGTCCCGGGCGGAGAAAATATGGCAATATGGGATCCAAACCCGTCACAGATCCATCTGCGCGTGTCTGGCATCGAGCACAAGGCTCGTGGCGCTCCTTCGATGTCAAAGTCGAATACGGCAAATTCTGTCGCAGCGTTTTCGGATTGTGCAAGGATTGGTCTAAACAGCCCGCCTCAGTGCGCCCGTAATATTGTCGCTGGCGACCGTCCTGCCGACCCAGACGGCGACACGTTCAAAACTTCGTGGAAAAGGATTCGACACACCGGCCGTCGGGAGGAAAGGCGGATTGCCAGGCTGCCTCAAAGTGCCCAAAGTCATTCTATGCCACACTCACCTTCCGGGTTACATGGGAAGAGAAGCGGCAAGAAACGGTGTAACACCCGCGAGAGACCAATGAACCATCTCTGTGGGACACGGAGGATCCAGCCTTCAGCGACGTATCATTGAATATGATTGGCACCAAGCGACTAGGTACAGTCTGATGCGTCGGACGGGCGGAAGGGGAATCGGCTCAATCCTGACAATCTCCCTGTCATATCGAGCGAGTCTTGTAGGGGCTTAGATACGCTATGTCCCCAATGTCCGACATTATGCGGACTCTAAGACAGGAATATATCTATCCCAAGTCATACAGTAGTTTGGCCCAGGTCTCGAAGTCCTCACCCATTTTCCACCACGCTACTTGCAGCCAGCTGTCATGCATCTAACGGTCACGCGTGAGATGCACAGATACTCTCTGGGACATATACGTAATTTCTTATACACAGTATATTTGGTTTCTAGCCTCAGTGGTTTAATAGTGGCGTCCCCTTTATTCAAGTGGGGATTGTGGACCATCAACGAGCGCGTACGAGGTACTGGGACGGTAGTCAAATACTGTACACTATACACTTCTTCAACCAGCCACGAGCAAGGACATCTTGGCTCCAGCTCTGCTGTCTACTGGTAGTGTTCTGGACCGTGAATACATGGGAAGCCCTGTGCTTGCGTAGTTGGCATATGAAGGGTACTTTGACCTTCTTTCTTTCGCCTACGATCAAGACCACGTCAGCTAGGAAATGTCGTGAGCCATGCAATCAGTGAGCGCTCCAGTGTACTGTGTGATTCAGTAGCACTTGGGTGGTTTCGGTCATCCCTGGAATCTGTTGCTTGCATTGCTGTTTAGTCGTGCACATACTCTTGAAGGCGGAGTCACTGAGGACAGATGACTTTGCAACAGATCTATGCATTGCCATTGCCCTGACAGCCTGCTCAGCCTGCACTAATACGAGGTGTAACTTGTAACTTGCAACTCGTACGAGTTTATGAGCACGAACTGTAGGGTTACTGAAGAGCAGCTGAAGGTGATATCAGAGGCCCTTTGCCCTCGGCCGGCTGCCCGTTGCCCGCCAGCCGCAAGTTCCAGTGACGTCAAAGAGCTGCACTCTTGTGCCTCGACACAAAGTGGGCCGTGCCATGATGAATGACCCGTGAGGACCCAACAGCTCAACATACCTAATCTTCGCTCAACAAAGCCGATGAAGTGGACTATGCAGTGACGAGTGGCATGTGATTTTCATTCCTGGAATACTAAGTGCTCTTACTGTGGTACATGGAATTGTTTCACGCCGTCACTCAATCCATCGGAAACGTTCTGACCTGCGACTACTTCGACACGTTCAAGGCATTCAAGATGGAGGGCAACAAGACTCAGGACAAGACAATGGATACCGTCCCGGGAGGGGAGACTCCTCAGTATGTTTTATAGCCAACTCGTACCCTTGTTCTCCCCTCAACTCGCACGCACAAGTATTTTATCAGGATATGTTTTTGTTAACGGGAGACTGCTTGCAGGTATGAGTCGATCAAGACTGAGACTGTTCCTGCCTCGAAACAAAGAGGCCAACTGGGTGGTACATATTTGCCCTTCTCGAACGCCGAGCTTTTCCCATACCGCATTCTGACACTTTTGGCAGAGGGTCCCAACACGTCCGAGACGGCTACAGCAGCGGACCAAGAGCGAGGGCAGAAGACCGCGGAAAATATAAGGTACGGTCAGAACATTTCAGAGTCCGGCATGGGTGGCAAGACCACTTCGCAGACCGGTGAAGCTGGGCCGCAGGCTGGGTATGGAGGTGCGCCAGACCGGTCCGACGACCAAAAGGACAGACGGCCGCAGCAGAGATATGGCGAGGGGACTGGCATTGGGGCGTGAGCCGGTCGGTTTTCCAATGTGTGTATAACAGCAATTCCTATGCAATCCCTTCAGGGTGCTACATGCACCGTCGTTGCAGTCGGGTCTAGCCCAGTCGAGATTGTATGCGGAGGTACCTTGACTGCGGGAGGAACGATCGGTTGTGGCTCACTCTTGTCCTTGGGCTCGACCTCTCTCCTTGCTTCTTTCAGGCTTTGCAGTGTCACTCCGGGACCCAACTTCGTGATGCCAACCATCGGGGGATCGCCCTTCGTGACGAACTCCCACAATCCAGGCAATTTGTTCCCTGCCAGTCGGAAGGCGTCCCTTATCACTTGCTCGTGCAGATTGCTCTTGATCTCGAAGACCACTCGGCTGACGGGTATACGTGCTGCCCAGTAGTCGAATTTGCCCTTCCCCTTACCCATTCGTACATCGCTGCCTTTGGTGTAGACGCCAATATTCGCGCTCACCCGTTTGTACAATCTGAACCGCTCGCCGCGTAGTCTTCTGTTTATGGTTTCCTCGGCGTTCTTCAGCTGCTTGGCGGATACCCTTCGATCGTGGTCTTTCATGCGCAGGCCGTAGTCACCCCAGACGACGGTCGTCCCTCGCATCGATCCGCCCGTAGGCATGCGCGGGCGCCCGACGTGCGATTTTCGCACTTCGGGCCTCTTTGGCGTCAACCAGTCTTGACGTGGTGTCGTCGTAGAGAAGGAGCGAACGCATTTCGATTTAGCGTGAACTGAAAGAGGATTGGGAAGGTACTGAATGCGGCTCGGTCGGGCGAATGACGGGGTGGAAGTGTTGGGGAGGATCGTCTTCGTCCGGAGGTATCTTAAGCAGGCCACTGGAAGGCTGTTAGATCCTGGAATAGACATGAGCAGGCGAGAGAGAGATTTGGTACCAGAAGGACCTCGTGATGGTCCAGCCATTTTGGCAAGTCTCTCTCGCGAGCTGCAGCTGGGTTCCCGAGTGTCGCGGTCTGCTAACCCACGCAGAAGAGACCTTTCCTGAGATGAACGCAGAAAGAGGGGATATCCTGTTCTGCTGCTCTCCACGAAATCTGACCGGTCTTCTGACTCGATGCACAGTCACGTTGAAAATGTACTGCGTAGAGCTTCCGGGCAGACACACACATATGTCGCGCTGGAGCGAATACGAAACCGAAGTTGATTCGGTGGAGTAAACGTGCGTCAACCGCACTTCCTAAATCTTCGTGCTCGCCCCGAGTGCTGGCTGATGAATGTTTCCTGCGAAGAGTGTCTTGCACTTTTCCAAGTAAGCCACCTAGCTTTGATCATGTAACTGCATAATCTGTCTGTCTAAGAGCTTTCATACCCTTTGCTGCCTTCTCAACTGGTAAAGCAACTCATCTCACAAACCAGCACCTTATGCTCATTGCGGCAGGGAAGGTTGGAAAATACGATAACTTTCTATACAAGTACTTTTCTATGGTAAAGTGCGCTATCATTGTGGAACTAATATGGACACTCGTCATGATGGGAAGAGTCGCTTAAACGCAAGGCGAACGCCACTTGTCCTCAGCTCGTAAGTCGGTACCAGCCATTGACACTGGAGAGTGACCTCCCTGTCAACATTCGCCATCAGGTTTCTCCGTCCGTTGTAGGCCGCTTTCACTACCCTGTGAAGCTGCATACCACGATTGGTGCTCTGTCTTCTCTTGGCCCTCCTCAGCAAGTCGTGTATAATCGCCAGCCTGCTTCGATCCGTTGGGAACAAAGAACCGCTTGTCGATCCGGGTAAATTTCAAGATGCAAAGTAGGAGAATCTCGAGCGAGAAGTTGAAGATGTAGAAGCAGGCCTTGGAGTTGTACCATGGTGGATTGGTGACAGGCCGTGGAGGCATCCAGGTGATCCCCGTTTTGAATCCAGAGATCAGCATGCAAAGCAGCGCCGTTGAGGTGACGATGATCAACTTGCTTTTCATGCTGCCTTGTCCGAAGTGCTCAATATGTTGCGATTTCGGCAGGAAGACGGCCAAAGCTACATGGATTGCTGGAAGACACGTGAAGACGAGCAGGTAGGTGATGGCCGCCAGCTGAACGTCTCGGCAAGCCTGCTTGGTGTGAGGGTTGAGCGTATATGCTGAGAGCACTACCGATGTGATCACCATGATCAGCGCTCCAGCGATACAGGCGTAAAAGACTTTGTATGCTGCCCGCAATATCGGGTTCCATCCCAACTCTGGGTGAGTGGCTCGCAATATGCGTTGTGCCAGGATCAGATTGATGACATAAACTATCAGGATACCGGCATTCACAAAGATTGATGCTGCAATTGCCAATCGTACGTTGTGCGGTGTCGTTGCCCATGCGATCCGGAGAGACAGTGTGGCTATCCTGGCCATACAGAAACCGAACAAAGCTGCGGAAGGAAGGAATTTGTGCCCTTTTCGTCGATTGATCTGGAAGATGGTCATGTTTGCCGCCGCAAAGCAGATATAAAGGAAGATGAAGACGGCGTCGGTTGGCACATCCGTGGACACTGTCGGTAGCCCACCTATGGCTGCCGTCTTCGAAGGATATGGGCCTCCCATTCTGGATTCTGACAGAGGGCTGTAGCGGTGGGAGTCGTGATGAGAGTTGTCGATGGGTCTTCTGAGCGGGTGGACGCGAATTCTTGCTGTTTTGCTTGGTAATGGTCAAGAGTTACTAGACCGGGCGCCATTCTATATACTTGTACCGGTTTCCCTGCCATGACGAATGCGATGCTGGGCCTCTGAAGGCAAACGCAAAAAGGGAGGGGTTTTCGCTTTCGAGAACCTATCTCCGGGTTCAGAGAGTAGTTCTTGCCGGTCCTACTTGAATGCTAGGGAGCCGACCTGAGTGATGGTATGGAAGCAGGCATAAAGCAGGCCAATGAGGATGCGTCGGCGGCGGCATTCCAAAGCGGTCCGGACGAAAAACCTGTCCACGCACCAAGTCAGGACTCCGACGCCGGCTCTGAAAAGAGAATCGTCTGACTGTCAAACTGTCGGGGCCGAAGTGGAGGAAGGAAACTCCGTCTGCTTCTACAACTCGAGGATTGGGTGATAGTGTCAAGTGCCAATAAGTGACGGGCAGCCGACTCCTCCGTGTCGCCTTACGACGCAAAATAGCGTGTCAGACAAGGCGATCCCCTCTCGCGGTAGCACTCAGTAGGCTCTTCACATCAAGCAAGACAACGAGCCGAGAGTTTACGCCAAACCTTGACAGGGAGCTGGCTCGGAACTGCAAACATAAGAGGTCAACAGAAGAGGTCCTTTGACTCGGCCTCGCGCGTCAATCCCCTCCGCTTCGGCCGTGGGTAGATGATTCTTCCGTTCGAACTTCCAAATGCCGCAGAGTAGCAGCCATGTCTGAAATTGAATTGCTGAAGCAAGCCCGGAAGGGGACGAAAAGCTGTACCGAGTGTGAGTCCATTTCCTAAGCCCTTCGAAGAAAGGTGCAAACCCGATATGCAAGAGGCTTCGGCACAGCTGAGGCGTTGGGGACCGGTCAAATGAAACGGGACGTTTAGGCGGCGTAGAGCTACAGTACTCTCAATGCCGCTCCTGAGAAGCCCACGCAGACGAAGCTCTTCCCAATTCAGCGTGAAGGATATCCAGCAGCGCGGTCGGCCAGTGCTTGTCGGGTCTTACCACCTTTCTTCGGATTGGCCTAGGCTTTCGTACCAGGGCTATCTGCTGATACCGCGCAGGTAGGCGCCGTAAGGTCCGCTGTATCCGCAATCCCGAAGACGCAGACACCTGCCGCGGCTGCGAAGATCGAGGCTTGCAATGTGTTGCTCAAGTATTCAGCTCGAGACCACATCGGCCACCACGTCTGCCCTCTCGGCATCGCATTGCGCAACTGGAGTCAGAGGTCGCTAGCCTGCGGAAGGCCGTCCACAACATTCAGTCAAAGTTGGGTTATCAGACAATTGACATCGAGCCAAACTCTGCGCAGACGGCCTATAGCCCCGGAGAAGACGAAACTGATGACGACTCTAACGCTTCAGATGTTATTGCCACCGAACAACCGACGCATTTGCGTTCGCTCTTCCAGAATGATTGGTTGACTTCCGACATCGGCGGCCAGGATGAGCAGTCCCAGGACCGTAGAGTCAAGGCCTCTGCTCATCTCTTGGACTCTGCCAGAGAGAGATTGCAAAGGCTGGTCCCCTCCAAAGTAGATGCCATGAACATGGCTAGGACCGCGTCGAAGTGGCTGGATTTAGTCAACGCGGTCCTTGCACAGCCATTCGGGCTGAATTCGCAGCAAGAGCTGCTCGACAGTTACGACAACATGCTCAAACCTGACGTGGATGCCATGACGCTGGCCGCTTGGCTGCTCGACCTCGCACTCACAGCTCAGCAGGAGCCCCAACTCTACAACAGTCCTGCAACGTCCCTCAACCGGTTCCACACGGTTTCGGATTTCTCTCGAGCAGTATCTGACACCGTCGAGAGTGCGCTCTTCGCCCACGATCGGCTACTGGGGACAGTCCAGGGGTTAGGCATGGCAATGCACTTCCTTCGACTGTAAGCACTCCAGGCATCACGCTCCGTCGGAGGAGAGCTAACAGAGATCACAGTCAAATCAGCCAGGGAAATTTTCACAAAGCCTGGATTCGAGTGCGACATTGCATAGCCCTCGCCGAGCTGCTTGGCCTCTCACGACTACCGCAGGGTTCCCAGCATAACCACGCCGGACGAACGCAAGAGGAAAGATCCCAGTATCATAGAATAAAGCTCTGGGAGTTTATGTGCTCTGGGGAAAGATTGTCGGGAATGCTCGTCAACCGACCACCCATCTCGCGGCGCTTGGAAGACCCGAGTGCTCAACCGTTGATTGTGAACGGCATCGTCCAAACCCAGATTTACCTAAAGAGATTGACAGACACCACGGCCAAATTCCATACGTTGGATGATCCGGTCGTCACACGTGGAGCGAGCGCTCAAGCATATGCATCTGCACTCGAACTCGACCGAGAGCTTAGGGTTCTCGCGTCAGAAACTCCAAAATCATGGTGGGAGCAAGACACGAACGAGGTCAAAGCTGCACACTTGTGTCAGATATTGCATTACTACTTTGTAATGCGAGTACACTTACCATTTACTGTACGACAAGGTCTTGGGGAAGCTAATATCTACAGCCGCCTAACATGTTTGAATGCCTGCGAAGAAGTCGCTCGGCGCTACCAAGGGTTGCGTCGGTTGCTGCCCTCTGGGATCTTTCTCTCGCCGATAATGGACTTGCAAGCCCTCACAGCTACGGTCGTCCTACTCCTCGCATCCCACGGTGGAGCAGGCAACGATCGGATAGAGCTCCAGGCCAACAACGCTCGAGCACAGGAGACAGCAGCCCAGGTTTTGAGAGTGATGGAGGAAAAGTCGGGCGATGCAGCCGGGTCCAGTTTTGCTCGACAAGGTGCCAATGCCATTCGTTCTCTGAGCGCGCTTCTCCAAAGGAGTGAAGGTGCGGCGGGTTCGAATCAGTTGAGTTTGAAGGTTCCACTGCTAGGAAACATTAACATCCGCCGCAATATGAATCCTCCTCCGGTGGCAACGACCGGGAATCAGCAACCGGCGCAGCTCATGCCAGGTACCGGACTTTGGGACCCAAGTCAACACGCCGCCTCCCAACTGTTCGACGGAGCAGCTCTGAACCAGCTGCAGGTTGCCCCTTCGACTATGCAGGAGCAGGCTAACTGGCAGTGGAATCCTCTCTCGTGGTCAATTGAGGACAATCCATTCCAGGATGCTTTCATGATAGACAACCTAGACCAACTCGGCATGTGGCAGGGTGATGATATTAGCCTGCAGTTCAATAGCTGAGTATTACTCTCCGAGTGTCGAGACAATCACATACATGACCGCGGAGTGATGTACAGAGTATTAATAGAACTTTCACGAACGATCAATGCGAGCAAGTCGGAGGGCGGAACTGCGCGTCATTGTTGTCTGATCCGCCGTAAAGTGGCGGCTCCTTCCAAAAGTGATTCCAACGCGTCGCGTCATTGAATCAAAAGTCATGTCTTCGCGTCAGTGAATTAAATGTCAGGTCTTCCGCTTCAGGTGAATTGAAAGTCTGGTCTTTCCGCAGATCGCAGTGCACCAGAAGTACTGGAGTCGCGTTAACTCGAGGTCAACTCCATCTGGCAAGGTGTCTGTGTCGATGTCAATCACTCCTCACCTGTAATGAACACTCACTGGATCCTACCCTTTCCTGCACCATGCCATCGGACATCAGAAGTTTCTTCGGAGGTGGAGGGCCAAAGCCGGCGGCGAATTCTGGTACACCAAAGAGTGGTGACAAAGACATTGTACGGACATCGCTGGGAGCATATCAGCCAGCGATACTGACGGCATGATAGAATGGCACCAAGGCAGCTACGAAACAGCGGGGTCGGCCTCGCAAAGTTGTCTCTGACGATGACGACGAAGTAGTCGAAACCAAGCAGAAGAAGCCTTCGACACCAAAGCCGAAGAAACCTGCCGAAGAAACAGTTGAAGAGGAGACAAGTAGCTCAGCCTACTTTGCCTCGACGAAGACGAAGCCAGCGAAGACCACTCCGATCCGCACCAAGTCTTCTGCTACGAACGGCGCCAGCAAAACAGCAACACCCTCTAGCGATCGCCGACACTCCAAACGAACGGTTATGAAGTCCTATGAAGAAGATGACGGCGATGAGCCAGTGGTCGTGGTCAAAGATGATCCTGAAGGCAATGATGATATCTTCAATGACATGAAAAGCAGGAAGGTCGATGAGGACTACGATGAAGGCACAGATGAAGATGTCGCAACGCCACGGAAGAGAGCAACCAAAGCTGCTGCCGGCCACATCAAGAAGTCGAAGTCAGACGAGGAAGAAGATCCTGAAGTGCCTCATATTCCTGCATACGATGGGGCTGGTGACAACCGAAGGAAGAGAACATCTGCCACAACCGCCCCCGGTCGAAAGAGGAAGTCGAAGGACCTCGCTGACAACGACGAGGATGACTACATGGATGACGATGATGATGCTGTTCCCAAGAAGAAGTCAAGGAAGGCAGCTTCAACAACTGCTAGCAAGCCACGAGGCTCGGCTAAGGAGGACAAGGAAGACAGCAGAGAGTTACAAGACATTTATGCCAGCATTCCCACAGTCCGAGCCCCGACTCCGCCGCCAAGAGACGACAAGAAGAAGTTCACGTACGGTGGAGGCAATGCCAGTATTGCGCCACCAGCAGCCGGCACCGCTGAGATCCCAGTTGGTGCTGAAAACTGTCTTGCTGGGTTGACATTTGTCTTTACAGGTGTCCTGAACACTCTAGGTCGCGATGAGGGCCAAAACCTTGTGAAGCAATATGGCGGCAAAGTGACAACTGCTCCTTCCACGAAGACGAGTTATGTTGTCCTTGGCTCTGATGCTGGTCCCAAGAAACTTGAAACCATTCGAAAACTCGGCATCAAGACGATCAACGAGGACGGTCTTTTTGCGCTCATTCGACAGCTCCCGGCCAATGGCGGAGACGGCAAGGCTGGTGAAGCCTACGCCCAGAAACAGGCCAAGGAAGAAGAGAAGATCCGGTTGCAAGCGGAAGAAGAAGCAGAACGTGAGCGCGAGAGGCAGAAAGAGGCTGCCAAACTTGCCAAAGCTGCTTCGGCTCGGACTAGCACCCCAGCTGCAACATCGAAAAAGGTACCTAGAATGCAAGACAAGCTCTGGGTGGACAGATATGCCCCGGATGCCATAAGCTCTGTTTGCGGAAACAAGGGTCAGGTAGAGGGTCTTCAACGATGGCTTCGAAACTGGCCCAAGGCTGCAAGGTCCAACTTCAAGCATGCCGGCGCCGACGGCAAGGGTGTTTTCCGTGCGGCTCTGCTTCATGGTCCTCCTGGCGTTGGCAAGACCACAGCAGCTCACCTCATCGCCAAACTCGAAGGCTATGACGTGGTCGAGAGCAATGCAAGCGAGACCAGAAATAAAAAGCTACTGGAAACGAGTTTGACCGGCGTTCTGGATACCACGTCTCTCCTCGGATACTTTGCTGGCGACGGCAAAAAGGTCGACGTTGCAAAACGCAAGCTCCTCTTTATCATGGACGAGGTTGATGGCATGTCTGCCGGTGATCGTGGCGGCGTTGGTGCTCTGGCTTCTGTGGCTAAGAAGACTCATGTTCCAATAATCATGATTTGCAACGATCGGGGTAGTCAGAAGATGAAACCTCTCGTCCACGTTACGGCTGAGTTCAAATTCATCAGGCCGACCACAGACATGATCCGAGGGCGGATTGCTACCATCCTTTATCGTGAAGGAATGAAACTGCCGATGCCAATCATCAATGCGTTGATCGAAGGGTGTAATGGCGACATCCGTCAAATCATCAACATGATCTCGACTGTCAAGCTTGACAACAAAGACCTCGACTTCAGTGATAGCAAAGCCTTAACGAAGGCATGGGAGAAGCACGTAATTCTGAAGCCCTGGGACATTGTCAACAAGATTCTGCGGCCTCAGATGTTCTCTGCCAGTTCCGCCTCAACACTGAACGACAAAACTGAGTTGTACTTCAATGATCACGAGATGAGCTATCTGATGCTTCAAGAGAACTACCTTAAAACACAACCCAGCCTTGCAGCCAACTACAAGGGCAGAGAGAGAGACATGAAGTTGCTGGAGCTAGTGGACAACGCTGCCTCGAGCATCTCTGACGGTGACCTGGTGGATAGAATGATCCACGGTTCGCAGCAGCAGTGGAGTTTGATGCCCACTCATGCCATCTTCAGCTTCGTTCGGCCCGCTAGCTTCGTCCATGGCAATCTCAACCAAGGAGGAGCTGGCTTTCCTACCTGGTTTGGCCAGAACAGCAAACAAAGTAAGTGAACTATGCCAATTTCTTGACTGATGTACTGACCTCTCGGTAGCCAAACTATCTCGCTTCGTCAAGGAGGTCCAGGGACATATGCGCTTGCGCACCTCTGCCGACCGCCATGAGATTCGCCAGCAGTATCTTCCTGCTCTTTGGAGCAAGACTGTTGGGGTGCTGAAAGATGAGGGCAGAGATGCTGTGCAGGATGTCATCGACTTCATGGACTCATACTATCTGACGAAAGACGACTTTGATGCCGTCATGGAGCTGGGTGTTGGAGAGTTCGATATGGAAAAGATCAAGATCGAGTCGGGTACAAAGGCACAATTCACCAGGCTCTATAACGGGCAGAGCCACCCTATGCCATTTGTGAAGGCGAGCAACGTCTTGGGCATGGCCAAAGCAGGCGGCGTCAAACGAGAGAAACCCGACTTGGAAGAAGCCGTCGACGAATCCGAGGGAGAGGAGGTCGTGGCTGACGCTGAAGTTGTTGATGAAGAGGACGAGTTGGATTTGAAGAAAGACAAATATATCAAACCAGCAAAGAAGAAGCCTGCACGTGCTTCTGCTGGTGGCGCTGATGCGAAGGGCAAGGGGAAGAGGAAGAAGGCTGAGGATAACAACGAGTCGGAAGCTGAGAGCGAAGAGGAGCCAAAAAAGAAGCGAGGTGGCAGTGGGCGAGGTCGAGGTGGTGGTAGAGGCAGAGGACGAGGAAAGGCTTGATCGATGCCGTGGCTGACTGCCTGCTCAAGTGAGTGATTTCGGCAGGATAGCAGAACGCAAACCTGGGCATTCACATACATATGTGTACGATATCGGCCAGCATTGTTTATACGGCCAATGTACGTTGACGTGGGACGGTCTGCAGAAAAGCGGATAGATGTGTGTATCACTCGCTAGAATAGCTGCCGATCTCTGTCGTCCAACACTGAGCTCACGGTTCACTTGGTCTTCAATCACGGCCATTTCCCACCACGGTTTGGGCCGTAGCTCGCACCTTGAAGCCGGTTCCGGTCCATGGGAGAGAACGACGTCAACTGGCAATAACACCGGCGCTCCAATCGCAATGAACAGGTAACGAAATTGTCACGACGGAATATCCGCTGGCAAGAGTACAAGTCCGTCCTTGATAATCAATCGTTAGCCACAGTACAGTACAGTAGCTATGCGACTTTTGTTTGCCAAATTAATTAAGCCTTTTTTGCGTACCGCTTCCTTCCGCTCTCTTCCGACAAGATCGCCGTTCCTTTCTGCTTGAAAAGCACAATCTCTTGACTTTCTGTCAATCTGAAGGATTCGGTATAATCACTAACAAGCCAGCTGAGCTGATAAAAGTTGTGTCCTTCCGGGGCAGCGAGGACTGATCCCCGATCCTGGATCATGAGGGAGACGAGGGGGCACTGCAGCGCCCATGGATGCGTCTTGTGCTGTCGTGCGCCAGATTCCATTCTTGCTTGGGGAGGCCGACGACAAAGAATGAACGAATCGAAGCTGCTGCCCACGTGGCATTGTTTGGCAAGCGACCGCCGAGCCGGAGACCAGCAATCCGGCGGCGCGAACACCATTCTTCACCCGCGCTTCATGCTGAGAGCTTGCAGACTCAGCGGGGTAAGGGAGGCTTCCGGCCAAAGACGACGTAGAAGTGATAATAGCTGTGGATGCTCTTGTTCTTGACGTCCTTGCGCACGGACATGAGGAACAGCTCGACCTGCTCGGGCGTCATGCCCAGGCAGCGCGTGAACAGCATGACGGTGAGGGCTTGGATCCCCTGGGTCATGTTGACCATCTCGAACAGGCCGCATTTCTTCAACCGCGGGTCCCGGGGCCATGACCCCACGGGCAGTTTGAGCACGTGTTCCTCGACGTCGACGAAGCCCGTCTCCTCCATCAGTCTCCTCAGGTTGCGCGGGGAACGGGCGTCGGCGCCGAAAATCACGCCTATTACGGACGCGTGCGTGCGCGCACGCGTGAGGGTTAAGATAGATTCTCGACGTGCGGGACAGAGAAGGGTTTTGGTGCGGGTGCGCGGGTGTGCCTTTTACTTACTGGCCTCGAAGAATTTCCTGCTCCATTGAGCAAGTGCCGAGTCGGGCGGGAGGGAGTTATCGTCACTCAGAAATTCCGGGTGCTTCTCGTGCCACTCGACCCAGCCGCCGGGAGCGATATGCCTGTCACGTCGAAGGGGGGTGTTCTCAGCAAAACAGTTCTTCAAAGTTTCTCCAACGAAAAAGCAAAATGTCTTTTTGGGGCCACACGCGTACCGGTAAGTCTTTTGGATCAGGGCCGGCCAGTCCCGAATGGCGCACACAAAGTTGCGGTTGTGGATGTAGTCAAAGTGCTCTTCTGGCCACGTCCAGTCTGCCTCGGCGTCGTCGATCTCGAAGCGGCAGTTCGGCGGCACCCACGTGGGTTGGATGCTGCTGAGGTCGGTCCCGATAACGTCGGCCGACGGGAACATGTCCGCGAAATCAATTGCCCAGATGCCGGTGCCGGTGCCCAGATCCAGCACCCTCTGAGGAGTCTCGCTGATGGGCGCCCAGAATAGCCGGTCGCCCAGAAGATGAGACTGCATGGCGTGTTGCATGTCGAGCCTTTCGGCCTCGGCCTCGTCGTTGGGGAATGCATATTCTGTAACAGATAGTATAGTCAGGGTCCCCGAGTCGCGAAAAAGCAATGCAAGGGGTCAGAGTGTGAGAGACAGCGTACGTGACCGTCCATACGAATGATACCGTCGCCCGTTCTCCCAGATGCCCCGCGTGATGCTGGACGTGAGGGACGTCAATTCGCTCGCCCTGATCTCGTCAGTCAGAAAGAAACACTCGGGCTGGATATCTCGGGGGCCAAGGCACGCACACAGAGTCGCCATAGGCAGAATCGATGTCCCTGGGCTGCAGAAGTACAGGTCAAGATGTGAGTGAGTGTCTCCCGGGTGACTGGAGTCCTCTGTAGACGTACATCGACCTCTATTCCTTCCTCTGGCTGCTCTATCGGGGGTAGGAGCTGAATGGCTGGGTTCTCACCGGCAGTGTCCTCCCTTAAAGGTGGCGTCGATGACTGGGGTTCTTGAGGATTCGTGGGCGGAGCACCTGATGCCATGCCGCGAACATGTCACCCTTGGTCTGTGGCTGGATCCAGTCTCTGAGGTTTTGATGATCGAGGAGTGGAAATGCCCGGATCGAGTCGACTCGACGTACGAGTTCACAGGATGTACTTTGTATGGCCGGGTGGAGTCAATTCGACTTGACGTATGAGGTACAGTACATGAGTACGATTATGTATGGCCGGCCTGGCTGCATGCAACTTTCTTCACACGGAACAATGGAGCACAAGGCCGATCCCTACATGGCCGGATGGGCCGGTCCATCGGACGGAGGACGGACTGGATGATCGATTGACTTTCTCTCTGTGCTTGATCCGCCGAGAGACGAGCTCTTTCTCCTGTGTGGGTTGCTGCGCTCGTCTTACCTCGTACAGTGTGGATGGCAAGCGGAAACAATACCCTTGCTAAGGGCTGATGCTCCAGCGGAAACAAATTCGCGTGGAAACCCCATGCAGTGTCCCGTGGATCCATCAAGCATCCGATGCCGCGCTAGACAGCAAAAGGAACAGGGGTCGCTGAGCGAGTACCTTCGTGTCATTCGCGGACAACCGTGGAGATCGCGGCGGCGTTGGCCAGAAGCTCGAACGAACCGCCCACTAAAGAACGAGGGCGGAACGATGGTGCATTGGAGTCGCTGTCGTGGATCCCCGGCTCTAAATATCTTTCAACAATGAGGCGGCCGATCTCAGGTTCTGAGTGCGTTCAAGTTCGCGTTTTGGCTCCTTGAGGCCGCCAGGCCAAGGAACCAGAATGCAGACTGATTCATGGAGCTGCATCCGACCCGAAATGGCCCGGTCCTAGTCACCTTTGCTGAAGACTTTCCACCGCGTGGCCAATTGTCTGTTTGCGCTGGAACTCACCGGTCCTTCGCGTGCAGCAACACCCGAGCTAATGTATGTATCTCCAAAAGAGTCACTCCAATGATTTCAACCAACAAGGCGCCCTGGAGAACCTGTGTCCACCGCACTTGTAGAAGAAACGACCTTTGCCGTGTACTCAGCACAAAGCACGCAGCACACGGTACTTGTGGTTTCATGCACGAAGCCCACTCGCTTCCCACTTCCCACATCCGCCGCGATCTCACGCCTTATCTTTCCATCCCCCGGTGCATACCTTCCTGCTCTGCTAGCGAACAGATATGCTCAGGACTAGGCGTCATCACTGTTACGTACCTCGAATGGTCGACCAGCTGACCAGAATTTGATCTGACTCAAGACCCTCTTGGCTGCTGAGCGTGGAACATTGTAGCTCCTGGTTTGCTGCTACTCAATTGAACGAGTTGCAGCAAACTGAGAAGACGACCGACGCTGCAATGGCGACTCAATCACCCCACGTTCTGATCGTTGGCTCAGGTGTGTACATTGCTGACATGGGTCGATTGGCGGCTTGAGAACTGCCCAATTGACGGATCTGTGCCGCAGGAATCGTTGGGTTGCTGATCGCACAGGGCCTCAAGAAAGTAAGACTCAGATCCGGCTTCTGGCAAGCGCGTTCAGGTGACCATGACATCTAGGAAGGAATATCCTTTGAGGTCTTTGAGTCTGAACCTTCAGCAACCACCTACCGGCCTCGCGAATGGGGCATGTCGGTGCAATGGGGGCTCCCCATGCTCAAGGACTGCTTGCCCGAAGAGCTCTTCGACCGCATCCACACCGCTGCGGTGGATCCGAATTTCGAGCCCCCGGATCCCGGAATCCTGCCTACGTTCAATGGCGCAACTGGTGAACTGTTGAAGAACATTCCGCTGCTGCGCATGTACCGGGTGTCCCGGCGACGGTTCCGAGCTTTCTGTGCCCAAGGCCTCAATGTCCAGGTGGGATCTCGGCGCCACGTTGATTGGTGATGTTGCGACAGCTTCTGATTGACAGGTGTAGTATGGCAAGGTGCTCGAGTCCGTCACATACGACGACGAGAATTCCACTGTCACCGCCGCATTTGAGAATGGCACGAAAGCCACTGGCACCCTACTGATCGGAGCAGATGGCGCTCAATCACGTGTGAGATCATCCATCTTGGGGGAGAAGGGACGGCCGTCTCTAGTCCCCTACTCGGCTGTCAACCTGCATGTTTGCTATAATGATGCGGAGAAGGCCCTGTTTGTCCGCCAAGCACATCCTATAAGTAAGGCCAATCCATGTGTCTGAGAGGAGCAGTGTTGCTGACCCAAGGATGTTCTCGCAGTGACCATGGCCATGCACCCTGATGGCTACTGGCTATGGATCTCCAGTGAGTTTGATGTCTGTGCTACTGTCCGTCGTGCTGAGTATCCCAAGTTCAAGAGGTACCAGACCCCAATGACCCCGCGACCTGGGTGTTTCAGCTGCAAACCACTTGGAAGAAGAGAGAGGGCGAGGAAGTCGACTCGTTGGCAAATCTGAAAGCCAAGGCTGAAACCTTTGGTGAACCATTTCGATCAGCGAATCTTTGGATCCCCGAGGGCACAAAGGTTCATGTGAACAACCTGTCGTACTGGGTCCCGGTTCCCTGGGATACCCGGAAGGGCAGGGTATTACTCGCCGGTGATGCTGCTCACCCTATGACCTTCCAACGGGGTCAGGGACTGAACCACGGTATTGCGGATGCGAGAAGCATCGTTCTCAAGTACAAGGATGCCGTTGACGGCAAGATGACTTTTGAAGAAGCCGCCGACGCGTATCGAGACGAGCTTGTAGATCGAGCAGGTGAAGAAGTTCGATTGTCCATGGAGAACACTGAGATGTTGCATGACTGGGAGAGGATGGCCAACTCGCCCATCATGCAGCGCGGAGGCCATCCAAGAGAGAAGTAGGGCAAGCAGTCGTGAGCTTGAGGATACAATACCTACATCAGAGTGAATTGAAAGTGACTTGCTGAGAGGTTGTCAAACTGTCGATTCTGGGTGCGTTCACTTCCGGTTCTATGCTCGCCATTCCTTTGTGCGCCACTCTCAGTTCTAGACAGGCTACGTCAGATCTGGGATAGCGGATGCATCGTTGTTCAGATTTATATAAATACTACACACTGAGGGAGTCATGAGGCTCAAGTGAGTAACGGGTGAGTTGACGGTGAGAGAACGGCGGATCACTCGGCCAACTCGCCCAACGCCAACGCGAATGCCTCGGTTCATCTCTAATTAAATCAGAGCGTGAACCGCAGTCCCCGATAAGGTTTGATCCTCCACCCGAATGACAGTTGAAGTCGTGCAGCATTCAGGAGGTTTTCGGTTTCATATACCGTAAACCTTGACTTGCGGTGAGAAGGATGGGTTGTGGCCACATATCCTCCGCAGGTCTTGTCAAAGTGTACACATTGGGCTGGAGGTGAAGACTGGACACTCGATCACTGTATCAATCATCGCAGTCACCCAAGAGTCCGAGTACGAATATCAACGTGGTATTAGATACCGAGGTGCAAGGATGCCGACGACCGACCCTGCGTACTTCAGAGCCGTGCCCTGGTGTGCCGCTCTCCTGTCTGATCCAGAATACATCGTCGTTCCCTCTCGGTTCGGTCGGCCCATGAAGGATGGGAGAGGCGAGTTCTTCACCAAGACTCTGGCAACAGACACCACGATCACCGCCTGCATATGTCAAACACGCAGAGCCGACCGCAACAACAACGGGCATCAGAACTCGGCGGCCGAGACCACGGCCACGGCATCAGTCCCCCAGCCAACTGTATCGGAAGTCCGTGCATTCTTGTCCACAGGCCCGGGGGTCAATGGGCATCCTGGCATTGCGCACGGTGGATTCGTCGCCGCGATAATCGACGAGATTATGGGCTTCTTGATCAACAGCAACAGAGCGACGACTGAGACGGCAGGTATCCCACCTGACGGATCAGCCAATCCGGCCTATGCCGACCAGCAAGCCGTGCCCATGACGGAGCCCGGAGCCATATCGATCATGACAGCAGAGCTGACGACGAAATATCGGAGACCCGTCCCGACAGGAGTACCGTTGCTGGTGCGGACTTGGATCGAGAAAACCGAGGGACGGAAGATCTTCGTGAGGGCAACGGTCGAGGCCGAGGATCGTCAAATATTGACCGAGGGCGTTGGTCTCTTTGTCGCATTGAAGCCGGGAACCAGGGCGTCTACGGCGAGGAAGACAAACGCAAAACTATAGACCAAGACCTTTGGAATTTGAGAGGCTGGAGTCACGATATAGACTGGCAACAACTTCGTTTCAGAGCTAGAGGCTAGCATATTGGAGTATCGGGTGCCATTTTAGAGGCAGCACTAGACTACAGGGATCATTCACCATCAATTTCCGATCGAAACTCATCAATGACGCTGCGTGGTTTCGTGTACTCCAGACTCGAGCTGTACTCATAGGGCAGATTGAAAGCTTTGGGCCCGCCAACCTCAAGACCCCGATTCGACGTCCAAACAGGATGCGGAGCCATGCTCATCACAGTCACCTTCAAGCCGTACCTGAGATCCGCTTAGCACAGGACATTTGAAATCAGAATTTGCCAGACTTACCGGTACTCCTGCGTACCAATATTCTCTCCTGTCGAGACGTCCAGCAGAAATATCAGCTCCGGGACAGTCGCAAGAACTTCCTCTCGGTCGTCGTCGTCCCTGCCGATGACAGCCAGGTTCTCGTTCATGAACGGAACCACGACCGCAGCGTAATCTGACGCTCCGTCGGTGCTGAATTCCATCTCGTCCTCGCTGATTGCTTCGATGGTAACCTTGCCTAGACTGTGGGCTGTGGAGGTCAGGACGCTTTCAACACTGCGGATCTTGCCTTGAAACAACCGTTTGGCAGATCGACTGCCGCCGACCTCTTCGATCAAGGCTTCAGGTAAGGCTGACAGCGACGATGACTGTTTCGCCATGGACACGACACGACCAATTCGCCAGGCCAGAGAGTACGAGTTCGGAATTCCTGCGGCTTGCATCTGCCGCCCGCTCAGGGGAACACCAGCTGCTCCGCAAGCTAGTCCCATGGCCACACAAGCATCTCTGATTTCTTTTCCGGGGGCCTCCTCATCCGTTCGATCGCCGAGGACGACGATATTCTGCCCAGTCCCATCGCTAAGGGTCACCGGGAGCAGGGCATTGACAGAGCCCGAGTTGACGTATGTGGACACCATTTCAAATGCTGGGTAGGCTCTTCCTGCATTGTATCGTCAGTCTGGTCCCGGACGACGGGGTTCTCTCGACATACCCATGAGATCGCCGTCCACAGTCGGGATGTTGTAGTATCTTGATGAGCCACAAAGCAGGGGAGTCAAACCATTTCCTCCTCCTATCTCACACGCGAGTAAGTGAGTAAACGTGACCTTTAAGTGTTCAGCCATCAAGTCAAGGGCATGAATGACTCCGTCTCCACCGGGCTTCTCGTTGCCCACGGCAGGAGTACCAATCCCAGCAACCGAAGGTATCACATCCTCCTCCTTTAGGTGGTCACAGCTGACGATAGTGACCGTCTCCCCTTCAGACAATAGCTGGCGCAGTACCAAGGCTCCGGCATAGGGCGATCCTCCACCTCCGGAACCGAGGATATAGCAGCCAATTTCCAGGAAGCGGATGTCTGTCTCGGACAAGTACCACAGTCCGTCCTTGGTCACCTGAGGGCGGTAGTTATGCAGGTCCACGGTGTCGGGGGGTTCATCACTCCGCGGCAGTTCGTGCCTCTTGGTCCCTTCGAACAACTCTTCTTCGGCACCCTCCACGTCATCTTCCCTGCACATATGAGTTTCTTGGCGGAGTCTGGCGTGATCTGCTGGCATGGCTACCTCCACTTTAATGGCTGTTTGACCTTGGGTGTAAGGCACTCCGGCTGATTCTACATTCAGTACTGTAATGTTGGCACTGGTCCCGCCCTTCTTGATGGCCCGCTCTATGGCCTCGTCCTTGACCCGATTGATGCCCACCTGAACATCGTGTCCTTCCCAAATCAACTGGGAGGAGGCAGAGATCTGGGCCATGGCTGCGCCGATTGCGTTTGCTACACCAGCATGTTCAGGGACGATAATCTTACTGACGCCGCTTAGTCGCTCGGGGCAGAGAATGGCACCACCTCCAACGAGAATGACCGTGCAAGGGTCCGGGGACAACTTTGAGCGGTCGATAACTGCTTCCAGCATCTTCTTGATCCTGGCCTTGGCCCCATGGATGACCTTGTCGCTGAGCTTGACTGTTTGTTTCCCGAGAGAGACGCTTCCCGAAGCCACCACCACGTCAGTTGCAGTTATCGTCGTACCACCAAAGCATAACGCCTTTTCCGCTATGTCGTGCCCGACGCTTTGAGGACCGATCGAGATTTGACTCTCGTCTGATGCAAGATGTAGGATCGATCCTCCACCAAGTGCAATGCTCTCAACTGAGGGGATTTCCATGTTGACTTTGATTCCAGCGACATCTGAATAGCTCCTCGCCAAGCGAGGATAGCCGTTCTTAAGCAGAAGTCCAGCATCTGTCGATGTGCCTCCGATGTCCACGACCACGCTGCCAGTCTGCTCAATGTTTGAGCCGACCAAGAAAGCTGCGCCGCGAATCGAATTGGTCGCACCCGAAGAGAAGATTTTTATGGGAAACAGCGAAGCTTCCGCCAGAGGTAAAAGATGCCCGGTGTTGGAGGTCAAGTAGAGCGGGCATTGCAGGCCGACATGTTTCAGCGCGATCTGGAGAGAGCGGATCGTCCGCTGAGCAAAGCTCAAGATGGAAGCGTTGAGTATCGCCGCATTTTCGCGCGCAAGGAGACCCATGCCTGCCACATCTCGAGAGCAGACGATGTTCACCTTGTGTTGAGAAGACTCGAAGGATTCTTGCAGGATGTTCCGCACGCGCTGTTCTTGATGGTGGTGGTGGTCGACGGGCGATCCGATGCCAACAACCACAACATTCTTCAGTCCCTTTGCCTTGATGATATCGGCCTGTTCGCGGACTCGATCATCGTCGATATCGGCAATCAGCTGGCCATCGATGTTGCACCCTCCCGGTATGAGAGCCGAGTAGCCGTGGATGATGTTCTTCAAGTCTTGGGGCCAATCCACGCACGGCGGCGTGCTGCCAGAGAAGTTGTACGAGGCCAGTCGCAAGATTGCAACTTTCTCCAGGCGGGCAGCGTCGCGTTCGAGTATTGCATTGATGAAATGTGTAGTGCCAATCGCGATGGCAGATACATTGGCGTGGTCAACTGGCGAAGTGGCCAGCAGAACTTTCAGTGTCTCGCGAACACTGAGCGTCACGTTGGCGGTGGTTGGGGCCTTGTAAGATGCTAACACGGCTTCAGACCCGTTCTTGGAGGTATCTAGGAGGACGGCATCTGTGTTGGTCCCTGTTGGGCAGAGTCAAAGAGTGACCTTCGACCACCTTAACGTGTAGGGAGGGGCTGTTTCTTGATCGACTTGCATACCTCCCACGTCGACACCGACGATTAGTTGTCCAGGGGCCGCCATACGGTGGCCTGTTGTGGTGGATAGACTCCGATAGTCGACTTTGCTTATCCCAGGCCAACCTTTCATAGGCGCGGCAGAGCGTCAACGGTCGTTCTGGGCCTTTTGGTCCGTGTCTGAGGTACACGAACAACGGATGTATCAGGTATACATACTGGCGAAAGGATGGATACCCACATGTATCAACGCGTAGCTCGTTGTTGCAGAGCCCAGGATTCCAAGCTCCGACCTCGGTGCTGCTTTGCCAATGCTAACGGTGGAGATCTGCATTGACGCGACACTCGCATTTGCCAATTATTATATCGGTCGCGGTGGAAACACCAGAACTGGTCTGGCTGGCTGACTCAGTCGTTGGAGCCAAGTCATTCACCAAGCCGCGTGGTTGGGCTCTTCCAACGTGGGACGAGCAAGTCCCTCATGGTGATAGCCTGGAAACTGCTCTTGGACGACTTTGGCTTCGGCTGGGTGATACAGTAGCATCGTCCAAGTAGACAACCTTGGCAGGAATTGGCCAGCATCGTTGTGACCTGATGATGGACTGGCGTCAAGGATATCGATCACCTCGGTGCGTATGGTCAGGACCAAAGCCTCATAATGATTCCTGACAGGGCCGTCGACAAGACCCCAACAAGCTCAGGCGGTATACTGAAGATCCCGTTTGATTGAAGCTGCCAACATCAGTTGAACTGAAAGGAACGGAGCAAGCACGGCCTCCTTAGGCAACAGACCAAAGCTCAGGAACGCAGGCTACCACATTTCGTTGGCGAGAATGTCTGCGGAATGTGAAGCCCATTTCAACATCGACCTTCAGCTTCATACTCGGCATCGGCCAACCGAAGACCGAGAAACTCTGTGCCTGGCAGGGCCTGGCTCGGCGAGGAGATCACCCAAGTTCAGCCCTGCGATCGCCTCCAGTGGAACCCACAGTACGCCTTACCAGGCTTTGCCACGCCTACAAGGGCCAATAACGAGCAGGCACGACAAAGTGCCCATTGTGGCAGTGTACCGTACTCGGGTTGTGGCCATCCTGGGCATATGCTATCAGCGTGTGACCTCTTCACGGCGGTGGAGCACCTATATACACCTCAATGAAGGCTTTAATAGCCAAAGAAAGACACAGCGCGAAACAAAGAGCGAGCAACACTCGCCAAATAGCTCTCAGCATACTCTCCACCTAAGACAAGATGGGCCTCACCAAAGCCGAAGACTCCCCGGGACTGTCTCTGGAACTCGACAGCTACAAGGCCCACTACTCTCCCGGCGACACCATCAGCGGTCGAGTGGTCCTCAATACGGCGGATGAGGTCGGGATTGGCAAAGTTGTCGTTTCATTCTGGGGTCGGGCGAAATCACGAATTATCCAGCAACACGGCCAAGCGGTCACATATCATCGTGGTCGCACACAGTTCTTCAAACAAGAGCTTGTCCTCTACGAGGGCCAATATACCCACAAAGCCGGCACATTCAGCTGGCCGTTTGAGTTCGTCGTCCCCGAACAGGCCGACCCAGCAAGTATCCTCGCCGGAGAGAAATGGAAGCCCAAGGATCACTTTCGAGGGACAGCAGATGTGAACGACCTCGAACTCACGCTTCCGGCGTCCTGCTATCATTCGCGACACATGTTCGGTCGTCACGCCGAGTGCTTTATCGAGTACGTCCTCGACGTGACCTTGGTTGAGCCAGAGGGTCTACATCACATCCGTGGTCCTCAAAGCAAGGTGTCAACTCGGCCGATTATCTTTCACCCTCTGTCGACACCCGAACCCATCCAGAACTATAACTTCGTCACCGACCAACGACTCTTCACCATCTCGACACTGAAACTCCTACCAGAGCATGCCGGAACCAGCCTCGGACTCCGAGATCGCGCTCGCTCGATTTTTCAGCGCGATTCGCTTCCCAAATTCTCCTTCAGCCTTGCTGTTCAGGCACCGAGTATCATCCAGCTGATGCATCCCGATCCAATACCGTTCCTTATCACTGCGACACCAGACTTGTCCCCCGGGCTCACCACCATCGACACCTCCACGTCGCTACCCACCGTGACCCTCAAGGCGGCCAAGATTGAACTGAAGACGTACATTCGCTGCCGCGCGGCCGGCACGTTTTCCGACAGCAAGACATACGAAATCCCCATGCTGTCTTACAAGACTTTGAACCAGCCGCTGACCATGGTCCGTGGTAGGGCGACAGCCGCGGAGGCAACGCTGAACCTCGGACAGCTGGTTGACCTACGTCTGGCCAATGCCAAATTGGGATCCCGGCTCGAGGCACCCCTGACGCCCAACTTTACCACGTACAATGTCTCGCGGTCGTATCATCTGCTCTGGGAACTGGAGATCGAGTGCGCGGATAAGACCGAGAAGTTTTCGTCGGTCAAGAATGGGCCGGAATGCACGGTCATTCTGCCCCCAGCTACGGTTCGAATCGACAGCGTTTTGGACACCAATATGCTACTGGGAGCAGATCTGTCCCAAGCCATGACGGGAACGTCTGCCGAGAGCACAGGCTCTGGGTCAAGCTCCGGCTTCTGGCATCGCCGCAGTCACGAGGGCAAAGAATCGAGCAAGGAGAAGTCTGGCATAGGCCGCCCCGTCACATCCAATGGCGGGGGTGAAGCTGGTGCATTTGATCTCGACAGCAAAGGGAAATCGAAGGCCCAGGAAGCAGCTGAAGAGCGGGCTCTCGCGCGTCTGGGGGAGATTGAATCGGCATACCAGAGACGCCACCAGGACTCCCGCAACACCCCTGTCGACGACGCAGCGGAGAATATGCCTAGGGGAGAAGCTCTTCCGACTCAACCAGCGATCATCACGGTAACGGACACGGAACAACAACTACCGAGATACAAGCCATGAGGGGTGGGTTTTTTCTTGCAGTGGTGAGTCCTTGTGAAGACTCCACCTTCTGGAGCCTTCACCTCATTTGATCTGGATTCAAGGGCTCAATGTTTTCTTTCTGCATGGTGTATTCTTGAACAGAGGCCGTCTATTGATTTCAGTGGAATGAGCAGTTCGGTACACTGCAGGAAAATACGGTCGTCTTGGCTATACGGCTGCGCTTTAGTGGGAAGTATGGAGCTCGGTGGCGAAAGTGAGGACACAAGGATGCATAGCGTGAACCAGGTAGGCTGGAGGCTGTGATGGACTTATGTAGGCAGTACTTGTAAATTAATGTGTCAAATCATGACATTTCTTCCAAGGCACCCAACCCTGGCTCAGTACGCTCTAACTCGTGTCATCTGGCCGAGGCCGCAGAGTGACAGGGCTGAATTCACAGCCTCGTGTGAAGTGACAAGGCTGAGAACTTGCCATATTCTGCACTTACGCTCCACCGTACATCGAATTCTCCAAAGATCGACTTTTTGAACTTCACGACGTGGTGCTCCACGTACCCATAAGCATTGGCATTGCAGCAGGCCACGATGTTATTGGAAGACCAGAGATTCCTCCACGAGGACTTGGAGCGGCTGGAGCAAGCCATCACCGACCGCGTGGCTGAAGATCCGAAGAACGTAAGTGCGATTCCTCTTCCTCCTCCTCCTCCGCCGGCTAGAGTCTCAACGCTGAAACGCACTTGGGATAGATCAAAGACCGATTGATCCGAGACCACCAAATCAATGGCTTCTTGACCCGAATACAAGAGCAGTCGAAGCGATTATTAGACATCTACAAGGACGCCGAAGGATTGCGGACGAAAGAAGTGCAGTCTCTCTCCACGGGCGAACCGTTCGATGAATTCTACAAGCAGCTCGAGGAGGTCAAGGACTTCCATCGACGATACCCCAACGAGCCCGTCGAGAATCTCGAACGCGCGTACAAGCGCCGACGGCCGGAGGAGGGAGAATATATCCCGTCAGAGGTGGACAACATGTTCAGCGGCGAAGAGTCCAACGGCCGGTTTCTGGATCTGACCCAACTCCATGAAGAGTACCTCAACCTACCCGGCGTCAAGCGACTGACGTACCTCCAATACCTCGACAGCTTTGACGCCTTTGAACCGCCGCGATTACCCATCAAACGACAAAACAAGATCACGGACCAATACTTGCAGTACGTCGCCGGGCTGGACGGGTACCTGGAAGGGTTTGTGCGACGGACTCGGCCACTAGACGACCTGGCGAAACTGTTCCTGAGATATCAACGAGAATTCGACACAGCGTGGGACAAGGGCGAAGTGCCCGGCTGGACGAAGGAGACCAAAGAACAAGACACATCCGCGGGCCCTCAAACAGAAGGCAGCGGCACGGGCACATGGTGTCCCGCGTGCGAAAAGGAGTTCACAAACCAGAACGTTTACAATTCGCACCTGACGGGTAAAAAACACATTAAAAATGCGGCGGCGAAGAAATCCGACTCCGCCAATGGGGCAGGGACCGACAACGACGGCACATCGTCGAGACCCTCGTCGCTACCCATCTCCGGAACCGCGCTCAGGGAACGGGCCATTGCCTCGCACGAACACCGCATCCGCTCACTCGCCGACCTCCTCTCCAACGAACGGTCCAACACGCGCGTAAACGTCGAGCGCAAGCAAGGCATGACGGAACGGGAACGGCAAGCCGAACTGGACGCGCTCTTCGCGGAAGACGACGCCGCCGTGCTGGCCAGCGACCGGCGGGCCGCGAACAAGAGGACCGGTGGTGGCGGCGGCGACGACTCCGGCTCGGAAGACGAAGGCGACGAGAAGATCTACAACCCGCTGAAACTGCCGCTCGCGTGGGACGGCAAGCCGATCCCCTACTGGCTGTACAAGCTGCACGGCCTGGGCGTCGAGTTCAGCTGCGAGATCTGCGGCAACTTCGTGTATATGGGCCGTCGGGCCTTTGACAAGCACTTCAGCGAGGCGCGGCATATCTACGGCCTGAAATGTCTGGGGATCACGGGCTCGGCCTTGTCGGGCGTGTCCAGCGGGGGCGGCAGTGCTGCAAGTGGCGGACTGAGCCTGTTCCGCGAGATCACGGGCATCGAGGACGCGCTGAGACTGTGGGACAAGATCAAGAAGGAGAAGCGCGAGCGCGAGGTCAAGGACGACCAGGTCGTGCAGATGGAGGATGGCGAGGGGAACGTCATGCCCGAGCGCATCTATCTGGATTTGCAGAAGCAGGGCATTCTGTGAGGCGCATGTGCTACTGTATTGCAGTGCATGCACTCGTCGATAAGACCCATGCATGCTACGCCCTCTCATACGGTAGCGATGGGTTGCGCTTGAAACAGGGAGGGCGCTTGCTTTGTACGGATACCTCCTTGGGGGAATGGGTTGTCATACATTACATCCGGGGGGGAAAAGAGAATGAGTGCTTAACCAGTCATGTCATGTCATGAAGGGTGGAAGATACCCAGAATAAACACAGTATGTACTTGTGTACCCGGACCATCAAGGCATAGTATCCAGACACATGCCACAAAAAGCGAAAAGAATAAGAAAAAGCCTGCCCGCCCAAGACGTCCCGTCATCCAAAGCGCTTTGGTGTCAATTGAACAATCATCACAGCTCGATGCCCTCGCCGCTGAGTCTTTCGTTCGCATGCTCAACAATACCACCGTCATTGCTACTTCTCGCCTGGCTTTTCCTGGGCGTCTTTGCTCCCTCCTTGGTATCCTGCGTATCTTTGGTCTTCCCTTCGACTTGCACCGCGTTCCTCACTTTCTCCAACAATTCCCATCCCTTGGCGCTCACACCGATGGCACGCTCGACAATCTGATCAAAGAGGCCTTCGTTGCCCGTGTAGAAGCCGCAGAGCATGAATTTGCACAGCGAGGTGGTGGAGACGAGGCGCACCTCGTCCGGGAACGTGGCGGAGAGGGCTTTGATGAAGGGCGACAGGAGGGACGTCAGGGCTTTGGTCGAGTTGGTAGACGCGATTGCTTCTCCTTCGTTGCTTGTGTTGGGAGATGCCGCCGACGGATCGTCCAGTGAAGCCGGCGTTGCTGGAGGCGGGCCTCGGGCAAGAACGATATCGCAGAGTATCTGCAATGCTATGACCTGCAGAGACTCGTGGCCCTTTTTCAACAGGTGCGTGAACAGCCGCATGTTCTCATCGGCCAGCTTTGGTTCCAGCAAGCAGCACAAGCCCAGACACTGAACACCTCGTTCTCGTATCAGAGACTCATGAGACCGCACGGCCGGAATCACCAGATTGTCAAACATGGTGCGCAAGTCGATATTTGATTGCAAGTTGCCAGCCACGTTCTGCAACATGCATTGCGCGATGTGTAGACATTTCATGTTGATGACAATCTCCTTGATGGCGTTAGCCTCTTGTTCCTCCTCGGTAAGAGGTGGTTTGTTCTTCTTGTTTTTGCTCTCGTTTTGCTTGGGTGTCGAATCGCCGCTTACTTCACTTCTGGCGGAAACGAAGCTGTCTTCATCGTCGTTGTCTGCTTCGTCTTCGAGGTCGGAAGAGGCGATGTTATCGTGCACTTCTGCGATGGCTTCGAGTACGACCGCGGTGAATTCACGCTCGCCCGCAGCATCCGGGTTGCAGACAAGCCGGAGCGCTTCTACGGCCAGCCGAGTGCAATCTTCGGGGAGATCTGCCATCGAGAGAGCATGCCGAAGCAACGAGAACATCTTGCGTCGCCCGATCTCGTCAGTGTAGTCAAGTGACTGAGCGATGTAGAGCAGTTGCTCGACAATGAACTCTTGCTCCGTCTGCAGCGCCATAGTTTCATCCGTGCCCGCTTCGGTAGCGGTTTGGACTCGACTGGTGAGCTCATTGATGTGCTTCTGGAGGTGAAATCCCAAGCGTGTGACTTCGGGCATCTTCTCCTCAATCAATCCGTAGTATTTCGGATCTGACTGACAGTAATCATTGAACGTTCGTGCCATGAATGCCGACTCCGGAGTCAAATGGTCCCAGAATTCATCATCGAAGGTGACTGCGTCAAGATAGTCCTGACGCCCGGCCCAGAATTCCTTCATTGCCTCGAGCGCAACCCCGTCTTCGTTGCCGTTATTCACAGTGTCAATTCTCTCCAGTAGTTCGAGCAAGGCAGCGATGTTCGGCTCGTAGAACCCCATCTTCTCCTTCTTCTCGCCTGTCTCTTGGTCCCCGTTCGTTTCATCCCTGTCCTCGACAGAGTTCGCCAGCTCGGTCGCTGCGCAATTTTCGATCCAATGTTCTCGGAAAACTCGGGCTGTGGCGCTGCGCACTCGCTCGTCACGGTCTCGCAACCCCCATCGCAGCAGCTTTTCTCGCATGGACAAAGATAGGTGTCGGAAGTCGCCCAGTTTGGGGAGCAGTTTTGCATAGAGGGTTCTCCTAGTTGGTCCGTCACGATCCCTGGCACGCTCGAGTAGGTAGGGCAGAGACTTGGGTGTCGCAGGTAAGTTGACCAACAGCGCTCGTCGGACTTCTGCATTGGTGTCGTTTTGCAGGACATCCAGTAGTTTATCAAGCAAGCCAGGCGCAAAGTCCCCGTCAGAGTCCTGCTCATCGTCCTCCTCTTCCATCTCGCTCTCGACCAACCGACCTAATGCCATGACCGCCTCCAGTCGGATCGCAGGTACTTTGTCTCTCAGCCTTTTGATGAGCTCGTGTCTGATGACCTTGTACAAGTCATCGTCGATTGCTTGCAAGACTCCAAGAATTTGGCAGGTGATCTGCGTCGCGCGATACCGGATCGTCTTGTCTTTGGCGCAAAGGAAGGGGAGGATGGCCAACAGAATGCTGGAAGATATCTGATTCGAGGCATCATCTGAAGCGAGATAGGTTGTGAGGAACTTGATGACGCGAGTCCCAGCTGCTTCGGACTTGCTCACGTCGAGCAGTCGGAAGACGCATTGTTTGAGGTGCGCTTCGAAGTTCGGCGAGTCTTCGAGCCGGCGCAGTCGTTTCGCGAGAGCCTTGTGACCGACAAGAGACTGCTGCGCGTTTGAGAATATTTCACCGACCGACATTGTAGACACCAGTAGCGGATCGAGTGGTGACTGGCTTTCGACGGATCAGTATTGTTCAAGTTGTTGAAGCTTCCACTTCGGGAAGACGAGTAAACATGCTGAGTCATGCTCCGGCTAACCTTCCTTGTTCGACTTTACTCACTTTCGCTGTCTTCGAGAACGAACGATGTACGAGGTACGAGCCGCTCATCACGTGCTGGCAGCCATCAAGGCGCCCAACCTTCGTGATCCTTTCGCTTCGGCCCATCCGGGCGAGTCGAGCCTGTCGTGCCTGTCCATCACCGCCCGATCTGTAGGCCCTCGCTTTGCGTCATGACCTCGTCTCTTGTGATGATCCCAAACTCGCTTGAGGGATGCTCGAGTTCCAGATGGCGAACTCAACGCTCGATCAGCAGGCACAAGCACTGGGCACACTGGATCGTGAATCGATCGACACGTGCATCAATGACGCCCAGTACGTAATGTGATTCATAGCCATGATCATAGACGACAGCACCACAAGCAGCGGGCAAGCCACCGTCCCGTCCCTGCTCGGGTGTGGCTGAAATGATGACTTTGCAATGGCTATCACCCCGAGAAAGACGATCTCTCCTGTGGACCAAGTAGTACTCAGCACCCAGTACATGTTACATACGAGGACAGGGGCTGTGGGCGTTTCTGCAACGAAAACATGTGTTCTCGCGAACCATCACAGCCGAGATCAGGAGTCGTACCGAGTAGGTGCCGACTCCTGCTCCGTGTGACTGAAAGGCATCCCGATCCTGCCGCACTGGTGGACAATCGGCTCCGGCTCTGTACGAGTACTCAGGCAAGCAAACTGCAGCGGTGAGCGGGATTCACGTAGGATTGTACCAGAGAGTTGGGCACGAAGAATCCAGAGCGCCAGCAAATGGGCATCTGGCGCTCTTGTATGCATTCTCCGTGATAAGAGTCTACCTGCCTCGAGCTGTTTATCTCAGATTGAGAAGACGACATGAACTCCTGCTCCAGCTAACGATGACTCAATTCTCCTGGTTGGGTCGGTTACATACTGTACGTACACACTTCTCTGCGGCCGGGTTGTCCACGTTACACAGAGAACGCAATGTCCTTTTCGCTTGGACCAGTTCGGAAGCAACGCCCACGCAGACGATGCAGGTCATTGTTCTTCACAAACATGACCCCGTACCGGTCACCCACTGGTAACTGTACGTGGGCGGTGACGAGGCGAACCGGGCTAGGGTCGACGTGCCGTGGAAATGCCCACCCACGCTCTCGTGTCTGACGGCCAGAGGGTCTGCATAAAGTTCGCTGGTCAGATTGATGTTGGGCATGAATCGAGGTCACACAAGAGATTGACTCGCTGAGCGAAGACTTTGAAAGTGAGGCGGCCAAGAAGCAGTGCAGGTCCTTGCATGGTTCCAATGAACAGCGTCTCCCACCCCCTCGGAGGAGATTCTCATAGGTGGCCAATGGTGATCGACGGAACCATTGGCCTGTGGTTTGCTCGCAACAAGAAGATGGACTGTCGACCGACCTTGGCCGTCGTACCGTTTCTGCCGGATCGAAGCCGCACCAGCACCAGCCCGGAATGGCGCCTTGTACAGGCGAATGAGACGCCCGGAAGGTGGCGCTTCTAGGCTCAAAGAGTGCCTAGCAGCCCAGGCGACCGACCGGGGCCTGCAGCGCGGGCGTGGACAGGGGTCCTTTCTGCGCCCGTGAGAAGCCAGAGCGGGAAGAACAGGCCTTCCGCGAGAGCCCAAGATCAGCAAAGCCCCTCGACAAGTTGCCCGGCCTGGATGTCGCAAGGCCGTTCCACCAGTTCTTTCGAAACGGCAGCTTGCCTGTCATCTCAACATCTGGGGGTCACTCCCACGCCCGTCTCGTGTTCCCTGATCGCCTTGTCCCGTCCGGACTGCCGTGAGAAGGAAGGGTCCTATAACATCCCCCGAGCCCGTCTGTGCTTTCCACTTCCCAAGGCTGTTTCTCTCCGCGCTTTTGACACACTGTCACCGCTTCACTTCGCCTTTGTTCCTTCCCGCTATTCAACCTGAACGCTTTTTGTTTCACCATCCCATCATTCCTACAAACCTTCGAACACCAGTTGTAAGTGACTGAGCGAGCTGGTCTGAGAGACCAACTGACGGTGGGAGCCCCATTGGCTGACTCGAGCCAGCCTTGATCAGCGTATTCTCTCCGGCTTCTGTCAACGACAATTGGTCACTTCCAGTCTCGGTGGTTGACAACATGGCCTCTGGTGCTCATCAAGTCATTGCGCTGCTGCAGTCCTGTCGGGCGGCGTATGAGCAGGAATACCAACACCTCTCTCCTGCCGACCGCGAACAGGTCGCGCGAGTCTGGAACTCGATGAACTCAGAGATCCGAAACTCGGCTTCTTCTTCCTCTCAACAATACGGAACGTCACTTCCCTCGAAACGAACTGCGTCCGGTGCAATGTTTGGTGACTTGGAGCCCAATCCGAAACGTGCCGGCCATGTATGTACTCCTGCTGATCCTCCCCTCTGCTTTGGTTGACGGTCGAGCATAAGACGCCGTTGGCTTCCTCGGTTCCATCGGCACCTTCCCTTGAGCGACACATCTCAGCACCAGTCGGTCAGTCGACATCGCGGACGATCCAGCACGGCCGACCTGCACCGCGGACGTCGTCGCAGCCGCACACCTCAGCGACGATCGGCCCCGTCCCCATCCCCCGTCGCACCAGCGGCCAACGACGAGGCTCGACCGCCGCGTCGTATCCCAATCGGTACACTGGACCCAACCTCCACTACATTGAGGAGGTCCAGGACATGTCGCCGGCCGACTTTCTCGCACGGTCTCCGGACGACCTTGCCATGCCGACGATCTCGTTGACGCCTCCCACACACGTGGAGCGCGGTGAGTTCCACATCAACCAGATTTCCCAGCTCACATCATCACCGTATTCTCCAGCGATAGAGTCACCGGGGGTGTACACTCCGATGACGGCAACTAGTGATTCGAGCATGACGGCGCCCTCGACAGTCTTGTCGGAGCCCATGTCTCGCAACAACACAAGTGATGTTCTCTGCGACGGCTTTGGGATGTTTCGCATGGACTCGCAGAGTTCGGCGAAGGATCACAAAGCCAACGCCAGGGCTGGCCACGATGTTGGCCCAGCACAACCACTCTTTCCTTTTTCTTCTTCTTCCGTGGTTGGAACCGGCTTCGGTTGCAACGAGTTTGTGTCCTTTCAGGATGAGGAGGGGCTTCCCTCATCATCGTCTCCGTCTAGTTTTGAGATGAAGAATTCTCCCTCTTCGGGGAGCAATGCTTCATCCGTTTCCGTTTCTTCTCAACCTTGTTTCGTGTCGGCTCGAGGGCTTCCGCACCAGCAGCAGCAGGAAGTCGTGCCTCGTAGCAGTAACACCGTGTCACGCCTGTTGGCTCCCAAGACGGAGCAGCGTCTTGCAGCCGCAGAAGGGTCATCGGCAAGGCAGCAGCAGCAGCAAGCCGACATGCCGGCACCCAAGCTGGTCGCCGTGCAGGGCGCTGACGGGACCGTGAAGCACAAGGCCGAGATCACGCGGACGGTGCGACAGCAACTGCCGCGCAAGACGACCTTTTGTGAGTTCTGTAACGATCAACCGCAGGGCTTCCACGGCGACCACGAGCTGCGCCGGCACATCGACCGCCACCACTCGCAGGTGCGCCGCGTGTGGATCTGCAAGGACGCCTCGGCCGACGGCAAGTTCCTCGCCAACTGCAAGGCCTGCCGCAGCCGCAAGAGCTACGGCGCCAACTACAACGCCGCCGCCCACCTGCGCCGCGCCCACTTCAACCCGTGCAAGAACCGCCGCGGCGGCCGGGGCAAGAAGAGCGAAGGCCGCGGCGGCATGGGCGGCGGCAACTCGCCGCCGATGGAGTTCCTCAAACACTGGATGTATGAAGAGCTGGAACTCAACGTCAACGGCCGTGTCATTGTCCAGGACATCAACGTGCCCAGCATGACGTTCCAGCCTGCGGTCGTCAATGAACACATCAAGTGCGCCTCGATGATGAACCCCGCCGCCGCCGCCACCGCCAATGACATGGACAACAACGACACCGCCGCCGCCGTCGACAGTTTCGAGCTCGACACCAACGTCAACATGATGATGCCCGCGGCCATGGATCTCGCGCAAGAGCAACTCTACTTTGACAACATGATGCCCGACAACTATGCCGGCGTCGACCCGGCCATGATGATGCGGCACACCGCCGTGTACAGCCAGGCCGGGTTCTACCCTGTCAACGAAGCCGGCCTTGCCTTTCAACAGTACTGAACTGAACTGAACTGAACGACGTCTATGAACGACGACTACTACGAGGAGATTACGATCACGAAGGGATGAAGATGAAGATGGATCAGTGTTATGTTATCATTCTCCTGTACCTGGTATCTTGTTATTTGTGTAGACTTTTGACGGATGGCGGCTCTTGAGGGCGGGGACCGGGATTTCCTTGGGTTCAAGGTATTTCTGAGATGTACACAATTGTCCGAGATGCAACAGGTCGGTTTGGTTTTTGCGAGTCCTCTGACTGGATGACGGGACGGGATTGAGGTGCCACAGCAGGCACAGCAGGCACAGCTTGACACGGTCAACCTTTTTGGTTCATGTATTCATGACAGATTCTCTCGGTCGGGGTGGCTATTGGTGGTGGATTGGTCCCTTTTGAGACAGGGTTTTATTTCTGTTCCTTACTTGTTCCCTGCAGGCGTTTGGAGGCGGACCATATAAAAGTGCTTTGAGTTGCAGTATCAAGTTACAGTATCGGGTGGATTGTTTGGTAGTCAATAAGCTGCTATTGAAATTAAGGGATCCTCTTTTACATAGCTGGTTTTGTGGTGCGTGAACTCTCCGCCATTTGCAACTGCATCGACCATGATACTGGCGGCTCCTCAACGTGAGCGTCGCCTTCAGAGAGGGCCATGACGGAAAGCAGTTCGAGATGCCACCGGGCTCGCAGGCGCAGCATTCGAGTGCAATCGACCGAGCGGAGCATCCATCCTCAGCCACGAGGACGTGGCAGAAGGTCAGCTCTGTGACTCGTGCGTCATTATTGGCTATTAGGAAAACTTCGAGAGACAAGTCAATGACAGCGACAATCAAGCGATGGCTTCTCCGTGGCCACTTACGAGTACCTCCGTACTGGGATAGTTGCAAACTAACGCCGAGTTTCAGCTGCGCCTCCAGCGTTGCGCAACAGGCAGTTACAAGCCGGGCAAAGAGTTACTGTAATGCGGTTCTGTAGCATTTCGAGCTGAGTGACGCGCATGCGAGGTGGCATGAGCTCAGCGTCGAACGGGCTGGAGGCATTGACTACAGTACCCCAGTAATTGCCGCGTGGTGCACCCCGAAATAGCATGGAAGAAGACACATTCATACGAGTACATATCTTTGTCGCCGACAGTGAAAGAACAGAATTGATCAACTCTGAATGATTCGTGAAACAGATCTGTAACGGCACCCTCGGCACCCCATCGATCGTCGGTCCCGGCCACCGACCGCCTCCAGCCCGCCAATTTCGTCTACCTCAGTACGGCGTACGGAGCACTCTCTAGGCGGCACCATCCCTGGCACCCGGCACCCGGCACCCAGGCACCCCCAAGTGGCCAAGCTTTAGTCAAGCACTTTACTCTCGCTGTCGCTGTCGCTGTCGCGTACCGTATCACCTGGACAGACAGGACACCCTCTCGACCTTTTCTTCCCGCACCCTTATCACTCACTCACTCAATCCCGTCGACTTGCGACTTTCCCGCTCACGCTCACTACCTACCCATCGCCATGTCGAACCAAGGATATTACCAGGGCGGCCCTCAGTACCCCCAGCAAGCGTGAGTCCTCCGCCTTCCGCCTCTCAGACCTGATCGTGCAGCAATGATCCAAATTTCAAGCCTCCCTCCGCATGAGTTTTCCGACGTGACAGCTATCTCCAGCTCTCTCCATGCCCATCATCCCTGGCCGCCAGCGCATCGCGCACTCTCTGCCACACAACTTCCGCAAGGCGAACGATATGCTAAAAGTATTCTTTCATCTCCAGGTACGGCGGCGGATACCCTCAACAAGGCGGCTACCCCCCTCCACAGGGCGGCTACTATCAACAGGGCCCTCCGCCGAACATGAGTTACGGCCAACAGATGCCGCCTCCTCCTCAAAGACAGTCGAAGGATCGCGGATGCTTGGGCGCTTGGTAAGGAACAGAACTACCCCCAAAGAACCACCACCACCGCACTGGGACTCCACCACCACCACACAAAGATATCACGAGCGAAAGAGATGACCGAGCTAACCTGCTGGCGTGTGCATAGTCTTGCCGCACTGTGCTGTTGTTTCGTGTGCGAAGAGGGCTGCGAGTGCTGTGCCGACTGCTGCGAATGTTTCGCCGACTGCTGCTAAGGCTGACATGTGAGGGACCACAGCGCAGCGCACCGCAGTACAGGGAGAGGAGAGATGTGCGCGCGCGAAAACGTGAATGGGCGGGGGGGACTGGGGAAGACGAGGTCGAGGGAATCAAGACTGCTGGTCCAGCAAAAACCGTCGTCGACAAATTCACAATTCACACGACACGGCGATATGACTTACTTACATCCTCCTCTTGACGAATTCCGTCTCTTGTTGAAGAAGAAGACGAAGACGAATCACACAATTATCACCGGTTTGGTACTGTACTGTACTGTTTTGTACAGCGGGGACCTCGCGAGCTCGCGAGCTCGGGAGCCCCCAGTCGTCAAATAATGAATGAATTTCCTAGCGCTGCTGCTGCTGCTGCTTGAAGGGCCAAACACGCACACACACACATACCATACACTGACTGCGCGTTTGGGTGATACATACCAACCTGTCTAGGTACCTACCTACTAGACGGCTGCCTGCTTCTGTCCTGCTGCTCTGCATGGAGGCATGTACAGTATGTGCCCTGCAGTGCAGCGACGAGGACAAGTACAAGAACAAAGACGAGCCCCAGTGTTTCAAATGCTTCAATTGCAGTTACAGTTTTGTACAAAGTTGCCATTGTTCAGCGAGTGATTCAACTCGGCGGTGCCCTTCTTCCCCTTAATGCTGCGCGGAATAACACAATCAGACCACAGTAGCAGCGTCCTGACTTGCTCGTCTCTCTCTAAAGACTTGAACCTGCTGGGTCGGTTCTTCTTCCTTCTTACTCTCTATCTGGGTTTCCGCCTTTCAACTCGCTGGGCAGTTCGCAGGCGCAAAACACAGGCCTACCCAAGTGTTAACCTTCTGGCCCAATTCATTTCTTCGTCTTTATCCCCCTGTCGCCTCTCGATTACTCTCGCCTCACCTGAGGTTATCTTGTCGTATTTTCACAAAAGCCTCCGGAGACTGACATGGTTTTGACAGGTCGAACATTTTCGATTGTTCTTAATTCTTGGTTGGTGGTATACAGAATTAAACCCTACTCGGCAAAGGGACTTCCCCATGCCAATATGGCTTCACGCCACCCTCATCCCAGCCCCAAGCTCCAAAGGACTGAGGGGGCCAGCCTTGATCATGCGCGGCCGACCAGTGCGACTGCTATGCTGGAAGGCTTCTATATGTTCATTAAAGATAGTAAGAAATTCGTCCCTCTGTCTCCTCCACAATTCATCAGACCGGGGCGCTCCTCATTGCTCTCAAAGGTCATACATGTACCTGCTATAACACTCATGAATCCGTGTCTACTTGACCAGACTTGCGGCCGCCGCCGCTGCAGCCAGGTCGGACCTCCCGCTCATACTCCTTTGACCGATCGTGAGGCGCGTTAGACTGGGATTGGATGCTGAGGAATTCATCGCTGCATGTGATGCCCGCTTTGCTTGAGATGTTGCCGCGAAAGGTCCCGACATGTTTGACTGACGCCTGGCCCCCGGCTTGCTTGGAGAGGTCTCTTGCCGGTTTGCAGCCGGTGCTTTCAAAGTAGACGGTGGTTGGGGCAACGGCCTGGCACTACCCGAGGTCGTGACCGAGTTGACCCTCTTCACGGGCGAGTTGACCGCCGATTGTGTGGCGCTCCTAATCCTGCTCGCGCTGCTCACCTTGACCCCAGTAATGAACTCGTGTTTGACTGCGTCTTGAGGCGTCATTCGTCGCGTTGGGTCCCATTTCAGACACTTGGTGATAAAGTCCAGGAAGGCTTCGTCGTCACATCTCAGTACTTGGCGTAAGTCCTTCGAGCTGGGTCGCCTTCTCTTGCCCTTGGACGATACTGTCAAACGAGGTTTGCCCATCGAGTCGAAGAAAAGCTTCCTTCGGCTGCTTTTCTCGATGAGATGCTTCTCCGGAGGACCAAAGACCTCCATGATGCAAGCAAGCTGTTCTTGCTCATTCTCGCCCGGGAAGATCGGATAGCCGGTGAAGAGCTCGGCCAAAATGCAGCCAACGCTCCACATGTCGATGGGCATGCCATACGACATCCCGAGGATGACTTCCGGAGACCGATAGAACCGTGACTGGATATATGTGTACACCTTTTCGTTTTCAAAACAACTCGAACCAAAATCAATGACTTTTATTTCGGAGTGGACAGGATGCGCCAGCAGAATATTTTCCGGCTTGAGATCGCAGTGGATGACTTTGTGCTGCTGCAGCAACATTAAACATTGCAGCAATTGTTTGGTGAAACGCCGGATGAGTTTGAGGGAAAATCCTCGGAAGTCGTGAGCTTTGATGAATTCGTAAAGGTTCATACCGAGAAGATCGGTGGATATGCAGAGGTGGCCACGGAAATAAAAGCTCTGATCGAAGTTGACCACGCTGTGCTTTTTGTGAGGATCCTGAAGCGCTGTTAGTGCCGCAAGACCCAAGACATTGCTTCTTCAACTTACCCATTGCTTGAGCTTCTGCAGAATGTTGACTTCCACAAGCGCTTGTTGATGAAATCGCTTCTTATTGCGAATGATCTTCACGGCCACGAGAATGCCCGTCTTGTGGTCGACACATCGTACAACTTGACCGAAGCTACCCTTGCCGAGAAGATCCACTACCTCGTATCGATAGGCCAGATGATCTCCTTCGACAATGTTGTAGTCACCACGCTCGTCATCGTAGCCGAAATTGGTCGAGGTGGAAGCCGGGTCACCGATAATCTTCCGAGAGTTCAGTGTTCCAGTAAAGAAAATGTCTGGGTAGTCAACAATTTCACCCCGCTCAAAGATGTTCAGGTCGAATATCCGCGACGCAGTGTTGTGTGACATCCGGGTTGCTGGTTTGGCTCTTGCTCGGAGGCCGTCCAATTCACGCGCAGCTGACTCGAAGTCTTTTCTCTTGGAAGCAAGCTTTTTCATTTCCTCTTCGGCAACCATATCGTCTCTGTCAAGAGGTGGTTCTTGCTGCCGTTGTGGCGGAGATCTGTGATTGACAAGATTTGGTGTACTTGCAGAAAGGGATTCTGACCGGTTTGCATTTACCATCAGTGTTCTACTCGATTCAAACGAAGGGCGACCAGTCGAGGCGGCACTATCGAAACTCTCCTGCCGGGCCGGTCCAGTGTTCGTACTTGAAGTAGAAGCCTGTCTCCTTGACCTGAGATATGACGGACGGTGAGGGCTTGCAGGCCCAGTCTGGGTATTTGTCCAGCTTGCAGAGGCCGGGAGCTTTGGCGGTGGCATGTTGTCGTATTTGGACAGATCCTCTGGTTGTGAAGTGGACTCGGGTAACTTCGGCTCGCTCCACTTCCGACTCAACTTCCTTCTCAGTGCTGAGGTAGAGAAAGCGGATTCATTCTCGGCTGGCTTCTCAACGGGACTTGGAACGGCTGGTACAGGTTCGGCCTTTGGCGTCACCGAAAAGCTAGGGGCACGAGGACCGTTCGGTCGAGGCTGACTTGGATTCCTGTTCAGCTGGGCCATGAAGTTAGGCTGCATATAGTTCGAGAACTCATCGTTACTTTTGGGGACAGACGTGGACACAAATGGTGAAAGTGTCCGTGACTTGTCTGCTTCGAATGAGAATGCTGGAAGGCTGGGACTGATCTCGCTTGGGGGTCGAAGCTCATCCGTCCGTAGAGCATGGTGTGAAGTACTACTTCGCATCGTGGGAGCATCCTCAGCAGGCTTATGTCCCCGAGAGAAGAAACTTGCTTTGGAGGCCGTCATAGGTGTGCTTGGTGTCTTCATGTTGCTTCGCATGCCAGGAGGTGTCGCGGGGGAGCCTCCAGATTCTGACTTAACATTAAGTGACCTGATCTTGGCTGAAGTCGGCGTGCTTAGAGGCAACAAGTTCAGCGGCGGTAGCCTGAGAGTCTGCAATGCTTTCTTGCTCGCTTTATGCTGTGGTTGCTGTTTCGGCTGGGTTAGCGGTTGCGTTTGTGGCTGCCGCTCCGGCTCCGGTTCCAAGGGTAAAGTCGGAACTGGTGGAGCATTGGAGTTGTGCGAAGCATCGCTTGGGGCTCGTGGTGTTTCCAGGGTCTTCATGGCGTCCGCTATTGTTGAGACCACCGGACTTGCAGAGATGGCCCCGTCGAATGGTGGTAAACTAGACGACCTTGCCGAGAAGAAGGGCTGATCAAGTTCGCTTCCTGGAGACTCGTATGCTTTGGGTATGGCAGGTACTGGCGGAACTTCCATCTCATAGTTGCTGTTGGTTGAGATATCGAGGCGAGGCTTAGGAGTGGGTAGCCGGGAAGAGTTGATCGCCTGAGAGAGCCTCGCAGGGTTGACGATAGTGTTCTTCACGGAATTGTAGCTCGTATTTGAAGATAAAGATTGGCCCGAACTGTATGATTTGCGGTTGGGATCTGGAGTGGTTCTCGAGGAGGACGGGGTAAGGCTTTTGCGGTTTGGAATCGCGGGAGATTGGAGGTCAGATTGTGGCAGTTGTGGAACCGGCTCGGGTTGAGGAGTTGGCGGAGCTTGCGATATGCGACTCTGAGGCAATGGTGGTGCAGGAGGGACAATGGACATCCGCTTCATTCGTCGCGCATCGGTTGGGCTGATTGTTCGTGCACCTAGTCCGCTCGCATGATGAGGCATAACAGACACGCGCCGGTTCTTCTCTGCATTGGCTCCCGGGGTAGTTGTCCTACCAGGGGTTCCGCTTCTCCTTGTTGGCGTCTGCGGTGCCGTAGTCGATGTCGACCTTGACGGATCCGGTGTTCTCGAAGGTGTGAGCAGGTCTTTCGAGTTCTGGCGCTTTGGAGCCAATGATGGTCTCGACCGGCCTGTGCCGGATGTCTTAGTATCTTCAGCGCCGCTCTCGTCTGTCCGACCCCCCAAGGTTTTCGATCCCAGACCCTTGCTGCTCTCCGCACTTGCTTTCCTTCCACCTGCGCTTGGTCTCCGTCTCACAGTCGATTTGTCGGAAGTATCGGGGGCGACAAAGGTTCCAGGCCCAACAGACTTTCTTGGGGCTTTGGGTGCCGGGGTTGCGTTGTTGAACGAGTTGGGCGGAAAGTGGCTTTGCCTTCTGCCTCGAAGTATCGATGTCGCGGTTGTGCTCATCGAGTCGGACTTGACAGAGGCCCTGGAGTTATTGGAGGCCGTCGAACTCTTGCGGGTAACCGGTGTCACGCCTGATCCTTTCCGGGATGGTATGGGAATCGCCGGTTGCGTGGCGGGCTTCTTCTGCTCAACAGTAGGCGCTTCAGTTTGCTGGGTAGCTTTGACGGTGGTGCTCCGACCAGGCAAAGGGAAGTGATTCAGGCTAGGGCCTTCTGTGCCGACAATGGTGTCCTGGAAATCATCGAAGTTGAAGGTGGGCTCGAGAAAGTCCCCCAAATTCAGAGCCCCATCACGTTCGTCTTGCAGTTGAGGTTTGGCTTGTATAGATGCAAAGCTGAATCGTGAAATGTCGTTGATGGATAGCTCGTTCGTGTATGGATCGTGGGAAGCGACGGCGGAGGCTCCTCGCAAGGAGTTAAACTGAGGAGCGAGCGAATTGCTGGCCGCCCTGGCAGGTACGAATTAGCATTGAACGGGCAGGTCCTCAACTACGATAAGTTACCTTTTGCCCAAACTGCCACCATAATCCAAGGGGCGTGGACCCATTGGGGGTTTCGCGACGCTTGGGATGGACGACTGCCTTCTCCGGGTTGTGACTACATTTTCAGTAGAGTCGCGGTTCGACGCTGCCGCCGACGTCGTTGGTGTTATGATGGAACCAGCAGGGAACGAAGAAGGCGGCTGCTTCTTGGTCGGGGGATGAGTGTCGAGTGCGACTGCATCGTAGCACAATGTCAGTTTCGGCTGATCGCCTGCAGCTAGCCATTGACATTGCATCGAGTTCGTACCACCATTGCCATCCGCCTCGTCGGGTCTGGTCTTGTTCCCAGCAGATGCACCTGCATTTTGTCGGTAAGGCATCGTGCCTTCTCCCACCTCTTTCACATTCAGTTCACATTCAGCTCACTTGCCGATGATCCAACATCGAACACCAACACGGTGTCCAACTTGCTCAGTCCATTGGGAGGATGCGATGGTGACTGCAATGAAGTGCAAGTCAGATTGACCCAGTCGCGACCGGGGTACCTGTGCTGATTGGTACCGGGTGACAGTTTGGACGCGTGTGTTGGAATGTCGTCAGGGGGATGGAGGATTCCGAAAAGCCGGATGGGATACGGGTGACTTCGAGATGAAGCAGGATGAAATCCTGGTAGAGGATGTTTCAGGATGAAGAGCTGCTGAGAGAGTACAAGGGCAAAAATAATGTGGTTTCAATGTTGCGGTGACAATAATCAAACTGCCCAAGAGTGCCTCTTTGTCAATCGGCAGGGAGAGCAGCGACCTGGATGGAGCCGACCAGGGGTTTGGGGCGAGTTGCCCACGCCTAGGGGCGCCGCTGTGCCTGAGCTGGCCTGCGCTGGCCTATGAGCTAGAACCCTACGGGGGGCGATCTTGAGTGGAGGAGCCACACGGAGGGAGCCTCTTAAGGTGTGGCTTTCCTGCTTTGGGTGCACTGCAGCGACCTAAAGGCAGGGTGGGTGCGAAGATTGGCTATCAAAAGTGACCATCCACTAGCATGATTGTTCACCTTTCGCAATCTCGTCTCGAATTTGATCGTCCTCGACTCTCATCTCAAACCCTTGAGGGAAAGTCGTAACAGATCTGGCGAAGGAGCGATACGCACATGGAAGATTCCGGGGTCGGGTGGTCTGGCTCATGCACAGGTAGGGAGATGTGCATAAACCTCAAAGCTAACTTCGACTTCGCAAGCATACCTTACACTTAACCAGAAAGAGGAGTCATCAGCGCCACAGACAAGCCACTTTGTGGCTGCTGCTCACGTGTCTGAACAGCAGTCCACATGTTCGGTCGGTGGCCCTTCGGTCATCACAAGACGTACTCAACATAGATGCTCCTGCTCAACTCGGTGAGTAATCCATCTGGAAATGGACAGGCGGGATTGAGAGAGGCTTCCAAATGGACGAATATACGGCGGAAGCCTTTGCCAACCGCGATGAACCGATTCCGGTCATCGCTCACTCCACGACCAATGTCAATGGCTCAGCCTCAGAGGCAGATGGTGAAGGCAGAAGACAAAAGCTCAAAAGCCCCTTATCACCATCCCGTCAAAAGACCAGACCCATTCAGATCAGCATTGCTGAGCAAGAGAAGGATGAGACCCCAGCGACGCCCAGTCTCAGGACATCTATCCAGGACCGGCTGTTTTCGAGTTTACTCCGACAAGTTGGTCCCACGGACGATCCAGAAGAAGGCTCATCTGCCACCCCAGTCGATCCTCAATCGAATTTATACGTCTCCCGTCCGGCATTCAGTCTGCCAGTCATGACCAATAACTTCAGACGCTTCAATGCGCGGATTGGCATCGTCTTCGTGTTCCAGAACCGGCTCATCCGCCTGTTCACCTGGCGAACACCGACGCACACTCTATCCTTTCTCGCAACGTACACGTTCGTATGTCTAGATCCCCACCTTCTCATTGTCGTTCCCATGGCCATCGCCTTGTTTTACATCATGATCCCGGCCTTCACATCTCGCCATCCTCCACCACCGCCCGTGACCAACGCAAGCATGGCGAGAGAGTACCACCAGGCTTTCACGGGCCCTGCACTTGCCCCAGCCACGGTGATTAAACCTGCCAGCGAAACATCGAAGGACTTCTTCCGCAACATGCGCGACCTGCAGAACAGCATGGCCGATTTCAGCAACGCCCACGATGCATTGGTCAACACCATCGGGCCTGCAACAAATTTCTCCGACGAGACGTTTTCATCCCAGCTCTTCTTGTACCTCACCATTCTGACGACCTTGTCATTCATCACCGCTCATCTCCTTTCTTGGCGGCTCATCTTCCTTCTCACGGGCTGGGGCTTCACAGTCTCCTCCCATCCCACAGCACAGACCTATCTCTTGAAGCTCCGGACACAGGCCGAACAGCAAACAAACCTTGCCCTGAACGACGTAAACCACAAGCATCAGAAATATATCCCCAACACCGGCATCCCTCTGCCGGCCACACCGCATGCCATTCAATCCTCATTCGCCAAGTTTTCGGAAATTACACTCTCCTCGACGCCCGAGACCCGGGAAGTCGAAATCTTCGAGCTACAACACCGGCCCCTTTCATCCATTACATCCGCCAAGAAGCCGGCGGCAGAGTGGCAACCCCACCTATTCACGTCTCAGCCCTACGACCCTTTGTCTCCGGCCCGCATAGCAGGCGACAGACCACGTGGAACACGCTTCTTCGAGGATGTCGAGCCACCGGAGGGGTGGGAGTGGGCGAGCAAGAAGTGGGAGCTGGATCTGGAAGCCGGGGAGTGGGTGAATGAGCGGTTGGTCGTCGGGGTGGAATACGATGTGTTGAACCATGACGCAGATGATGACGAGGAAGAGCCAACGAGTGCACAAACGGTCACCGGCCTGACCGATGACGAGAAGGACCGTGAGGGGACGCGCCTACGACGGATCAGCACCAACCGAAGAGAGAGCATCAATGTCGACTTTGGCGGGTGGGTGTGGGATCTACCGCCAGCGCCGGGGTCAGGAGCAAACAGAGAAGACGATCTCTGGCTTGCTTATGGCGATTACGAGGTGCCAAAGATCGGCGTGAGAAGCACGAGCAAGGAGGAAGAGAAGGCGAGGAAGAAGCGAGAGAAGGAGAAGGAGAAGCGCGGCAAGAAGGAGAAGACTGGGGTACAAGATAGAGATTGGGAGGAGGCAGCCAGGATGGAGAATCGTGGGAGGACTGGCGAATGGAGGAGACGACGGTGGGTGAGACTGGTCAAGCGGAAGGTCACAACTTGAGGTGGGAATAGAAGATACCGTCTGGACAAGCTCGAATTGTATGGTCAGGGGAGCAGTGGGCACTGAAGGCCGAAGGGGCGCTTTGGGCTGGCTCTTCGTCATGTTCCGTGCACATGTCGTCTATTGGGCTGCAATAATAGTACTGTAACACTTCTACCGTTAGTTTTCTCGATTAGCAGTCGCATTGCATCAGAGAGGATCATTGCCAAAAGAAGCACAGCTCTCACTGTTTTCTCATTCCCAATATGAAGCTCACGGCGCAGTCTGTGCAGCGACTAGACTACCAGTGAGCAATCATTATGAAGCGTTCCTCGCTGCCTTTGTGTTCAGTCAAGCTCGCATCAGGAGACGGCTGAGTTGTGATCAACCTGGCGTCGATGGTGTTGCGAAAGATCCATGCTTCGAATCCGTGATGCTGTCCAACACGTAAATACCCGTCACCTTGGACCACTTGACAAGAGACATTGCCGGATCAGCAACAAAAACGAAAAGGCCATCCGTAGATGGTGCACTTGTACAAAACAAAGGAATCGTTGAACGTGGAATTTTCTTCGTTGACCCACAGACACCGACACCGACACCGCGTGTCAGCCCACATCGCGACTCCCAGCTCCGCCTTGGTCTGTCAGGCTGTCGCTGCGACGATGGCGCCCCGGCGGGGCTATCGTCCTGGTGACAACACAGGGGTCTTTGTTTAGGTCGCCACTCTCGGACGAACCACAACCTCCTTCTCTTGACTATCCTTGTTCAGCAACATTGTCTCGGCCTCAGCGTCGGTCTTTCGTCGGCCTCGCGCACCCACACCACATTCCATGGCGTCGATGGTGCTGAGCTCACGATCGATATGAGCACCGCCATGCACCTGCGAGGTAGGGCGAGGGCCTGGATGCGCAGTCAGGTGGGTCAGGGTCATGTCGCTGTCAGCGTAGGCATCTTGGGCCGACGCTCTGCAGTTGCTGGGTGGAAAAGCCGGCGTCCAGGGAGACTGGGCATCACCCGCGTGGGGGTTGGAGTTCGAATTAACCGTCATGAAGAGCGAGCCGAGAGGTAGGATCAGGTAGACCGCGGGCAGCAGCATGATCTCAGGATGCATCATCCCGCTCTGGAGAGGTAGCAACTGCAGGACGCAGAAGATGACTGGATCGATGCTACGTCAGCAAATCTTGGACCGAGCTTCTGTCCAAAGAACGACTTACATGGGATGACGAAGGACTGAGCGCAGAGCAGGGCGACGAGGTTCAACGCCGACGCGTATGGACCGCCTCCCGATATGGCCGTGCGACGCTTCCACACGATGTCCACCACAGCGAGCATTGAGACGAAGCTGTAACTTCCGATGCAGATGGCAACGGAGGACAGGTACGCCACTCGAGCGGTGTATGCTACGTCGATGGAGTGTTCATCGTCGGTTGCTGGCTGGCCGAGAACCGTGATTTGGTGGATGCTGAATGCCATTGCGGCGGCCAGCCCAGCTATGGAGGTGAGGACAAGGTAAGTCATGACGATCTTGTAGACACCAGGGCGGCGAACTCTGAGCCCGGTCATCAGCCCCTTGGCTTGGACCCAGAGGCAGATGACGGCGAAGGCAAAAGCGAACCATGCTGTGACTTGACTGGCGGCAAAAGTGGCGACGAACTTTGTGGTCCAGATGCTATTGGCGAGGTCGAATGTGACGGCAGTGTAAGCCGAGACGGTTTGAAGGCCTGGGGTAAGGTTCGACACAACGTCAATCATCATGTGGATGAGCAGGAAGACCAGGCCCACGAGCATGAAGCTGTGAAATGGAGTGGTTCTCTTGCTGTCCGGAGTCAGGGCGAGCAGGTAGGTCAGCGTGGCCCAGACAAGACCAGTGGCGATTCCTTGAGTCGTGGCATAGCTGACGCTGATGTTGTTCCAGGTGTCAATCACACGCCAGGTCGCCAGGTCGCTGGGGGAGTTTGGGTAAACCGGAACCTGAAAGACCTTGTCGTAGTACGCGCCACCAACCCCAGCGGTTGGGAGAGTGAGAGGGGAGGAGGTGGTCATTGTGGCTGCGGAAACTGATGCTCACAGTGAGGAGGTGGAGGACGAGCACGAGGGGAAGGGGCGGAAACGAGATGCCACTATGGCTACAAGAGTGATAGGTTTGCAGGAAAGCTAAGGAGGAGTCAATGGAGGGAGATGAGGGAGAGATGTAGACGGTTGCGAGATTGGTTCGGGTGAGGAAGATAAAGAGGTGTCGAGGTGTTGAAACGGGTAGAAGAGGAAGATTTGTGCGGCCAAAAAATTCGAGATGTGGTTGAAGGCAGGCTTCACAGGTTTGGACGCTACCCAAGAAAGGCAACGCAGAGGAAAGCGACGGATGAAGGATGAAGTTTGAGATACATCTTCCTTCATTTAGTCCTCTTTCACCTTGTATACGCACCTCAGTTGGGCAGATTGATGCGACCTCAAGAAACCACAAGAATCAACTCTACCCAACCAATTCTTGTCCGCATAATCAGTCTCAGCTTCAAGCTGTATTGCCTCCCGTATCTCATTTACATGCTTCTCGATTCTGAACCCCCCTGGGGCAAGCTGATCGGCTGGAGACGGAGCTGAGACAACAAGAACAATACGAAGCCGTTGATATTGTTTGTTTCCCAAGCAAGCGCAGAAGGGCATCAGTTGGCCGGACTGGACAATAGCTCGACGAGTCCATGGGGGCTTGCGGCTCATAGGAGCGAACTGTGAGAGGGTTCCAAGTCGTACTCACGGTGGTCTCTGAAGGTAGCCCAGGAGGTGAAGAGCGGTTGTCAACACAGTCAACAAGTTAGCTGTCAGTTGTTCTCTGCGCCGCCGTAGCTGATGATTCAATTTCCTCCACATCTGGTGCAGTCCTCGTAGCATTTCCTCCTTTGTCACTTTCTCATCCATGACACCGCCAACAACGGCTCAACAAATGCCGCGCTCACTCCAATACCATAAAGGAGTGTTTGGACCTTGATAAAAGCTCCTGGCGTCCTATGATGACAGCGTTTGTCTGGCTGTATATGTTGCTGGGGACTTGCTCGGCCTGTACTCTGTCTTTTTAAAAGTCCAACTCCAACCTAGTCCTGGGGTCCATCAACACGGGAACAACCACTTGTCCAATGCTTGCCCGCTTGAACTTCAGACTGAAATACCTTGGAGACCATTGGTCACCGGCTGCGCTTGTTGGCCAGCGATACTCGACACCGTGGCCAAGATGTCTTCATATCAGCTCTTGTCTTCATATCAGCTCTTGTCTTCACATCAGCTCTTGTCTTCACATCAGCTCTTGTCTTCACATCAGCTCTTGATGTTGGGTAGCATCCTGAGTCCACTGCGTTTATTCTTTGTTGTTCATCCGCCTATGGAAGACCCACTTGCATGCGGGTGGGTATCCTCCTTGGTTCGAATGGAAAATTCTGGAGGAACTTCGTTCTCTTTCTTACGTCCGGGGCCTATTCGCTCTATTAGGTGACAAGTACCCTAACGAAAGTGAAGAATCTCGAAAGTACTGTCTATTCCCTTTACAATGGGCCGCTGCTAAATCGGAATGATATCCCAGAACTTAGGGAATAGGTCACGCATGCGGGTGACACAGATGGCAGAAGGGGAGAACTATATGGTCTTGCTGACTTTTTGGCGAATGCACTACACCATCACTCTGTAGACGTTAGTCATGGCACAGTACTGCCCTCGCCATTGTCATCGTCATCGGCGGCGATTAGCTCAGTATTCTCCAGCATTTAAGCCTAACACCTACAATTCTGGGACGCAAATGGTCACCTTGAGTGTTTGTAAGTCTTTCGTTTGATGTCTGGGGAAGAAGTGTACGAGTACATGAAACTTACGGGGAGGTCTGTCTGCCAGCTCAGGTTAGCCCTTTCCTGTGCTCTGACTTCGTTTTCGGCCTCATTTCTTGGACTGTCGTCCTCCTCGGTTGATTCGACTGGCTGCTACTTCGCCAAAGAAAAGTGGTAGGCTTGTATCTTAGGATGTAATGGTTGATTTTTGCATAAAGTCTTGAACGCGAAGATCTGTGTTCGCAACAACGCCAATTGTTCATGGGTGAAGCTTTCGCCAGGCTGAGCTGTGGGATGTTGTGCCCATGCCCGCTCGGGAGACCCGCCAACAACCATGTTGGCAACGGTCGAGGTGACGGTACCAGGTGGGAGAGTTGATGTCGTGAGCAAGCCGATCCTGGACTTCTGATTCCGGTGGTAACGACTTTCGTGGTGAAGGCGAAGAGATCCGGCTGCCTTGTGAGGCGTTGACAGGCGCAGAGGATCGGAACTTGACAGAGGGTCTAGAAGTATCAACAGGACGCGTTGAGTGCTGAGAGGATTGTAGCGCCGAGGCCAACGTGACAGCTCGGGTGTTGGAGAGGGCTTCTGTTGGTGGTGTGTCTTATGCTGGTTCGCTCCTCTCAAATGTGTAGCACCAAGGTAGCAGTGGTGATGTCGTTCGGTCTCTCGGACGAAGTTTCACAACCGAATGAACTTCCGAGGCCGTCGACGTCTCAAGATGGCAGAGGCTTTCGCTGGAAGTGCTCAGCAAGGTGGAAGATTCCGCTTGGATCATCCTGGAAAGCTATATTCTAGCCACCATGTGCGGAAAGAACACGCTCTGACCGTTGGGTTCTCCGGGTGCAAACAAGTTCTAACAGAATAATGAGTTGCGATTGTGTTTGAACGTGTACCGCTACCACTGGTTTGTGATCGAAATCGTTCCTCGTCATCAGTTTGAGTTTGTGTAGATAGACATTCGTTATGTAGGAGTAGGAATGCAACACATGCGTGAAAGCCAGGAAATCGCGAATTCCCCACCAAGACCATGGAAGGTCACTCACCTCAACTTCACTATCACCTTTACCTTCCTCCAGCGCCTTGCCTGCTCCTGTTCGACGCTGCTCTGGGATCTAGGCTGTTCTCAGTCTCCAGAAGCATATTCGCCAGGAGTAGATTCTACCACAGCACAACCATGGTTGCTATCTTCCTGGAGCACTCTAATGCGGCCGGTTCCCAGGCTTTTATCGAGATCGCAATCCAAGGCGATTGCTCAACGTTCTTTCTGCCAGATGACCCATCACAGGAAAAGATCACCCTGAGCTCCCATGCAGACGATGGACATACCTACCTCTGCCTCGGTATGAATTGACTCCGGTTTTTTTGTCTCTTTTGAGTAGTTCTGACAAGAGTCCCAGAGGTTCATCATAAATTCGCACTCCTGCGCACTTTCAATGTGAGCTGTGGCCCTTGTTCAATCCTTGGAGACGACCATAGAGATGTCCAGCTTCCAGAGTCAACTGTCACTCACCATAAATCCATCATTTTACGCCCTACCGATCACTTCTTAGCACCATCCGGTCGATGGGCCGTGCATTGGGATGAGGACGGGAAGATTTCAGAGTCTATGAAGCCACCCTGTCTGCCAATAGTGAGTGATACCTCTGAGGCTGAAGAGGCAAATACAGGAGTGTTGGAAGGATTCTTGGACGTGGGTAAGGGCAGTCCGAGCAAATCCAGTGGAGTCACCTGCTCCCCGACCCCGTCCGCCGCTGGTGAAGAGGAAGATGAAGGATCACCCATCGAAAGTAGAGAGGACCACAAGGAATATGCCAAAGAGCCTGCTGTCTCGGAAACCCCACTGGACAACACCGGTACCCTGGGACGTCTCGAGGACAAACACCCGGGCAACCCCAAACCTGAAGGGAAGCCCAAGTTCTCTAGTGAGCCGGCTTCCACATCAGACTCCGCCCATCCCGTGAGCCCACGATCAATTCCCGGGTCCAAAGACATGGCAATTGCTCTTACCACTGACGGTACTGCAACGGACTCTGTGTATAGGGCAGACTCGTCATCTGCAGTCGACGCCATACAGACTCCAAGTAATTCACAAGATTCAGCCGACGAGCCTCGCACCGAGAGTGATGCCAACGGTATATTGGCATCAGGTGAAACAAGAGGAAGAAAGCGGAAGCTGAAGTATATGGAAGTCACTGACACCGGTCTTCACTCCTCTGACACTGAAACCGACGCTTCGAAAGGGGTTGAGGTAGCTGACACTATTATCGTCAGCCGGAAGTCAAACAGATCAAATGCAACAAAAGACAAAACGAAAGCAATCAAGACACCAGCAAAGCAGACAAGGAGTCGAAGGTCGCCGATACTTCCTGATGAAAGACCTGACAGCAATATATCGCAAAAGTCCAGCGGACGTCCCGGCATGCGACGGGGGAGATCATCACGTGCATGGTATGCTGGGCCTGCTCCAGTGGTTCTTTTCAGCGGTAGCACCACTATACAGGATGATAGAGCAGTAATGTCTGCATTCGGGCGGCTTGGGGGCAAGGTCGGTATGACCATCAACAACGCCACCGTCCTGTGTATCCCAGAAGGTCATGTGAAGAAGACAGGCAAGCTCATCATGGCAGTAGCCAAGGGTATCGACATTGTGACGGAGAAATGGATAACGTACTCGCAACGCCTTGGCCGGTTCCCGGGCGTTGCTCACTATCTGCCGCGCGACGAGACTCAGGAGCGAGCTTGGGGCTGCAACTTGAGAGCAGCAATTCAGGGGGGCAAGGAAGGCTTAACCCATCTGCTTTCCGGCACCACTGTCTATCTGACAAAAGAACTGAGGCACAGTCTGGGAAACTTGGAGCGAGAAACATCGCAAATTGCCTGGATCCTGGGTGCAGAAGCTGTCAAGCGACGGTTACCAGCCCTCAAGGACAAGGACACACTTAGCCAGACAAGCGTCCTGGTCATTGGCGTGCGGGATGACCCTCAGGGAGCTCATGTTGGGCGACTCGGGCAGGTTCTGTTCAACAAGGACATCCTAACGATGGCTGCCCTGAGAGGTCGTCTTGAGAGGAACAGTGAGGAGTTTGTGATCGAGATGCCCATCAAGGATGAGGAGGAGCTATGAAACTGTTGTCTGCGCAGTGTCCACCATTGACGACGATCCGCTGCCGTCCTGTGTGATGAATGTGTTAGATACTTCCTAGTGTCGGGTGTAACGGTATTTGATAGATTTATCGTTGTCGATGCTGATAGTACTGTAAGTGGACCACATGTGGTGAATTATGCCGAGCCCCTTCACTCCCCTTGTCCCCCTTTCGGTGAAGTCGGCCACTTTTCATCGGATTTCGTCAGCCAAACGCCAAGAAACGGCGGCCCCTCTCGCCCGCAAATGAGAGTGGAGCTGGCTGTTCATTTCCGCGAATCCGCATGCCGCTCTTTTTTTGAGCCGGCCTCAATAATTTATCAGATTGGAATGTCCGCAGTAAGGGGCAGGGCACATCTACTCGTACACAGTGCCCGTTGCAGTACTCCGTACACGTCTACAGACAGCGTCTGGACGCAGCAAAAGGCATGCTTTGGCCTCAGGGACCGCTCAGCAGAACCACTCGAGCTTTCCTGTCATCGCCGAAAGTAGCGTGACACGTGGGTGGCCGATATCTCTGGGCTTTGCAGTGGCTCAACATGAAACACCATTTATCCCTGTTCAAGATCAGTCGCCGACTGGCCTCGACGTCAATATTTCGGCCTCGACGCCCTTCTGAAACAGGCGGTAATCTGGCAGGCATCATCTCTCAACCTCCTCGCATCTCGGAATCTCTCACATTCGGTTTAGGCCGCGAGATCTTTCGCTTCTTTTCGCCTAGTCCTCCTGGCACCAAGCACCGATCTCGCGGTCCTGGCGCCATGGGTCTTCTCTCGAAAGCCGGGACATGGCTCCTTCGCTCCTCGGTCAAGCGCTCATACACGATAGTCGACTGCTAGAACGTCCCTGTTATACAACTTCGGGCCTGGTTCCCAGTCAGGCACTCAGCAGCCATCGGAATCCAGGTGGAACAGCTGCCGCCACTGCGTCTAGAGCCACATATCTTCGAGGTCACCGTCACGCAATCCTTCGCGGATCCGTACCGGGATCTAGCTTGTCTACCCAAATGAGACTGGGCAAGCCTACCCTGCAATTTTATCGTTATGTGATGGTGGAGGTGGCTCTGGATGCGGAGACGTCTCTGGGTCTGTATATCATGCCCTCATCCGCCAGGTACTATTCTGGATGCCTTTCATTGTTTGTCGACACCATTCTTTTTGTTCCCAACTCACCTTCATTTTTGGCTCGAGAGTTGACTCTCGCCGTTCGTTCTTTATTCGCAGTGCGAATCATCGTACATCCAGTCCTTTGTCAGAGCCATTCTTTTATACTTGCGAGCCGTCGTTCGTTCCCGGAAATCTCGACTATTTCCCAGTTGGTCTCATTCCAGCACAAACCGCAATATGTCTGCCCTCCTCACGGCCGGCCTTGTGGCCGCCCTCGCTGCCTCGCCGGTGGCCGCCTTCTGGCGATTGCCGTGCAAGTCCCCGATTGTCGTTGAGCGTGCCGATCCAATCATCAATCCTGGTGCCGTCTCTGGTCACTTGCACACCATTATGGGAGGAAATGGATTCGATTTCACCATGGACTATAACTCTACCCAGGCATCTACCTGCTCTTCCTGCACCGTTGTAGGAGACAACAGCAATTACTGGACTCCCACCCTGTTTTACCAGCACCAGGACGGAACGTTTGAAAGCGTCGACCAAGTTGGCGGTATGACTGTCTACTACCTGCAGCGTGGCGGCGACGGGGAGAAATTAAAGGCATTCCCGCCAGGGTTCCGCATGGTCGCCGGAAACCCATTCAAGCGTACCGCTGGAAATGACTTTGCCTCTCAAGGTATTAGCTACAACTGCCTCGACTATAACGGTCCAGCGAAGCCAGAGACCCCGAACTTCCCGAACTACAACTGCCCCAACGGCCTTCGAGCCCAGGTCTTCTTCCCATCTTGCTGGAATGGAAAAGACCTCGACTCGCCCGATCACATGTCGCACGTTTCTTACCCTGCCAACTCATACAACTCTGGAAAATGCCCGCCCGAGTTTCCTGTCCATCTTATCTCCCTTTTCTTCGAGGTCATCTGGGACACTGGCAAGTTCGCCGACCAGTGGTACGGTGATTCCCAGCCTTTCGTCTGGTCCATGGGTGATCCGACTGGTTATGGTGGTCATGGCGATTTCGTGATGGGTTGGGACGAGGATCTGCTCCAATCCGCCGTCGATCAGTGCACGAATGACAGTGGCCGTGTTGAGGATTGTCCTGTCTTCGACCTGATCCCTGATTCTCAAGCTACAGGCTGTCGCATTCAGTCTCAAATTGATGAGCCTGTCAGTGGTATCCTCACCGCCTTGCCTGGCTGCAACCCGGTGCAACCCGGCCCTGTCGCGACTCCTCAGTCTGGCTGTGACGCACCTACTACCTTCGCACCGTCCACCGCGACATTCTTTGATGATATCACTAGCCAAGGATGGTCGTACGTGGGCTGCGGCACCGACAACTATTACAACCGAATCCTCACGGGTGCAAGCCAATCAAACGATCAGATGACTAACGAAGCCTGTGCTGCTTTCTGTGAAAGCAAGGGCTTCTCCATTGCTGGGACTGAGTATTCTAGGGAGTGCTATTGTAAGTACTTATTTTTGAAAGAGTTGCCAACGCTAACAGCTTCACAGGCGGAAATTCCATTCCTGATAGCGGCAAGCCTATTCCTGGCGTTATTGGGGATTGCACGATGAAATGTTCCGGAGACGACTCTGGCTTTTGCGGTGGTGCCGGTACCATTTCTCTATACCAGAAGTGCTCCGGCGACTCTTGCACCAACGCTCAACTTGGTCCAGGGTCTTCTGCTCCTGTCCAGGTCGCCAACCCTCCCCCGGCTGCCTCCGCGCCTGCTTCATCCCCCGCCCCATCAAGCGCCGCGTACACGCCACCTACGTCTGCAACGACGCTCGCCACTGTGACATCCAAAGCTGCGGCCACGCCTGCTTCTACGATACCTCCCCTGGTTTCGGTAAATACGAATTCTGATTTTCCCTCAACTCCTTCATCATCCGACGACGGCGGCAATGATGACTCGTCCCAACCCAATCCCGGCTCTCATCCCTCGGCGGCTCCGTCCGCGGGAGATGCAGATGCCGGATGTTGCATCCAATGATCCCTTCCCCCCACTCCCCTATTTCAGCGCACGCTCAGATGACACTTTCTCATCCATCACCACCCGCTATCCTTACATAGCTTGTGTCGTCTTCTACCTTTTCCGAGCCACTGCCTCCGAGGAAGCCGGCCCATCTTCCTCGAAGTGACCCTACCACATCACCATATGTTTCATATCAGTCTCCCGCATTTCCCATAACCCGATTCGCACTTGGAGGTAAACGTCTACCACGTCTTCTAACATTGCTCATTTAGCCCGATCAGCCAGTCGACTCCCCATCGGCGCCCTCGACGTCCAACCCCTCTTGGTCCTACTCTGGCTGCTTCACTGACACGGTCTCGCCCCGCACCTTGCCTAAATGGTCGACCTTTAACGGCCCCGATGTCACCAACGAGGCTTGTATCGCCTTCTGCGACAGCAAGGGCTACCCCGTTGCCGGTACCGAGTACGCGGGACAATGCTTCTGCGGTGCCGAGATCACTTCGCCACAGCTCGGCGAAGACAAATGCAACATGGCCTGTACCGGGGATGCCGGCCAGATGTGCGGCGGTCCAGGCGCCTTGTCAGTCTGGACGAAGAGTGGTGAGAGCAAGAAGGCCAAGAGGCATCTGCATGGTATGGCCAGGCATGGGCGGAGGTTCTCACAGGTGTAAGGGCCTGAAGAGCGGGTAGACTGGTAGTCTTTGTGCCCGGGGGCCGGTGGAACGCGTCCCCCTTTTTATTTTCTTCATCTTGGTTAATTACCCCATACTTTTGGATTCTGATACTGTCTATTATATTATATGTATATCGATTCCTTCAACCTGAGGCAAGCGCACAATACGCAAAAGTGGCGTGGCTTGCTTTTCTTCTTTGGCAATATCCCTGTTGCACGCTCGCTGGCCTGCGCACACGACGGCGCTCGGGGAAATCTCAAGCATCAAATATACCCTCATGTCTGCCGTGGGCTGGAGCAGTCGCCTTCGCCGTGTCCCCTGCTGAGAAGTGAGTCCCTTGTCCATACAACTAAACTTTCACCGGGCATCGCAAGGTCACCAGAGAGGCGGCGGCGCCAAAATGGATCTAACAGTTCGAAGGGCCAGCATGAAGTACCGTCCATTTCGAGCACTCGTCGCCAAGTCCGCAACGCGCTCTTACTTTATTAGCGGACCGTGGCTTGAAGGGGAGCAAGCTCGCGACGATTGATGGAAGAGAGAGGACGCAAAGCACAGGGTGGATTCGTGGTCTGTACTCCGTACGGTGCATGCCTATATTCTCTAATTACGACAATAGTGGACAAAGCCAGCTCCAGTCCGAGCGTATAAATGACAATGAGATTGGGTTCCTGGCGTAGATTTCGTCGGCCTCGAGGTATATACTGTATCCAGGTAGAGATATGCACATTGTACTCTCCTCGCAGGATCGATGTGAGCCATGCATATTTGACTTGCCGTACGGTAGGTAGTTCGTGGTAGATGCGGCCACCTTCCCAGCTTGAATGGTCGCAGAGAAACACAACCGCAAACAGTTGCAAGCTTCATGACCGCAAATGGTTGCAAGCTTCAAGAGGTCAAGGAGGGTGCGTCGGCATGGGCCCCGTCGTAGGCTGCATGCTACAAAGTCAAGTCGAGAAATGGCCAACCACGAATGTGTCAGCCCATCTCAGCATGAATTGATGCATAAGTGGACACATGACAATATTGGATGACTGAGATAAGTTGAGAATTGACGTGGGATTCGGCCAGTCGCTATGTAGATGCCACATACTGCATAATACAGCTTCAAGTAGTAGGTAGTGGCGGGTGAATCATATGAATACACGGGTCCCTTTTTGAAAGACTCACAGCTCTCCATCATGCTCTCAATCCGAGTAACAAGCTTGTACTCTTCCCTTTGCCACCCTCCCCGTCACCACCACCTGGCAGGTAGGTGACGTTGGGGTTGGTCGCCAGCGTCTGAGCAATATCTTTACTTGCTTCGATCCTTCTGATCTGAATCAGGCCATCTCCTGCCCTTGCAACGGCCTTGCTGATAATGTCTGCGGATTCAGCTTCACCCTCGGCGCGAATGACATTCGCCTGTCTTTCTTGCTCCGCCTTCTCCACAATGAATCTTGCTCGTTCGGCGTCCTGCTGGGCGATCTGTTTCTGCTCGACGGCTCTTGTGAATTCGCGGCCAAAAGTCATGTGCGTGATGGAGACGTCTTCAAGGGCAATGTTGAACTCCTGTGCTCGTTTGGTCAGGTCGGCCCGGATGCGCTGCGACACGGCTTCTCGCTGGGTGATGAGCTCGGCGGCGTCAAACTGGGCCACGATGGCTTTGAGGACTTCATTGCCGATCGAGGGAAGCACTCTTTCGTCATAATCTTGACCGAGCGACTGGCGTGGTGTCAATACATACATGTAGGGCTGCGAAGCTCATCTGCGAACTCACCTGGTAGATCTTGGGCAGCTGTTGGACGTCTGGACGGTGCAGTACTCTCAGAGTCAAAGAAACCATTTGCAGATCCTTGCTTCCGGTGGTGGTGCTGATGTTTCTGGGCTTCGTCCGCACATCGTAGATGATCGCCTTCTGGAGCCAAGGAACAAGGAAATGTGTGCCCTCGTTGACGACAGTATCTCGGACCCCGGAAAGTCGGTCGAAGATGACTGCTCTTGATCCTCCTTTCACATCGTACAGGGCGGATTGCGCTATTGAGGCGCCGATGAAGACGGGAATGGCCCACCTCGAGATGGCGTTGAGAACGTTGGGTGCTGTCATGATGGCGACGGCGACGGCGACGGCGACGGCGAATTGGGAGAAAGGGCAGGTGACTACAATTCAGGTGGGTTTACCACCCTTCACGCTGAACGACGAACGACGATTTTGCTTGTACAGGACTTTGGAATAGATGTCGTCGACATCTCCGCAGCCTGAGTTCTGAGTCGGAGCTTTGCCTCGACTTTCCGTTTCGATGGCGCTTGCATTACATAATCCGCCAAGCTCTTTCTCCGGCCTGCGATTTGGAGCTTCTCGTCTTTCGACAAACGTGATTGAACTTCAACAGCGACCACCTCTTTTGGTTTGATCTTGGCCAGCACCACCGGTATAGCTCGACAAGATGCGTCCTACACCAGCTTTGCGGCTACAAGCCACCCGCATCCTGCGTGGTGGTCACGGCCCGGATCCGAAGAACGGAGTGTAGGTCTTCCACGGCGCATCCCGAAACCGTCGACAGCTCACTGACAATTCTGCGCAATAGCTACATGGGCTGGTGGGGGAGCTTGGGCTCGCCGACACAAAAGAACATCGTCACATACTCCATGTCGGCCAACCGACTGAATCCCACGCACCATATTCTTTACGACGCGGTCTTCAATACCTTCCGCCGCACTCGCAACCAGATCCTCTACTGGGTTCCTCCCTTGTTGGTTGCCTATTTGGCCATGGATTGGGCCATCGAGAGGTATGTTTAGTTGAGGCAAGTGTGAGCGATGAATGCTGACGGCCCGGCCTTGACAGGAACGAATACCTCAACTCGAAACCAGGCCGAGCAGAGTTCGGAGAGTAAATCACCCTACAGCCATGATGGAGTGGGCGAAACATTGTACATAAGCAGAGGATACAGCGGTTTAGCAGACGAGTCAATTGATTCTGGAACATATCCAGCTCTGCCGTTCCACTTTGAAGACTCGAGTCCGCCTCCTAATGTTGCGGATGATGGACCTCGCAAATTGACATCCGGTGTAGACTGGTCTCTGGTTGATCTCGCTGAAACACTGGCGACACGCTGCATTCTGACACAGTGCATTCTTGATCCCACCTTATCCCGGCCCGATTCTCGGCATGTCGTGATGTTCGCTCAGGGAGCTGAGGTATTTGTTGAGCTCCTCCACCCGCTCCTTGTGCGTCTTGACCCCTTCTCGTTTGAGCCGTTCCTCGAGCTATCCAACACGCAGTAATATGTCAGGCTTGATCCGTTCGCAAAAAGAAACCACCACAAGAATGCAAAGCCGATGTGCTCGTGCAATCGTAGACAAAAGAAATTGGCAGTAAACATACCCTTTTTCGTCGTTGCTCTTCATACCGCCGTTCCGCCTCCGTCTTCATCACGCCTCCTCGCTCTTCTTCTCTTCGCCCTGCCTCGCTATCGGCCGGCCTCTCGCCTCTCTGCTTCTGCAAACTCCGTCCCTCCTCGTTCGCCATCGCCTCGTCTTCTTCCTCCAATTTCTTCAACATGACAGATCGATCATTAAACCCATCCGTGGTGGCTTCCCCCACAGCGGCTTCTCCACCTTCATTGGGCTGCGACGACGACGGTGCCTTCTTTTTCTTTTTCTTGTCGATCTTCGAGTCCTTCACGCCTTTGAGTTTGAGCTTGCCGGACCCGACTGAAGAGTACTCATTTGGCGCCATTCTCGAAGTTGGCAAGACCGTCTGTGCACCACCGGACTAAGCGAGCATTGTAGCCCTGCCGCTAGGAAGGGAAAGTGATACGTACAACACACTAGGTACGCACGGTAGACCGTGTGACGGCTGTTAGAAGGAGGTTGAAAACTGCGCTTGGGGACGCTGAAGTGTTCCGTATTTCTGGACTCGCCTCGCTCGCCTACCAGGTCCGAGGTTGGCAAGACAGCCTTCCTACTCACGCTACTTACCATGAACGACATTTGGCAGATACCTCTCGTTGTAGGATCCGGCGTCGACTACGTTTCCGGGCAGACTACCTATATAGGGATCACCCAATTCTGACTCGATGGTTCCCACCCCAGCTGGAGCGAAGACAATATGCGGCGCTCCTGATGCCAGACTATTCGGTTTCCTCAGCACCGCACCAGCGTATCACGGCATGATGCAGGACGAGTTCGATCGAAAGGCTAGAAAATGCTCCCCTTCTGTAACCCGACAAGGCCAGTATCATGTGGTCTTCAGCCCCAGAACTGGACGACCACGACAAGGACATGCTCAACATGGTCATGAATCAGTTCCATAAGCATGTTTCTGAGACTTTCATCCTTTTCAAGGGAATCTATGGCCCCAGAAAGTCTCGGCCCGGAGGCTAACCACGTCAACATATTCTGAAAGCCTCTATATCCTAGAATGTTGTCGAGTCATCCTCATGCACCGTCCGCGATCTCTCCATGGCGGCACACAAACTCATTTGCTCAGACTATCTCACCAAATCACCGGATGACCAAGCTTCTGGATAATCCTGCGGCATGGACGAACATTCCCCGGCCGAGCGGTACCAACGGCGATGGCGAACACTTGCTCTCAACTCCGGGGACTTTGAGTGCTATATCTCTCCAGCGTCGTCGATGTCTTCCGTCGTACCTACCAACGCTAACGACGGTCTAGTATACCTTGTCTCGCTCGTACTCTGTTGTGGTGAGCTGGCCAACAAAATCTCAATTCAACTGCGGCATCGACAAAAGCGCATCTTAAGAGAGGAGAAATGATCTTGTCCGCACGGAAGCCCGGATTGCACAGCTGTTAGCTCGAGTATCAATTGAAGTCAAGTGATGCTGGACAAATGCCTTCCAGGCAACAAACGGTGGTCAACGAGCATCTCATTACCCGCCACTCCGGTACACGAACAAGAAGGCCGGTATGTGATCCATTTGTCATCCGGCCTGGAAGCCAGCCCGTGAAAGCCCGGCTGGAGTCATGGAGCCTTGAGGTGCAGCTGTACATATCGGGGTCCTAGCTGGTGCACCAACACGCTTCTGGCTTACTGGACATCAATTGAGCAGCTGGTTACAAGCCGGTCTCTGCTTCTACCCATCAATGGCGTCTTGAGGGGCCTAACAGACTCCTACACTGCCGTCGTCCAAATATATGCGTACACGGAAGCCTCCAAATGTCACTGCCAATTCGCAACGATCTCCACAAAGTCGACGACACATCGTTCGACTACATCTACGAGGAAAATGTAACTATCCCACTAAGGATGGACGCGGCATTGTTCGAGCCAACGTTTTCCGACCCAAGGGGCTGAAGACTGCCAGGTTTCCAGCGCTGGTGACATACGGACCTTATGGCAAAGATATTCTCTATTCAGTGTAAGCTGCCACCAGATTAATTTCCTGTCTCTGTGGTCTTGTTCATGAGACGCGTACAGATTTCATGCCCAGTCATTTGCTGAAGTGCCGGAAGAACACCACTCACCTCATTCCGCCTGGGAAACCCGGACCCAGGATACTGGACTCATCATGAATATGGCTTTGTTCGTGCCGACGAGGTGGGCCTCGGTCAGTCTCCAGGAGTCTTGAACACCATGTCTCGAGATACAAAGCTGTGTTTCGTCGACGTGATCGAGTGGGCAGCGTCTCAATCATGGTCAACTGGCAAGGTTGGACTACTCGGCATCGGTTATTACGCGGGCAGTCAATGGCGTGTAGCAGCCAGGCAGCCCCGAGGGTTGGCATGTATGATACCGTGGGAGGGAATGTCTGATTACTACCGCGACCGTTGCCGGCATGGGGGGATTCTGTCGAACGCTTTCATTGGCTTCTGGTGGAATCGCCAGGTGAGCCGTTCTCTTTCCACAACAAAATTGCAGACTCGAACCACGATTCATGTTGATCGGACTCGTGGTTAGGTCATTGTCAATCAGTACGGCCGCCCAGGGAGAGCAGCACGAAATTGGGGCCCAGCGACCATCGAAGGCACTCTGTCGGAAGAACAGCTACGCGCCAATCGCCACGATCAGAACGTCGACAATGTCAAGAACAAGTTTCTGGACGACGAACATTATGCCAGCAAAGACTCCAACATGCAGGACATTAAAGTTCCACTTCTGTCGGTGGGCAACTGGGGTGGCATTCTTCTCCATCTCAGGGGGAATGTCGAAGGCTTCATGAATGCCGGATCCCAGCACAAGTATCTCCGCTTCATCACCGGTCGCCATGACCTTCCATTCTACACTCAAGAGGGTGTCGGCATGCAGCGAAGTTTCTTGGATGCGTTCCTGAAGGACAATGACACCGCCGGCTGGTCGACTGGGAAGCCTCCAAAAGTCGGCTTCGCGCTTAGGGTCGGAGACGTGGGCTACAACGATGCCGAAGCCGAGAAAGCATACCCTACACGATACGAGAATTCATGGCCCATCCCTGATACTCAGTACACGCGACACTTCTTGACGCCGGCATGAGAGTCAACAACTCAAGCATCGAAGCCGACCAAGGACGAGAAACTGCCCTATAAAGCATTGGGCGACCTCAGACATCAGCACCTGCTTCAGTTCATCAGCTCTCCCTTTGACGAGACCGAGTTTACCGGTCACATTGTGGCACATCTCAATGTGTCAGTCAGCGCCGTCGACCCAAACATCACACCAAGCGACATAGACCTCTTCCTAACTGTCCGACATCTGAATCCAGAAGGCAAGGAGATCTTGTACACCGGCACAGTCGGGGATCCAGTTCCGGTAACCAAGGGATGGCTCCGTGCCAGCTTGCGCAAGGTGAACGAAGACAGTCCTCGGCATCACGCATGGCACCCGCACCGCGAATACCTGTCTAGTGATCACGCACCTCTTGTGCCTGGAGAAATATATCCCGTGGACGTTGAGATCTGGCCTACGAACGTGGTCCTCCAGAAAAGTGACAGACTGGTGTTCGAGGTCTCCTCCGGCGACACACAAAGCGCCGGACTGTTCGAGCATACGTCCAAGGAGGATCATGCAGAGGCGATACTCAAGGGGATGAATCACATTCACTTTGGCGAGCAGCACGAGAACTGGCTCCTTATGCCGCTCATTCCTCCCCGCGCAGCCGAACCAGGCAAGTAAGATGAGGAAGTACGGTGCAGGAGCGGAGCCTGTGACCATCATGCTCAGTTGCTGGGGATTGATAGAAATGAAGAAGTCCCCAGATAGAAGGACTACTATATTTTGCTACGCCAGCCGAAGCCATGATGGCCCATACAAAGAACAGTCCCCTACCGGCACCATCCATGTCGTCTCCTCCAGCGATTCGCTCGTAAATTGGCCTACTGACTGGCCCTCTGGTTACTTTCCTTCCAAGCCTATCCCGATGCATTCGGGACCCCAGGGATTGAGAAGAGGATATTATAAACTTCATGTGCTGAACCAACATGCACGAGTATGTTGGTCACATTCCAGCCAGAACCCGAGGCCAGATGCGTGCCGGGAGAGGTACGATAGCCTGCTAGAGACTACAGCTGCTGAGTCGACTTTCATTTCGTAAACTAACATCCCGCTTCCGCCGTGGCAGTCTCGGCTTGCCTTTAGACGACGTGTACACATTTTCGCGAAACCAGAGGAGGCCAACTATGTCTTCCTTCCTGCTGGGTATTCGAGGGCGCCGGTAGCGGAATATGAGAAAGCATGAAGCTTTGTCAAAGAGAGAGGCGGCAGCGTCCCCTGACGACCCCAGCGTCTGTACTCGAAGAACAAGTGCTGGCTCCAATACGCTGCTCCCAGTGAGTTATGGATTCCGCAAAAGAGGAGTAACGACTTTGCCCATGTCCTACACCAGCCGCCACCGCGGCCAGTGGAGCGTGTGCGACTATTGTGGATGATGCCCCTGAGTCAGCGACCATGCAGGTACATACAGTACAGCATGTACCCTCCTGTCACCCTGTTCCTTATCTGGTCCGTCAGCCCGTTTGGGTTATAACACCTACTAATGCCTCGTGCCATCGCGGCGTCTGATTTGTCGGCACAACAAGTCTCGCACAAGACGTGAGCTACATCATGCACTTGGCGATGCATTGATCTCAGGGCGTACCATGGACCACCTAATCCCGTCGAACATCCCTCTGCAACACGCACGATACGGCTGAAATGGTGCTTAGCAACGCCGCGTGGATTGGAGCGGCATTAATAATGCCTCAAACACAGCCTGACGAGAAGGGCAATAGCACCTACTCTTCTGCGACGGCTGTCCGCGGCGATTATTTGATTGACGCTGCCATTCTGGCCAGCGCCAGTGATATAAGTTGAAGAAGCAACCCGCACGGTATTGAACCTCCCCCAATCGACCTCGTCTGGTTTTCTATCCGTCAGAATGACCCGATACATTCTCACCGGTACGAGCGGCCGCCTGGGGTCTCGCGTCCTGACGCACATCCTTGAGAAGAAGCTGATCCCACCCACGGATCTGATCATCTCGGCCACGAACCCGGACCGCGTCCCATCCATCGCGAAGCAATATGGCCTCGAAGTCCGCCGTGGCGACTACACCGACCGTGAGTCACTGAAAGCCGCCTTCACCGGCGGGGACGTCCTGTTCCTGGTGTCGCACAACGACCCGGGGACGCAACGCGTCGAGTACCACAAGAACGCCATCGAGAGTGCTCGAGCCGTGGGCGTCAAGACGGTCGTCTACACCAGTATGATGTTCGGCGGGGAGACGGGCCTGGACAGCGTCATCGGCATCCAGCAGGGCCACGTCCACACGGTCAAGTATCTGATGCACCAGCAGTGCGGGATGGATTACATCGTGCTCCGCGAGGGCCTGTACGCCCAGATCTGGGGATACTACGCCGACTTCCGCTACGGCATGTGGAAGAAGGGACAGGTGCTGTTCAAGAAGGGCGACACCGCACCGTTGGAGTGGGTCATCCCCAACGACGCCGCCATCGCGTGGGTCGACATCGATGACCTCGCCGAGGGCAACGCGCTCATACTCGCCGACTACACCAGGTACGTCAACCAGACCCTGCGACTCACGGGTCCGCGAGCCACGTCAATCGGCGAGATCGCGAAGCTGGTCGAGGAGAGGACCGGACGCAAGGTCGACCTCCGTCTCGTGGGGCGAGACGAGGCCGTGAAATGGCACAAGGACCATCACACCGTCCCGCCCGAGTCCTTTGACTGGCTGGAGAACAACTGGGGAGGGTGGTGGGAAGGTCTGGCCAGGGGCGAGGGCGAAGTCGTGGACCCCATCTTGTCCCGGGTGCTGGGACGGCAAGCCAAGGGATTGGTCGAGATCGCCGACGAAATGTTGACGCCGCAGTGATGGTGGGAAGCATGGCTGCGTAGGGAGGGGAGCTCATGTCGGTCGACTTCCCATGGCTGGTTGTCTGTAGCAGATGCACGGGTGCGAATGTCAAGGACGAAGAACACTGCTGGCCAGAAGGGGGAGTGTATATCGCTGGGAATTGACCTCTATCTTAACTGCCATGTTCTAGTCCAGTGGCCCCATCCCCTTTCAAATAATTAGGTCCAATCCTGACTGATCATCCAGCGTGTATCGAGTTGAGGAACTCGAAGAGCACACCCATCCGCATCATGTCTAATCGAAGTCGCTATGAAGTCGCTGTCTGCTTAATAGGCTCTCTAACCGCCACCCCTCTCTCCCTCCAAAGAGACCTCAGGCATCAAATCTCCACCGCCTTACCACCTTTCTTTTCTCGCCGTCGAGGAATCGTCATGACCTGGTGGAGCTGCACGCGAGCAGGTTCAAACTGCCACACTCGTCAGCACTTATCACGTCACCTCGGGCGAACATGGCACAGATTCACGATCAAACAACTGGACACGGTACACTGCACTCACCTTGTAGATCCTCAAGAGGGTGGCCCAAATCTTATACAACTCCAACTGGACGATGTTCTTCCCGATACAGCTCCGACTGCCGTGCCCAAAGACGATCATGGCGCGCTGCATCCGCCACCGACGTTCGTGGAACGCCTCGTCACTCTCGCCGCGCTGCTGCATCCACCGGTCCGGGTTGAAGACGCGAGCATCCTGGCCAAAGACATCAGGCAACATGGACATGGACGCGGCGTTCATGCAGACCACGGTCCCGGGAGGCAGGTGCACGCCGTTGGGAAGAGTGAGGCCGGCCGGACCGACGAGGCGCTCGAGGTTGTTGGCCGGGGCGCCGAACTGGCGGTACGACTCCTGGATCACGGCGTCGAGATAGGGCATCTTCAGCGCGAGTTCCAGCGCGGCGGGGCCCTCGGTCTCGGCCTCCTTCATGGCGGCCATGTTGACGCTCTTGATCTCGCTGTACAGTCGTTCCTGGGCCTCCGGGTGTGCCGTCAACCAGTGGATGGTTGCGTCCATGGCGCGGGCGCTGTTGTTGGCCCCCGCGAGCACGTTGGTGGCCGTGATGTGCGTGATGCGAATGTCCGTCATGAGCGGGTATGATTTCCTCGCGGCGATGAAGCTGCCCAGGAGGTCTTCGTGACGGCCGCCCGGGGATTGGGACTCGGGGTCTTTGGCCGCTCGTGCGAGCCGCTCGTTGACCACACGCCTCGCGAACGTGAAGAACATGCTCCTGCAGCGGCATCAGAAATCGATCTCAGGTGTGAAGCCATGCCAGGGGAGGGTAGAAAACACAGCTGAACGATGCGGGACAGCGGCGGCTTCGCCTCGTCTGAGTTGACCGTTGTGCTCTGCTGCCGAGGATGACTTACGGCTTCTTTTTGAACAGCTTCAATAGCGGATTGCGCTTCGTCAGGGTGTCGAGGAATGGAAAGTTATTGGCGACGCTGATGTACCGGAAGTTCTCTCTCTGGGCCTGAATCATGCCATTGAAGTCGTCGCCGTGGTCGAGAAAACCGATGGGCTCGCCAAACGAGATCTTGGACATTACATCGAAGGCCCCTGCAATTCGGTAAGTCATTGTGGATCAAGACCAGACGATCCAGGTGAACTCACAATATTGCAACCAGCGTGTCATGTTGATCGGTGTCCCGTCGGCGTCGTGCTTGTCGAGCTCACCTATCAACTTCTCGATCATCTGGTCGATGTATGGCTCGTATCCTTTCAAGGATGACAATGAATACGCGTGGGCAATGGGTCGCCTGTACATTCCGTGCGTTTTCTCGTCCTTGATGCTGACCAGTGCAGTCTGATCAGTGCCTATTTACGGTGAGCACAAGCATGACCTCAATATTTCTGCAGTGAACTTACCAGTCATGACGAAGACCTTATACCCCGGACCCTATTGCCAGTCAGCGCCAAGTTGCACAGTATCCCCGCTGAGAGGCCTCAAAACCACTCGGAGGCACCAAGCTTACCTTGTCCAGTCGCTCCCGAAAGCCATATATCGTGTCGATCGCCTCGGGATCATAGACAAGAACGTGCTTTGGGCCGATCCTAACGACGTCTCCATATTGACCGATCATTTGGATCTGGTAGTTGTTCACTCCTTCCGTGTGGTGGTTGAGTCTCCATGCTCGATAGCCCCTCCAGATGTTCGAGTACTTTGCCAGCACCGGGCCCGGAATGTGATCAAGCTTGGCTCTCTTGCTTTGTACGAAGAGGTAGACCACCGTGCTCAGTAGGAACCCGGCAAGCAGGTACAGAGGGGACACGGCCTGGAGGATCAAGGGCGCCGAGACCGCCATGCTGCTTTCAGTGACGGCAAGCTTTGAATCAAGCTTGGGCCAAGGCTTGGATACCCCTAACAGGGACGGGTTCGTTTAAATGCTTGTCTGAAATGTCCAAGCTCTGCCTCTCCTGCAAGCCAACGCAACTTGAGTCCGCTTACCTGTAAGCCCTCGGAACAATTGTATTTATGCTGACCCGGGAATGCAGACTTTCCCTAGGCTTGTATCTCCCCCAAGTTCTTCAACTGCCGACCTCCATTCAAGCGGGGAACGACCTGGGGAAACTCCCCGCTCTGCTCCAGGTTCACGCAGGATGTACCTATCGCCTGCATGCCGACTAGCCGTGTACAACAACGTGCATGTCGTCCGTCGCCCATGGTCCCGTCTTGGCATTCCATATAGCGCAAGGATCGTGCTTGTTGCCCGTTCAAGGTGGTTTTGTGCCGCCAACCATGGAGCGACTTCACGTCCAACCTCACTGCCGTGGTACAAGTGCTCCAGGGGGTAAGTCGGGACAGGCGTTCCTCGGTCACTCTCCGTGTTCGGAAATCACAAATCATCGACGCGGGGAAGACGACGGCAGTGAGTGTCGACGAAAGGACTGCCGATGGATGGACAATGCGCACGGGACGTCTCACGTGGTGAGCTGAAACCGCAGAAGCATATCAGACCAGTAACCTCCATGTTCGGATGTCGAGTCTCATCCATATCCACAACTCCGAGATATCTGCCGAGCACTCGACTACGTGACCACGATGACTGAGACCCAGGCAAACAGAAACCATGAACAGGTGGTGCCGGCTCATACCATGGAGAAACCAACAGGTGAGCACCACGAAACAACGGTCGAGCACGTCAAAGAAGTCAACGCTGCCATTGCTCGGACGGATTCCCACCTCGATGTTGCGCATGCGCCACTCGGATGGAGATCATGGCTCGTTGTTCTCGTCACCATGTTCGGGTAAGGATCAAGTTCCATCGCCCTCTCGCGTGGGGTTTTGATAACGGCGAGCAGAAACTTGACCTTGGTCTTTGTGGTCGTGGCTGCAGGCTCGGTCATCGCCTTCATCATCCGCGACATTGGGGAACCGGGACTTGCTGGATGGATCATCCAGGTACGTTACCGTCGTCTCCGTCTCCATGGGCTCCCATTGATTCAGATACAGGGCCCGCTCCTCGTGCAAAGCGTGCTGTGCCCGATCGTAGGGCGTCTGTCGGACGTGATCGATCGGAAATACATCGCGTCCTTCCAGCTCACCGTTGCCTTCGTTGGGTCTATTGTGTCCGCAAGGGCAGAATCCATGAACACGCTGATCGGCGGAGGTATTTTGATAGGAGTTGGGCTCTCATCTCTTGGGATCATCGTGGCCATCCCCGCAGAAGTCCTGCCGTTGAAATACCGCGCAATCGCCAACGGGGCCAATTTCCTCGGAGGCGCTTTTGGAGGGCTGTAAGTTTACCGTACTTTGGCGGGATCGAACATTTGCTTACACGGCTCGACAGCGTCGGACAACTCGGTGCTGGAGCTGTGACAAACGCTGACAAGGGTGGGTGGAGGAACATCTTCTGGATGCAAGCTGCCTTCCACGGCGCCACTGTCCTTATGCTCCTGGCATTCTATCACCCACCTAGACGGTCGGATTACCCAAAGATGAAGGTAGCGGAGTATCTCTGGTCCCTGGATCCCGTCGGTGCCATCTTGTTCATCGGTGGCGCGACTCTGATCATCCTGGCACTCGACTGGACTGGTGGCACCTATCCGTGGCGCGATGCCCATGTCATTGCTCCGCTGGTCGTCGGCATCGTTCTGCTGATATTCTTTGGATTCTATGGTAAGAAAAGCTGCCGATTGGACTTCGACAGCTAATTTGCATATAGAGTGGAAGGGACGATCAGATGGCATTGTTGCGCATGTGAGATTTACTTCCTGGTCGCAGCCACGCTCACGATGCTGATGCTGGTATAGGTCATGTTCAAGAAAGGATACAACTTTCCGCTAGCGGTCTTCGCATTCGCCGTTGAAGGGTTCGTCCTCTTCCACATGTCCAGAGCGTCAGCTAATGTGGACCAGATGGATTTTCTTCAGCGCGGTCAATTCTGTGACTCCACAGGTCATACTCAACCTCGGGTGGGAGTCGACGTCGTGGCAGATTGCCATTCGCCAACTGGCCTACCAGCTTCCGGCCATCTGCTTCTCAATCCCCATGGTGTAGGCGGGCCCCTGTGATTGACGGTACAGAGAACTTCTCTTGGCTGACCACGGGCGATGATAGGCTTTATTCGACAAAGTTCAAGGATCTCAAGAACCCCCTGTTACTCACCTACGGCATTTTCCTCATCGTCTGCATCTGCTATGCGACCGTCACACCGTCAGAGGACCGGGCCCAATACGCCTTTGCCGTGCTCGCAGGCATAGGACAGTCAGGGCCTCTCACTCTGATCCTTGCTCTGGTCCAATTCGCTGCACCACACGCCTTCATCGCAACGGCTTCGGGCTTCGCCTTGTCTGCCCGCGCCATCGGCGGTGCTTTCGGCTCGGCCGTCCTTGACGCCATCGTCAACGGTAAGATCGACGCCACCCTTGCACGTGATGTTGGAGAGGCAGCGACAAATGCAGGCCTACCCGCAAGCTCGGTACCAGATCTGGTGGAGGCGATAGGAGCAGGGGAAGGCTTCGACGGTGTGGCCGGCATCAACAGCACGATCCTGGAGCAGGCCCTGCATGCGAGTCACTCGGCATACGCGAGGGCTTACCGACTGGCGTGGGCCAGTGTCATTCCCTTCGTAGCCCTGGCTCTTGTCGCTGTATGGTTCATCAAGCACGTCAAGGAGTTAATGACGGACCATGTCGAGGCGAGCGTGGAATCCAAAAAGGCGCCAGCAGGGTCGGATGTGGAAGCCAGTGCGAAGTGACTCACAGGTAGATGTACGAGTAGTAGCAGTCACAGCATGCATCGAGGTTGACTCTAGACACTCGTCCAGTGCTCGTACCATTGTCAGAGGAAGCAGAAAATAAGGTACTGAAGACTGATAATTACATGCTCCGTGAAGAAATCCGGATCCGGGTCAAAATTGATCCGAACCGAGACTTCTCCCCCAGTCACGTGCTCCATCTCATCCCAACTTCTCCGTACAATGGCTCGTATGAGCACAGCTCGAAATTCCACACCCAGCATTACGACGATAAAGCCAATCCCATGACTTGACTGAGCAACCGGCGCTTTTGCGGCTCGATGCTATTGTGAACGCCGTCTAACCACCATCCTCCGAGACTGGCCTGGCCTGGCCTGGCTGTGGACAGAATGTGTCGCCTCTGTGGGCGTACGATAAAATGCATCTTTGACTCCATGCCTTCGAAGGCACCTTCGCGCCCTAGATTGTGAGTAGATGACAGCCCGTGCCATGCACGCTTGAACCGTACCCTAACTGCTCTGCCAGAGCTTTACAGCAGCACCGGAGGCCGACCTCTCACCACGTCTCGTCGCGCACAATTGTCCAAAGCGCATTGAACATTTCTCCCAAGCACACCTCGGCCTCATGGACGCCGCCAACGTTCCTCCTTCCCTTCCGCTTCCACGCGCAGCTCCATCAGGCAACGAGCCAACAATCCGCAACGACTCCGATCTCACAGTTTCAAAACACACAGCCTGACATTCCACCCACATATCTCTCCAACCCGACCGACCAGACAGGCTCGTCACTCTCCACGACGAAGCCGACGACGACCGTCCCGTCAAGCACCACGTCCCTATTGTCGAGACCACTCGTGCTCTCGCGCTCGGTGCAGACCCTGCTGCCGAAGCTCCACGCCCAAAAGCCGCACTACATAGTCGCGCACATCCATCGGTTCCCTTATCTCCTGACGGAGGGGGACACCCTGCGCTTGCCCTTCCACATGAAAAACGTCTCCCCAGGCGATATCCTGCGGTTCAACCGCGCCAGCATCCTGGGCAGTCGGGACTTCACGCTCAAAGCCGGGACGTCGAGCACGGAGAGCTACGACGCCAAGCGCACCGGCGAGCCCAATTACTTGGACGAGAGGCTCTTCGAGTGCAGGGTCCGAGTCATGGGCATTGAGACGCAGCCGATGGAGTTCAAGGAGAAGAAGAAGCGGCGCAATCGGCACCGGAAGATCGTCAAGAGTAAGCACAAGTACACGTTGTGCAGGGTCATGCAGGTCAAGACCAAGGGGTTGGACGAGTTGATCTCCAGCGAGAAGGGCATGGTGTTGTTGGAGGGCGACGGTGACGGTGAAGCACAACTGGTTGAAGAGGCGGGTGAGGGCGAGGGCGAGGGCAAAATCCCCACGGTCAGTCACTCTGCTGCGTGAATCAAGCGGTAGACATTATTGCAAGCGAGACGCAAACTGTAGGATATCCAGTCAACTGGTAGAAAATAATCGAGCCGTGAGCGCGGATGGATTGTCTTATCCCCTCACGCTCCCACAAGCATCATGTACGGTTTACGTATACATTCGATGGGGCAACTTGTGGTCATCCACGTGTATACAATTCATCAGGGACGAAACGGGCCCGCTTTGACTTTTCTCGATCTTTGTGCAAGGGCCGCCGGACACCGCAACTGACCGTCCTCACTCTTACAGATTGACTGCAAAAAGGGGGGGTGGAGGGAAGACATGGGTGAAGCCACGAAGATGTATGTGAAAAGAAGTATGAATACAGGAACATACACGCCAGCTGCCCAGTTTGCCAAATCGCCAATCGCCAGTCGTCAGGTCCATCATAATCGCCATCCGCAAGGGACGTGGAGGCTAAGCAGCACAACTGCCATTTCTCCGTCGCTCCTCCATCAGCTTTTCTCGTCAGTCATCACTCCTGGATCGTGATGTATCGGGCACCATTCGTGTCGTCACATCAGGGCTTTTATGGCACCGACCAGGAGCCCACAGGGACGCCGAATAGAAGGTCCGTGTCAGGGGTTAGGTGAAGACAGCCGCGGATCTCACGCCCATGCGCCGGTAACCAAAAGGCGATATCGACAGTGAGTTCAAGGTGAGGCGGTCAGCCAGAACGTTTGGAAATTACTCTTCATCTCATCTCACCTCCAACGCAGGAAAGACCATCCTGTCACGCAGGTTGACCTTGATCTCAAAGATGCCTTCCTCGGTCCCGGCATACCTGGGTCAATATCATTAGTACAGTTGTTCTCATCCCTTGGAATCACAAGCACCTACAAGAACTGCCCATCCGGACTGAATCCAATTCCAGTAGTGCCTAGCTCGGGGTTGGCTACGTCGACGTCCACGCCACCTGCCGCTGTTGCGGCGCCTCGACTCCCAGACGCTCCAGCGCCCAGAATCCGATGCAACGCCGCCCCGGCACCAGGCGGCATCCAGTTGCCATTCGCATCAAGCGAGCGGTTGCCCGACATGCCGCTTAGGAACATCATCCGAGCGAGGCGCATATCCGCGTCGGGCACGCGACCAGTGAGCCCTGACACGCGCACGAAGTCGGCCTGACGGGCGACAGCAAGGCCGCGGGGGCTAGGATCAACAATGTTTGGAGAATCTCGTCTTTGTTGGGCACTGGGGTTGCTGACTGAAGGACGGTTGATGAGTTCGGGTTCTCGTGAGGCCGTGCGCGGAGGTGCGGTGGTGAGCCTGGCGGAGTCGTTGGCAACGGTGACAGGCTGTGGTGGGTGAGCTTCTGTAGCATTCCGAGTGCGCGGGCGAGTCGTCTCTTCGGCGTCCATTTCTCTTCGGATGGCGTTCTCGAGAGCCTGCATATCAATCGCGGCCAGTGCGACCCGTGACTCTGCTCGACGGACTTGTCGTTGCAGATTCTCAATATGCGCCACCCGTTCACGGCGGGTTTCAATGTAGTCTGTGAGCACATTGGTGTTGCCTGACGGTCGAACACTGGTGGTGGGTAGCGTCGTTGTCCAAGCTGAGGTGGGATTGTTGGTGCTACTAGCTGGGTCACCGGTCAAGATTCTATCTCTTTCCGTCTCCAGTCTTCGCGAGTAATCTGTACCAGTTCTCAACTCGCTTCGCAACTCTTCTGCTCGCTGGTTCAAGAAGTGTTGCTCATGTGCGAGTTGTCTCTGCAGAACCCGCTCGAGTGACGCCTCAACACGGGCGTTTGTCTCTCTTGCAGCCGCACGAAGACGCTCCAGCTGATTGGAGTTTTCCACAAGCAAACGCTGTTGTGTGTCAAGCTGCCTTCTAAGCAGGAGCGACAGTTGTCTTTCGTCAGCTAGCTGCCGTTCAAGCCGATTACCCAGTTCTCGCTCAGCTTCCAGGGCGGCTTCGATCCTAGCGAGATCCACACGCGGGCCATTATTGGTGTCTCTCGCTGCTTCCAGTGTGGTGTGAATGTTATCCGAGGGATCGTTAGGTGGAATATCGGAGGGCATCGGTTGCGATGTTGAGCCAGGCGCAAACGGAGTCAAATCGTCTGTGGACGTCACTGGTAAATCATCATCATCATCACCTATGCGTCCTGGAGAGGCGGATATTCTGGCTCTGCGACCGTCACTGACATCAAGATATCGACCTGCATTTCCAGTTGACTCTGATAGCACCACTGAGGACCTTCTCCGCGGGGGATGAACTTGAGAACTGGTTGACCGTCCCACATCCGGTGATAGTGGGGAGGCAGTGGATGGTATTCGACTGGCAAACCAGCGTGGAGAAGAAGCATAATTTATACTGTATGGGCGTGGTGGGGGCTGTTCGACGTCGTCCATTGTCGTTTCGAGGGCTTCAGTGACTGATCGTTCTCGGGCATCCATATCCAAGCCTCGATAGCTGATCAAATCTTGTCGACTGTAACGTCTGGCAGATTCAGTCGGGAGATCATCTATACTGAGTTCTCCATCTAATTCTCTTGTTGAAGATAAGCCGCGCATGGCCCTTAACCGAGTGAGATGCTGCTGTTTGATTTTCTCCTTGTGACTAATATTGCGGTACGACATAGGTGTCCCATCCTCAAGCTTAATTTCTTCGGCTTTCCGAGGGTCGAGCTCTAGTATCTGTCGCCGCACACAGGCCCGCCTCACGTCCGCTACACCAATTCTTCCGTGATCTTCTGCCCAGACCAGGAGATCCCATGGTGCGGGAGAAAAGGTCATGGCCCTGACACATCCGTACAGAGCAGCTCGTGATGATCTGAAGGTACAGATTACAGATGATTCTCCACGATCCTCATTGTTGCGCAAATGTTGCAGGTCGAAGATGGAAATTGACCCGCCTTGCGATGAGGCAGCACACAGGTGTCCGGAAGGTGAGAATGTGACTGCAAAGCTGTAATCATCATAGACAGGATCGCCCGTCGGTACTTGAGGATCTGCAAGCATATCCCACTCATATTTGGCATAACGTCCGGAAGAGCCGTCAATGAGATCAGGCTCCTGGTACAACCGGCGTGCGTAGAAGTACACGCGGTCTGAGTCGCCGACAGCAGCAATGATACTGGAATCTGGTGACATTGCCGCGAAGTTCATAGGCACGGTGTGAGGCAGGGTGGTCAGCACTTGTCTCTGCGCAAGTGAATACATTTTGACCGTCTTGTCATTGTTGCTGATGAGGACAATGGGTTCATCTGGTGTCTTGCCATCGTTCAAGATGGTATGGATACTCATCGAGTTCACTATTTCTCCTCCGAGCAGGTCGTGATTGAAGTCATGGCCAAAGCATATCGGTCGATCATGCTCATCCTTCTCGACCTTGATGAAGGCGCAGTCTCCGTTTTGTTCTCCGCCTACGCAGACCCAGCCTAGGCCGGCAGTCAGGCATCTCGTGTCGAAGGGGACGGTCGCTATGAGCGAGTTCTGGTGGCTTGCAAGGTCGAGAACGTAGACATCCCTAAATGATACGTAGTAGATCAGGTCTCTCTCGGCGGAGCTGATGAGATGACGCAACTGGTGATGGGCGACCTGAATTTTTGTAGGGTAGAATTTATGATGCGTAGCCAGTTTCTCGGTAGGAGTAAGCCATAGTTCGCGATTAGCTTTGGTCATGGCGCGACGAGGGCTGAGCGGCCTAGGATTTGAGACTCATCTCTCGGCGAGAGAGGAAGACGAGGACGAGGGGAGCGGAGTGGGTAGAGGATGGCGGCGAGTAATCACAGGACTTGTCACAGCAATGGATGTAGATGTCAATGGTGGTAATAATCGTCAATTCCCTTCTGTGCATCAATGAAACTCTGGGCTGGCTGTAGCCTCTCTCATTACACGATCCGTGACATTGAACTCAGCGCACTGGAATACCATCCGCAGACAAGGCTGAGCAGTGCTCCCCGACGAGGCTGTGACGCCCAAAACAGCAGGTCAACCGCGGCGCGAATTGTTCCTCGAGATTCTGCGAGAAAATCTTCCATTGCGTCCTTCATTGCGTCCTGAGCTCATCTACTCTTCATCCCATTCTCCGACTTCTCCATTCTCAATCCCACCCTTCACGTCTGTACTTCTTGTACTCGTGTGCCGTCTTGTATCACTTCCTTCTTCGCCGTGTACTTTATTCAATTTGAGCAATCATGATTGCATCAAAGTTCTCAAGAGCTGTAGGTCTCGTTCCACCTCTTCCCCTTGAACTTCCTAACCAGTACACTAGCTTCCTCGAGCCACTCCCCTTTCTCGCCTCTCACAGATTCGAGCACCTCGCTCCTCCATAATCTCACGATATGCCTCCACCGACGCACCCGAGTCGACTGAGAAGGTCAAGGGCCAAGTCATTGGCATCGACTTGGGCACAACGAATTCAGCCGTCGCCATCATGGAAGGCAAGACCCCAAAGATAATAGAGAACGCTGAGGGTACCCGAACAACACCGTCAGTTGTTGCCTTTACCGAAGGTGGCGAACGTCTAGTTGGCGTCGCCGCCAAGCGACAAGCAGTTGTCAACCCCGAAAACACTCTCTTCGCAACCAAACGTCTCATCGGACGAAAATTCTCAGATCCTGAGGTTCAGCGCGACATCAAAGAAGTCCCTTACAAGATTGTCCAACATACAAATGGCGACGCGTGGCTGGAAGCGCGAGGCGACAAATATTCGCCTTCCCAAATTGGTGGTATGGTGCTGTCCAAGATGAAGGAGACTGCCGAAGCATATCTCGGCAAGCCCGTTAAGAATGCCGTGGTCACCGTCCCTGCCTACTTCAACGATATGCAGCGACAAGCTACAAAAGACGCCGGTCAGATTGCTGGCTTGAACGTTCTTCGGGTCGTCAACGAACCCACCGCAGCCGCGCTTGCCTACGGTCTGGAAAAGGAAGATGATCGCGTGATCGCAGTCTATGACCTTGGTGGTGGTACCTTCGATATCTCAGTGCTTGAGATCCAGAAAGGTGTTTTCGAAGTCAAGTCTACCAA